AACTGTTACTAAGGCCCTAATAAATGGAGGCGCCTTTGCATCTTCCGAGGAAACATTCCTCTGCAGATAGAAAAATAGCACGAGAAAAAGAAATACTGGTAAATGCGTGAATTACGAAGAAAGGTACGCCTGAGGAGTGATTAGTAAGGTAAAAATAACATTAAAATCATTTAAAAACCATTACAACCATAGGCACGCAAAAAGGTGTAACCAGGAATCTACCCATTTTTCCCAAGTTTTGGACTAATTTATTGCTTGAAATTGTCCAGAAATTTGGTATTGCTGTACATGAAACTGATAAAGTCACAAAATGGCACTCGAAAACGTGAAAGCTGCGAACACCTGATAAAGTCACAAAATGGCACTCGAAAACGTGAAAGCTGTGAACACGAGTCTATCTTCATGGCTTGGGCTTTAGATTTAATTTCCTTTTTATTACCGCCAGACATGAAAATTAACACCATTTTTTTTTACAGAAGAATGAGCATCAACACATCAAATTTTGGTTTTGGCTTCTTCCATTTCTATTACAACTATTGGTTGTACACGGGTCGACTTCTTTACCAAAGGCGTTGACAAAATTAGATACGTTCCAGTTACTATTATGACTGTGTGCATGCAGCAGCAAGTGTGGATGATATAGTTGTGCGCACAATTTGTACGTAAAAATGGTTGATTTTGCCTCCTCCACGGTTCAAAAGTGACAGAATGAAACCAGTTTATGAGATTAATTTAGTCAGTGAGTTTTAACAAAATCTTCCGTTTTTCGGACTCAGGGCAGGAAAAAAAAATTGAAATCCACTTGCCCAGCGGGCAAGTAAATTTCAGTTTTCACTTGCCCCCACTTAAATATTACTTGCCCGAAGGGAAAACAATGCCTCATCATCTATAGTTCTAAGGTACTGTCTATAATAAGTTATAGATTATAACAAAGTGTATAAGATTGTTAGTTCTTACTAACAATTGCTGTACCCTAAAAACTGTCGTTTTTGAATTGATCTGTAGCGCGCAACTAAAAGGACAGTAAACATCTGACAGCCAAATTGCAGTCTAATCATTCTGGCTCCTTGAAACAAGAAGAAATTAGAAAACATTTGTAATAGTTGCCCAACTTTTACTTGCGAGTAGGCCGATACCTTCGTGTTTATTTTCTACATTTTGAAACGGCAAAAAGTGCTGAACCATAGGATAAAACTAGAAAATAAGAAAGCGACGCCGTCTTGATCCTGTCCGGAAACCAGTTCAAAAAGCTAGACAGACGATGAAATTACAGAAGTTAACAAACAAACAAAGCTAAACAATCAAAATAGTTATTAGCCACGTGCTCCACTCTTTTTTCCCTTTTCACTACTCACGTTTTAATAGTTAATTTTAGCTTGCGGTGTCGGAAGCGGGGTGGTGAACGGGTGATTAACTGGCATTACTTCATTCGCTCTTCGTTCATTTCATTTTGAGTTATCCCGTATAAGTCTTAGCGTTTCTTCGGACACTTTGGGCTTTAATTCACTTTTAGGATTAGAGGTATTGCCGTTTCTGTCGTATCATCTGTTGTTGCCTCAAACTCCAATCTGAAGATCCACCCATCTCCCGTTATTTAGCTCGGTAATGAATATGTTGCTTGTGGCCGTTTTCTTTAGGACCATTTATACGAGGAAAAATAAGACGCGTCTTACATAAGACGCGTCTTAAATAAGACGCGAACTGTACCATTTATACGAGCATGTCTTATCTAATAAGACGCGTCTTAGCTAAGCCGCGTCTTATTTTAGACGAAATGTGCCGTTTATACGGAAAGTTCGCGTCTTATTTTCCTCGTATAAATGGCCCTTTTGTGCCTTAGATGAAACAGGGGAGGAGAGGCGGGGGGTCATTTCTTATAATAGCCTATAGCACTGCCTACAGTATACGGGAAGGTTCCGGGTATAACAAAGGGTAAGGAATTCACAGGTTGAATTATATGAAAGGGTAGAAAAATCTATCATTTAAGTATTTAAAAGTGCCCTTAATTAAAAGAGTTTGAAGAGATGTGCTTTATGGAAATACCACTTAAATAAAGTTAAACGTTACACTAAAATGACCTGAAGACCTCCTTTTTAGCGATCTATTCTTATTAAGTAAGTATGTGAAAGTGGTAGTATTTTTTCAATGAAAGAGACAAAAAAAGGTTTAAAAACGGTATAGATAAGGTTAAGGGGTTGGGCCTCGTGGCGGAACCTTTCCGAAAAAACTTGTTTTGATAGCTCACCCCCTCTCCCCCCTCCCGCCCCCCGGAGGATGAAACGTACTGCCCTCTGTACCCAAGCCATATATAATATATTGCAACCTATGCGTAACTAAATCAGTGTAGGTACGTAACTGAATTTCATAAATTAAAGTTTCACATCATCTCTGACACCGAAGTTTGTAGTACGTATATAACATGAATACTGAAGCAAGGTTTCCTCTCTATTAAGTTCTTAAAAGTTGAAATCTCTTTGTCCGCGATTTTGGTTTGTGCGAGCTCCAGTGTTTCGAGTAGTTCTGGGTTTAAACTTAAAGGGGTCGGAAGGAGTATCGCTGTATAAACGCTTTGAGACAAATGAAAACCTATTTAGAGAAGCTGCACGTTTTAACAAGGGCCTCACATGGAGTAACATTAAGACTTCTTACGACCAAAAGGCTCTTCGATAACGGCAATAACTACCCGAAACGTACGCATAGCTGACAGACCTTAAACTTTCCTTGTAATTTTTTCCCCGGCTTGGCAAGTTTCCAAATGTCGTGGTCATCATAAATGATAGGATGACAAATCTATTTGAAAAGTATACCAATTCTTGCAACCTTTTAAGATTTGCCCGTTGTCCCAACTCTGCATAGTCGATATTTTAATCTTTTTCAAAAAGGAGTTTCCCAAAAGCCCTCTTAGCTTGTGACGTTGTGCTGCATCGAGTTGTGAAACGTAACAATTGCGTTTTTCGCTGCCGTCAATCATAATTGCGATCATAAGTTTAATCAACGAACCTTGAGACACAGAAACACGCAAAACGGACCGAAATCCACCATTCGCAAATCACAAACCATGACCTTTCAAGGCCGTTGAAGTAAACTTCCGTTTCCTAAGAGGTCCTCTAAGATGATTGACAGCAGCGAGGAACGCAAACGTCAGTTGGCTTTTGAACTTCAGAATTCGCGTGTTTTTGAAAAGCGCAGTGACTGGCTTTATTTTCTGTGTGCTTACTGAGATAGGACTAAACTTTAAAAGTACCTATAAAACTAAAACGCGTTCCCTTCAGTGAAGGACTCTCGTTTCACAGCCTTGTCACGGGAAAAGATTAGACGGTCAACAAGAAAAGATTAGATGTCGTCTATATAGATCATTATACCGTAAGGAGCGATGCAATAATTATCAGGAGGGGAGCTGTAAAATGAGCCCTACATGGACTAATAATACGTAGCGCCCCCTGTCAACAAAGGCAATATAGCTCTTACCCCTTCCCTAGTCACTTACAATGAAATTATGACCAGCCCCACCCCCAACTCACATTTACATGAATTCACCCCTTTTGTACTGTAACGTTTTTCGACCGCTGCGCGTGGAACAGTACCTCGAAACTACGTTCGACAGAGTCGTCCATTTCAGAAGAGTTCGATTGCGAATCGTCTTCTCAATCGTCCTGTGAATCACTGGATTGCCGCTCCGAGTCATTTGCGTCATTACCTTCGATTTTTGGTGGGTCATGACTAGCACGGACATAACGCAGAATAAGAACTACTAGTGCTCTTTCCTCCACTGACTTAAAAATGGTGCTGCTTAAGGTACAGTTAAGCTTTAACTGTTTTCCTGTCAGCGCGCTGACTTGATGCTGGTCGTTCCAGTCAATTTTTGGTAGTGGGCTTCTTCGAGCTGCTCATGTTTTGGACCTTTCAAGCAAGAATCTCATGGTGTTACCCAAAACTCTCGCAGGCGCTCTTATAAAGCATGAATTCCACGTAACCTAATGCAGTTCGTTCCTTGTATGCTTGCAATAATCCGGTCGATTTGATCACTATTGCTTGGATTACGTATCCGGACGATGACATAAACTAATTTCCAGGAACTCCTGCCGACCATCCTTCCTGTTTGCAAGACTCACACTAAGAGGGCTCGCAAGAAAACTTTAGGTACTTCAATTAGTAGTGCTCTTGTGGCACATCATCTTCCTTTAGCCTTTGAAGTTTCAACAACAAACAATTCCCGCAAATCTTGATTCTCTTTCTAGCAGGTGCCTTCTTCCACTGAATGGGATTATTGCAGAGAAGCTTTAAGATCTTCCACTTCTTTAGATAACTGGGGATTGATGTTGAAGTCGTTTTTTCCCAGATCAAAGCTTATCATGAATACGATCTGACACTTCCCTAACCATCTCCCAAGTATTCTCCACTTTCCATGACGACCAATGTTCTTCGATCTCTTTAAGCGTGATATTTTTGTCATTTGTGTCTTGTGATTGAATAGGGGAGGTATCCTCGCATGCTTCTTTTTACGTGTGCTGAGGTTCACGTGTCCTGAGATTCACCTGACACTCCCTTCGGGCAGAAAATGTTTCTACATTAAATGGTAATTTATATAGAAGGGTCGACACTCCCTCTGTTAGTTACTTTTGTCTTACAAAGGGACACGCCCTTATTGGATCCTGGATACACCCCTGTTGTGATAATTTGGTCTTACAGCCCCCACCCCCTCCTCCCCAATCCTGATAATTACTTCACGGTCCAAAATACTTCGCCAGTGATATATACTGATTCATTGCTCTAGGTTTAAACGGAGGATCGTCGCACTTTGTTGTAGAGAAGATTAAAAGGGTTGTTACACATTCGACTTGCATGGATTGAGCAGGAAAAAGGTATTTTATTAGGCGGAAATACACGAAGAATCGGAGTCGTAGAGGGAAACACCAGAACTTGAGCGAACACTCAGGGAAAACAAAACGAATTGGATTCATGATGGACCTGACCTTTGTGTTTTGTTATATTTCTAGACTTTCACTTCAGCAACGACAAGAATAAAGAGCGATTCAAAACAATGTCGGTACCTATAAGAACAGAAATTGAATTCTCAAAACGCAAAGGTTGCAACTTAGCCTGTCTTATGCTCCCATGCGTTTAAATTATGAGGAAGGCGTAAAGAGATGGGAGCAGGAAAAAACAGTGAGGGGAGGGGTAGGGGGTGAGAACGAAGGAACTCTTAAGGTCCTTTTTAACAAAGGCCCCTTCCAGTATACCAGATTCTTGTATAACCTATGATTGGTTTATTTTGACAGCTCTTGTTAACTAACGAAGTTCTCTTATGAAAATGAAGAAACGATCGTCCCAGTGAACGCAATTTATGCAATTGGGTGAAGAAGCCTGAAAAAAATTCAGGACTTCAACGGGGTTTGAACCCGTGACCTCGCGATTACCGCTGCGATGCTCTATCAACTGAGATATGAAGCCACTGACGTTGGGAGCAGGTCAATTGTAGGTTCATATTTTCCCGTGAAAGAAATGGGTGTTAATGATATATGAAAATAAATGATATATGAACTGCGGAAATGAAATGAATCACGGGAACATATGAAACCACAATTGAGTGCTTCATGTTTCATACAAACATACTTTTAACCTGCGATCAGGCATTCTTTTCTTCCAGCCGAACGCAGAAGTCTGTGGACGCCCCAAAAGGAAGAAGGACCACCTGATCGCTGGTTAACATAGTTAAAAAACATACATCAACAGATCACTGAAATAACTCAATACATATTCTTGCGTCATTTCACTTACATCAATCCAGTTGAAAACCTCATCATTTCTTGCTTTTCTTTTCAATATAAGAGTCCTAAGTTCTTCTTGTATTCTAGCAGAATGTTGATTAGATGAACCAGTATTAAGAGATGACTTGCTTTGTCCGAGGGCAAACTCGATATTCTAAAGAAAAAAAAGGAAACATACCAATAACAAAGGAATGGAAAAAATGAAAACTCGTGTATTAAACTTAACTATGAAATGGACAATAATATATTTCCTATCACAGTTGTCTTTTTTGTGCATGTGATTTTTCCTAACTTATTTCTCCTCTGTCATTTACAAAGGCAACTAAACACTGGTCAATATAACTAAGGAAAAGCCGAGAGGATCTTTCTAACCTAACTTTACTTGAAATAGGAAACTCTTCCCCTCTTGCTTTTGCAGAACCTATTACATTAGAATCCCGATTTCTTGAACCCTCTTTTTTTTGCAAATCCCCGACACATCAGTTGAAGGAACTTTTAGGGGGAACTAGCCAGTTCTTTTTCAACAAAAGACAGCTACTCGTTCTTGCTCTCTATTGCTCTTTATTTCTTCGGAGTTGATTCTCAAACGTTGTTTCAATTCTCTCTTTTCTATTCTGCGCAACTACCGACATTGCATCTTGTTTGTATAAGTAAGGGATAATTTTCAACAAAAAATAGTGAACAATAGTGCCGTGATTTGGTTTGAGTTCCTCTCCAGACGTTTCAGGCCTGGCGCTTTATCAGTGAAGTTACAAGTACGTTAGAATCGTTACAAGGTTTGGATACGCCACGAAAGAAAAAATAAACACACTCAAAAAACTTTGTTGTGCACGCGCAGCGCCGCGCTCGGCCCAGAGGAAACGGAAGTCGGAGTTTAAGCCGCATAGATGACTGGTGCCAAGTTGGAAAATCAGGCGCATCTCCATGTGCTTCCGTTGCGCGTTTTCCCCGCAGAGCATAATTCCGCGAACTAGAGCGTCGTTGATTGAGTGACCAGCTGTGTCAAAATGTTCCGCGACTGGGAAACCAGGCAAGTTCTTCTCTATGCTTCGAAGGTGCTCGCCAAAACGTTGTCTTAGTGTACGCCCTGTTTCGCCGATGTAGACCAGGGCCGGGTTGCTGGAAGCTGGGTTAAGATAACCCAGGGTTAGTGTGAAATTTGAACTCAAATATGAGAGCTTAAAAAGCAAATTCAGTTTAATTTTCTTTGCCTTCAGATAATCTAAAAAGAATAGAGAAAATTATCCGAAAAAGTGCTTTTGATAACAAGAAAAAGAAACCCGGGTTAAAATTTAACCCCAGGTTAGCGCTAACCGACGTTCGAACAACTGGGCCCAGGAGATGCAATAGACCAAGCCAGACGTTTGGCAAGAAGGTGCTCTCTTGATGACAAGAGAGCATTGAGGGCCACGGACGTTGGTGTCGCTGGAAACGTGCTGGCAAGTGCGATGGCGAGCGTGTAAGCATGGAGATGTACCGGTCTTGTTGTAGAACGATCTTCATGCCATCCGACGGATTGACCGGACTGATGTCCTGAACAATCAGCGCCCCTCTACTCAAACGTCGGATAGGATTCAAGTGGCTTATCGGAATTTTTTAACCGTCTTGCTTTTATAGTTGATCTACCACCCATAAGCATGACCAGCAAACCCGTACGCTTGACTTGGATTAAAGCTTGCGTAAGGCTTTTTCCAATTGGCCAGCAAATTCTCATTAGCATAAAACCCTTCGAGTTGTTTGTTTTACCAAAACAATTTTCTCTCTAAAATTTCTAAAAAAAATCTAAATTATATTTTTTCAAAAATCCAAAAGTTAGTAACTTATTTCCAAAATAATTACAAAGTTAAGTCATATTTAAAAATTAGACGATTAAAATAGGAGTTCTTAACTCGATCCGTGTTCAATTTCGGCCGGTGACTAGATTTGTGTCTTAAATTGTACTCTGTGTTCTTCAGTTTAGGCATAACGTTTCTTAGAGGATGTTTCTCTTGATGTTTTACTTTACTAAACATTTTCCTACCTTGTTTTTCTAAAAGATCATAAAAGATGTTAGCCGCTTTAGATATGTATATCCGCATGTGACACCGGTCCAGGAAACACTGTACAGTCGTAAGCTCTGCATTAAGAGCACCGTAGACCGATAAACCATAGGTCAAATTAGGGATAACTAGACTTTGAAACAGATGGTCTAATTCTGCCTGAGTATAACCTTCCTTCCGTAATGACCTCAGTATAAAAAGACTTTTGTCAGCTTTAATTAGCTTTGTGCGTACATGAGTAGTAAATGGACAATCTCCCTGGAAAGTAACACCAAGAATTGGGAGCGCTCTGGTTTGCGAACGAGACGAAAACCCTGTGTACACCTTTCTTCCTAAAAGCAATTTCTCTGCCTTTCCTCGGATTACAGGGCATACCGTCATTGCTAGACCACTTCATAAACTGTTTAACTAGTGCCTCAGATCTATCAGACGTATTATACCCAGGTGATATAATATTAGAATCGTCTGCATACCTAGCTAACATCTGCCTAACATCTACCTCAAGGGTCAATAAGAAAAATGTTAAATAAATGCGGGCCACTGACACTCCCCTGAGTGAAACCCTTATTTACTACTTTCCATTCACTAACAAACCCGTTACTCTTAAGTCTTTGCTATCTAACTGAGATACCAGTTCAGAATATAAGGATTGAGCAGGAGCTGTTGTAGTTTCTGTGACAAATGGTCATGTTTCACCCATTCAAACGCCTTTCTAAAGTGCATCGCAAATAAACGTACTGCCTTGCACTTTAGGGTATCAAGATACTGATTAATCTTATGCTAGATTGAGAGAAGTTCGTACAGCTACCCCCTTCCCTATACGTAAACTGAGTTGCGCTTTTTTAACACGATCTCTTCAAAAGCCCTCACAATGACGGAAGTAACGTTTATGCCACGATAATCTGTTTTTTTCCTTTAGAAGATCCACTTTTGATAGGGGGATGATATTTGACTTTTTCCCAGCCCTACGCCACGTGTGAGTCTTAAGAGAAAGATTCCAAACCATGGTAATGACTGGAGCGAGAAGTGCGCCGTGGTCCCTCCACACAGTATACTGGATATCGTCAGGACCAGTTGCTGTCTTTCGTCTTTGCTGAAGGGAGTTCCACGCCTGCGACACGGTGATTTCTGGTATCATATGATCATTTTCAATTTTTAAAGGCTCAGGTTCCATGTAGGTGTTGTCTGTACATAATTCACCAAAATAATCATTCAGCTCCTCGAGAAAGGCGTGGTCGAGCGATAGAACCACTGGAAGGCATTGCCGTGATATGCTATCAACCCTTTTCCACCACTGGCGTGAGCCCTTACTCGTACAAGCAAGGAAGTTGTTCCTTTTTTAACGATAACCTCTGAGATCCTTTATTTGAGGCCTTTCGTCTGTCTTCGCTACTATTTGATATCCGTGCAGGTCTTCATCCAATTTCTCATATCGCAGAGGTCAAGGGTTTGAATCCCGTACAAGCCTGAATTTTTTTTTCAGGCTTTCTTTTCGCAGCTTCAGAAGTTGCGTATATAACTGCGATGATCTTCATTGATATAATTCTTCACTCCGCAGTTCACATGTATGATTTTCATATATTCATAACTTCATCAATGTTGGTTATATAGCTCATTAAGTCTTCTTCCGCTTAATTGTGTGTATGTGGGTCATAAATTCCGAACACTAAAAGCGGCGTCCCATTGGGAGACGCAAGGTTATGCAGATGACTTCATACAAGTTTGAACGATAAACATTAACAACTGTGAGGTTGTTTCGAAAAAGATAGAGCGTTTCTCACTCTCGTGGCCAGCATCTATGCAAATTTATTGGAAAAAAAGAAAGCGTTTACATAAGAAAAGAGTTCAACTCCCACAGGACTGGTCTGGGACACCAACATGGCGGACGTGACGTCGTGTGAAAAGGATCTAGGGTGTGAGTTAACGAGGGCTACACAATACATAAATACCATCATGCAATACTGGCCAAACATAAGCACTGTTAGGGCGGAATTTACGAGACATTCTCATCTTTCCTTTATTGGTCCTTCAGTTAAACCTATTATGATCCTATGCAAAGCATAGTCTCGGTCTGGGAATCTTTTGCTGTTGTTTTATGTACCTGGTCCTTTGCGAATTGCTTGGCTTCCTCTTCATTCTCAAAGAAGGCATTTAAAGACACTTCACATCTATTCAAAATAGCCGTTACATCTTCCCGACTCTGTATCATGAAAAAAAGAATATGATTAACAATCAAATAACTGAAATAAAGTGGGAAAGTCTGCAAGCCACACTGCACACTAGCTATTTGAAAGGTAACATAGGCCTCAACTTCTTATAATAACACAGTGTATAATTATTCAACTCACTGTATCATTTGTGGCTGTTTGCAGCATGTATGCAAAAAGTTTTGCAGCCTTGTGTTTTGGCACATATTTTAGTATACAATTGATGAATTCATTCAAGTCAATATTTCCATCAAAGGCAGTTGGACCCAAGAGCTCTCCAAGGTAATTCCATAACTGTGGAATGTCTATTTCTATGTCTTCGGCATATTCAAGGACTTGTTCAAGCCTGAAAGAAAAAAGACACAAAAACGTCATCACAAATAAATTGACAAAATATAATTATTGGGTCCCAGGTCTTAAAGGCCTATGTTCACGCTAGATGCATTGCGCGCCCTGTACTCCAGAAAAAAAAATTTCGCGTAGTTGAAAATCGCAGCCTTCAGTGTGTAGAGTCAATCTTCGCTAAATCTGGTTTAAAAGAAAGTCTAAACAGGTTCTTTTGGTATTTTTCTTTACATCTTTTTGGATATTTTGGTCTGGTATCGAGCCTTTTTGTTTCTGTGAGTGTTTGTTTCACTGCAGTACTTGGCGGCGTCATCGAAACGTACGAAGTACATTCGTCTCCGTGAATCCGTTTTTTAAATCTCTGGAGAGATGGGAAAGAAGCTCTTGGCTGAAAATTCTACAGACAGCGTGTTTGCCGAGTTCTTTAAGCTTCTACATCGAATGTTGATGTTCAGTTGTAAGCAAAGGTCCCGTTGAAATCAGTTGAAAGCAAAACAAGCGAGTCAATCTAACATGAACAATGCTTTATTTGATTTAACCTATGAGGCTATTATTAGCAAACCAGTCCTTAGCCAAACCTAAAGAAACTGTAACACAGCGATTACAGCGACAAGACTGTACGCAGTTCTGATTCCACGCTTTGAAAACACAACTTCTCGCTTATTCTTTCGAGAACACATACCTAAGCTTCCTAAGAATTAACAAAAAATAATAGATTGAGGAATCAAAACATTTCACAGTCGAATCGGGCTTCAGGAAAATCTCACGTGGTGCTTAGACATTTCGTAATTTTATGACCTTCATTGTGTTCATCGGACTCAACAAAGCATCCATACGCATTCACTACCAGTTTAAATTTTGAACTGTTTTCTCCGGTGACATTAACGATATATCTTCCTCCCTTTGGAAAAGAATTAAAGTCTTACTGGCCTCTTTGATATTGTCTCTCTAAGCTTCGGTCAAGCGCGAAAAAAGGGACTTTAAGATACGAGGACGCGGTGGTTTCTAGAACGTCGTAACCGAGGAAAGCCTGGGCCGAGAGCGGCGTTGTCAGCGCGGGAAAAATGAAGTTAAGAGCTGCAACGCGACGAAGAACAACACAACTTGAGACACAGCAGGTTTCGTCCAAACTAAACACCATGAGCTCGTTTAAAGCAGTTCAAGAAATGCTGCTTTTCTGTTTAGAAGAGGAAATTATCGATGATGAAGAATTTGCGGTACTCTACGAGGAATATACGCCACAAAATCTTCCATTTCCTCACTGTCAATATGACACGTTTTCCCTGCTGAACAAGGATCCTGCAGAGTGTAAAGCGGATTTTCGAGTGGAGAAGGCAGATATTCCATTGCTCATTAATGCTTTAAGAATGCCTCCAGAATTTGTTTGCAAGAATGGCACAGTTTGCGATGCAACAGAGGGCCTGTGTATACTGCTGAAGCGGTTTGCATATCCCTGTCGTTATTCGGACATGATACCAATTTTTGGTAGATCAGTTCCAGAGTTAAGTATCATTAGTAATGAAATCACCGACTGGCTATATACCAACCATGGCCACAGAGTTACTCACTGGAATCATGATATTTTGAGCCCGGCAATGCTCGATGTCTACGCCACAGCAATTTACAATAAAGGAGCCGCCCTTGAAAATTGCTTCGGGTTTATAGACGGAACAGTGCGCCCCATCAGCCGACCTATCATAAACCAGAGCGCCGTGTATAATGGACACAATCGCGTTCATGCACTTAAATTCCAGTCAGTGGCACTTCCCAATGGTTTAATTGGTCATCTTTATGGTGCTGTGGGTAAGCAAAAATTCATGTTAGTACTATTTTTTCCAGTTCTCAAACGTTTCGATTCTTATTTTTCTACAATTTTGTTTTTATATTCAGAAGGAAGAATGCACGATGCTAGGATGTTGGCCTTGTCAAATCTCTACGATGAACTGGAGAACTTTGCCTTTTCCCCGACCGGAGCAGAAATGTGTCTTTATGGCGATCCTGCTTATCCGCTAAGAGTTCATCTCCAAGCACCATTTCGCATTGGAATTTTGACCAGAGATATGCAGATTTTTAATGATTCAATGAGTGCAGTCCGTGTTTCTGTGGAATGGTTATTTGCTGATATAATTAATTATTTCAAATTCCTGGACTTCAAGAAGGACTTAAAGATAGGACTAAGCCAGGTTGGCAAGATGTACATTGTTTGCGCACTACTTAGAAACGCCCTAACCTGCCTGTATTCCAACTCTACAGCTGAATACTTTGGCCTTGTACCCCCCACGTTGGATCAGTATTTCAGTTAGGTTTCTACTAAGGACAAAGGGAGTGTCCCTTACTTATGGAAAGGGAGGCATCTGGGAAAATAGAGGCGCTGTAAAAGTTTCATACCCTGGTGTGTGATGGTAGGGTCCAAAATGGTTAGAATGTTCCTGAAGAACAGGGATTAGAGAAATTTGACCCGGATGGGAAGTAAAAGTTGTAACTAAGTTATCGCATTCACTGCCTCCCTCCCATGAATAACAGATGCTCTACAGAAAAACAGTTTTGCAAACTATGATGTCTAATACAACCACAACAACAAACTTTATTAGAAAATTCTACACTCGAAGAGACCAGGAATAAGGGGGAAAACGCCCCAGTTGCTATTTCAGAAAAAGTCAATTTGTAACATCATCTCCATAAACAGGGAAGAAAGTAATAAATTTAGTTGCTGAGTACAGTAAGTTATCACCTCACCCCGCCCCACTTCATAAATAGTGAAATCACTGAAGAACAATTTTCAATCTAGGAGATCAACTCTAATACAACAACAACAGGGGTTAAATGCTATCTAATGGTTTTAAGTCTTAAGTCCAAGTCTAATTGACTTGGAAGAAGGAAGACATGGGAAAAAGTTATTGTTACATCATTGCCAAAAACAGGGAGTAATGTGATAAATTAGGTGGATCAGAGTACAGCAGTTTACCACTCAACCCAGGGTAACTGAAACGACTTAGCTTAATATGAAAACAAACTTTGCAAAGTTGGTAACAGCTATAGTCATAAAAAAAGGTTCCTGCCTACCTAATTTCAGGAGTTCAAATCTGAAAGAGAGCAGCAGAAAACTACTAACGGTAATAAAAATACTGCCTTCCATGGGAACACAAGCGAACTTAAGAATGCATTAAACAATAGAAAGGCAGGGGTGCATAGAAAAAAATCCCTAAGGTGACTTAAAAGAAAATTTGAGATATAAGCAGCAGTATTTTTACCCCCTCGCCCCTTGTACATTGGGTTTGGGTTATTTTCTAAGCAAAATTGCAATGGCATGGAAATATGCTTGAATGAACATAAAATAAAATTATTACTTTCCAGATCTGAATCAAAATGCAGTTCAAAACCTTGTCAGAAAATCAACTGAAAGTCACTTAGGGATTTATTTTGCACACTGTTGATAAGCAATTATTTATTTACGATACGCTCCATAATGTCCAATAATGCCTTTGTTTGCTGCTGCTGCTGTTGCATCATGAGCAGTGTTTGTTGGCTCTGTTGTTGCTGTTGCTGCAACACTACCTTTAGAAGCTGACTCTGCTGCTCTTGGAACTGCTTCTGTGCATTTGCAGAAACTTCCATTTGTTTCTTCTCAAACTCTTGTCGATCTCTCTTCAGCTTCAACTCCTCCTGTTTAAGCTCGTAGTTAATATCAGCTCTTTGTGACAGATAAGAAATTGCACTGCTGCCACTGCGTTGTGGTCGCTTACTCTGATTGTCCTCCATCCCATCTGATTGCCTTTTTTGAGTGTCTTTCAATTTTTCCATTGCTTTTAACCTGATATCTTCAGCTTTTGCTCTATCACTCTCTATTTTTCGGTTCTTCTCCCGACCAGTTTCCTGTTGCTCTGTCTCTGCACTTTCTTCCAGGGCAATTATTTGCTCTAACAGGTTTTCCAACTCTGTCGGCCCATCAGGTACAATACCAGTTGCCTTTTCTTCAGCTCTCAATTTCTTTTTATGCCTGTTTTGTAATATTCCAACATGATCTCTAACAGATCGCTTGTCAACATTAAATGCCAGACAGGAACAATTATTCAGTGTTGTAGCCACTTTATCCCAAATTGTACTTCGTTGTGTTGAGCCTTTTTTTGTAGTGAATGGATTAAGATTAAGAACTTCACGGCATAGTATCAAATCGTGATCTTTGGTCCAAAACATTACTGAACTAAAATAAAAAAAAATTTGAATAAGTGAAGGTATACACAGACTGATGTGTCTGTTCACTGTACATCTGACAGTATACATGTACATCAAATCTTGAATTTCAAGTTTACAAGTTTACAGTGTCCCCATTTAGGGCTTGTATATATCTGTATGTATCTGTACTGATTCAACATGGCCAGAAGAGAGTTGAGAGTTGGCAATAACTAGAACTTAGCTCAGGGGACTGATCCAAGGCCTGCTCATACCTGAAAGCGAGCCAGCCTATCCGAAAGTTTGAGGCTGCAGCATAACTGGGCTGCCAAGAGTCTAAAGGGAGACCCTATACTGGGGAAAACAAGTTAACCCACCACCCGGTGGCCAGAAAGGAATTTACTACCTAACCCAGAATTTCCAGGGGCTGATAGTTCATTGACTGGGCTTTCCAACACAGCTGTGCTTGAGGTTGTCTCCCCCCCATCCTTGTCTTGAAATTTCTCATTGGAGAGCCATGCTTTGTCAAATCTGCACAGATACACTTATTAATAATATTGGGTTTTGTACCACACTAAAACAAAGGTATCCTGGGGTGGATCAGGTGGCTAACCAATCCTCCAAGATCTATCAAAACAAGGTTAACTCAATCTCTGATAAAATATTTTTACTTAATTAAAGGTGAATTCTGTGTGTTTTCTGGGAAGCTTACAGACGTGTTTTATTTCTATAGAATGAGCTTACGTAAGCACATTTGCAAAACTACAGTATGCATGTGCAAGGGAAATAAAGTAAGATTATGTTTATTGCAAAATGGATGGAGAAGCCAAAACCCGACTGTGTAATTCCAACCATCTCTAAAATGATAACATTTTATCTGCAGAATAATCTTAAAATCACGGCGCTTCAACCAGAACTTAAATCAATTTCAAAAGCTATTTAGAGACATCGGATCCTAAATTTCGCAACAAATTTGCCCAAACCTATCCCTATCATTATTAATTTTTACGCAGTCATTTTCACAGAAAGCAAAAAAACACTAAAAAGAGAAGATCCCACTGACACGTGAGGCAATTAGCCCAAACTAAAGCTTACCTCGGAGGTTTGCTTGAACTTGAACATGGCTCTGCCATTTTCAGGCGAGTGTGCAACCTGAATAAAAACGTCAAGAGCGTTAAAACAGCATGATTTTCCACGCTTATCTTTCCTTGAAAAGCATAAATATAGTTCTAGTTGCTATATCTAAAAGTTAAATGGCTAACATATCAATTTCTTTGAAGAAATATAAAGCTGACTACTCACGTTTTCTCCACAACGCCAAAGTGGCCAGGTTGACGTTTCAGACGCCAGCGCAACGCAATGACAATCCAACATAAGCATGCGCAGAATCCTCGTCTCCGAAAAAATTACTTCCGGCCGCGTATTGTAGACATCGCGTCCTCTATCTTAAAGTGCCTAAAAGCTAGTCTCCCTCGCAGTCGTTTTTGGTATCGTCGCGCAACGCTCCTCAAAAGTGGAAGCCAATCAAAACACTGCATTTGACAAAAGAATCGTTTTAAAACAAAAACACAAGCGCGCAAAGCCGTTTGGGTGAACATGGGCCTTTAAGTATCAATACTTAGTAGCTGATATTGGGTTTGGACACTACGGGCCAGTTATTTAAACGGAGTTTAGCCAGTGTTTAACAAAACCACGTTCTAAGCCACTTTCAGATTGCCGAACCTTTTATGTTAACACCATTTTATTTGAACAGTTTCATGAAAGCATATGGCATAGACTAGAAAAGCATTCGTCTTCTAAAGAAGAGATCTTGAGGACCAAAGATTTCCTAAACTGCGGTTTAAGTTAGACTTCGTTTAAATAACCGACCCTACAAATTTATGAGGTTCTTTTCTGGAAGCCCATTTAGAGATTATCTTGAAAAACACTCTACTGTCATGTTGTACACGTTAGCTTTCACTTTTCAGTCCAAGAAAGAAATTCCAGCCAGAATTGATTTGAATTAAAGCTATATTCTAGACAGTACTTTGACTGAGTTGCAAGAATTGGGGTCAAAGTGGAATCTAAAGATGAATTCTCTGGTGTCATTTTAAAAGAGTATCGAAGACCTAGGTGTTACCATTCTGCAGTGTCCTTTTACGAAGATCTTTGGGTGGAAAATGTTTGTAAAAAATTGGACTTCCCTAGAGTTATGTGTATCAGAATTACCTAAAATCCACTCTTACCCCTGCAAATAGTGCTGAGCTGTGAGAACACCACCACGTAGCAGGAAATGCAGAAGCTTTCCAGTTGCATTCCTGTCTGATGCTTTTTTCTCCATAGTATGGTTGAGAACTTCATCCACAAAGACATAATGAAGTGACGGTGACTGGACTTCTCTCAGGCACACAGCTATTTCCTATCAGAAAAAGTATCAATAAAACAATAATGATGATGGGCACGGACCTTGAAATAAGTCTGTCTGCAAGGTTCACCTCCATTTAAAATGGTATACTTTTTATGACTTAATTATCATCATATTGCTACAAACTGGAGAAACTCTGATATTTCCCCCAAAATAATAAGTGAACTGTCAAACATACTGACATATCCCTGATGTTGAGGTATTCCTCAATAATGGCAAGTGATTTCTTCTTCATGTCTTCCTCTGTTAGCTCTTGAACTGGAGGTGCAACTGCTGACCCAACAACTGCAGCCTCAGTAGAGGGATCAGATTCAGGTGTTAACCTGGGAGACTCTCGACCCACATCACGTTCTTGGATATTACGCTGAAATAAAATAAACGATTGGACCAAATGATGTACCTTTATTGTAATGTTCAGTTAACTCTCGTATAAGAAAGATACCATTGGGACTGGCAGCGAGTGGCTGTGTAAAGAGATCGGAGAGTTAAATGTAACAAATAGACAGCAGCTTCCCATGGTCTACACTCTTACAAACCACAGAAATGACGTGAAAAACGTAAGTGCAGCTTGTGATTTTACTGCAAAGTTTTTAATATTTTGAGGTCATTTCTTAGGGTTGTAAGAGTGTAGACCATGAAAAATAATTTAATCTTTCATAATATCATTGGCAGTTTTTAACCTTCATTTCCAGTAACGTTTCTTAGCAAAATTGCACGTGTGTGAGAGAGAGGGGAGGGAGGGGGGGTGGGCGAGGGAAGGAAGAGAGAAACAAATTTTCATATGACATTTTGTGATCTGTACCCTCATAGACCATAGCTCTCAACCAACCAGAGAGTGAGAAATTGCTAGAGACCAACTCTAGATGTCCATTTTAGGGAGGTGTCCGTCGAGAGAGAGTTCACTAAATGAAGACACTAAGACACTGAGCAGCATTTTCATGTGTATCGGCAGCATATCTGTTAATGAATTCCGGCGAAAGTGTGACTAGTCAAGTGAAGATATCTAGGAGTACCTTATTGTTAAACTGTTGTTAGATGTCACCATTCAATTCTGGGCTACCACACATTTCGAATATTTTTTGTTTGCTATTGAGTTAGTTTAGTTTTGTTAGTTTTGTTTGCTATTGAGTTAGTAATACAAACCTTTGGTTGTGTTACAGCACGCACAGCTTCAAGAGCCTTTTCACGTTCTTGGGTTGAGAGAGGTCCTCGCCTTACCCCACCAGATACTGGACTACGACGTTCCTGACGACGGGGGTGTCTAGACAACATTTTAGCAGGAGCTGAGTGTTTTCTCTCCCTAGCCAGCGCAGAATATCTAGGAGAATGGATATGACGAATCTGCTTATACAAATAAATCATGTATGAAGTGCAGATATGAGATGAAAATTGGGAAACTCATAATCCTCGCATAGTTATGAACTCCACTTATGTAACAGCGGAAAAAGAGGCTTAAAAATTATGTTATAATCATGTTAATAAAACTAAACGGTAGACCCCTAAGACACAGCTTGGTCTAATAAATTCATTGTCCACGCCTGTTCAGTCGAGATGGCTGAATACTGGTCTCAAATATTTTGGGACGGGTTGTTATGGACTAAGACAAAATGGAAAAAGAATTTGAACAAAAGGTAACGAACAAGCTTGTTCACCTCTGTTGTTGCTTCACTTAAAACCAGTGGCGCCATTGTATGTCCCAGCTTATTGTCCACAGCGAAGCTCCGCGCGCGCGGAGCCCCATTGCCATAGAAATTGGAAACCTATCGATACCAGATACCGTACGTCGGTCGTCTGTCCGTACAACCCCGATCTCAAATGTCACATTTACTAATCGCACTTTACTAAGATATAAAAGACAGTTATATGCGCCATCCATATGAGGATGAATCGACAGCTGTCAAAATGGGGCATTCGCTGACAAACATTGGATGACCGTCTTGTGGTCTAAGATGAAAGACGGTCGCTTTGCCCCCACATGTAAGCCGATGTAAAATGTTTCAAATGTCAAGATAACCGACATAGAAGTGACAAATGAAATGAACTACGCTTTTAGGGCTGTCAGTAGTTTAAATTTATATAAGCGAGCTAAAGCAAGGTCAATTGACAGCTGTCCAAATGGTATATCTTCAGACCACATATCACAAAACTAACGTGGGCTTAGGTGCATGACCAAGCATTTTGCCCCCACTAAACTGAAGTGAGATGTCACGCTTACCCACACTAAGCTGTCAATTCCGCATTCCGTTTTAAGTATTCGCCACCCTGGTGAATTTTCATTGACACCTGTCCAAATGGTGCATTTGCTGACCATTATCACATGACTGGATAGCGTTTTCATTTATTTAACCATCGAGGTCACGAATTTCCGCTGATATTATATTTGATCGCAGGCTCAATTCTTTACTTTTAGAGTCGAACTTAGCGGGACTCACATCAGGCGCGTTTACTTACACGAGTGATTTGTGTGAATTGTCTAAAGGACTGAAAGTTCCTTTTTTCGTCATTTTTAAAACACGGGTCCCGTCAGGGATATGTTATTTTTTCTACTGGACGAATTATGTGACGAGGAAAAGGCCGAGAAAAAAACATAGAACACCCTGGAAAACAGCAGCAAACTTTCACTCGGTTTCACGGGGCAGCGCCAGCCATTGTTGGTGACTAGTACAAACAAAAAAAAAAAAACAAATTCACCTAACAAGACGCAAACGGAGAGTAGCTAATTTAAAGTCAGCCGTGGAATTCAACATTAACATTAGTCAACAATGGAGGGAACAACAGTTTAATACTTATCGATACTTAAAGCTGCATAAAAGCAAAAGATTAATTATTACTAATTGTTGTACATGGACGTCTACGTGCATTTATCACTGAAGTATTGCAATTAAATTTTACTGTCTGCTTCTTTCTAGTTTTTGTTTCCTTTGCTATCGTCTGTCTATGGTTTTGTTGTAGAAACGCGTCAAGTTTGAATTTTATCCCGCCCGTTAAAACGTTCAGTGTTTGCCGACACGAACACAGCTCCAGCGGCCGATTGCTCAGGAGTGTAGTATGAGGTTTTTAATTGCTTTACTCGTTATCGGTGTTTATTTCTTCCCCTAAACCTTTGTAAAAAATATACACAAGTTTTAATTCAAATCTTCGACTCGGAGCAGTGCGTTAATTCTCGTTCATTTGCTGAAACTGATAAACAGTTCTTTTCTTTTATTTAATGTCACTATTCCGCTTAAGATACGAATGAAAAGGTAACGCAACTAAATAGCGCACGCAGGCAAATAAGACAAAAACTACAAGGTGGCGTAATAAGAGGAGGAAACACAGCCCTGTGGCAGGTTCTGCCGACTTCTGGTTATGCGCACAACAAAAATACAAGCCTCACTTATCGCCCCACTACCGTGGGGTAGGACAAGAGCATTGGCAGAGCCTTTCTTATCTCCCAAGCGCCGCACGGGCTGGATCGGACAAGATTCGGGCAAATGAATAAGATGGCTAGACACAAGGGATGCCAAAAGCTTGGGGGAAGTCGCAACGCAGACTTAACTGCCCCAGATGTATGAAATGCATCCCCCCAAGCGATCAAACAAAGTGGACATAAAGTCCCCTGACACACGAGCCATTTAATTTGGGTAACAGCAGAGAGCACGACTGCCTCAGAAATATTAATATACACTTGGTAACAGACCGACAACCAACGACCTCAAAAAGACTTTTATAAACCAGTCTGGTAAGCCCGCAGCTGCCGCAGCAGATGCTGCGCCTATGAAAAAACTATGGCCTTTAAAACTTATATTGTTTAATTTCCAAAGTGTAGAAAGTTCTTCTTTAATTTTACCAGTTTTGGCGTAAATGTAGGGTTTTGCACTGGCCGGTAACTTACCGAGAGAGTTATTTATACAAGCCTGTACAATGCAGCTCGCTGGGACATCTAGTGGACGATGGTTTTACAGTTTTTTGAGAGTTTAGAATTTTGTGTCTTGCGCTTTTTTTTCCGGAATTTTTTTAAAGTGATATTTCGATAAACTTGCACTTGACCTGCTTATTTGCTCAGCCGAAGTCTGTGAATTTATCATCACCTAAAAAAACCCACCAACATTCAAACACGCTCTCCGTTTATTTCAAGAAGAACTTTAGCACCACAGGCTAAAACTAGAAAAATTAGAATAAATTGAGACGACAAATTTTCTTGGAAAAAAATAAGTTTCGATCATCTAAGGAACGTGTAAATAAAGCAAAATGTCGAATTTTGGTATCAAAACTTTTTTTTGCGTGATAAGCGTGTGCACTGCAAACAAGGCACACAAAAAAATGAAAAGCGACTTTTAAAGTCTAACTTTTACACCGTTAACTATTGACTGTTGGATCGTTGCTTTGGATAATTGTACAGTGAAACCTGTATTAAGCGGACACCCTCGGGGAATGCTTTAGTGTCCACTTAATACAGGGTGTACGCTCAATACCGTTTTCGATAGATAACGTCATATGAGGTGTCGAATGCCATTCAAATGAACGGTGGAAACGTTTGGAACACTCCCATACAGAGACTTTGAATGTCTTTATTTAAGTGGACCAATTGATCATAGTACGGCCATAAACATAAGATTGTACCTCAAATTTGAAGAAATCAGATGAGTGAAACAAGCTCTATACAAACAAAACGAAATGAGGAAACAATACTCGGCACTGTGAAACTGATCATATGAGCAAAACAGGCTGTATATTACACAAACTATCATAACACTGAATAAAAACTGTCATATAATTGTTTAAGCTGTTTATTGTCCTGATGCAACGAACTTTTAACATGATCTCTAACGATAAAAGTTATCAATTCGTGATTATTCGAGCATCTTAAACTTCATTTTCTGGAGCAAGTTGGTTGCCTTGCTTTAAATGGCCAGCGTAAGGTCCTCTTGTCCATGATATCTGGCATCTTGGGCAGTGGAGTTTAACTACAAGTGTCCGTTTAATACAGGTCGGCAACAATAGAAACCACCCACTTCAGGTATAGTTTTTCGGTGTCTGCGTCCGCTTAATAGAGGTGCCCGCTTAATAGAGGTGCCCGCTTAATAAAGGTTTCATATAAAGTATATAAGGGAAATAAATTTGGGGACTTCGGCTACCTTTGTTTGAACAACATTTTTCGTACTTTTTTCTGTTTCCTAGGCAAGAACCCAATAATTTTTAATGCGCCGATCCCAGTTCGAAACTCAACACCCCACCTGGGCAATCCCCGGGCCTTTGGACTATTTAAGACCGGCCTGTTCAAATACCCGGTTACATTAGGCCAATCATGGATAATAGAAAGACTGGATAGGAAACTGGCTGTCGCGACCGGTTCCAACATAGTGGAAAAATGTGACGCCATGTTTTCGAGAAACATTCAACCTCTTACATCTGATGGTTTGCGCGTCTTATTTTTCATCGCTTATTTCATATCTCTGTCTTCGACTATACAGGTTGCCCATGTTTTGAAGTAAAGGATGAAGAGGAATTGTTCTTGGAGAACATAGTTTGAGGGTACAAAACCGGTAGAGGCAAAGGACAGAGTAAATGATTATAAAACTTGTGAGAGCGAAGAATGACTCCATCGCCCGATAATCATTATGCACCAAACGGGAAGCCTAGCTACATAAAAACTATGCGAAAAGTTACATGTATACAGCTACAAAACACCTATAAAAAAGGCACAGCCTAATTTTCTACAAACCACAAGAAAACCGGAAATAATTTTATCTCTTTTTATCACGGTTTTCACGATTTCCTTTCTGCTTTTATCGACAAGCTCATCGAGTGTCGAATTTTATAAGTTAGTAACCCTTTGCAAAATGATTTTATTAGCGGTAAAACTGTCGAGGCTTGATGTTTCAAGTACCCATGCTCAAACAAGCGTTTAATTTCCATTCAAATCATTTACGGACAACCAGTGACAAGAAGCCGTATCTGAGAAGGTATAAAAAGCGGGGATAAAAAGCTCACAGCAGAGAAAGTAAATTTGCTTGCGGACCACTGTGGAAACGCCGTTTCTAACTTTTTCAAATCAATTTTTATCGTAAAGCAAGTTGTTTTGTTATTTTCAGGTATAAATGTACAATGACCCAAGGTACTTTTCAGTCAGAGAAGAATATAGGGGTCTACAGACGGACAAAAATGACTAGCAACCGGGCAACATTTGGACGGGCAACAACGGGCAACATCCATTACTAAGGACGCAAGCTGACTATGGTACTAAGGCTGCGGACTATGTTACTAAGGAGGAGATCTGATAGGATCCAGCGAGTTAAATACTTAACCCTAACTGTATTGTTTAACTCTAAATCAGTCGAGTGAGGTGCTTAGGGCTAAATCAGTCGAGTTCAATGTCTAACCCTAAATCAGGCGAGTGAAGTGCTTAGGGTTAAATCAGTCGAGTTCAATGTTTAACCATAAATCAGTCGAGTTCAATGCTTAACCCTAAATCAGTCAGTTTGAAGGAGTCACAGCTAAATGGTTATGCTAATGACGATGGGCAAGTTTGGACGAGCCCAGTCACGTCACCAATTGATTTGCTGACTCAACAGAAATTGTTTCTATTTTTGGACCATGACGTCATTCTTTTCAAAAAAACACGTATAAAAGTAAGCTAGCAACCTACATTTTTCATTCAATTTCACATGATTGTAGTGAACGGAACTCATCAATAATGGCTATTACCCATCCAAGACCATGTTCGACCTGTGGGAAGAAAGTTAAAAACAGAAGAGCCTTTTCACATCATAGGAAATACTGCGGGGAGAAAACAGACCCTGTACAATGTCCATACTGTGAGACGAAATTTCAAAGGAAAGATGACATGTCAAAACATGTCCGTAAGTTCCATTCAGAAGGAGCAAAAAGGAAAGCAGAAGAAAGCGCGGAACTGTTACGTATGGAGTTATTACATTCTGAAAAGGTGCCACGATTAAGCACTGAAGGACAGACAGGTGGGGCTCTGACTACCCGCGGAATTAAACGTGAGCCTGATCAAAGAGATAACACATCTGATGTAAAAGTCACTAAACAAGAGGACGCTTATCAACGATTAGATCCCACTGTTGAATACGGCGGCGGCAAAGATCCACTTTATGTAGCTGATTTTAAGAAATTGGGTCCAGCGAAGCGGTGGAATAAAGATACACTGGTGAACCAAAAGTTCATCCTCACGATAGATCAAAAACGTGGACAAAAGGAAAATGAAGATTTGAATATTGGGGCAACGCATGCCATTGCGGCTGCCATAGACAACCTTGTGGAAGAACTCAAAATCCCAGGTGACTACTGGATGACATTCCAAATAGGAAGCCGCGAACACAGGAAAGAAGGATTGACAGGAGAGACTTAGAAGGTACCAGTGGGTGATTTTACAGGGAGAGCTGCGTATGCACAAGCTTTGCTGCAGAAACTTTCCAATGTGTTAAACAGCGGTCAATTCATTACAAATGATGTAGGGTTTTCAGCCTCCGTTCTATTCAGCCGACCCGAGACAAAAGAGGGTAAACGTGCGGGTGGTGGTCCAGGTCAAAAAATATGTGATCACTTAGTGAAAGAATCTAGATGTGTCTGCGCAATAAAAAAACAAAGAAAAACTTTGCTGTGCAAGAGCCATTGTGGTGATGCGTGAATATGCAAAACGTACCAAAGCTGAACAGAACACTTTTGAAAACATTCGTAATGACCGTCGGAAGAATTCTCAACAGTTGAAAGAAGACAAGAGGTTACACGATGAAGCAGGTGTCGTTGAAGGTCCTTGTGGTTTGGAGGAAATAGAAAAATTCCAAGACTACCTCGGTCCTCAACGCTACCGAATCATAGTAGTGGATGCCTGTAAAGGAGGTGTGATTTTTAAAGGCGACGCATTTCTAGAAGCAGAGAAGAAAATTGAAGTAGTAAAATCAGTGTATGAAGGCGACCTGAAAGCGCATTACAATGGGTTGTACAGTATACCAGGCTTCATGAATCGCAGCTACTTTTGTTATCTTTGCTGCAAGGGGTTCAGTACAGACGATAGTGCTCATCATAACTGTCAAGGGCAGAATTGCCCTGGCTGTAAAAGAAACTCGACCAATAAAGAGGAGGGGTGTAAAGATTTTACATTATGGGTGAAACCAGATCGAAGTTGTATCATTTGCAGACGTGAGTTTTATGGAGAAGCCTGTTTTCAAAATCACCTGATCAAACACGCTTATGAAGACCCATCCTTAAAACGAATGATAAAAACATGTGAAGATGAGATTGACGAGGACCGTCCCCCAATAGTTGAAATGATAAGTGTTTGCAACCAGTTTCGTAAATGCAAGGATTGCCTGGTGTCCTATAAAGTCAAAGAAGAAGAATTCGATCATAAATGTCTCCATACCAAGTGTAAACATTGCTTGAAGTATGTAAACATTTACGAGCATAAATGTTTCATCACCTCTGAGGAGGAAAAGTGTTTTAAACGCCACTTAAGAAAATTACGAAAGCTGAAAAAAGAAAAAGAAAAACTCGCTGCAAAGTATGTGGGAGGAGAAGGTCTCCAGGATGAGTTTACTCAGACCATGATTGACGGTTTGATGAAACAACGTAAACGAAAGGTTCAAGATTTGGAAGATATAAACAAGGGAATCCCTATGGAAGAAACCATGAGGTGGAGAGACGAGCAGCGAATGGAAAATTTACGTGAAAGGGTGATGAAGCAATTGGTAGACAAAGGTGTGGAGTTGGATGCAATTACAACGGAAATGATCGTGAACAAGTGAACATACTCCAACAGAAACAGGAAGATTTTGAATCACAACAGGACCCAGGACAAGTAATGGTCTTTGCCGATGTCGAATGCTTACTAGATAGCACCAACACGTTTGTCCCTATTTTGATCTGTTACGCGAGAGACGACGATGACATTATTTTTCATCATTGGGGTACAAACTGTATCCAAACCTTTCTTCCAGCGATGATGGATTGGTCCAATCAAGATAACAAGGAAGAAGAAACCAAAGGGCTACACATTTTCTTTCATAATTTGAAAGGCTTTGATGGTAGTTTTATGATTGACGCCCTTTACAAGATGAACTTGAAAGTGACCGATATCATGGCGACAGGGACCAAAGCCTTGCATTTCAAACACAGGAACCTCAAGTTTAAAGACTCCCTCTCCTTCCTGAATACGCCGCTGACCAATTTCACAAAGACCTTTGGATTGACGGAGTTGAAAAAAGGCTGGTTTCCTCACAAGTTTTCAAAGCCGGAGAATTTAGAGTACGAAGGAACAATTCCAGACCTCCGTTATTACGATACCAAAGATATGAAGGTAGAGAAGAAAGAAGAATGTGAAACTTGGCATGCAAAGGAAGTCTTGAAAGGTGCGGTTTGGAACTTTCGACAGGAATTACTATGTTATTGCAAAAGTGATGTAAAGCTCATGAAGGAAGGTTGTCGCAAATTCGCAGAAGACACCAAGCGTGATGCAGGGTTCAACCCTCTTTTACAGTGTATCACTATTGCCTCCACGTGTCACCACTTTTAGCGCAACTTTCAAATGGAACCCAAAACCATTGCAGTGGAACCTCTACATTGTTGGGGAGGCCTGAAAACGAGTCAGAGTAAGATTGCTTTTCAGTGGTTTTATTACCAAGACAAACAGCTAGGAGGAAACCGCATCAAACACGCACGGAACGGAGGTGAACAAGTGATCAGAGTAAAGAATGGAAAAGTCAAGGTGGATGGGTATGATTCAATGACGAAAACAGTGTACGAGTTCCACGGCTGTAAATTTCATGGATAAGCCGAACAACCGTCATAACAAGGCATTTCACCACCCAGACCGCACCGTGGAGGAGATTACCAAGCCACGCAACGAAAAACAGACTTGTTACAAGCAGCAGGTTAGACATTGATGGAGACGCAGGAGTGTCAATTTAGAAAAGAATTAAACGACAACAAAGACCTGAAAGAATTGGTAAAGTCTATGACCTGAGTTTCTCCACTAGATCCACGAGACGCGTTTTATGGAGGTCGAACAGATATGGCAAAATGCTATCACAAAGCAGAAGAAAGTGAGCAGATTATATATGAAGATTTCACGAGTTTGTACCCAACAATCAACAAGTATGGAACGTATCCCGTAGGCCATCCAACTATTGCAGTCAACCCTGGGAGTAAAAATATCAACGATTACTTTGGTCCAGCTAAAGTGAATGTCGTTGTCCCGGAAAAGTTGTTGCACCCAGTCGTTCCAGTGAAACTTAACGGAAAGCTGATGTTTCCATTGTGTAAGAAGTGTGTGAAGGACCAATCGGATCGTCCTGGTTTGAACGAACTAATATGTCAAAAGGTTGAGTTTGATCGTCCGGGTGAACGTAGTCCTGAATAGGACTGTTGTTGTTGACAGTGACTGACGTTTCGACAACCTGTGCGATAGTCATCTTCAGAGTCAAAGTGAGATGTATCACGTCAGTTGATGGTATTATACTCTGGTTATTGATCTGATTGGTCAATTACGTCGCAATGTTATTGGTCATCTGTCCGACCTCTCACAAGGCTACTACTATCCGGACTCTGACGAGACGAGCGCAACTAGTTTGCGACTCACCTGACAGCCTACAAGACGAGACTGATTATCTTAACAACGTTTTTAGTAAGAACAATTACAACACGGACTTTGTTAGACGGAACACTCACAGTAACACCGACTCCAACTCTCAGACCAACTCTCGCCCTGTTACGACAGCGACTATACCGTACATCAGAGGCACCTCTGAAACTATTGCACGTATATTACAACCTTACAATATACGTGTTGCGCACAAACCGATTACCACTTTACGGCGACTGCTTACTAATGTCAAGGACAAATACAAACCGGAGGACAGACAAAGAGCAGTATACAAGATCAAATGCTGCGACTGCCAGGCTTCTTGCATTGGTGAAACCGGCAGAAACCTAAGCACGCGACTGACCGAACACAAACGCGCGACGAGGAATGGTGACGTCAACAATCACATTGCTGAGCACAATTTAAAGACGAAACATCAAATTGACTGGGACTCTGCGACATGTTTAACGTATTCTACAGACTACTATCAACGTCTTACTTTAGAAAGCTGGTTAACTAACTTAGAACAAACGCCACTGAATCGTAGCCAACAGTTACCAGCGCCGTGCAAACGACTTATTGACGAGATCCAGCAAAACTAACTACGAGAGAACAACTGGAGAACTGACAACTTGACTAACAATAGACAACTGTTTAACTGTGACAATAGACGGATCGAAACGCACCAATCACTGATTACGAGTCTTCATAGCCAATAACATCACGGCTTAACTGACACACGACCAATAACATTGCAACATAATTGACCAATCAGATCAATAACCAGAGTATAATACCATCAACTGACGTGATACAACTCCCTTTGACTCTGAAGATGACTACCGCACAGGTTGTCGAAAGGTCAGTCACTGTCAACAACAACAGTCCTATTCCTCACTACGTTCACCCGGACGATCAAACTCAACCTTTTGAAATGACTCCTGGGTTCAAACCTTTCACAGAACTAATATGTGTCAACACAGCGAGGAGGAGCGGACGATGACAGGAACATGGTGTACAGTAGAACTACAGAAAGCCGTGGAGAAAGGGTATCAAATAACAAAAATCCGTGAAGTCTGGCATTTTCCTGAAGATCAGCGGAAGGAGGGGTTATTTACCCCTTATGTCAACATATGGTTAAAGTACAAGACAGAAGCGAGCGGATGGCCCAACCATTGTGATACACAGGAAAAGAAAGACCAGTATGTCAAAGATTTCGAAGCACGAGAGGGAATCAAGTTGGAAAACCTAGAAAAGAACCCAGAAAGAAAACAAGTCACAAAGCTTATGCTCAACAGGTGAGTCTAGGAATATTTACTACTATGTAGACGTTAATGGAAACCAACGAAAAAACTCATAGTTCTCTTTCCTTTTATATCTTTCTAGCTTTTGGGGGAAATTTGGTGAAAACGAACATCGACCTCAAACCATAGAGATCCAAGACGCGGACACTTGGTTTCGTGTGTTTAATGATGACACAATTATTGTGAGAGAACCCGCATTTTCGATGAGGACGTGATGTAAGTGAGCGTGATGAAAAAAGAAGATGCATGTGAAGGCAGAGGGAAAACAAATATTTTCATAGCTAGTTTCACAACAGCTTTGGCTCGCTTGAATTTGTATGAAGAATTAGACAAGTTGGGCGAACAAGTATTGTATTATGATACCGACTCGATCATCTACAGCTGGAAAGAAGGTCAACCATTTGTACCTACAGGCATTTACCTAGGCGAGATGACAGATGAATTGGAAGGGGATACGATTAAACTCTTTGGATCAGCTGGTCCTAAATCATATAGCTATCAAACTGTAGGTGGAAAATCAGAATATAAGAATAAAGGTACCAAGAGGTCTTATCAAATCAATCAGGTATTGAACTGTGATTCCATGTTAAACCACATCAAGCAAGAATTACACAATCAATTGAGGACAAGAAGAGTTATGGATATTGAAAATTATTGAAAATTAAGATAGGCTTACTACAATAAACATTTTTGGATTGGAATACTTGTGTGTGTTTGATAGTGTGACAACCTAACCCCTACACAGGCCTAGCAATCTAGAGCTGAGAAAAGGCCTACCAGCATGGGATAAAAGACTCAAACTCGAAACAGTCATACCAAACCATAGCGCTTTGCCACTAACACAAGGGGAAGTAGCTGGAGGGGGTCTGGACACAAGTTCGAACAGATCTGCTGACACAGCTTATTTCAAGAATAAAGTGTGTGTGACGATTTAGTGATGTGATCAAATCAGTCACGATGCAAACAACATTATTCATGCCAAAAATGGAAGACTTCACTTGCATTCAAAGATCAATTAATCCTTGTATTTCAAACCGATAACATTACTGGGTCCAGTTTTTAATTTGATCGCGGAAAAGCGTTTTAAACAATGAGACAACAAATCTTCTCAGTATAAACTTATCCATAAGCGTTAAGTTTTATCGCGTCCGAATGTTTCTCGGTCAACAGCATTAAACGCTTGGTGAAAATTAAGCTTACCAGGTCGTTCAACTCAGTAGGAGAGTACGGCGTTAATACTGCAAAGACGTTCTGATTTGGTGAATTTGGACTGCCTTCTCAGATAAATTTTGCTTAGATATTAGTGCGCTTCTTGTCGGGCTATGCGAATCTTGCAAAACTGTTTTGTTCCTTGCTGACGACAGTCCTTGCAGCAACGTCATCTGCTTCATCCGAAGGTACCCCGAGCGCGCATAGATACAAGGCGAAATCGGCCGAATTTCCTCCGAAGTGTTTTCGGATCACGATGAATCTATTTTGTTGTAGCGTAGCAGTTGTGGTGTCAAGATGTCGTCATGTCTCTTCGCACTTGTTTGTCTTTTTTTTTGCGGTGCCTTGTTGAGATCATGGATAATGGAAATGTTGAGATGTTGGTGAATGCTGGACAAGAACTGGATTCTGCGTGAGACTGTAAGCACAAATTTAGTATCAATTTAATAATGAGAAAGCCTGAATATCGAACAAATGCCGTGAATTATCCTTTCGGTATTCAGTATATTTCACTGTTGAACATACTTAGAACTCTCAGGCATAAGTGGTTGTCGACTCGTTTACTTCGGATACATTCTCTCTTTCTGTTTGTCCGTCTTCTAGTCTTCTTCTGCTGTTAAGAAGAGTACAGAAAACTTCAAAAATATAAAAACCAACGCTAAAAAAGTCAGATCTAATTTTATTACTCAGTATAATTGTTTTTGGCACCTTCGGTCATATTTTTTTGTACTGGATCCTACTTTGCGAACTAGAGATGATCTCAATTTTGCTGCATAGTTTGACTGTTGTTTGAGAGACAATCATACTTATATTACAATCACTTTTGGGGACAAAATAAATAATCAAATGCCAAATCAGATTTAGACATGCTGCAGATGTCAATGCAAAGTTGTAAACAACTCAATATAAAGCTTTAAAAGCAGCCTGTTTAGGTATAGAAAACTAATTTTTCTTTTTGACGTCTCATCCAAGTAACTTACATTACTTGTCTACGAGTGTGCCACAAAATGCTTTACTACAGCAAGCCTCTGAGAGGCGATTCGGATAAATTCATAGGACGCTAAAATGCAAAAAAATCTAAGCTTTACTTAAGCGTAAAGAAGAATTGCTTGCAAACAACCTGGCTGGTCCGATTTTTGAATCACAAAATGTTCCCGTTTGCCGGCTATACTTTTAATGAACATAGTTTTTGAAATGATTTTGTACTATTTTAACCCAAAAATTATGATTTGGTTATAAAGCTTGTAAAGCCGATCAAAACTAAGGTGATAAACATAATCAATGTAAAAAAATATGATTTTAAGGCCGACCCAAATTATTTAGACCGGCTAAATTGATTCAGACGCTGAACTAAGTTCAGAAGGGGAGGGGGGGGGGGAAAATGCTCATTTCGGTCAAACTTCTTACAAAATACTTCGGTACTTGAAAAGTTCGGCGTCTGAATCAAAGCCGTTCCAAAGTCGCTCCAAAGGCGAAATTCCCGGCCGGGCTAGGCGAAAAAAACGGCTCAGTCGTTCCAAAGTGAAACAGGCGTTCCTAAGTGATTCAGACGACGAACTTTTCATGCATTTAATTCAATGTATTAGGTTCGGCTCATGAAAAATTCGGCGTCTGAACCGGCCCCAAGCTTATTTTATAAACTTCTCATTTGATAGGTTCCCTTTTTTTATACATCGATTGAGAAACAAAATCGCTCTCGTTAAATCCTGTTTTAAAGATTATGGCCTATTTCATAATTTGTTTTAAAACTCTAGGTAACATGTGAAATGATGAAACAGGACAGCCTTTAACCTAATTTATTTTTTGGGTCTGCACCTTAGCTGCAAAAGTATGAAACGTTGTTCAAGTGTCAGTCAAGCTCGGAATAATCTTGACTTGCAAAACCAGATGCAAAGGATTATTTCGCAATAGAAAAGCGTGTAAACATCATCGAACAACGCTACGTGAATTGGCTAATGTGAAACTACGTTTCTGTCACTTAATTTACCATTCATTTATCTCAATTGCACACTCTTGTGAAATTAACCTCAGACAATTAGTTGCGACCTTTAACAGACTCCCAGTATGAAAATATAACCCCATTTACACGCGCTAAAAAAAATCGACACGGCACGCCAAATTTTTGGCACCGTGCTGACGATTTTAAGGCGCAGCACTCCCAATTTTCGACGTGTAAAGGTATCGGTCCCAAATGTAATGTAGCACCAGTGCTCAAAATTTTAGGGGTGCCGAGACTACCTTCCGGAGGTAGTCTCGGCGCGGGTAAACGAGGCACGGTGCCAAAAATTTGGCGTGCCGTGCCGATTTTTTTAGCGCGTGTAAACGGGGTTTATGTTAAGAGAAGCTGAGCTCCACAAGTTTTTTTTTCATATTGCCCTTGCAGGTATTAACATTCCATTTCTTTTTTGTTACAGATAACGTCCACAAATGACAGAGAGGAGATCATTTATTTCCTAGAGAGCAATTCTTTGATACTGTCAGTTACGGACACAAACACTAATGATGACACATATACAATAATCCCTGACAAGAAAGAGGAATTCAGGCACCTTATCAAATGCGAAAGATAAAAACAGCTTTTTTAACGTAGGGACAATTGCGTTAGAGAGCTTTGTAATTGTAACGTTACATTCAGCGCATTGCATTGTAAAACATCATAATGTGGTGAATAATGGACAGTCTGATTTTGGAGCTTAGCTCAGTTTGTAATGAACTTTGTCTGAGATATTCTCATACCTTGAATTTTAGAAAGCTTTCATGGAACATAGATGCATTTTATTACACAACGTCAATCAGTCAATCCAGTTTATTCGCAATGTGAAATGGGAATCCTATTAAAAGTGGGGAGGAGTTTCTACAATCCCCCAACAAGTCATCTGCACGATGACGCTGTTTTATTACTACGACGCAGACTACGATCAGAAACCTTCAGGGTTTTGCTTTCTTGTGCAAATTAGAGCTTTTGTTATTCAAACTTCGCTGAGATTACCAAATTTATACAAATGAAAAGAATAGAATGACGTCATTGTGTAAATGAGCTATAACCTGTACATCAAAAGATAAGCACGGCGATCTGTCTAAGTTTTTATTTAGCCAGGCTTAAATATCTGTAGATTCAAGGAACTAACATGTGCGTTTAGGGCACGCCAGACTCCGATTTTGGCATGCCCGGCATGCCGGAGATTTTGGCACGCGAGGCATGCTGGGTATTAATTTCTTATTAGAACCTAGGCTTCTCGCGGTGCTGGTGGGAAGGTCACGGAACCTCAAAATGTGCTTACAGGGCATGCAAATTTCAGTTGCATGCCAATTTAAATGTAAAAACACTCTGGGGCCACCCCCTCTATTACCATTGAGCAAAACATTGACGATGGGCATGGGAAAAATCCTAGCATGCTAACCAAAATTGAAAACGTAGCAGAAATGTCCTCAGTTGCGGGCTAGCTAGGCTTATATTTAGGCTCCATGGCCTGAAATGACGCAAAATTCATGCCCTAAATGATAAAAGTCCAAAAAAAGTCCCGGAAATTTTAGTTTCTAAGCCGTTCCTTACCAGAGCCATATTTAGTACACTTGGTGACTGTTTTGGGACGCCTTTGTTATGAAGGTTTCTTCTTGTATGTATTCTTAACTACCATTGACAAATGTTTTAAGGATGGAATTGTGGCATAGGCATAGTTACAGAATGAATGCTGTCATTTTTCAGCCATAAATTTCATTTGAAAATGGCTGAAACTAACTACATTCGGAGCTGGCGCCGAGCAAGTGTACGCACACGGGGTGTAAAGTTCCAATCGACAGACTAGTTTGTGTTGAGAACTGTTTCGCTCAAGTAATATCCTAGATTAACCCTGCTAATATTGTTCGTAAAGTAGTATGTTAATTTCGCTCATCCTTAAATGTTGAAATAAAACTACTATATTACATATCCAGTGAATACAATCGCCTCACGTCGCTCCTCGCAGCGTGTATATTCGAAGGCACTGAAGAGACTCGAATAAATTTTGTACTTTTCCCTTACGTAAACTATAAATAATTGTTGCATCAAGGGGAAAACACCTACTGACATTTTTTGTCCTCCGTTTAGGCTACTAAGTGTTGTTGGTATTTTTTAAACGGTGTTTTAGATTTCATTTTGTTTTTCTTTATTGTAGGATTTGCTGAACACACATAGTCAATGAAGACAGTAAAATTGTACTCAAGTACTCTTCTAAGAGGGCCCAAATCAATCAATCTTTCTGTATTAAACAGCAACAAAGTTGCTTTTGTCATGCATGAGAGCCAGAAGGTGGCATCTAATTAAATTATTTATGATCAGAAACTTTATTTATCACTTCTGAAGTGTATTTATTACTTCTTTGTGAGTAGGACAAATTAACTGTGTTTGAGGGTCAATGCTTGTATTAGCTACAGAGTCATGTGTTTAAGTTGGTTAGTGTTCTTCCCTGAAACGGTCTATATCTGAATCACATTGTTTTTCAAACCAAAGATGGACTTGATTAGCACTATTATTGTATTTGGTTTTTTAGAGATCCAAAGCAACAATGTACCTGTAGATAATAAACCTTACCAAGGTATATTCTAAATCAAATTAATAAAACATATACCTGTACTAGTTTGGGGTATATTTTGTTTTCAACAACATGATAATGTGACCATACAGTCATATTTTTTCAATCCCTCATCCACTTACCTCAGACTAAACAAAAACCTGATAACCCCTGATGTTACTGTTTTTTTTTTATATATATAAGACGCTTCTATTTTTCTTTGGGAACAGTGTTTATGTTTATTTCAGAGGTGATTTACAATATTCCCTATCCATATCATTAACACTACACAAAAACTTAAACTTTGTTTCATCCTAAAAAAGGTCAGTATTTCAAAGATAATATATTTCTAGGTTTTATTAAGCCTTATGGAAGAAAGGTGTTTCCTAATGAAAAATAACTGAGTGAAGGTTCTACTATTAACCAGGAGAGTTTGCTTCCCAGTTGTATTCTAGTAGTTAACAATTAACCATTTTACATAACACTTTTAAAGCGTTGCAGTTCGCGTTTTCAAAGACCTGACTGAAAAGTACCTTGGGTCATTGTACATTTATACCTGAAAATAACAAAACAACTAGCAAAATAGATTTGAAAAAGTTTAGAAACGGCGTTTCCACGGTGGTCCGCAAGCAAATTTCCTCTCTCCGCTGTGAGCTTTTTCCCGGTTTTTTACATTTCTCAAAACGACTTCTTGTCACTGGTTGTCCGTAAATAAAATTGAAGGGAAAATTAAAGGCTTGTTTGAGCTGGATACTTTTACCGCTAATAAAATCAGTTTGTCAAGGGTTGTTAACTTATAAAATTTGACACTCGCTGAGCTTGTCGATAAAAGTAGAAAAGAAATCGTCAAAACTGTGATAAAAAGGGTTTAAATTATTTCCGGTTTTCTTGTGGTTTGAAGAAAATTAGGCTGTGCCTTTTTTAAAGTTGTTTTGTAGCTGTATACATGTAAGTTTTCGCATAGTTTTTATGTAGTTAGGCTTCTAAGGAGCCGTTCGGTGCATAAAATTATCGGGCGCTGGAGTCATTCTTCGCTCTCACAAGTTTCATAATCATTTACTCTGTCTTGCCTCTACCGGTTTTGTACCCTCTAACTGTCTTCTACAAGGGAAAGTCCTCTTCATCCTTTACTTCAAAACATGGCCAATATGTATAGCCGAAAACAGAGATAGTGAAATATGCAAGGAAACATAAGACGCGCAAAACGTCGAATGTAAGAGGTTGAATGGCTCTCGATAATGTGACGTCACATTTTTCCACTGTGTTGAAACCGATCGCGTGAGCCAGTTTCCTATCCAGTCTTTCTATTATCCATGATCTTATCCACTTCTTTCTCTGTTCAATGGGGGTAACTACTTTGAAAAACCTGGTATTGCCGACCGAAAAAAATCCACACGATGTTGATCGGTAAGTGAAGTACAAAAAAACACTCATTTTCATATAACATAACTCTCAAAAATGTTTCATACTGGTCGTTTTTGAAGTCCTTGTTCAACAAGCCATTCTTTTAACAAAAGCATCCTTTGACCCACATTGTCAGACACCCCACTCCCCAGGCACAAGTGATGGTCAAATGCCTCGGGTTTTCCCGGGGGGTATGTTGAAGTTTCGAATTGTGGACATAAGTTTTTTTACGGGTCCTATATCTGATCTTTGATATACCAAAGCATTTAGTGTCAACCGCCAAATCATATTTTTCATATTATTCTTATTTAATTATAGAGTAACGTTTTTGAATCTAATAGATGTTTGATCCTGTTAATTTGAACAATGTAAACACAGCTAGAGACTAGCTTTGATCCGTGTTCGGTATAGCAAACAGTCTGATCGACGTAAACACCCAGGTCTTTGGCTACAGGTACAGGCTCTATCTCCTTACAAGGAATAGAGACAGACAAACATGGCAAATTACGCAAGAGTTGAGGAGCACCGATGACCAAAGGTTTTGTATTTGCAGGATTAATGAAAGGGAATTCAAGCACTACCACCTGCAGGATATTTCTAACAGGTCTTGATTTAATGCGACACATGCATCGGTAATATCATGAGGGGGAGGAGACAAGAAAACTTTTGTGTCATCTACACAGCCTGATGATTTGCAATGGATGGGAACAGACAATAGATCGCTAGCATAAACTGTAAACAGTACTGGACCTAGTATAGATCCTTGAAATACTCCAAAATTCACAGGTAGTATGTCGGAGGTAGCATCCTCGATCCTCACGAATTGATTGCGTTGGGTAAAACAGCTTTCAAGCCAAGTCAGAACAGACGTGAAGACACCAGTGTTGTGGAGTTTCATAAGTAAGGCCCTCATGCTGAATGCTGTCACAAGTCTTCGACATGTCTAACAACACGATCAACGAGATTTTGTTCTCGTCCATATTCTTTAAAATGTCCTCGGAAGTGATATAGGAAGGCTGTCTTTAAGAACTCTAGAAGTTATTTTATCCATACCAGGGGCTTTATTCGAAGGTAGACCTTTAACAATCTTTTGTACTTGAGATTCAGTTACCGGACAAAAGGAAAACAGCTCTTGTGGGTCGCTTTTATGGACATTATTTGCCCGGCCGCAAGACAAGTGTCGACTACTTGTAGAGAAGCCATGTTCTTTGGCAAGCTGCATCGCCTTATTTGCCGTGATTTTACCAACTGATAAGTAAAACGTGTTAAACCTATTTGATAAAATCAATGGGTTCTCTGTTTTCAAAGGCACTCCTTTCCTTGGAAGACAACGATTAATTATTTCCCAAACTGCATTCGAGTTTTCTTTGCTATTGTGGAGCTCTGTTCGAACGTGCTACGTGACGAATAATAAAACATGGGCACGTTTAACGTAAATGAGCTATTTGGAATGCTTCAGAGTAACTGTACCAAGAATTATGGATCTACCTTTTCTATCCGAAATATAGGCTGTTTTTTTTGTTGTTGCGAAATTGGGTCTTGCTGTTCGTCAATGAAAACGCGAAAAGCTCAAATGAGTCGATCCTCATGTTATATTTCCTTGATACATCTGGTGCAAGTTAAACAAATTGTTAAACTACAATAAATATCAACTCACCAAACGTTGAAAAGGAAACCTCGAAGGTTTCTTCGGTTTTCCTTAAGAAAATGCAGCTCATCGAACGCTGAATAGTTTCGAAATATCAGGATTTTTATCATTGTGGTAGATGGTTGCATCATCATAATTTTTTTCATGTGCGTTTCTATTCAATAGAGAGATTAAGATTTGTACCACGTGACCAAGTTTTCCCCTTATTTTCCGTTTACTCTTTATTGCCTCTACACAAAAATATGTCGTTTTATGCTAGTTTTAACCATAGGAATCGTTCGGGACTGTTTTCATCTGCTTATTTTCTATTCTGAGAAATTCTCAACTTGTGTCTGACGTTGCGGTAAACGTGAATCTTAATCTCTCTAATGAAACTCTTTAACTCTGACGACTTAATTCTACATATTTTAAAAGCTATTGCTTCTTAAAAGACAAGAGCCTTTACTTAAGGCATTGGTTACAAAACGAAACGGGTCTTCATGCGCTCAAGCTACTAATATTGCTTTGAAAAGCCAATCTGCATGCGATGTACAGTCACACAGCTGGCATCATTCAATGTTAAGATTTGTACCTTAACATCATTACTTTACTTCAACAGAATTGTCAAATTGCCGAAATACTGATTTCTACTCATCTCAAATTATTCCACTCAATGAAACAATCGCTAATTATTTCGTGCCCTGGCTACTTCCAAGTTTATTTGCCAGCGCAAAAGTTACGCATCTTAACTTAGTCACTGGGTAAATTAAATACTTTTTAATTACTTTTATGACAGCAAACATGTATGAGATATGGTTTCACTTAAGGTATTAGAACGGCTATAAAGTCAAAATATGTCGCTTATTTCAAATGTACTCTTAACCTGAACTCAAATTCTAAAAATGAAGCATTTTCGTTGAATAGAACCCGTGAAAACGAAGGGCAAAGTTGGTACCTAAGAGCGCTATTTTGGAAATATTAATAATCACAGGGCTGAAATCCGACGCGATACTTTCCGTTGTTGACAGAAATGTTGCAATTTTCACAACCCAACACGAGATAACGCGTTATGAGTAAGCCAGGGCAAATTATAGCAAAATTTCGCTTACATTCTGCTTCCCCAAATAAAGTATGATTGTTTTGATATTTGTAAATCATTTCTCTGGCTGTAAAAAGCCTTCTAGAGACATGTTAGATATACGATTCTTGAAAGGTCGATGTCAAATAAGGCCGCAGTTAAATGACCTATTACGCAAATTAGCACGTTGCCAAGGCTAAACCATTGTTTACGACGCCATATTGAGAGCACGTCACGTAACGAGTTCAAACGAAAATTGTTCGCGTTTTCGCGCCACTTTCCCTGCTACAATCGGGTCAGTGTCTCAACAAACAACATAGGCACGTTAAACGTGCGTGAGCTATTTTGAATGCTTCATTGTAACTTAAATGCTTCAGTGTAACCTTACCAAGAGTGATGAATCTACCTTTTTCGTCCTAAATGTAGACTGGATTTTTGTGCGACATTGGGTATTGCCGTATATAAATGAAAACGCGAAACGCTCAGATGCGTCGATCCTCATGCTATATATTCACTTTCCCCTGCCTTTCCCTGTTACATTTGGTGCAAGTTAAACAGATTATTAAAGTAAAATAAATATCTACTCACCAAACGTTGATTAGAAGGAAAACTCTAAGGTTTCCTCGGAGTTTCTTAAGCCAAAATGTGACTCATCGAATTCCAGTAATTAAGAAATACCAGGATTCTTATCATTGTGGTAGATGGTTGCATCATCACAATTCACGCGGTTTTCACGTGCGATTCTACTCAGTGAAACAGTCCTTGACTCCAGCAACTTATTTCTTTATCTTTTAAAAGCTATTGCTTCTTAAAAGACAAGAGCCTTTTTTAAGGCATTGGTTACAAAACGAAACAGGTCTTCATACGTTGAAGTTACTATTATTATTGTGAAAAGCCAATCTGCATGAGATGTACAATCACACAACTGGCACGTGAAAGTGTTGGACTTTGCCCCCTTTCGTTGTTCGTACGTGAGGGAATTCGAGTTATCACACGGTAAACAGAATTATAAAAATAACTCATGCACACAATTTGCTAAATAAAATACGTTTCAATAACTATAATGCTTATGCAGGAAGGATGTATCATGTTGTTCACTTATTATTATTTTTTAGTTTTGCCAGAACGAAAAAAAAAGGTCTGTTGAACTTTGTAAGCGAGAGAATAATATTTTTAAAGCTTGTTTACAGAATTAACAATACTCGGTACAGCTTTAAGAAAAATAAGCTGCCTTTCAAACTTGTAAAACCACATTTTATAGGCCGCATACTTTCAAATTTAAGTCCATATCTAAATATCAATTATTGCTTCACTGGAAGAGCTGTGAAAATATATGATCTTTTATACTCTACCTTGAAGCGGGTGAAACACAACTCATAACTACGTACGTTGTACCGTTCGCGATAGCCGAATCGGTCACAAATGTCTTGAAGCAGCATCCATACTAAAATATGAACCCTGAAACAGCTGCATCACTGTTTACAGCGTTTGAATCATGAAGATATTTTATGTAATGCTTCCAAACACCTGTACCCGTGATAAAAGACGAAAAAATTGTGAAGGATCAAGATGGCGGTCTCAAAGTGCCCTTGTTCGACCTTTACCAATGCCATGTTTAAATAGATGCCAAGGTCTCATTGGTTCCTAAGCATCAACTCATAGTACCTTCAACCTTATTGGCTCTTGCAACAAACATCCCAACATACAAAGCCACAAAGATACAAAGCCACAAAGATACATACGCTCAAACCACTGACATATGAGCTATTTTTTTCAAAATAGCTCAATAAAGAACAGCGGTTTACTCGTAAGAATTCAAGATGGCGATGAAGAAAACAGCGCAGCGCGACGAAAATTAAGGGCGAATTAAGGGCAATTTTGCGGCTGCGTTGTATCGCACTGAAAAAAAATTGATGTAAAAAGATGAAGATTTATAATACTGTGCTGAAACTTGCCAGTAGAGAGAACCTGGGAACGAGGTCGCTTGCCAGGTTTATTCACATAATGTTAAGGGAAAATGTATTAAATTCCCGGCAAAAAGGGAATATTTTAGAATTTTTGGCGGCGGCCTAAAGTTACAGGGCATTACAAAAAAAAAATTCCACCTCTATATCCCAGGAAAATTACTGGTTACTGCCGAGAATTTAAAGGTCAATGAACAATCTAAGCATAAGTCAGTTCCAATTTTTCTATTCATAGCTATCAAGAGAAAGCCAGAAATATGCAATTCTTGAATTTTTGAGCCTGCGATATAAATCGGAAAACACACCTTAGGTGTGAAAATTGACACCTCGGATATCAATTTTCTGAAAGCTCAGCTTTCGCTTGATAGACCTGTGTAACTTTTTTTTTGCAAAATTCTTTATTATTTGAGAAATAAATTTTTCAAATAGAATGGTTTATAGCAGATCTAATATGTCATGTTTTAGATGCAAAAATCTCACTGTTGCCTAGCATCAACTCATAGTACTTTTAACCTTACTGGCCCCTGCAACACATCCGAACAGACAAAGCCATAAAGATACGTACGCTTAGACCACTGACATATGAGCTACTTTTTCAAAATACCTAAAAATGTCTCTGTGGTCTCTGGGAGGCCGGTCACGCTAAATTATTGACTGCAAGCCATACTGTTTTAAGTATATCGATCCAGGTGAACGGCTAAGAATGTAAAAAAGAGCTCCGCTTTTAGGCTTGGCTAAATCTAAATATTATATACACATACTGTTGTCCTCTCATCTGCAACATTACAAATTACATTACCTATATCAGTAATTATTGATCTAGAGTTTGTTTTTCAGTACTTTACAAAACAGAATTTGGGATTTCAAATCCTAGGCATGAGAACATCGCAGAAAGTTACCTGTTGGCAGGTCTGTTATCAGCATCAGTAACCGTGGCAACAGCCACAGCAGAAGCTGACGGACCAGCACCAGCACCTACTGCTCCTGAACCACCACTACTGCCTCGTGCCCATGCTCCATAACCTCTTCCACCTGGTCCCACAGAGATGTTTTCAGAATCCACAGGGCGCTGAAAGACAACGCAGGTCAATTTCTTAGTAGGCACTTCAGACTATATGCCAGGGACCCATTCAAATGTAAGACAAATTTAACTGAAGAATGAGTGGAAAAAGGTATTCAACTTTAAAGTTGTCAATGAAATTTTCTCAGTTGTGTTAATTACCCACCACAGCAAATCCGTTTTGAAACTTTATTTTTTATTTTATTTCACAGCCAACTGTCCCATAATATGTAAACTATTATAAGGTGTTTTATGCACCTTAATGTTTTGAAACTTTTTAGGGTCCACACTGACATTTATATTTCTTGGTCCTCTGCCCATTGTCGTCCAGGTTTCATCAGCCTGAGGGATAGAAGGTCGTAGGCTGTAGCGTCCACCTATGTTCCCTGAAGACCAAAAGCGCAAGTAAGCAATGATCTGGATACTCATCACATTTTGTATGTAAATGTTACACAAAACAATAGCACATGAACAACAGCAATTGAAAAGCTTTGTGGATAACTGTAGCTGACTCTTAACGTGATAGCAAATTTCCATGTTATTTCACAAGCAGAAATATCAAGGAAATTAAAAGGTTAAAAGCGAGCGAGCGGCGAAGCCACGAAGCCCCTCGCTCGCGCGCTCTTGCAGGGTAACAAATCAGTTAACTTAAGGGCACATATGTGACTTTTTTCGGGAAATCTAAGGCTAAGCGATTTTAGAGTGAAAAATATCTTACATCGAGTTGATAGCCGTATTTATTATATAGACACGAGTGTTTTACTGGAAAATATACCACTCGTAAAATTCATAAAAACTACATCCGAGACTCGCTTTGCTCGCCCGAAGAGGAGAGCTTGCTCGCAGGCTACTGATTTGTGGATTACAAGTTTATTGTTTGATATAAATTATAAATGTATTAAAGAGAGCTTCGCTTTTAACCCTGGCTAAATCTATAGATATATTAAATAGAACATTACATGGCCACTTAGAGAAACGAAATTTCTCCTCCCGTGTTGAAAAAATATTTCACTCGTTCCGTACGCTCACCCGTGAAATATTTTTCAACATTCGAAGAGAAATTTCGTATCTCCGCGCGGCCAAGTAATATCCTCTCTGTATTTGTGCTCATATGATGGCAGGACGGGGCTTCTTGTACAGATAAAAACCCGCATCCAGCAAGGTGAAAGACGACAACCATGTCATCCGAAATCGGATTTCGAACTTTGACAACATTTCTCAACCCAAAATTGAATAAACAAACCAGCCATGAATAACAGAAGGCTGTTGATAGCAGTTGTATTTCATTTTATGCATTCAGTGGAAAAAGACAGTAAAAAACATCACAAGTTGACAAAAACCTCTGTCAGCTTCAGCTGTCAAAGTAAACAAGTTTCAAGATGCTGCATAAATTTTCTGCATGGAACTCACTTGTCAAATTTTGACCACTCAGAGCATAAAAATTGGACGGTCGTAGAGCGTGATCAACGCGTGACTATGATGAGAAAAGTGAAAAGCCTCTGTCTTCCCTGCTTGTATTTTTAAGTGACTGGCTGAATTTTCGCGTCCGAAATCAAAATGTTAATAGTGCGGGGCCATAGTCACATTAACACATCACTTTCTAAAGTAGGTTGAGTTTGATCGTCGGGGTGAACGTAGTCCTGAATAGGACTGTTGTTATTGACAGTGACTGACGTTTCGACAACCTTTGCGGTAGTCATCTTCAGAGTCAAAGACAACACTTTCTGTCATCATGTCATTATTTTGCTGCCGTTCTCTTTGCCTTTGTATTCCTCTTTCGCGTTGCCTTTGTCTATTCATTCTAGCTCTGTCTTGTTCTGCTTGCCGGCGTTCTTCACTAGAATTTTCTCTGCTTCTTCTAGCCCTGACTCTTTCTACTAGCCGACTTTCTTCGCTAAAATTTTGTCTTCTTCTTCTACTTCTAACGCGCTCTCTTTGGCGATCGTCTTCGCTTGCGTGTTGACTCTTGCTCTCTGCCGTTCACCCTCTCTTTGCTCTCTGCTTAAAACCTGTCGTCTACACGCTAAAATCTCTTTGTTGTTGTTTGTTGACATAATAGCTTTCGTAAGTTGAAATAAAAAGTTATAAAGGCTCTGTCGAAAAATTTTTTTGTTAAGTTCCTTTGAAATTTCTTTTTCAAAACCAGTTGCGCGACATAATTGCGCGAAGTTGCGCCACGCGATTTCCCGCCAAAAAATCTCTACTTTCCCCTACTCCAAAAGTCCATGCGGACTACTTTCCACTACCCGGAAAGTCCGTACGGACGGACGTACGCTGACGTCATAACCAAAATTTCTGGGATGGATAGTTTACCAAATTATCTTAGTTATGGTGCTCCGCTCGCGCGCAAGGAGCTCCTCTTTTATATAAACACCAATGAAATACCAAACCATTTCACTTTAATAGTTTTTTGGTGTGAAAGGCGCGATTTAGTCAGTGTAGCCATAGCAAAGGTGATATTTTCACATGTGAAGATATCAAGTTTTCGCGCGAAAGCTCCCCTGGCATTTCATTGGTGTTTATATAATAAAAACAGTTACTTATGCGTCACTTTCATTTTATTTCTATGCATGACAAAAAGAGCGCTTCCCTAGAGAAACCTATGAACAAAGGGGAATATACGTAAAGTGAACAGTTCGCAACTTTTCTCCTATTTTGATTGTGCTTTGACCTTTACGGTCCAAAATGCACTGTGGGAATTCAAGGTGTGACTGGTCGGTAACATGGCCACTCTCCAACATGACGAGAAGTCTCGCAAGGGGCAGAAATTTCAAATTTCAACATCGACATCACTTGCCAAATGGGCCACAAGTAATTTCCATTCAGATCTTAACAGAACTGTAACAAGACCAGATTTGGATCGCTCCTTCTTTAGAGATATGTCCAGAAATGCATGCACTGGCGAAAATGGCAGAATTGGTGAACAATCGCAAAATTGTTAGCAAAATATCAAAGGAGATGGTATAGGGACCCTTTTAAAAGTGGCGATTTTGGTGAGAATTGCGTATTTGGCGAAATGGTACAAATGGCGAACAACCGCCCAATTGTTCACAAAATATCAAATGAGATGGCAAGGGACGCTTCTGAAAGTGGCGATTTTGGCGAAAATGGAGGATTTGGCGAAAATGCGTTTATAACTGCGATGATCTTCTTTCATATAATTCTTCACCCCGCAGTTCTCATATATGATTTTCATATATTCATAACTTCATCATCATCCTTTCACGGGTTCATAACGAAACAATTCATCGACCTGTTCCCAGTTGGTTTATTAGCTCATTTGGTAGAGCGCTGCACCGGTATCTCAGAGGCCAAGGGTTCGAATCCCGTACAAGCCTGATTTTATCAGGCGTTCTTTTCGCAACTGCAAAAGGTGGGTCTATAACTGCGATGATCTTATTTCATATAATTCTTCACCGCGCAGTTCTCATGTATAATTTCCATATATTCATAACTTCAAACGCCAAATTGTTAACAAAATATCAAATGAGATGGCAAAGGTCCCTTTTGAAAATGGCGATTTTGGCGAAAATGGCAGAAATGGCGAACAATTACTTATTCCAAATGGGATGACAAAGGGTCCCTTTTGAAAGTGGTGATTTTGACGAAACTGGCAGCAATGGCGAATAATCGCCGAATTGTTACAAAATGAGATAGCCTATTCACACCCCCCTATTTTTTCGTGAGATCGTTGAGATATAGCGCGTCTTACCGTTAATGACGGCCATCTTGATTTTCAAATGTACCCAGGGGGCGGTAATGGTTCATGATAACCGTCACGAATATAGAGAAGTATTCAGTGATGACTTGGTGTACTATGATAAAGTTGATGTTTGGTGTAGTTGGTGTAGTTACAGTGGTTGGTGTAGCTAGTGTAGTTGGTGTAGTATATGTAGTTGCTGCAGCTGGTGTAGTTAGTGTAGTATATGTAGTATATGTAGTTGCTGTAGTATGTGTCGTTGGTGTAATTGGGGTAGTTGGTGTAGTTGCAGTAGTTGGTGCAGTTGGTGTAGTGTGTGTAGTTGCTGTAGTTGGTGTAGTATGTGTAGTTGGTGCAGTTAGTGTAGTTGCTGTAGTTGGTGCAAATGGTGTAGTATGTGTAGTTGCTGTAGCTGGTGTAGCTTATGTAGTTAGTGTAGTTACTGTAGTTGGTGTAGTAGCTGTAGTTGATGTAGTTACTGTAGTTGGTGTAGTAGGTGTAGTTACTGTGGTTGGTGTAGTTACTGTAGTATGTGTAATGGGCGTAGTTAGGTGTAGTTGGTGCAGTTACTGTAATTGGTGTAGTATGTGCAGTATGTGTAGTTAGTGTAGTTGATGTAGTTGCTGTAGTTGGTGTAGTTAGTGTAGTATGTGTAGTATGTGTAGTAGGTATAGTTACTGTAGTTGGTGTAATTATGTGTAGTTGGTGCAGTTACTGTAGTTGGTGTAGTATATGTAGTATGTGTAGTTACTAAAGTTGGTGTTGTTGCTGTAGTTGCTGCAGTTTGTGTAGTTAGTGTAGTATGTGTAGTTGATGTAGTTAGTGTAGTTGGTGTAGTATGTGTAGTTGCTGAAGTTACTGTAGTTTGTGTAATTACTGTACTTTCTGTAATTGTTGTAGTTAGTGTAGTTGCTGTAGTTAGTGTAGTTGGTGTAGTTACTGTAGTTTGGTGTAGTTGATTTAGTTGCTGCAGCTGCTGTAGTTAGTGTAGTTACTGTAGTTGTTCTTGTTAGTGTAGTTGTCATAGTTGGTGTAGTTGCTGTATTTTGGTGTAGGTTGATGTTTTTTGATGTAGGTTGAGGTATTTTGGTGTAGTTGGCGTAGTTCGGTGTAGTTGCTGTAGTTTTTGTAGTTATACAAGATTTTTTTCTGACAGATAATAACCCAAAATACGTAAATCGTAACTTACCAAATACACCAACTACAGCAACTACACATACTACACTAACTACAGCACCAACACGAACTAAACCAGCTACGGTAACTACACCAACTACACTTACTAAACCAACTACACCAACTACCGTAACTGCTTCAACTACACTTAATTACACAATCATACTACAGTAAGTACACTAACTACACATACTACACCAACTACACCAACTAATTAAACGCAACTACATATACCAAAACAACTACAGCAACTACACCAGGTACACTAACTATACCAACTACAGCAACTACATATACTACACCAACTACAGCAACTACACGACCTAAACCAGCTACGGTAACTACACCAACTACACCAACTGCACCGACTACACTTAACTGCACTAACTACACATACTACAATAAGTACACGAACTACACCTAACTGCAACTACACCAACTACACATACTACAGCAACTACAGCTACTACACCAACTACAGCAACTACACATACTACACCAACCAGAGCAACTACACGAACTAAACCAGCTACGGTAACTACACCAACTACACCAACTGCCGTAACTGCACCAACTACACCAGGAGCCGATTACTTGGAGCCTCCATCTCCCATATAAGCCCTTGGAGTCAACAATTTCCGACGAAAAATTATTTATAGAAATAGCTTTCGCTGAGTCACAGAAGCGCGATTTAAATTGCTGCCAACAATGGCCCTACACAGCCCTACATAGCCCTACATAACCATACATAGCCCTACATAACCATACATAGCCCTACATAGCCATACCCAGCCCTACATAGCCCTACATAACCATACATAGCCATACACAGCCCTAAACAGCCCTACATACCCATGGCTATGTAGGGCTATGTATGGCTATGTAGGGCTATGTATGGTTATGTAGGGCTGTGTAGGGCTATGTAGGGCTATGTATGGCTATGTATGGCTGTGTATGGCTATGTATGGTTATGTATGGCTGTGTATGGCTATGTATGGCTATGTAGGGCTATGTATGGCTGTGTAGGGCTATGTATGGCTATGTATTGCTATGTAGGGCTATGTATGGCTATGTAGGGCTATGTATGGTTATGTAGGGCTATGTAGGGCTGTGTAGGGCTGTGTATGGCTATGTAGGGCTATGTATGGCTATGTAGGGTTATGTATGGCTATGTAGGGCTATGTATGGCTATGTAGGGCTATGTATGGTTATTTAGGGCTGTGTAGGGCTGTGTATGGCTATGTATGGTTATGTATGGCTATGTAGGGCTGTGTAGGGCTGTGTATGGCTATGTAGGGCTATGTATGGCTGTGTATGGCTATGTATGGCTATGTAGGGCTATGTAGCGCTGTGTAGGGCTGTGTATGGCTATGTAGGGCTATGTATGGCTATGTAGGGCTATGTATGGCTATGTAGGGCTATGTATGGTTATGTAGGGCTATGCAGGGCTGTGTAGGGCTGTGTATGGCTATGTAGGGCTATGTATGGCTATGTAGGGCTATGTATGGCTATGTAGGGCTATGTATGGTTATGTAGGGCTATGTAGGGCTGTGTAGGGCTGTGTATGGCTATGTAGGGCTATGTATGGCTATGTAGGGCTATGTATGGCTATGTAGGGCTATGTAGGGCTGTGTAGGGCTGTGTATGGCTATGTAGGGCTATGTATGGCTATGTAGGGCTATGTATGGCTATGTAGGGCTATGTATGGTTATGTAGGGCTATGTAGGGCTGTGTAGGGCTGTGTATGGCTATGTAGGGCTATGTATGGCTATGTAGGGCTATGTAGGGCTATGTATGGTTATGTAGGGCTATGTAGGGCTGTGTAGGGCTGTGTATGGCTATGTAGGGCTATGTAGGGCTATGTATGGCTACGTAGGGCTATGGATGGTTATGTAGGGCTATGTAGGTCTGTGTAGGGCTCTGTATGGCTATGTAGGGCTATGTATGGCTATGTAGGGCTATTTATGGCTATGTAGGGCTATGTATGGTTATGTAGGGCTATGTAGGGCTGTGTAGGGCTGTGTATGGCTATGTAGGGCTATGTATGGCTATGTAGGGCTATGTATGGCTATGTAGGGCTATGTATGGTTATGTAGGGCTATGTAGGGCTGTGTAGGGCTGTGTATGGCTATGTAGGGCTATGTAGGGCTATGTAGGGCTATGTATGGCTATGTAGGGCTATGTATGGTTATGTAGGGCTATGTAGGGCTGTGTAGGGCTATGTAGGGCTGTGTAGGGCTGTGTATGGCTATGTAGGGCTATGTATGGCTATGTAGGGCTATGTATGGCTATGTATGGCTATGTAGTGCTATGTAGGGTTATGTAGGGCTATGTAGGGCTATGTATGGCTATGTAGGGCTATGTATGGCTATGTAGGGCTATGTATGGCTATGTAGGGCTATTTAGGGCTGTGTAGGGCTATGTATGGTTATGTAGGGCTATGTAGGGCTGTGTAGGGCTGTGTATGGCTATGTAGGGCTATGTATGGCTATGTAGGGCTATGTATGGCTATGTATGGCTATGTAGGGCTATGTATGGCTATGTAGGGCTATGTAGGGCTGTGTATGGCTATGTATGGCTATGTTGGGCTATGTAGGGCTATGTATGGCTATGTAGGGCTATGTATGGTTATGTAGGGCTATGTAGGGCTGTGTAGGGCTATGTAGGGCTGTGTAGGGCTGTGTATGGCTATGTAGGGCTATGTATGGCTATGTAGGGCTATGTATGGCTATGTATGGCTATGTAGGGCTATGTATGGTTATGTAGGGCTATGTAGGGCTGTGTAGGGCTGTGTATGGCTATGTAGGGCTATGTATGGCTATGTAGGGCTATGTATGGCTATGTATGGCTATGTAGTGCTATGTATGGTTATGTAGGGCTATGTAGGGCTGTGTAGGGCTGTGTATGGCTGTGTAGGGCTTTGTTGGGCTATGTAGGGCTATGTATGGCTATGTAGTGCTATGTATGGTTATGTAGGGCTGTGTAGGGCTGTGTATGGCTATGTAGGGCTATGTTGGGCTATGTAGGGCTATGTAAAGCTATTGAGAGAAATGTATTCCATATATTAGCTAACGGGGAACCACTATATGATGCTTACACCACGTACCTACCAAATTGTCGCCGATTTGCCGGTTCCACGATGAGCCGTTACAGACCTTAGCGTAAGCGCTCCAATTCCCTTTTAAAAAGTCTTGCTCTCCAAGAAAGAGTTTCACTTTTTAATTCTTTGAAAAGCTCCTTTTAAATAAGGGTGATGGAATACAACATTACGAACAAAATTTAAACACCCGAACAGTGCTACAACAGCAAACACGACCTCGTGCGCTGCAACAAAATATAGCAATATTTTTAAGCCAGATTACATGTTATTTATATTCACTCGAAACCAGCTTTCCTCGGTTGTAAAGGAAGGAACGGAGGCAGGAGCTACTGTGATGGAACAAGGAGTAACCTTGTTGGCCAACTTCCCTCTTTCGTCGCCATTTTTTTTTCACTACAGAAATATGCGAACGTCCTCGAAAACACATTAATTTCGCGGGAAAGCCTATTCTAAAAATAATTCTTTACGGGAATGGGTTGACTCAAGGGTACATCACATATGGAGGCTCCAAGTAATCGGCTCCTGCTACACTTAAAGGGACTGTGTCACGAATGTGCGCATGTGTGAGCTGTGACAGTAGCTGATTGTCTTTGAACCAATCGGAAGCGAGTAAGCTGCACGCGAGGAAATTTACATAATTTAAGATACATTGTTCGCGAGGTGGGAGTCTTCCGGACGTTTATGTTCGATTTTATATATATCCCCATAATTCATATTTATTCTCTGGTATTCCTCAGATAAATGTTGCAGATGATAAGAATAAGATTAACAACCCTGTCCTGCTACTTACCTACGTGTATTTTTACGTACCCACGCTAGAAAATCAGTCTCCGATCCGCAAACAAAAATAATTTGTAAACAAACCCTACTGATCTCTCTGTTTACCCTATATAAACTTAGAAATACCTGCAAATACCTCCTGATCGGTGATCAAAACACACAGTATAGGATGAAGCAAACGTTTTGCTTAAAATGCCAGCTAAATGCGCGCTATAATAAAATAAGCCATGCCATGCGGTCGGCTGGCTCAGTCGATTGATACCGGCTGAAAATCGTAGCATTGTTTGAAAGCAATTCTTAGCGCTTCATCATGAAACGCTTTCATTGCAGTAGTATAGCCACATAACGTATAAGTATAAAGATTATTCTAAAAGAACAACGCAAAAAAAGGAATAAACAGGAGCCCATAACTATGGCATAAATTTCAACTGCTTATTAGCAAATAAAAAAATTCCTTCCGAGTCGTTGCGTTGCGTGTTCCGCAAAACAAACGTTATCGATTCAACACATAAAGAAACCAGATGTTAAACGGAACATTCAGGGAACAATTTATTTTTGAAAGATCAATTCTTAAACGTCTACACTCATACAGAAAAGATACAAGGAACATTCCCAGTGAACTACATCAGTAAAGATCGCGCGGCCTGTTGTCAGTACTTTCTACTGTACAACTACGGATCGGAGTCACAAATCGAATGCCTGTTAAAACGTTGCATGTTCGATGGTTTGTCTCCCCAAACCTCACACGACTTCGTGTACAACAAAAGATTGCTGAGTTTTCTCCTTCTGATTCCAGGCACTCGATAGATTAAATTGCTACAGACAATCGGAAGTCATGTCGCAGATCAGCTTCACTCGCCGCTGTGTCCCATTAGTAGTCCACGGCTGCATCGAGGAAACCCTTTTTAACCCCTCTTTACATATTTATCGTTTGAAAAATATCCGTCAAAGGTAGATAGTTGACTGGAGAACCTTGATAGACAGAAATGAAAGCCAGATGACCACATTGAAGGCCACATTTGATCCGTTTGTAGGAACACTGACAACAACGAACTTGGCTTCGTACGGTTCTCCTCAATGACTTCGAATTTTCTCGACAATACTTGCACAAAAGTACAAAATATGGCGTTTAAAACTTCCCAAATGGACCAAATAGCTCTTGAATACTGATATTATGGCTCTCTCGGGCGTCTCAGGGTCGATGGAAGAGGATTTCTTCACCAAACGCCAATCTTGAAAAACTGTTCGCCGGAGAGAAATCAAGTTGCCGCACATGCGCAGAAGCGTGTCACAGTCCCTTTAGCTCCCTTTAACTACACATACTACAGTAAGTACACTAAATACACTTACTACACCAACTACAGCGACTACACTAGCTACTCCAACTACACCAACTACACATACTACAGCAACTACAGCTACTACACCAACTACAGTAACTACAGCAACTACATCAGTACTACACCAACTACAGCAAATACAGCAACTACTCATACTACACCAACTACAGCAACACTAACTACATATACTACACCAACTACATATACTACACCAACTACATATACTACACCAACTACAGCAACTACACTAACTACCCCTAACTACACCAACTACACATACTACGGCAACTACAGCTACTACACCAACTACAGTAACTACATTATACTACACCAACTACAGCAAATACAAGCGCGAGCATGCTTAGCGATTCGATTAGGAAAATGTTTCTCTTGTGCCTGTTTGCCGATTTTATTTGTAGGAATGGCCTAGAAACATTATAAAATCACTGTTTCGAAAGGAGATATTTGTAAACACGCGTAATCGATGCTAAATGTGTCCGGCATGTTTTTCATCGCCAGCGGAGTTTCTTAATTAATGAATGGTAAAAGGCGTGAAATTCCTGTCACGCGTCCTGTACGCGAGCTGCAGTGATGTTATTACAGTCCCTCTATTTTTCTCTCTTCCTCCCAAACCGCCCCCGCCCCCTAAGTAGTTTTGACACTCATACAAGATGCAGCCCGAAACGCAAAGCGCTCGATCTCGACGATCTTACGGAAAAATAGAGGACTGTGAACAGTTTAAAAGTGAGATGGCAAAGGGTCCCATTTGAAAGCGGCGATTTTGGCGAAAATGGCGTATTGGCAAAAACGGTGAACAACTGCCAGTTTGGTAAAAAAAAAATATCAAATGACATAGGAAAGGGTCCCTTTTGAAAGCGACGATTTTGATGGAACTGTTTTAATAATCAGGGGTCAAATTTTGATTGAATTTACTTGAAATCTAATTCAAAATCAGCGGGGCAAAAAAAAAAAAACAAAAAAAAAAAAAACAAAACCGGCAGTGTTGAATAAAACGAAACTAAAATGCAAATATTCTGTTTTCAGTTTCAAGCCCAATCATAAAATCTGCCTCTTTCACTTTTGACCTTTCAATTTGAAAGGAATATCTAGTAGTTAAAAAAGTAATTTTAATTACTGAAGACCTTTTATTCCATTCAATCATTCAGTTACAACAAAAAGTACCAACCTACATAAGTACTGACCAAAACAAAGCTGGAGCCACAAGTGCTCTTAGAAACTTCTATTACTATTGGTCATTTAATTTTGATATTATGGCTAAGGAACATTATTCACTTTGGTTCCTTCACCTATGTTTTCATAAGCTAATTAATGCCGTGTTTAGACTTGAGCGTGCTACCGAGGTATTGGAGTTAACTTACCTAGATAAATATTTTGCGTGTGTAAACGCCAACTGATACCCTGGTAAACACCGCTCAAGACAATAGAAAGTTAACTAAGGTAAAAGTTCGGTTTACCCTGCGAGCAGGCATGGTTAAGGTCGGTAACCAAGGTTTGGATGACAGATACATCCGCTTGCGGTCGCATAGAATTTCACATCCTGTGGTGTCGGGATTGCGTCAGTCTCATTCGATCACGTTTTCGAGACCAGGTTTTCGACCAGGTTTCCACGTTTGGTTTCGGTCTACGGAGAAGTAGCCTCCCCCGCAGGCGTTTTTAGGGGAGATCGTATTTCTTTCCTCCCTCTTTGTGGGGAGGGAAGAAATACGATCTCCCCTAAAAACGCCTGCGGGGGAGGCTAACGAAGAAGTTATGGCAAAAAACAAAGACTCAAATCATTACGAATGCGACCAACCCGAAAGGTAAAGTTAACACCATTGTATAGCTAATTTGTGCACATAAATATTTCTTTCTTGTGGTGATTGTTAATCCTCGCGTTGTTTCGCTAGGGAAGATGCATATTCCACGTTGTCGCCATTTTCCTATGCAAGACAACCAGGGCTACAGCCCTCCCCGTACAATCAACAAATCATGCCACAGCAATACTATGTTCCATCAATAATGTCCTCGATGCAGATGATGGCACCATTCACTCATTCGCCTGCCCATGCGGTTCCGGCTTCGCAGTTTTCGGATCCGCCTACATCGAGCCAAGGAAACGCACAAAACGGAGCGCAATGGAAAAAAAAATCGATGGACTGACGCCGAAGAAAAGATTCTAATTGAACTGTTCCGCGAGAACGAGGATAAACTTCGCTACCGGTCGTTCAATTCCCCGGAGTGGCAGTTTATCGCCAGGCAACTGCAAGAAAGGTGCAGACAAGAGAACGTCGAAAACGAGAAATCTGCCCAGCAGTGCAAAAATAAAATGGCAAACCTCACCAAAAAGTACAAGACCGTGAAAGATAAACTAAGGACCACTGGATATGGAAAGGGAGGAGACGACGAACACGAAGACAAGGAAACCGAGAGTGGAGCTGAGCTCATACCAAGAAATTTTCACGATATGGATGACATTCTAGGCAACCGAGAAGCTGTTAATCCCAAGCACGTGCTGGAAAGCAGCTCACAACACGTCGACAGTTCCCCGGAAATTGATCAAGATTTGCTGGAAAAGGAGACCTTAGATAGGAGATGTGGGCAGCTGCTCGCGCCCAAAAGGAGAGGGATACGCCTGGCACGTCTGGCGCTGATGGCTCTGAAGAAGAGGACGCAGATCTGGCTTTCGCGAAATCACTGTTCTTCAAGAACAAAAGCGGAAAAAGGAAGGGCCCGAGCACGAGCACACCCAATCCAAAGAGTCGCGCGGTAGAATCGGCGAAATCGGCGAAAAAGAATCCTAGAAAGAAGACTAAAGGTGGGGCTGGCGCAGAGGAACAAAGCGCAGTGCTTTCGTTCCTTGAAAGGGCACAAGAAAAGGATGAGGCCTTTATGGAGAGGATGGCCGAGGCAGAAAGGGTAAGCAGACAACAATAGCAAAAATTTTCAATGGATGCATTGGCGATGTTAGGAAATATTCTTAAGGATGTCACCAAAGGCAAAGAATAAATAACTAGAGTCTTTTGTTCATTTTTTCCTTGCATTTCATTCGTTTCTGTTCGTTGACGGTGATCATTATAATCATCATTAAGTGACAATCTGGACGTTTCTATATACGAGGATTTTTTAAGAAAGGATTATAGTTTAATTAAATCAGTTATTTCCCTGCGAGCAGAGTCTCCTTTCATTTTTCAAGAAAACGAGGGAAAGAGCAGCCACAATTTATAAGCACGAATTCAAATAATAATGGAATATTAGCAAAACAAATAAAAAAATTGTTAATTAATTTTAGGGACACTGTTCCTTTCGTGATACGATATACAAAACGAAAGAGAAAACAATTAATTGGGTGAATGATTCAGCCAAAAAAATATTCTCTATTTCTACATTGAAAAGGTAACAGTAACAGTAATGTTGTAATAAATACATATTTACAAAGAAGTGGATATTGAAAAACGCAACAAAGTTTTAGCCTTGCAAGAAGCTGTACTTTTGAAAGTGACAATAAAAACGTAGTCTCTATTTAATGTTTTGTTTGGGCTATGATAGATTTTGCATTATATTATCTCTAATGTCCGAATCGCCAAGCTGCATATCCCCATTAAAAGAATCTTCATCCTCATCGTCGTCCTCAACTGAGTCTATAGTGCTTGGGTCTCCTACAATAATACAGATGTTGTGCAGGACACAACAAGCCAAGATAGTGAGAGGGACGCTACTTATCTTTTCCTCCATTGCTTTATAGAGACACCTCCAGCGACCTTTCAAAATTCCGTAGGCTTGTTCTATAACAACCCGCGCTTGACTGAGGGCACAATTGTACCGCAACTGATTCTCAGTTAATGTACGAGTTTGCTTGAAAGGTTTCATTAACCACTTTGATAAGGGATAAGCTGAGTCCCCAACAAGCAAAGGTCCGACTTCACAAGCCCCAATTTGTTTAGAAGGCCCGTTTAGCCAGTTACCTTGACCGACCTCTCTGTGCAGTTTGCTCAATCGGAGAATGCGGGCATCATGTATGCTGCCAGGAAAGCCTGTACTTACATCGAGAAATTTAAAGGACGCATCGGCAACAGCTTGGACCACAATAGAATAGTCCCGCTTGCGACTGAAGTATTCTATTCGTTCGTTCACGGGTACTCTTTTTAAAGGGATATGGCTTCCGTCAATTGCGCCTACCACTTGTGGAAATGGAGACTTCTCTGCGAATAAGCGAATGTTTCGGGTAAGCTCCTCTTCAGTTTCTGGAAATTTTATAAATTGAGGGGCTCTTTTGCAATAGCCTCACAAAAATCAGCTTTTAAAAGCATTGCCGTGCATCTTCCAATACCAAATTGCAGGCCCGTTGTTCTGTATGTGTCTCCAGTCGCCAATCGCCACAACGCCACAGCCACTCGCTTGTTTACCGGTATACATTCGCGTAATCTAGTGTCCTTCTTTGCCAAATCCGGACCAACCAATCGGACAATGTATTCGAACGTACGTCTTGATGTTCTAAAGTTCTCCCTCCACCATTCTTCAACAAAATTTCCGTTTAATAGAGTTTCGAACCAGAATTGATTTCTCGGCCACAACCACGCACGTCTAACGCGCCTTGTCTTGCGAAAGGCAATTTGTAGCAGAATTAATCGCTTTCGCCTCGACCTCTTTAGGTGCTGCAAAAGTAAGAGCTGCTGCAATCTCGATTCCTGAGTTTGCTGTTCAAGAACAAGAAAATAAAACGCGAGGACTACAAGAGCCACAGCTTCTCTTTTAAACGCGAGCATTTATGCGTGGATTTAGAATTTGCCGCCAATTCGATTAGATTGTGATTGATGACAGATTTACCTTAGTTATTTGAGCCCGTATAAACACTGTACAAATGTACCAGGGTTTAGTCAGTTAATGTTTACCTTGGTAAACGCTGGAGTGTAAACACAGCATGAAGAACTTATTCTGAGAGCTTCATGGCACCCAAATCAAAGTGGTAAATCTCCAAAATCTCCCATGTGACAGGAGGTAAAGTTAGCAAACTTACCTCTTTGCATTTTCTTTCCTTGTTGTTTGTCCATTAGAATCCTCAATTGAGCTTTCTTTGACTTATCAGAGGCTTCTTTGTGGATCTGAGCAATAGTCTTTGGATTGTTGTCCTCTCTGCGAGGTACCCAATCATTATTCCGCAAGTCAACAACGTCTTGCATCATGAATCTTACACGGGATGAAGTTATCCTTGCTTGAATTATTTTGTTGATTTGTGTAAAATACTGATCAATTCTGAGCTAGAAATGATAGAATAGAATGATAGATAAATAAATGATACATAAAACAAGCATGTCAGCCTTGGACATCTGTTAACTTGCTATTAAACCATATGTCACAATAATTTCATGTAGGACCAATTCATCCATCAGCATCCCATGGCATTTTACAAAGACAGACAACTGATTTATTTTTCCAAAAGGCTGGTAGGAAACACAATCAATTTTGCTTGACTTCTGGCTGATTTTTTATCGATGCAAAAAATTATTTGCTTTTGACGTGAGCGTGTGCACGCACGACCATACAGACACCGGGATAGGGTGAGGAGACACTCTGCATGAGAGGGGGTTGAATTCCACACATACAGCTTGCATTTGTCTTGACCAAAGTTAGCCAGTTAAGAAGCAATCACTGGAGATGCTGCGGTAAAAATCTTGACGCATGTTTGATTTATGACAAAAACTTTAAAAATTAATTTTTTATGCTAATCTAATCTAAGATTGGTCAAAATTTTGACAGGTGAATTCATCTGTAAAAACGTATGCAACATTTAGAATTTTTTAGCGATAACGGAAGCCCTTTGTAATTTTAAGTGTTTAACTTTCTTTGTTGCTTCCTATGCCGCCACAATATGAAATACAGCTGGTTTGTTATTTGGTTTATGGAAAGCGTTGCATTATAAGCCAACGGGATTCATCAACGGCTGCATTGTTGAATTGGCTGGACACATGATGAATCCCGTTGGCAGTAGTCAATAAATAAAAATCGAAATCGATAAAAATTGTAAGTGATTTTAATCGATTAATAACGGAAAAATGGTGAAAAATCTACATAGGGAAATCGTTTAGCCTGAACTTTTATTCGAACTGAATGCAATCAAACAGAACCGTTTGTGTTACAATGTACAAAATAAAGGTTTTTGGAGAGAAAATTGTGTGTGTAATAGTTTCCACATTTCTCATTTTCATGTTTTTTGATCAGTTGTTGCTTGTGCATGTGTTTTCGCAGCTGTACTATCTAACTTATACCAGCCAAAAAACAATGTGAGACTTTCGTTATAAATCGTTAAAATCATGAACAATCGATATCGATTTGACACAGCAATTTAGTTTATCGACTTTCGCCGATTTCCGTTATCAATCGATAAAATCACTTGATTGCTACCGATTTTTATCGCTTGACTACTCCGGGTAATAGTTTATAGCAGAGCTTCCTCGTGCACGGAGGTCCATTGCTATAGAAATTGGAAACCTATCGAGGTCAGAAAATTTAGTTACGACGTAGCGTACATACGCCCGTCCGTACAACACCTAAATGTAAGCAGATGTCAAATGTCGCATTTCCTACTTGAACAAATTGTGATTTGTGCGATTGGCTTAAGTTACTGAAGGAATAGATTTATTTTCATTCAAAACGTAAGCTCTGTTTTTGTTTTTTTTTTTCTGCTGGAAAACTTATTTGACGAGGAAAAGGCAAGAAAAATACCAAGAGGACCTTAGGAATCAGCATCAAAATTTTACTCGGTTTCACGCAGCAATGCTGGTATAAATAGTCACCTTGTAGCTAGTATAAATGAAAAACAACACATTACCTAACAAGGCAAGAACAGAGAGCAGCATGAAATTCATCATTAACGTGAGTCATTAATGGCGGGAACAATAGTTTAACATTTAGGGATACTTTAAGCCGCATAAAAGCAAAGGATCTATTAGTAACGTTGTTGTATATGGCCCGTCCCCGGAAACGTGCATTTATCACTGTAAGTATTGCAATTAAATTTTACTATTGATATTTCCCCCTACGGTTTCGTTAGTTGTCTATTTTTTTACTTCTCCGTTTCTTTCCGGGTTTATTTTTTGTCGTAATCGCCTTTCTATGGTTTTTGTCGTTGAAAAGCTTGAAGTTTAAATTTTGTCCCCATGGTGGAATTAACCTGAGATCAGGCCCAATTTTAGCGGTTCACATACATTCTCTCTAACGGCTACCCCTAAAATTGGGCCTGATACAAACTCTATCACCTTTGTGCTCGATACGGCCAGATTTTGGCCGTAACGCTGATTGGCTGTTAGAACAATGCCACAAGATCTGATTGGCTGTCGAAAACGCCGGAAGTTGAAAGCGCTTATTCCTCGCGTGGTTGTTTTCGTAAATGATCCGTCGTCGGCGGAGAGAAGGATCGATTTTGCTGTCTTTTTTATTGTTTTATGGTCTTATGTTGGGAAAATATATATGCCTTAATATGTACCATGGAAATTCAGAAAATTCATATGCTTGTTCATATCTTCTCAGGGTTTGCTTTATTTACGGAACTAATGTGAGTGTAACGCGGAGTTGAATCCTTGTGCAAAATACTGTCCATCTTAAAACTGGTTTCATCTGAAAGTTTAGCCGGGAGTGACTTCTCTGAACGGGGTACGCAAGCGGAGGCTCACTACGAAAGAAACCTCAATCGCCAACAGCTGTGAAGTATTAGACGAAAAATATTGCATCGCTGTTCAAGGAATTTTTGTAAGCATTAGTATAACAGACTGGTTGTTTGCTTTTGCTTTTAAAGATTTATGTACTGAAAATCGAAGAAAATTGCCGAGGAAAATATTAAGGCAACAGAAAAATAGAAATTTCATTATTTTAAATTCGAGCGCGCCTAGTCAAAATAATAAAACTAGTAGAACATCGTATCGCCATCTTTTCGAACACTTTTTACCCTCTACGCCAACAGAAATAACCTTCCGAGAGTGATTGTGCTGACTGTTTTATTTTTAGCTGAAAAAATTAACAGATAAAAGCTATTTTTTAAGTCAGCCAGTCTGCATTTTTCCCACGCGTGAAAAATTTGCATACTAGAAAAACAAGCAACGGAAGTAATTTGGTTGGCTGATTCGGCAAATGTCAATCAATCAAAAAAGGGGGCGGCAGACGTTTCGTAGAAGGTTTGTATCAGGCTCTCTTTTCGTTTCGCCTTGCCCGCCGGAATGTAATTTTAAAAGCGAAACGAAAATAGAGCCTGATCTCAGGTTATGGTGGAATTTGTTGAGAGTTTGCCGACACTAAAGACTTCGCAGCTCTAGCATCGCCTGTATTATAACTCCCCCAAACTGGGGAAAAAGAAAACAACATTTCGACATGCTTTCCGCTTTAATGTTTCCAAAGGCGGCCCAGAAGTAGTGCGTGTCAATAAAATGGACAAAATGGGATGAGTCGTCGAATCTTCCATGAACTAAAATAGTCCAGAAGTCAAAATATAACAAAACAAAGCTAACATACCTTTGAACGTTTCGTTGTCTTTCCTGGCCGGTTAAAGTGGCATTTTGTCGAGTTTTGCACTTGTGGGTACTATCCACTATAGAAGAATTAAATGCTGGCCTCCAAAGAAACGGACCAGCTCCACGCGCCTCCGCGCGAAGCGCTATAAATTTGAGAATAATGGACGATTCCGCTCCAAATTGCTACCGGCTAATTTGCTGGTAACGTGTGCTCCAGCTTCTTGCTCGCTGGCTCCACAAAACCCATCGCAACTGCACGATAATCGCTCGCTCATGAACAAACACTTGACCTTTACGCTCCACCATGACCGCGATGCGAATGTTCAAGCTTAGCGACCGCGTCCGCGCGACAATGCAGCACTTGCTATGGGAGGGATGGTACTATTGCTTCTAAGTATTTGTATATGTAACAGCATGATTTGTAGTTATATTTGGCATGAATACCACGAGTGATATTTCAAAATTGTTTTACGAAATTTCACGAGCCGTTAGGCGAGTGAAATTTGAGACAATTTTGAAATATCACGAGTGGTATTTATTCCAAATGTCACGTACAAATCATGCTATTATTTGTTTATACTACGATCCGCAAAAGGTTTGTAATTTTCACATGTAGGTATTTCAAAGTAAGGTGAAATACCACTCCTCTATCAAATTGCAGAAATTTCTCATGTAGTAGTATAATCTGGGGAAAATAATATTGAAGCCCTTGTAATTTTCAAAGACTCAATGTGCCCTAGGATGACCGAACAGAAACGAATTTTATAGCGGACCTAAAAAAAAATGAGCGGCAGTGGAAAAAGTGAACAAGAACATGTACGACATTTCCTCCATAAAACGTGAAACCAGGAAGTTTCTGGACGTTTCATGTTGTAGTCATGCAAAACAACGGGAACTAAATGTACAAAAACTCTGCTGCAATTAGACCTATTGTTGTTTTTCACAGTTCTCGTTGCCTTCTCCGCTTAGCATTACACGATTTTATATTAAGTAGGAGCAAACTATAAATACTATCGAGAGCTTCGCTTTTAGCCCTGACTAAATCTACGTGTTAGCGCCGCTTATAATGTATTTTTAGAGATCTAAAGTACTTTGGACAGCCTTAAATGTGTTTTCAATGCATTTAGGGGGAAATCGTCGTTGGGTGCCCCCGAGTTTTGAAAATAATAAAAAAAGATATCGCGCACACAAATTTTTCCTTACCATATCTTCCATTCAGCTGCGTAGCCGAGGCTACAATTGCAGCCTGCGAACGGCAGACGTCTTTCCGGTCGTCGTTATTTTTCGGAAGGAGAGAAGCGACGACCGAAAAAACGTCTGCGGTTCGCAGGCTAAGCCGAGGCTAGATTTTGCCTTTTTCCTAGGGGGAAATCCTCGTCTTCCCTCGCCAATTTGGACAACATATTGTGAAGTAAGACGTAGTTCTGGAAGGAACTGTTTATTTAATTAATCCAAGCAAATAGGTCCAGTAGAGTCAAGAACCTATGCAAGTGGCTGGACGAGCAATGTGCCGGCAGCTGTGACAGCGAACGTTAGAAGAATTCCAACTTGAAAACCAGGGCCCGGTTGCATAAAACCTACACTTAAGTGCCCACTTAAGTAGGTCACTTACGAATCCGTTATGGGTACACTTACGGGTGTTGCATGGAACGCACTTAGCACTCTGGTAAGTTTCTGCTTTACGTGGTAACTTACGGGCTCACTTAAGGGCACACGTAACCTTGATATAGTACTTTATTAATGACTCACTCTTTTTTTTTAAGCTAACCATCGGTGAGTGTAAAGAAAGTTTTAAGTCGTTTAGAACACGTTTAAGCCTCTCAAAAAAATTAAATTTGCATGCAGACGTTATTTTTCTTCAGTGTCTACTGGAAATGATAGTTCTTCTTCTTTTTTCACAAAGTCGGCTTTAAAGTGCAGATAAAAGGTTAACAAAGCGCATTACTACGAATTACGTGAGGAAAAATTACTTTTTTTCACTCTCAGTAAAAGATCTCGTTAAATTTAGTAAAAACAGTAACGATACGGGACCTACATAGGTCCTGTAAATTTACGTGCTATTTTTCCCGTAAAAAAAGTTTTATGCAACACCCGCAATTTCTGTTGCATAAACGACACTTAAGTGAACACTTACGACAATCGTAAGTGCAGCCACTTAAGTGAAATCCCTAAGTAGACCACGTAAGTGATTTAATGCACTCACTTAAGTTACGAGTGCACGTACGTGTACCCGTAGTTGTTACGGACGTTTTATGCAACCGGGCCCAGGGCCGCACTGTTGGTAGCCTGATTCTCAGACGTCCGAGGTTGTTCGCGGTCCCTATCGCTTCCCTCCCTCTCCGCGAAAGACCTCGGACGTCTGAGAATCAGGCTACCCTGTTGAAAACTGTTTACGTATGGTCGCGCGATCGCCTTTTGTTTTCTGGTCAAAACTAACGCAGGGGACCCTCCCTCAGCGTGGACTGGCATACTGGCGGTCGCTAAGCTTGAATATTCGCATCGCGTGGTAATCCTGCCCGTTTGAGGTCATTGCGGAGCGTAAAGGTCAAGTGTATGTTGATGAGCGAGCAATTATCGTGCAGTTGCGATGGGTTTTGTGGAGCCAGCGAGCAAGAAGCCGGAGCACTTGTCACCTGTAGATAAGCCAGTGGCAATTTGGAGCGGAATCGTCGATTATTCTCAAATTTATAGCGCTTCGCGTGGAGACGCGTAGAGATGGTCCGTTTTTTATGTAGCCAGCCTTTAATTCTTCTATAGTGGATAGTACCTACGAGCGCAAAACTCGACAAAATGCCACTTTAAGGTGACTCGACCCAGTTATTTTGTGGGCGTACCATCCTACTTTGAAGCCCTCTGGTATTCTCATTTTTACTTTGATCGTAAGTCTAACATATGGCATGGATAACATATAGATCAATCTACAATATAGCATAAAATTTTTGGCGATCGGAGTAAATGTCACGTGGTTATAGTGCCACGCCTCTTTGGGGTCTGAGTCGAAATTCTGCTGTTGCCGGCATTTTTTCGTGAAAATCTCTCGGCTACATATAGTGCCATTAGCGGCTTGCGTTGAACAGAGTTTCACCAAAATCGCAAGCACCCAATGCGAGAAATTCAGCGGTTTGCAAATTTAGGTCTTAATTTATGTGAAAATGATAAGCAAACTTTACACGATTATATCTAATAAACTATGAGATTTATCCTTTTACTTTGGGGATCTTTATAACAGATGGGTCCTTGCAAGTCAGCAAAAAGCATTAGGGCCTTGTAAATGCGCGCGATTTCGAGCAATGCAAACATATAGAAATTATAATTTTAGCTATTTGTTGACGTTTGTCAGCGTGTAAGAGTCCTCCTTCTCACTAAAAAAGCATTTCCTTAAAAATTCGTAGTTTTTTTTCCTTCAAATTTTTTCAGGGCCACAATTCGTCCATTGATTAATTAACTACCCGGATTCCGAATTTCATGGTCATTGAAAAACTGTGACATTATCTTCTATATGCCCAAACTTGAGTAAACATTGAAGATTTTTAGCGTTTTGGCTGAGTCTGTGCTTTGGGAGTTTTCTATTGTTTCTAGTCTGTCATGATACAGCATTCTTGTTCAGCACGCGAGCAATGACCTCTCACTTTCCATCCTATCTACAAATTTCTTTCTCTGTTCAATGAGGGTAACTACGTTGAAACTACTTTTGCAATCCATGTAGCTGACAGCTGAGGTGGTAAATGTTCTAAATCTTGGTTAATGGCAACGCAGTTTAGCTCAAATTTGAGAGGTATTGACTCTGAAAAACCCCTCGATCCACCTTAATATAAAGGGTAAATGAAAGGCTCCTAAAGTAAATTAGGAACTTGAAGATGTATTTGTCTAGACTTAAAGTTTATAAGTTTAAAGTTGATTGTTTTTATAAGTATATGAACAGAAGCTTCGCTTTTAGCCCTGGCTAAATCTGTATATTACTGTGGCCTACCCACGCGAGAAATAGATAAGCTGCAACGTGTTCGGAACTTCGCCGCACGTTTGGTTTCGGGAATAAGAAGATCCGACCATAAAACTCCTGTCATGAAAGACTTGCACTGGCTTGCTATTAATGCAAGAATTGATTTTAAAATACCGCTTTTAACATTTAAAATTTTAAGTGACTTAGCTTCTTACTATTTGTCTTCATTCTTTGTCAAATATCAACCGGCTCATTTACTCCACTCATCTTATGGATTGTTTTTACAAGTTCCTTCTGTTAATACCGTAACTTATGGTCACCGCTCATTTTCACATTATGCACCGAAACAGTTTACCTAATCATTTCATATACTCTGAATCTGTTTCCACTCTTAAACAACGTTTGAAAACTTTTGTTTTTAGAATTATTGTACATACTAGTTAATTTAGATTTAATTTTCCATTGTAAGCGCAATGACAATTCTTTAAAGGTGCCATAAAAACCTTTCATTATTATTACGATTATGATTATTGTTATTATTATTAAGCTCTGATTCCTGGTGACTATTTTTGGAACATCGCAGTACGTTTGATTTTTCTGTTGTTGATTCCATGGAGTCTGATAGTGTTGATTTAGTTTCCGAAGGTTCTGTTCAGGAGATAAATGGTTTTGATTATGAAGTTGTGATACCAGTTGTTAGTTGCGTAAGTTACTGTTATAGATTTTCAAGGACCACCAACTTGGAATATAATTTCACAAATTGTACAAAAATGCACATTCCCAGTCTTCGCCAACTTCTCTACATTTTTCAGTTCATTTGTCTTAAATGATAGTTAATTATTGCATAACACATAGAGTACTTTATGTAAATAACCTTTAAATTCTCTGAGCTATGATTTATATTCTGTCTTGGACAACCAAAAAGCATCAAAGAACCCTCTCAAGGCCAATACATTCAAAGGTGAAGAAAATTCAAGGACGTTTCAAGGACTTGCACAGAAATTTAAGGACTTTTCAAGGGAAAATGGAATTCATGGACTTTTCAAGACTGTGCGAACCCTGTGTAATGTCATGCCGAGAAACAGGTAAATGATCGGTTGATGTATGTAAGCATGTTTAAGGCTTGTTTTTGCGGGCGACAAGAGGAGTCTGCAATCCTAATCTCCAGGTTTTTGTTAGGTATTCGTCGCATGTATCTAGCCAGCATTCGTTTGGACTTCCACTAAGAATCAATGGAATGCACAAAACACAATTTGATCCCACGCGTTTAGACCTTCTATCACTCGTAATCTTATCACGCGTGTTTTGCCTATCCGTCACGTGAAACTTACGCAAAGCACAGCGATGCAGCAAAGGGTTTTGACCTTCGATCGTTGTCGCCTTTGGTTACTACGAGTTAGACTAGGAATTATTTTGAATGCGTGATAAAACAATTATTGGATTTGGCTTTCGTATGATCTAAAGACATGCAGATCTCGGAAGGCGCTATCCACCAAGGCCGATAACACCCTCCTCGATCTCCGTAATTCTTCAGATCATACGAAAGACGAATCCAATAATCGCTAATCATCATACCCATCTTCATCTAATAATTGCTCAGTAAAATATTGTTTGTGTCACGAGAAAATAAAATTCATATCTTCAAGCCGCCGTGTAATGTTCTGTTTATTATATAAACAAAGAGACATCGATAAAATAATAGAGGGAAATTACCGAAATTACGTCATCGATAAACTCACGTGTGAGATTATGGAAAATAAACCACTCGGGTCCCGGATGTAGTTTTTATGGATTGAACGAGTGGTATATTTTCCAGTAAAACACTCGTGTCTATATAATAAATATATTTATTATATAAACACCAATGAAATACCACGTGTTACGTTTGAAAATAACATGTTATCTTCACGCGTGAAAATATCACCGTTGCTATGGCTACAGAATAAATCGTGCCTTTCACACCAAAAAACTATTAAAGTGAAATGGTTTGGTATTTCCTTGATGTTTATATAATAAATAGAACATTACATGGCCCCTTGGAGAAACGAAATTTCTCTTCGAGTGTTGAAAAAATATTTCACTCGTTCGCAGCGCTGACTCGTGAAATATTTTTCAACACTCGAAGAGAAATTTCGTATCTCCGCGCGGCCATGTAATATCCTCTCTCTATATATAGTCCGACAGGAAATAACTCGTGGTAGGAGAATTTCTGGTGATGGTTACGACAACTTAAATACATTCACCAACTGGTTTCCACAGAGAATCCAAGTACAGTGTAATTGGTGGACTACATGCTGGTACAAATGTAAGCAAAAGATGAGAAATGAGGGTCCAAGCAAGAATAGCAGTTAATGAGGGTTTACTCGTAGTCTACGGGTATTGTAGTCTCCTAACTACGCAGACAATCTTTGGGGAGGAATGCATCACAGACTGAAGAACGTTCCACCCTAAATGAGAGTTTGGGTTGTCTGTGTTACTCTGACTGTTAATGAAACTTTTTTATGCTTTTAGATACCATTCAATGGAGATGACCCGCCCAATTGAAATTTCCTCCAAAGGCATTAAAACATTTAGGACTGTTACTAGATAAATGTAAATCCTTGCTTAAGAATTTCTTTGACTTGCTTAGCACTTCTTGGCCTTCAAACTTATGCTTCCCCTTACATTTTCACTTTTTTTTTCACCATATTTTGTCAAATTATACTCCCAAGTGAACACTTCACAGCGTCGTTATCGCCATTATGTTAATGACAACCATAATTACTTCAAGAGGGTGATCATAACGTTATTTATACCTTAGCCTTGGCATGATCAAGATCTTTCCCAATCGTCAAAAGCAGCTTGCACAAGCACTCGAAGGATTCTTCATCATTACTCTTCAGCAGTTTAACGACACAGTCATGCATGATGCTCTCTGTCAACATCTGTTTTAAAATAAAAAGGCTAACGTTACTATATACGAAACAGTTAAGAGTGATAGGCCCTTTCAAAACTTTCCTTCAGTTTGAAGAGTTCACCAATAAAGCGAATGTTTCCCAGTGCTCTTCCCTTGACCAAAAGCTCTTCATCCAGAAGTTCCTTCTTCTTTTCCTCAAGTTCCTCTTCCTAAAAAAGTACGGACAATTTGTCAATTCGAAATTCCAGCAGTTGTACAAGAAGTCTAACAATTTAAGGCCCCAGAAAACCAAAGAACGAAGTAAAAGACTGGAAGACGCACCCTGTAGAAATCTTTGCATCTTTATAACGACAATTGAATTTACTTTTATATACTATTAGAATTTTAACTTTTCCCAGTGGTTTCACCATCTGCCCACCCGCAGAGCGCTACTTTAGCAAACTCAAAATGGGGTCTCTGCTGCTTTACCACTCACCCTTGCAACCACACCTTTGCTGTGAAAAGATTCGACGATTACGGTGTTCACACCGCACGGTCAAGTTTTCGACCTAACCGGCCAAATTATCTGACCTCGATTTGGGCGTTCAAATTTTTCAACGGCTAAGCGTCTAAATTCTCTTACACTTACGATGGTTCCGTGAACACCTAAACGCACGAAATTTTCGATATTTCGGGGCGTGACCGGTCATGCATTTGTAGGCCATGATAGCTTGGCGATAATACAGTTGATCCTTAACAGGAAACCAAGAAATGATCCCATTTTTTATTTCGCACCGCTGACGATTCCGTAAGAATTTTCTGAACAGCTTCCATTTTCTTTACATTCTTATACGTCGTATTTGCCCAAACATTTATGAGAAGTAGTGCATTTTGCTGAAAACTAAGGCTAAATGATGTTTGACCCGGTTAGTTTGTGCAAGACCTAATACAATATACTCCAACACTGTGGTTGTTACATGATTATCAAATTACAAGTTCGGATCCAAAAAAACGCCGAGATCTTTGCTGATTGGGCTGGCAAAAAGTCCTTTCCCAATAAAGATCACTGAAATTCAAGGAGCTTTCAGGTCACCTTTCGGCTTCCCAAAACAATGAACAAGACGTCAATAAACTAGGTGTGTATTGGGCTGCAGAGGTAAAATATTTTCCATGCTGAGAGTAATAACTACTTCTATCCCAAGAAATAGAGAAATAAAGGTATAGATGCATTTTTCATCAATTCGATTATTTTTAAGATGACTTGTTTTGGCGTTCATTGCAAGGTAAAATCCCCAGAAATCTGGCTATGGCTGATTAAACGTTAGATAGCACTTGAGAAACCAATTGCGTTTTCCATATCCAGTGGCCGTATACCGGCATCATCTACCTTTGTGAACACATAGGACCTGGTGGATACATCTTAAAAAATGAATGTAGCATTTTAATGGTAAAAAAATGTGCTTGAAAATTTTTTTGCGCATTGTTATTCCAAATCACGATCAACCGAAGGCACTCTATGCTCGAAAACGGTGTTCTTTTATTAGGTGTGAGACATTAGGGCCGTTTATACGAGAGAAGAAAAGCCGTGGTTTACTCTGGCCGCGGCTTACATAAGACGCCCACAACCCATATAAATGGTACAAAATCCGGCTACCTTGACGGCTTATTCAATCCACAGCTTATCCTGACCGAGGAGTTTTGGGTTGGGTTTATCCAAGCCGCGGCGCAACCTGAACGTGTAAGTGTTCGTATAAATGCACTCAAAGGTTGTCCGCTGATTGCTGAAGCCTTGAACGATTCCTGCGCATGCTCTGTTTTTAGTTATATCCCAGACTTTCTCGGTCAAGGAATTTCGTCTAAACTCCACCTCATCCATCGCCGGAACATCTCTTTCAAACCACTCGATTGATCGCGGACGAACTTTCCGTCGAGGTTTCCGCACAAATTTCGCAACAGCCCAGCTTCAATCTTTACCAAAATGTTAAATTGAAAAGAAAAAGACAGCATAAAATATGGCGATTTTCCTGACCCAAGCCAAACGCCTCTCTGTTTTGCACGCTCGAGCCAGTGTTGTAAATCAAGTACGCGAGGCACCAAAACAAACTCAGTCATCATTGGACCGGTCTGGCCGCGAACTAAGGCCTGGTCCACAACTATCCGGATATTTTTGAATCAGAAACGTTTTCTTTCTGGACACGGCTACCGTCCATCTGGTGAATTCGGCATACGAATCCGCAACTTTTTGAATCCGCTCTCCAGAGTGGAAACTTTTGAATACGCTATGAATCCGGAATCGTATTTGTGGACGCTAATTCCGGATATTTTTTTTACCCGGTGAACGTAACAAGATCGAGTCCAGTTCTTTACCGTGAATACCGAACTCAAGATGGAGAACTCTTTCCCAGGCTCTCTCCCTTATCCATCCAGATAAAGGGGTCAATCTCGCTCTTCGCATTTTTCTTTGATTTCCGGGCTGATTCTGCCATAATTCTAGAGATTAAATCGAGAATCAACACAAGGCAGAGCACGATACAAATTTCGCGCGCTTTACGACGCATACTAATGTTGCTAATATTCCCAGAAGAGTCCTGGGTTCTAGAGTGAATCCGGATACTTGACGGATACGTGTGGACGGGCAATTTCGATTTGAATACGGTTACGTGTGGACGTGGAAATTTTTGAATCCGGTGAGAAAAAGTTGCTGATTGTTGACGGGGCCTAAGCCGTGAACCATTTATACGAGCAGTTCGCGTCCTATATACGCCGTACTTGTATAAATGGTCTATTTCGAGTCTTATGTAAGCCGCTGCTTATTTTCTTTCGTATAAACGACCCTATTCTCGCGCATCCGCAGCAGTTGTAAAGCACGCTTGACTGGTTTTGAGCTGAAACGTGAGTTAAATCATGTCAGGAGTCAAGAGAGGAAAATCTAGAATACTCTCGACTTGTCTTTGTCCTAAAATTCTTTCTGTTTGTCCCCTTTCAAAAGACCCTAAACAGGGAATATTACACAGTTAATGTCAGATCCCGAGGGAAACAGTTAGTTTTGTTTTCCCGAGAGTGCTGATGTTTCCCGAGACGAAGTCGAGGGAAACGTCAGGACTCTTGGGAAAAACAAAACTAACTGGTTTCCCGTGGGACCTGATATTAACTGTTTTGTTATATTTCTAGGCTTTCACTTCAACAGCAACAAAAGAATAACCGGAGCGAACCAAAACAGTCGACTCGGTACTTATAACAACACAAATTTAATTTCCAAAACCACTAAATGAATGCAATTCGGACTAACCCTCGTTTTGAGAAAGAGGCAAGGGGCAACTCATAAGCAAATCACTAGCGCGCCATTTTCGTAACCAATCAGGAGCAAAATCGAAGCTGACGTGACTTTTGTGTTTGGTTCGACTGGATTTTTTAAGGGGGGGAGGGTATACCTCCCAATTTGAGAATTAACTACCTCGCCAATTAACAAAGTTTCAAATATATCGGGAAAAAAGGTCACCATAGCTGTATATCTGAGTTTCCATGACGCCATTACGTTTTTTACTTGCCTTTGTATTTCACGGTACTAGGAGTTTTTTTCGGACATCACTTAAAGGAGCTTGCTCCTGCAATGGGCCTCGATAATGACAAAATTTGAACAAATTCTATGAAGACTTTTGGAAATCTTTGAAAATCAAGTTTCAAGGGTCAAAACAGTGAAAACATACTTTCCACATAATTGGCTAATACCTAAGGAAAATGATGAGCTATGAAAATGCAGTTGCATCTCATGTTGGTACGAAAGAGGAGCATTGCTTGGCCGATTGTGAGAAAGAAGAGTTTGATAAGCCTGCGTTCAGCTGCGTTTGTTACTAAATGTGTATGTATATCACGTTAAAAAAGAAACCGTTTGATTATTTTGTTTTAAGAACTTGACAATCTCGAGATTTATTGTATCGCCTGCAAGATTCAAGGACATTAAAAACATGAAAGACAATAATTAATGAAAAAAGGCTTCCAATGTTACAATTTGCAACACTTCTGAGATCTCTTTAAATGACGACGTAGTGAAAGCTCAAACTTGGAAGGTATCCCCCCTATAAAACCCAGTCGAGCCACCTTAAAAACTCTTAGTGCAGCGTACAACATTTTTGTCGATTTCAGTTCAAAAATACTCTGTGATGTAGACTACAGTTTACAACACAAAGAACATCCAACTTACGCCATAAGCCAAAAGAGAAAAAAAAAATCAACTTTTAATTATACCTGGATTTTTGAAAACCGGGTTAGCAAATTATCAACTCATTCCACTACTTGGCACTTTTACAACAATAAAACATCACCATTATCACCGTCTTAACTATCATTCAAAGCCATTAGAGCCCACTGAAACTATAGACCTAGATCCAATTTTCCTGACTCGAACGTTGCTTTCCTAAGGTACAATAATCAGCAAACCTAAACACCAAAAAAACGTTTTTATGGCTGGCACAGAATATTTTGGCGAAACCCCTCATACACGCGACCACATATCTGTCAACACCATGCGGAAGTCACACAATCACACACTTTCGCGGTACTGATAAGACCATCAACAACCACTCATATTAAATCTTCTGACGTTTAACACAAGCGAAATATCATCGAATAACTTGGAAAAACTCAGCCTATTGGCAGATATACACCTCTGAACTTTTCTCTTACACTCGTCTTATTCAAGTTCCCGGATGTAAAATCACACGGTCGGTAGACCAGCATAGACCTTGTTTTGCCTGGGTCAAAGTTCACCTTCAATGGTACTCGTGCCCAATTCATTTTACTCCTAAGAGCCTGTTCCCGAGACCATAGACTTAGTGGTCACCTTAGAACATCAAGCGTACGATAACGTACCTTTCTGTCTTAGCCCGGATAAGGGTGATTGATCCGTTTAGCCAAATGAAACGAGAATACAATACGATATTGGACAATGCAGACACTGCGAATCGTAATAATAACTTTGTCCCATCTCAGAGCTTTACGTAAAATAAAATAAATGTCAAATTTCACAAAAATACATCTTTCACATGAAATTTTAATAATTTTACCTGTGTTTTCACAATTCTTGTGAAATTTATCATTTATTTTCTCGGGCACCCATGAGAAAGAGTCTTTGGTGTTATTACAGATAACTACTTATATCTATAGCCCTTGAAAAATGTAAAAAAAGAATGCAATATTGTTTAAATTATTCTGGTACAAGGTTTTTGTCCGATGGAAATTGAAATTACTCTGATTTTCTGATGGATTCCGTCTTAAATCACTTTTTCGGTCCAACGAAGTGCATTTTCTTCACACCTAAAATAAAGGCCTTTGTTTCCCAGAAAATGAGAAAATTATCTTTTGATCCAAAATCATTAACCAAATACAATAAGTACCAAATATTGCTTACAGTTAGTCCTTCTTTTGAAAGGTGCTCCAGTTTCTCATTAACTCTCTTTTCAACAGATTTTTCTTTCTCAAACTCTTTCTGACATCTGTTTAGCAGAATCTTGCGGAAGGATATATCCTTCTTCACTCCCTCCTTCTCCACTACTACTTTTTTCTGCATAAAGAATTAAATCAATGTAACATTACTGGTCCTTCAGCTACAGCCAACTAATACTGCTTATGGTTACCGGTTACCCTCAGGGATGCCTCATGTACAAGTGATTGTAGCGCGTTCTCGTTAAAATTGTAGCTACCTAAAACATCATGTCAAAATAAAGCTTATTGAAATGGCTACTGACCTTGAAATAAAAAAGCTAACAAATCTTTGAAGACTTTGTGTCGATTATTTTAATGCAAGCGTTCAGATTAGCTTTCGAAGGCTAAAACTCAAAGGGAACCTCTTTGATTGAGCTAGACTTTCGAGGGATGTTACTTAAAAGCAACAAAAACGTGTTGTGTCGTGTTTTGTTTCTTAATACTTTTCTGTTGAGGGGTGTTTTTGTATGATCATCCAACTTTTTTTAGCCCTATTTCCAAATTGTTCCGTAACTTTTCATCTAGCCTGTTCCAGGCGTTCATATCGTGGGGACGGCGCAAAAAGATGCGAGCAGAAAAAGAAACAACGAGGGGATGGGGTAGGGGTGAGAGCGAGGGAATGCCTGTCAGACTTTTTAACAAAAGCTAGTTCCAGTATACCAGATTCTGGTATACCCTACGATTGGTCTATTTTGACAGCTCTTGTCAGCACTAAGAGGTTCATTGAGCTTACACATCAGGTTAGGGATGGACCATTAGAAAACTTATGGGGGGGGGGGGCGGGCAAAGTACAAAAAAAATTCGTCCAAGGGAAAATTAAAGGAAAAAAATTCTTGCACGCCAATTAATCCTAAAAAATATTCATGCTATGGCCTAAAAAAAGTTCATACAAGGAAAAAAATTCCCGCGGCTCGAAAATTCCCCCACCCCCCCCATAACTTTTCTAATGGTCTGTCCCTTATCTTGAAAGCATGGTGAAGTGATTCGAAATAAGCAACACGGTTTATGTGGAATATCATGCTTCCCTGAAGAACAGGAGAAATCGCCCTGAGGTAGGATCTCGTAAACGGAAAGTAGGGCTTCCGAATTTTACCATTTATTTGCTTTTAAACGAGCTCTTTCCTTTCAGTTCTCTTCAGGAATATTAAATACGCTACAACAGTAGGGAAGCGTGGACGAATTGGCTCTGAATGTACAGTTGACTCCCGATAACTCGAACCTTCAAGGGAAATCGAAAAAGGTTCGAGTTATCGGGAGTTCGAGTTATCGAGAGTTCGAGGAAAATAGCCGAGAGTATCGTAAAAAACAGTCTTTACTGCACAGTGAACATTTTAATCACATTTAATTTTAGAAATGTTGAGTGAAAATTGAAAGATACTTTTAGATTGTAAATCAGAACATAAAGTAACAAAACGTTGCCTAAATAGAGCATGCATTTTACTTTTTGAGCAGCTATTTCACGTTAGATTTGTGACAAACAACATCAGCCTCCACTACCGATCCACTAGTGAACTAGATGCCTACAACACGTCAATGGGAAATTCAAAATTCAATGCTTCGGAGGCAGTACACTGTTTTTCCCGACTTTAAGGGCTCAAAACATGGTTCGAGTTATTGAGGGTAAAATTATATAGAACTGATCTGAGGGGAAACAAAAATTACTTCGAGTTAGCGGGAGTTTCGAGTTATCGAGGGTTCGAGTTACCGAGGGTAAAATTACAGTAAATGTATGACGGAAATCCAGGGGAAATCGATTTTGGTTCGAGTTTTAATTAGCGCGAGGTTCGAGTTAGCGAGGGTTCAAGTTATCGGGAGTCAACTGTATATAGAAGATAAGAAAACGCAGCTTCTTTAGTCCTGAAATTCCTGAAAGCTGGCTGTCAAAACATTCACCTGAATATTTTGAAAGCCGATTTTGTGAAAAGGAACAAATGTGCTAGTCTTGGAACGTGCTTTTGAGATCTCTATTCGCTTAACACATCTTCCAAAGCTACGCGTTGAAGCTTTTACTCAGTTTTACTGACAAACAAGTTCCAACAGCATTTCAATAATAACAAAAAAAACCGACGGCAGCTATTATATGATCTGTTGGGTGAAAATCAACGGCAGAGAAAGTGGAACGAGTGATGCTTGCCAGTTCTTTCATTTTTGGAGTTTAAAGGCATATATTCGTTTGCAGAAAACAAATATAAAAGATGAATACAGGCATATATACTTTTTTAATTCAGTATTAAACAGTGCGGTTTGTCGCCCGCCGTTGGTTGATTGACAACTTTTAACACCGGAAAAAACGTTCGGATTACTAGCCGACAAAGAGGGCGGAATGACCGTTTGAAAACAAATCTCACCGGTTTTCCTTCCTTTCTCCCTCTTTTCCTCCTTATTTTTCTCTCGCTCTCTTCCTTCGCGCCGCACTCCACTATCCGAACGCCTGGAACAGGCTTCTTTTAATCGCAATCGAAAATTGTAAACCACTACGCGTTTTGTCAGCGCTTTGACCTTCAAAAGACTAGAACTAACCAAATACGCGAAAGAAAAAAAATTCTGAAAGTTCTAGCTTTCGAAAGCTGATTCGAATGCTCGGTTTAAAAAATAAAATTAAAAGATCGATAGTGCAAATTGCTGGTTTATTAAGATTGCCAGTTCAGTAAGCTTTAATTTAATATAGAGTGTTTGATATTTGCAGTTTCACCAAGACGCGCCACATAATTTGCACGTAAGACAGCCCTTAAGGTATCCGGTAACTTTTAAGAATCAATCTTTTATTCAGTGTCTAAAAAACTGTTATGGTCATTCCTCGTGTTTAATAAAACGATACCTGACGAACTATTGCAAAGCCCATACAAATTGAACGCAAAGTTTTACTGTTCTTGTGAAATAAAACAATGAGTATTGGAATATTTATTACCTTGCATCAAATAATTACGATGTACTTAATAGTTAGGTTTTTTTATATTTGTATATGCATAATTCACAGTTTATCTTGTTTTGTATTTTTTAGTTTGTCGAGCGTTTTTAACATGAGCCTCTGGCTCGGGAGATTGTGCAGACACTTCCTACGTCTTCGACATGAAATAAATTATTCTATTCTATTCTATTCTAATTCATCAACCCAGTTTATTTGTACTGGGTTTACAGAGATGTAAACATGACTGAAATACTACCTGGTAAATGAATAATTCATGAATTTTACATTTTAATTTATTTACTTACACGAACAAGACACCTGCACATATTGGCATAAGCCACACTGAATGCACCTTCAATACAAATGGCCTGAAACATAAAAGGAAACGGTAATAGCCTCGTACAAGAACCTCACTTCTGAGGAACTGTTAGGCTGAGATTTTCATTTAGAACCCTTTACACAGGAACCTGCTTTACCCTAAATTTTTAAACGGTTTCTTACTTTATAAAATTTATCTTAGACAACTTGAACGTAAAAGTGGTTCTAATGGGCAATGCAGTTGAGCCAAAGACGTTGTATTACTTTTCACTTACATCTTGCCATTACATAGGGATTATACTTGTTAAAACTGCAGTCATTTACATGTACACATGATTATACTATGCATACACAAACAAGACGCTGTCAAGGCGTTCACTTGGGCGGTATGACTTGTCAAAAACAAGAAATTTTAAAATAAACTAGTGAGAATGCATATTAGCCAAGAAGGTGCTTGCACGGCTTCAAGACGGCTACAATACCGTATACTTTTGCATTGTTCTATGGGGTTTGTAAGGGAATTCTAAATTGTTAAAAAGTAACCATGTCTTAGCTTATTGGGAAGAAAACAAGTATTATTTTGTGTATTTGTGTCTATTTACGGCGTTAAGACAGGATCGTATAATCAGCTCACAAAAGGTCAGAAAGGTGTGTACTTCCGGTTCATGGTGCACTATTGTGTTTCATTCTAGTACTATCGGTGAATCACAAGCAATTTCCGTCAATGCAACTGCCCCAGAAAAGCAAACACAACGACTCTGCATTCAAAAAGTGGATGCAAATTCTCGCCGGGGAGAACTCCTCTAGAGCAACAACAGAACGCCGAGTTAGAATTCAATACTTTTTGAATGCAGAGGGGCAAAATACCGCAATTACAATGCGAACAAAGCCGATGAAGAGGAACTGATGCCGCAAACAAGATTCACAACGAAAGCGACCAGGAGAGGTAGAGCATTACTGGAAGTTTTTAGTCTGAATTCAGCTTGTGTTCTTTGATGCAACGATAGGCAGCAAGAATCACACGATCTGTAAAATACACGTGAGCGATATCTTTCCAACGGACTGAGCTGAGAACAGCCGATCAGCCATTACACCATGTGCAACAACGGGTTCAGAGTGATCGGAGATGATAAAATTGTACTGTAAGATTACTATATATGAACAGTCTAGGAGATAATGTGGGACAAGTATATTGTAGAGAAGCGTTACTTTACAATTTTCATAACATTTACGTCCCAAAAACCATCCCATGTAAAATGTATGTAGCAGCCTTAGCCTAGCCTCCCACGCAGACGTCCTTGGGGGTTCGTCACGCGTTCCTGCCCCACGAACGTCTGCTGAACCGAAAGATAAATTCCTTTCCCATTGTTCGCAAATATCAGCTGGAGATCACATGTAGATTATCGGAGATCCAATCGGCGCTGTTGAAGTCAGAGTGTTGACAAGCCAAACACATACGTACAAGCTCGGTAGAGTGTGTTACGTGACCAAAGATTTTTGCTCCCCACGAGAATCTAGGAGATAAGTGTTGGCTTTTTGTATATTTCTCTCTGTAAAGGCTGGATTAGATGTCATTTGCTCATAAATGTTTGATTGGGAGATGCAACGGCAGGGTTACCTTGTAACTAAACAAAAGGGTAATTTTTTTAAACCTATTTTGTTTTGTAATAAAACCGACTTCCGTTCAGCAAATTTAACCTCCGAGGTAACTTTTTTCAATGAGATTGTGAGGGCAGCCTCTAGTACGAACGCTTGTGAGTTAAGGACTTCACCTTTCATGAGACCTTTCTGATCTTTTCTGGAGCTAAGTCGAGCGGGAAATTTCTCAAGGTCCAAAGTGCACTCCCCAGATCTGGAAGCGTGCTGTGACTGGTCTACGTTTTTTACCTTTCGGTTCAGCAGAAACGCGCGACAAACCCCTAAGTGCGTCCGCGTGGGAGGCTACCTTAGCCATAAACTCAGCTGTGCCTTTGAGGTTAAACGGAGCAAAAATTTCTTATTGCTTGCCTTCCATTTCGATTCTATTATTTAAAAAAAACATCTGCATTTCAGATCTCCTCAAAATATTAGTGTGTGACATGGTTGCGATGCTACTTTCATTGTTTCCTAATAAAAAATCTTTGGTATACATACATATTCACAGAAGTTAAACATGTTCGATTGGCAGAATTTTTTTCACGAACTGGAAATTAAACAGCAAGCAGGTATAGGATTTCCTGTAAAATCAATCCATCCTGCACTTTACATTAGGATAAATTCATGTAATTAGTGGTTGGAAGGATGCCTGTGATCCGCGCTGTGTGACGGGAAGACTGTGAGTGACTGTTCCTAAATATTTAAAGTCTTTTGCCAATTTTTTTTTTACGTCAACGTAGTTCATTACCTGTTCAAATATAAGGTCAACGCATCCTTCCAATCTCTCCGGAGTGTCCATATCTAGGTCAATAATCTGTTGAATCAAAGTCCGGAACTTCTGAGGTGTCAATTTGTTCAGGATACCTCTGACTTTGCAGAAGAACACCTAGGAAAATTGACGCATATAGGATTACATACTTGTACAATCCACTAAGGAGCTATGTCACAAATTTGATCAAAATTCAGATAGTTTGAACCGCCACCGAATTGAGTTCAACATTTAAATAACCGCTCGAATCGAAAGATTAAACGAAGGTATACTGTACTTTAAATAATAAAGTAAATAGAATAGTAGGCAAAGATGGACGATCTTAGCCTATTCACAGACCCGGTCTATTTTCTCTTCAAAGTCCGTCGAGCGCGCGTAATAAAATATAAACCGCAGGGGATTTATTGACAGCCAGCGCAAGGGGGTAGGGGTGGGGGAAGAAACAAGGCGAACAAACCCTGCTTGACGGATCTTCTGATTGCAAAACGGTAAAACCAAGATCTCTTAAACCGTCCGCTAACTTTCATTTTGTAACACCTTGACGAACATGACTCTCAAAAAAAAAAAAAAAGATTCTCTGATCTGTTAGCTTTACGGGATGATTGCCCAGTACTATTGACTTACACAAAGCACCCACATATCCTACAATAATCCGATGTGACGATTTGTTTTGGCTTCGGACCTCTTTTAGCCGCTTTTTCGGCGTAGAAGCAGTCTAAGGAGGATCTCAGAAGACAAGCTTCAACAAACACGCGACTCCAAGTGTCATTGTTTTTTTGATTGTGAAATCACGGTTTAAGCCAATTACACAGCAATTTATATCTCCAATTCCATTGGTCCAATTTAATTGGTACTGCGAACGCGGAGGTGATAATGATAAGGCTTCGACATGGGGGAGGGATTTAATAACCTCTTTTTTCCCAAAGATGTATGCAGACGTTTTTTATTTTTCTTTCTCGCGCTCCACGCTCGTTCTTGCACGCTCCCTTCGCTTGCGAGCTCGCCGATGTTTTTGAAAAGAACGAAAAGAAAAATAAAACAACGTCTGGGTACAGGCTAGGACGAACTTGAAGATGACTGAAATGGATTGCAAATGTGGTTTTTGAAAACTTGTTAGCCGAAACAGTTTCTCAAAGTTTATATTTGCTGTTAAGGTTTGGTTGAAAGACTGACAAGAAGCTGCGATTTTGTTGTTCACACGTAACTTTTCAAGTTCCCTAGCGAATAAGGCCGCGTAATTGGTATTATTAATAATGATAATGTTGATGATGATGATGATGATGATGATAATGATATGATGATGTTGATGACGATGATGATGATGATAAATGTTATTTACAGGGTGGCCGCTCAGGATAAAATGCTGTTGACAATGAGGGCCCTGGATAAAAAATTAAAACAACTAGCTTAAATTACAACAACTAAAAATTCATTGAAAGTTAAAATACAACAATATAGCCTACTATCAAAAAAATCATTTAACAAAGCTAAAATGTAGCAATAAAAGAATAAATACACTTCAAAGCTAAACCGATAAAAACTTTCAAAATAACTATTAAAAAAGCCCGTGAGTTTTAAAAACCACAAATGAGTTAAAATCCTTCAGTTCACTTGAAATATTGTTAGAAAGTTTCGATCCATAAAAGTAAAGACTTCCTTGCAGTTTCAGTTCTGGCTTTGGGGAGCAGCTAGTACGTTCTGCCCACTTCCCCTCATGTTGTGAATTGTTCTAAAAACCTTAAAATCAGCTTTAAATATAAAGCTGATTTTTATAAATATAAATATTTAATATTCCCTTTAAGCATTTGAAGGCCAAATTATGCCCTTACTGGTAATGAATAGTCTGTACAGTGAAAAAGGGCAAATGACCGGTACCTATAATGGTCCGGAGGAAAAACATTCACGCCGTGTTCTGTGAAAGCAATTATTTTCCAAAGGGAAAATTTAAATTATCTAATAGTTTTTTTCACTCTGAGTGTACCTTGCTTTTTTTCAATACCTTTGATTTCTATTGCCAATTTGTTTGCCATGCGTTATCTGTGGGACCTATGTAACGAGGATAAATGCTTGCATCAGGAGCCCGGCCAAAAACCCGGCCAGCCTGGAAAAGGCTGGCCAGGCCAGGCTTTCCGCGTTTTTGGCCAGGCTTACCAGAAAAAGGCGGCCTGGTAAAGCCTGGTAAGCATGGCCACAGCCAAGATTCCTTGGCAACCTTGGCCACCAAAGCTTGGCCTACCTGGCCTTGTTACTTCCGCGGCCGAGCTTTCTCGGCAACCCTGGTCAAAAAAGCCCAGCCTAATCCAGGCCTTAAAGATTCAAGCCACGCTTGACCGGGCTTTTTTGATTTCCAGGCCAAAAATTTATAACATTAAGTGACTGCAACATGAAACCTCAGAATCTTTGGCCATTTGTTGTCCCATGAAGGACACCCTTTTCTTTACAACTGCTATTTTTTCACAAAGAATGACACATTGTCAGTTTCCACATATAACTAACAAAAAATCTACAAAAGCAGTCATATATGAGCTTTACAGACCATGCATGCCTCTTGATGACAGACAATGATTGCAATTAAGTCAGTAACAGTGTCTTTAACCAAAGTGACCTGTGACCTTAACAAAACTCTGCGGGCTCAACTGAGCTGTCTTTGAAGTTACAACCTTAAAAATTGTCTTGATGGTGTCTTGTAAAATACAATGATGTTATGGTTCTACAGACAATTATCTATGCAGCAACTTAAACACTATAATTTCACACTTGAACATGAAGATTATTGTTCCTTAAAATTGACACCATGCAGACTAAACCTTTGCATGATTATTGTTAGATGTACAGTGTCTTTATATTGATAAAAGAGCTATGGAAATGGTTTAAGTCCAGACAGCTTTTCATTCTATCATGCTAGAGTTGTACTTGGATTTCATGTCTAAAGCAATGGCGTGGTCTTGGTGTGTTCAAGGTGTCTTCAGTTCGATCAGTTTTCCGTACCTGTGAGCTTATAATAAATGTCCAACATGAACAACGTCCACAACACGTTTTTTGTCACAACTTGGATTTATAATGTGGTCCAGCATTTTCTTTCCCAACTTAAGTTTACCTCTTGCATTTAACACTTCAAATGCGTTGGAATACTCTAATCAACGCTGAAAATAACCGCAAACCTAACCTTTCACAAACCGCACGTTCTTGATTAGCCGCTGTCACAGCGTTTTGGGCATCCCCATTCCCAAATCCCTAGCGTTTTGGGCATCCTCTTCTCATATTACTGCAGTGTTTTGGGCATCCCCCGGTACCCTCCCGGGATGCCCAAATCCCTAGTATTTTGGTCATCCCCTCCAAAAAGATGCTAGATTTCGCGGGAAAATCGAAAACGATTTAGAGATGGCTTCCGCTAAATATAGAAATCTTTTCCAGTATCTTAAAAAGAAGGCTTATCCGGAAGGCTTTACAAAGCAAAAGAACGACTCTGCGAAAATTTGCCAAAAAGTTCGAGTATGACTCAAAATTAGTGTCCTTGTTTTACGTGGCCAAGGAGAAGGATGGCACAGCGCTTCGACGACTTGTTATCACAGAGGAAGAGAAAGCGAGGGTCTTCGAAGAGTGCCACTCTGCTCCTTTCTCTGGACATGCCGGCCGCGGTAATACTTTTACACCCTGTGAAGGTTGTTTCCAAGGTGTGGTACTTGGTCGGAATTGATTTAATAGAAGCCCCTACTACATCTCAAAACGGCAACAGTTTTCTTCTGTGCCGTAGGTGCAAGAGGCCTCTGTATAAATTGTGTGACAGCCTTTCGCTCGTGTGTCAAGTAGCGCTGCGGGGTTAAGTTGTACAGGCCTCAAATGTCATGCATACTGTGAATTCAATTCACCGCAAAACGCAGTTTTATTCATGTTTGTCTTTTGATTGCTTTGTTTAGTATTTTTGTTTTTGGCTGTTCGGAATTAGACGATCGCAGCTGCCGGCGATTGCGGCATTGCTCGCTTGTAACAGTTCTATTAAATAAAATTGAAGCTTTGCAAACAATGAAGTGTTGTACCGCGAAGCGATGTTATATATATATGCTGTTGTAAATTTCAGTTTCGTCATGTTTTGAGCCAACGTTTAATGCCTACGGGTTTTTTTCTGCGCAATAAACCCGGCGAAACGGTGTCAGACGATACAATTCTAACATGCATCTACACTATATTCAGCCGTAAATTCGAAATTGACAATCCCGACTTTTCCCCAGTCTGAAATAATTTAGGCAAAGTCGAAACGATCAGCGTTTTCGGCATCCCCCACTGGGGATGCCCAAAACGCTAGGAATATGGGAATGGGGATGCCCAAAAACGTGGGGATGCCCATATCACTGTGACATTAAACTGTGACACCGCCAAGACACCGCCATGTTTTTTGCTTCCAGGCTTCCACGTGCCTTTCGCACATGCGCAATTTGATTTACTTTATTCACGCGGACTTCACTAGTCTCCTTCGCAGCCGTTATTAGGGTCGTCACTCGTCACGCAACGCTCCTCCCCACTAAGTGAGGAGGAGCGTTGCGTGACGAGTGACGACCCTAATAACGGCTGCGAAGGAGACTAGGACTTCACAAGCAACAGAGTATTTTCGTGAGACTGGCTTTCTATTATCCATGTTACTTTCGAGACAAAGTGATCAATTGCGAAGTTTGTGTTCACATAAAGCATGTCTCCAAGTCAGTTAAGTCAAGCTGGATTATTGCATGAAGGTATGTTTTCTAGTAACTTCGTGTAATTAAGCTTAAATTTCAGAGATGAAGAGTCTAGATATACCCGGCAGTCTGGAACTGTTTTCAAAATATCTTATGTTCTCAGAGGAATTAAACGACCTATTTCGAGAAAACTGATCAAAATTTCTGACTGCCAGGTATCTAGTTTTTTGAAAACAGTTCCCGGCTGCCGGGTATCTAGATACTTAATATTTCGAATTTGGAAATTAAAATTTAAGAGGAATGCACAGATATGCCATTCATGATTGATTGATTCCTTTATTTGTTTACTGCAGAAATAACTGTACTCTTTGTTACAAATCGTCAAAGGAATACTCTGAAAATTGTATGTTCTGGCGCTTCAAGGTTATGGCAGACTTGTGAAGACCAAATAAATGTAGGAGAAGAAATTAAGCATTTAGTTTCAGATATGCATGCATGCAATGTCTGCTACAGGTTAGAAGCAATACATTTTCCAGTGATACTGACTTGAAAGTTGAACTTACATATAATGTTAAAATACAGCCTGTAGGTTTGTTCATTTGAACTTCGATTCAAAATGATAAATACAAGGTACATCACTGCAATTAAGGTAAAAAAAAAGAGCACCAGCACTTAAGCTTGATGTGTGGACCTTCAGTTCAGAAGGCTGTTCGGCGACTTTGAAAGAAACAGTCATTTAGCTTTTTTTTTTTCCATATAAATGATTGTATTATTCAAAGATGTTTATTTAATTTGTCTTTTCACTAAAACTGAGTGCTAAATTGTTTCTCTGTTAACAAGCAGAAATTGTGAAGAAGTGGCCACTATGTCATGTATTATCATATTATTACAATTTTAAAAATATTTCTAACAAGAAAATTGAAATCCAGATGTTAAATGTATGTGGTGATGTGTATGTTGAGCAAAATAAATTTAAAATCAGCTGATCTTGTCATTTGGATTATAAACAAACACTGTCTAGAGATTCCATTAACAGGGTATGATGACTAGCTATAGGTTACTTTGCACTATATTTATACTGTATGCATTGTCTAAGTTTGGTATGCTTAAACTGACTTTTGACTCAGCATTGCTATAATAGTCATATTAATAATAGTGCAAGTTTTTGTGGCTTCAGGCTGAGCTTGGGTGGACTATATTCTATAAGACTGACCACTCAAGGTAAACCCTGAACAAGCATGCATGCCCTGTAATTTGATCTTGGACAGGCTGGTCAAGGTTTCTTGGCAAGCTTGACCAATTTTTGGCCCCCACCAGCTGTGGCCTGTGCAGGCCAATTGTAGGCCAAACGTTTCTGCTTTTCCTTGCCAGGCTTTGCCAGTTTTGACCCCCGCCAGCCGTGGCCTGTCCAGGCCATGCAGACCATTTATGCTTTTTGCTTTTCTTTCTCAATTTTGGCCCCGGGCCAACCGCGGCCAGGCCAGGCCGGGCTGGCCCTGTGGCCGCAGCTTCCCCGGTTTTTTTATCCCCTGGCCAACATGGCTTTGACCCCAGTCTACCCCGGTCTGGCCGGGTTCCTGATGCAAGGGAAATGCTGTGTCGTGACAGATGGAGCGGCAGACATTGTAGTCGTGCCACTTGGGTTTTTTACTTGGCTTGTTTACATTTGCACATATTGCTTGCCTATAGCAACTTTCAATCAAAACAAGTGATCTCGCTTACTCTATTTGGGTGACGCCCAAATAACAATGGGATAAATGCGTCCACACGGGGCTTTAGAGTCAAACTAAAACCATCAAGATAGAGCAGAATAAGTTACCAGGTTTTTCTACCCGAAGTCTACAGTGTTGAACACTGAGCACACAGTGTGAAGTTTACAGTGTATGGAATATAAACCTATGAGTTCAAAAACTGGTGTATGACTAATCTTCTACAGGGATACACCATAAATTATTTCCAAATCAGCTCTACCTGCAAATCCTGCAACTATAGCTACCATATACAATATTATTGTCTCAAAATGAAGATGTGTCACTTAATTTAAGGGTGACCACATTTTAGCTTTGTACTGCAACCAAAATTGTGACTAAAGCTAGGAAGCTGGAACTATCAGAGAAGACAGGTATACAATGTATAATTTTTATTGTAAAAGTAAAATCACTTGCACGCAAACACTACCTCCGTTTTCTCTTCTTCTTCACTTCCAATTTTGATGCGTTGACCTTGCCTTACCCATCTGTCTTCAGTTCTCTTCAACTGTTAAATAATAAGATTCCACTCACCAAAATATGTATGTATATGTATGAGCTTTGTGGCAATTTTATTTTCAGGGTTAGATTAGATAGGCCATTCTAACAAAAACAGAAGCTAATATTCAAGTAATCATGGCTCTGTCAATTCCAAGCACGCCCAACTGCCCCTTCTCACTCTCTCCTGACCCCTGGGCAGCCCATTTGTCAGGCATTTGTTAATCTTTCTTTTTTTTTGGAAACCTGCAAATGCTCCCTCAGGTGAAGGGGCCAGCAAAAATTCATACAATTCATACTTGGACTTAAATATCATTCTGCACGAATCCTCCCTCTTGGGAACAATCAGGCATAATAAGATGAAGTTTTCTAAAATAAAGCTTAGAACATTGCAAATTCAACGGCAATTAGTCACCATACTATCAACAATAATATAGAAAAATCAACCCCTCGGAGTTTTCCCAATATTATTTTAGATGGCTGGCCACAAAAAAGCTGCATCCTTCCCTTGGGGAATTTTAACATAACTTGACCCTCTGAGATACCATATTTATTCGAATAAGCGCCCAACCTTGAATTAACGTCCACCTCGAATAAGCGTCCATCCTAAAGGCAGAAAAAGTTAATAAGCGCCCACCCCCTCCTCCTCCCAATCAAACTCAAATAAGCGCTCACCCCCACCCCACCCACTTGAGTGAATAAATTCTAATAAGAGACTTCTCCGAGGACGGAGTTTTCTTCAGAGTATTATACAGAAACTTTGCTTTGTTACTTCTTCGCGTTTTGTTATTAGCATTTATTGTTTTGTTGCAAAATAAACATACTTCACTTGCTAAAAATGGCGAAAATTTAATAAGCTCCCAACCTCAAATAAGCCCCCACTCTCAAGGCCCAAAAATTTAATAAGCGCCCAGGGCGGTTAATCGAATAAATACGGTAAGACTAAACTGCATTGCATCCATTTTTCTATTATTTTAACTAGTACAAAAGTGGTCATTTACGGAGTAAACCTTCACTCACTCAGTAACAATTATTTCTTACTAGGCAGTAACAATGCATTTTTGTCAATGATGAGAACCTAGCCTACAACGAAAAATTGTAAGCGAAACTTACAAGTGAAGACAAGATGGTACACTTTTCAGTGTTTCGACACTAGAGGGATGGTAAAATCTTTGTTCAGACTACTGTCTACTCTCTCGATGGCTCCCCGGGCTGTAAGAATCTTCTCCAAAGATGACTTGGAGAATCTATAAATTAATTTAACTAATTACCACTTACTTCCTTCTATGTTTAGGCTGGAGAGAAAGTGTCTCTTTTATCTAACAAAAAATTATACTGTATTTATTTGATTAAATGCCACCCTCAAATAAACACCGCCCTCCATCAAACGCTACACCTAATCAGAAGAATGTGGCATTTACTTGAGGATAATAATAAAAACCTCGGTACGACTTGGTAATTTACAACATGCAGACATTTGCGATTCTTATATCTCAGCAAGGGAGACAATTGGAACCCTTAAATTACATACTATTTACAAACAATTTACAACAACTGTTGTCAGTGATTCAAAAAGGGTGATTTTGAAATAAACGCTATACCCTTGAATAAACACCACACTTGAATAAATGCCACCCTTGTTTATAGACAGTGCCAAATTGGAAACAAACGCCGTGGCATTTACATTGTAATTTAATCAAATAAATACAGTATAGCCCTCATTAGCTGACTTAATTGCAAGTGGATTTCTTAGTTATTTCTTTTATTAGTAAGACCCATCTATCAAAATTTCAGTGGTTTTGTTATGTGCTCTGTTTACTTTGGCTTCTTTGATGCCTGACCTTTTTACTTTAATTTTCTTACCCTATCATATTGCGCAAATTACACTGGCAGGGATCCATGCATATTCATTTTTTCTCAGAGTCATCAGCCAGGCAAGTATGAGCCCGGTTACAATACAAGGCACAAAATAGCGCCAGACAATGGAACTGAAAATGAAATTGTTCATTTAAGGGTCTACAAGAAAGTGCTAAAAGAAGAGAGATATTTGATTGACTATTACAAAAGAAATTAAAGCACCAATTTGCCTCTGTAAAACAAATGAATTGACACTGACACTATATGGATATCTTAAATATGTCAAATTGATCCACAGAATCCTAGCTAACCTGCGATCAGGCATTTTTTTGGTTTCTACCCTCATCTCCTCCCCGGGATCTCCTCCCAAAGAAACCACATTGATAAGGTCAATGCATAAATAGAAAATGACTAAGTTGGGATCGCGAAAATTACATTTTCCAAAAAGTGACTAAGATGGGGTATATAATTGGCCAAAAAATAGACTATAATGGGGTAGGGGCTCTGAGAGGCCTGCGGCACATACCCAGCAAACATAAACCCAAGTACCCCCCCTCCCCCAAGGCTAATCCCACTTAAACTCTCTTTGAGCACCACTCTAAATTAATGCCCCTGTTAATTAATCCTTTGTACAGATATTAGCCTTCTTTTCTCTTTTTACTTTTGCTTTGTTCATTGTTTCTCTTTGTTTTTGTATGTATAAGTGTAATGATAATTTTTTTAACTTTTATATTTTTTTCCTTTGTATAAATGTGTAATAAAGTGTTGTAAAAAAATAAAAAAATAATAAAAATAATATTTTTTAACAACCCTGATTTTTTCAAAAATCATTTACCCAATAAGCTGGGTAAATTTTGCTAATTTAGTAGGTGGTAGATTATTACATATGAAATTCCCTAAGAAATGCCCTCACCGTAAGCAGACTTTTTATGACTGGGAAAACACGCCTTCATATTATAACCTATGAAATGCTCAACAAATTCACAGGAGAGTGAAGTGGTATGGGGCTTGGTTGTGGGCTGGCTTGGAATTGACTGAGCCATTACCTAAACATGAAATTAGGCATATAGTACAGCTGGTACCATAAACCCAATTAACAAAGATCACCCCTCTATACCACATACAGAATATTGGCACTTAGGATGCTAATAGATCTCTTTGTAACCAAATGGTGATCATGCAGTACAAAAGGCAAGGACAAAGCACAATTAAAAAAGTCCATTTGACTATGTAAAAGTCGTGACATCACCAGTCACGATGATGAGTTTATAAGTCAATTAAGAACTCCATACACTGAAAAGTTTTAAGTGTAGGAACATTAATCTTGCTCTGGGCTGTTAGTGGAAGGATTTTCATTCAACAGGTAAAAACAAGCACATGTTTCGGGCCATTCTGTAGTTTCTGTGAACGATTAGTAAAAAAAATATCCTTGGATAAACTCATCCCTTTTCCAGACCTATTTAATAACTTCTTTCCACCCATGTTCTTTTGCTTTAGGTACAAAACATACTTTATGTGTTGATGAATTTAAATAGACCTAACTGTCACGGTTTTCAATGCCATCTTGATGAGAAGGCAAACGTGTGAGAAATTACAGTGTTTGTATGAGAATCTAACGTCGAATAATTTCCGTAGAACAGCTGTTCTGAACAAAATATCGATTGTCAACTAAGCTACAAAGCTAAGGATTGTCCTAAAAAAATTTGGGGGCAAACCTGTGCTTAAATTTCTCCAGAGGCTTGCTTTAGACTTTCCATATATTTGTCTGTAATTTTCCCGGGACTTTCTTACAGACAAATGCAAAGAAAATTTTAAAAAGTGGTTCCGATCTAGGTCTTCTAGTGCATGTAATGCCTTCAAATTTTTTCAGGAGAATCCTTAGGAGTGAAGCTTTAGTTTACAAATCATATTTCTTTCAGAACAGCCATTCTATGGAAATTATGCGACATTAGATTCTCATACAATCACTGTAATTTCTCATGCATTTGCCTACTCGTCAAGATGGCATCGAAAACCGTGACAAGGTCTATTCAGAACACAATAACTAATTGAGAACATGCACTGTCTTTATACCTCTTATACAGGTCACTACCAGTTATCATGGTCATTACGGGTAGATTCAAGGCCGAATGTCTTTCCCCTCATCAATTTTAATCAAAATCCTGAGTATTGCACAAACAAACTGTGTGGGTCCCCTGTGGTAAAATTAGTCTCGTCAGGGGGGATTCCAAGAAAACGATTATCAACAAAATGTGGCAATCGCCAACAACAAGAAACAAGTTAAATAGAGTCAAAGACATTATTCACTAGAATTAAAACAAGTAAAAAGTCAGAAACTGCCTCAAAACTTTCGATTCCCACTTTTACACACAACAGAAAAATTATAACCCGGGCGATCTGTCGATGGATATAAACAAAGAGTGCGAATTTAACAGTGACTTATTAAGCGGAAGTAAGTCGAACATTAATTCCTAAAACAATGAATCGAACGTTTGCTCTATTTTCTCAATGGGCTGACCAGCAAGCTTTGTTTAGTATAATACGCACTCCTTGGAGACAAAACAAATTCTCTCTCTCTCTGATATTACGCAAGACCTACAGAGCTTAATTTACTCACTAAAAATTAAGTCGTAGAATTCCACGCGATATCACAACACCGAATTAAATTAAAGTCTTGGTCGATATAAACATAAATTTTAAGTGAATAGAAAACTAGCTTTACCTGAACTTGTCCTGGATTATCATCGTCTGATCCTACATGCAGAAACGAACAATCAATCGCACGTTGGAATTATCCTTCACGGAAAGCCGTGTTCTTTCTCAATCTTATAATTACAAACGCAAGCAGTTTCATGACCAAAATTCGACACCATTTTACAGATCTGAGGAGACCTGAGGTAACAAATTCAGAATTGGGGAGAATCGACACTTACTTTGTTGTGAAGTCGGCGGCTCACAAGCATTTCTAAGATGTAAGAGTTAAGGATACATACAAAACTTGTCTCGAACTTTTAAGTTTACCTTAGCCATACAAGACATTTTTGCATCGATCAATATAGGTACACAAAAACTAGCAAGAGCAAACAGGATTCAGTTTCAGTTACAGTTACCAAATCGAGCTCATCAAAGCCTTCAAAATAAAGATATTACAACAAGGATACTGCTGTGGTGCCCTGATTTGAAGAATCATTGCACGCAGGGAAGCAGCAGCTTTCCCCTTCTGCATTTTGGCGCAAGCGTTCTTTAATACGCTATCGACAAATGAAGCTTCTCACGAAGGTCTTCCGTTGCTTTGGACAATGAATTTGAAAACAGTTCAAAAACACAAAACAAAGGTAACAGCGTATTTTTAGATGATTAGCGCTGTTTTGCTTACCACTAGCTTCCGGGAAGATAGATTAGCCAACATAAATAGTGACGAAACACGAGGTCAAGAGGAGGGTAGAGGAGGGTTGGTACATAGGTCCACAGGTAGCCCAAGCTCGAAATTGTTGCGTAACATTCGAAACTGTATAAGGTTGTTCTATGGGAAAAAAACCTATCGTTTCTGTAACCTACGAAAATGAAACGATTTCAATAGAAAACAGCTTACCTTACTTAAAATGTGTGTTACGTCTCTCCTGTGTGGTCCATGGGCCAATTTATGGCCGTTTTATGGGTTGTACTAAGATTAACCACAAAGGACTGCAAACGAATTACCCTGCGAACAGAGTCTCCTTCGATCTTCCTAGATCATCTAGAAAAGATCGAAGCGACTCCTAGCTCCTAGCAGGGTCTTTTTAAAGCAATGCGAAAACGAAAAACCAAATTCCAATCCGTTTTTCAAAGCGATGCGAAAACGAAAAACGAAAACGAGATTTCATTCCGTTTTTCAAAGTGAGACGAAAAGGAAAAACGAAAAGCAAAATTCAAATCAGTTTTTTGATGTCACGCGTGAACGAAAAACGAAAAACGTGACAATTAGATTTTAGCGCGTATGGTATTGCTCCCGAAAGAAGCATAGAACACACTACTCACGAGGTCGAAGCGGTGCTCGCAAAAAGTCCTCCAAACACGACTTCTTTATACCTTTCCACTTAAAATGTATCAGTATTTCAAGTATTCAAATTCCCTACTCTTCCCTTTCGATCGATTGTCGAGTTGCTTCGGGTCTCTTGATATTAGAAGTCTAGGCGTTTTTACAGAAACCGTCCTCGATCGTTATCATCTTGATATTTGTAAATCGAACGCTAAGACGCATAAAATCATCTCGATTAATCGGTTTGGTAAGACATGCTGTTACTTTTCTTCGAGGAACATCCCAGCCATAGCGCTCTTTGCTGCGACATTTCTGTCGAACTTAGTCCTTTCGCGGTCAAATCAATGTTTTGGTTGCGGTCTGGACCAATCACATTGCAGGAAATTACATATCCAGATCTGGTTGTGGCCGGGACTGAAGAATAGATTTAAAATAATTTTCGTGAGAAGAGGGTCATGCATGGGGGATTCGATCTCTTAGATCATTCTCTCTTGGTTCCTGATAATATCCATTCCCAGAAAAGGAAGGCTGCCGTTAACTACAAGTTTTATTGAACTTTGTTGTTTTTGAAAAATGAAAAAAAAGTTGTTTAGGCTACACATGAATTCTCCACTTTTCAACTGCAATGAAGGTTTATCTCCTGTACAATATTAAAAATAGTTATCTTGGAGGTGTTTTAATAATAGTTAGTTGACCAGACTGCTTCTTGAGTTTAAAACTCCGTCAATTATTCGTACATGTACCCGTTTGTATATATCAAATAGGCTTAACTTCTTTGAAATATATCCGTCCGTACTCAGTGCTTAACCACTCTGCTTAACGCACCCGGAGCCTTTAAATGGAACAATTTGTCATTAAGCTATTTTTTAGGTGCAGAAATACATAACATGAGTCGAGTTGACCATCTAATTACGCTTTTTCCAGACCGAAGGGATCATATCTTCGAAAGCGTGAAGAAACTCTCACGCTTTGATGAGTCAGTGATCGATTCAAACAGCCCACAAGATGGAGAGATGTCATCAAATCTTTTGGCCACTTGAAAATGAATTCCGGAAAATTTTCAAAAGATTGTATTTTCATTACGCTGAGCAATGCACAGATCTGGAAAAGAAGCTAAAGCAAAAACCATGAAAAACAAAAAGAGGAAAAACAGGCTCATAAACAACAACAAAGATAACCTTTGGAAAGTATCATAATCAACTTGGATAAGACATTGCCGTCTTTAGATAATTTCGTGCCGGCATATGATAAATAATAAATTTCATCTTGAGACAGGTCATTGTATCTTAGTACGAGACCTGCTTCCTTGGAGAACAAAAGCAGCGTGAAATCCCATTTTTTAGCCAGGATAAAATTGGTCAAGCTATAAGTTATTGTTGCCCTCGTTTTTTCCTTTAATGACAATGGCAACCGCTGTATTTCTTGTCCTCCTCGCGTTTACATTCGGGGCCCTATGCCACCAAAGTGTGCAAAATTATGGGCTCAAAAGAACCCTTCTACCATGCCAAAAACAAAACGTTAAAGCGCTTTCCAACCTTGTTGGAAATGGAAAGCCTATCCTTGGAAATGGAAAGTCTATCCCAGACAAGCTATCACCTCAATTTGACTGTACCAGTTCTATGGCGCAGAAAAGAATCGCCTACAGCGACAACGAAGTACGTTACGATTTCACAAAGTCCTGCTACGTTGAAGGGGATTTACAGTTGGTGGTAAAAGTGAAAATAAATCCTGACACAGCCGCCCCCGGTTCAAAGGAATGTGCAACTCTTCCAGAGTTTCAAGCAGTGTTTCTCCAACAAGAGCCAAACAAAAACACTTATATGGCCTTACATCCAAGAAGGGCCCATTGGTTTTTCACTAGAAGTCTTGGAGGGTGTGAAATGTTCGTGGCAAAGGGATCCACCCGTCAGGATGTCCTTGTTATACACTCCAATTTAGACAAGTGTGAAAACAAACTGGCGAATCTCCAAGAGAAGGGTGCATCTGTTGACGAAATGATGGGACGCCACCCTGGGTATCACTTGATTGCTCGTGTGTACAGTGAACCTTCTGCGGTAGAGAAGCTAGCAGCTGATGCGTATATGAGAGGTTATGAAAGAGCCCATCCGGGAATTTTAACCATAGCCTACAACAACCAGCCTCCAACAATACTTCAATATTTTCAGTTTATTGGTCATTACAACGACGCTGAGTACTGGATCTTTACTGTAAAGGGAGAAAAGGACGGCAAAGTGTTTGGACGAATTCAAGTTAGGTGAACGCTGTTCCCTATAAAATTTTGTTGTATATGTTAGAGGTTTGCAGCTTAGTCGTTTTGAGCTACAACCACTTATATTGGCATCTAAAATGATAAAATACGGGCAAGGATAAGTGTACAGTAGTTTTGTCTTATTTGACCTTAATTCCTTGTTCATCCCTTCATCCATTCCTTCTTTAGTCTCCTGACTGAATAGATTGTCACAGATTTCAATACAAATGTCAACAAAGTTGCAATTCCTAACAAAGCCTGTCGCCTGTTCTTATATTCCCTCACGTGAAGATTTCCAGCCTCGAGGTATATCTACTTTTTTGGAATTTGAAAATGTTCTTAATTCCACACACTTTCACTAAATTTGCATTTTAGAATTAAGAACTGACCGGGCTGCTATTCTCTTACGTCTGAAAACCCGACATAGAGGAATGTAGTAGGCTATTAATTGGGTCAAATCGACGCCTGCATAGCACGATCCAGTCCACTCTTCTTTGGACGTTACAAAATCTTAGCCTGCGTAGCAAGCGTTTTCGGGCGAGTTTGCAGTTTAGTTTAAGTTGGGACGATCGAAACGTTTGCTAGAGGGTGGTAAAGTGCGAGCGGGAGGAGGGGGTCCGTATTGATCACGCTTCATGGAAAATAAAATGGCCGTTTCACATTTCACGCACAATTTCAAAACTTTCACCAGGAAACGTTTGCAGTAGCCAAAAAGCAAAAATTATGGCACACAGGGCACAAAAAATGGTATCCCAGAACAGTATCTTTTCTTTTGTGGGGATTAGAGTCTGAGAATTAAGATCTCGTCCATAGTGTGACGAAATTTCTACACTTCAGTACTCTTGTGGGCCGTCTGGACCGATCTCAGTGCGCATGTCAGAAAAGGTTTCGATCATTTAATTACTAAACTGCACAAACTTTTCATGAGATCTCATTTTCAATGGCCGATAAAGTGGAGATCAGTTTTTCGAGACATCGATTAGAAACCTAAAACGAAAAAATCAATGAATTGAAACTACTAGCGACGATTTGTCTTTGAAAAATGTTTTTATAATTACTAGGTTTTACAAGACATCAGTTGCTCTCTTGTGTCCGTTGTGTTCATATTTAGTAATAATTAAGTTCCTTCTGGACAGACAATTACTACAGGCCCGCGTTTGCCACCCAAAGAGCGATGAACTGTCCCATTCTTTCCGTTTGTCGAATTCAACTTGATGTAGTAATACAGTCAACTGTCTCGTAGTAAGCGACCACCCTTCGTGATCGACAAAGTGGTCGCTTACGGGAGGTGGTAGTCTATTGGAAAAAGTTACTACGTTACAAGCTAAAACTTAGGCAAATAGACAACTGGCAATAATGTTTCACATCGAATAGCGCTTGGAATTGTTGTTGACATTTTGCAACTATATAAATGTTACAATCCACCTTTTTACTTAAACAGATCGTTTTACAGCCATCTGTTTTGACTTTATTTCTCATTGGAGGCTGGAGTGTCTGGAGTGGTTTTCTAACAATCATACGTGAACACACCGGGTGGTCGTTCACGGGAAACAAAACCAAAAGGGTTTGTCAAATTTCTGGTTTAAAGAGGTCGAAATTTACGAGTGGTCGCTTCCGAGAGAGTCTTTGAAACAGTATTCGTCGAATGATAATGAGCCTTGATAAGTAAGCGATAAGCGATTCGATTTGGCGCCCTCCTCCAATAAGTGCCCCTTTTCGAATAAGCGCCCCCTACGAATGTATTTTTGAAAGAGATAATGAGCTAGCTCATTTTCTCTTGATTTTTGTTGATATGCGCCCCTATTCCATTAAACGTTCTCATTCTAATCATAACTATAACAAAATTGTCAAATCTGATTGGCTATCAACTGCCCTGATTTCAGCCTTAATTGGACAGTTTGGTAGGACAGTACGCGTCATGCCTAAGTAATTGGACAGTACGAGCCATCACGCGCGCGCTTAAATGGCTTTTTTTGTCACTGCTAGCGAAACAAAATTTCGAATTTCTTGTGTTTTGATTTAAAAAATAGCTTATTATATCACAAATTTTGTTTAAGTTATGATTAATTGGTAATAGAACTTCGTGTCGTCCAATTCGGTCTGTAATCATACTCGTGATTAAACAAATGTTAATCACTCGTATGATTACAGACCGAATTGGACTCCACACAGTCCTGTTACCATTACTAATACGCGCCATTCTAAAAATTAGTTGGAACGAGCAGCATTTTGGCCCGAGGTAAAAGTCGAGTGTTGCCTAACGACCCCCTATCTACACCAACAACGAATTGCAGTACTTATGCGAGAGAAACAACGCGAGCAATTACTATCGTAATTAAGCGCAAACAGCCCTTTAGCCGAAATGTTACTATTTATTTTAAAATATATTATAATCTTTTTGTCGAGCATTGTGGCCCCTATTTGCGCACTAACATATGGAAAATGTGCCGGAAAATGCTCTGAAAGACGAGGCAACAAAGGTTGCAGCGCGTATAATTTCAGATTTACCCCCTAGCTCGTACATCAGCCACTGAGTCTCGAGATAAACTTGGATGGAAATTGCTCTCAAGAGGACGTGCTGAGCATTGTGCCATCTTTAGGTTTAGGCGCCTGAACAAATTGTTTCCACATTCTTTTAATGTTGTCCTAACTAGAGAACATCTTGATTACAATACCAGGTCTAAGGATAATGTAAAGCTTTTCCAAATAGAAACCGGGGCCTTTGGACTTCGACAAATTTTGCTTCGAACGAATGGAATAATCAGTCTAGATAAGTCAATGAGGGAGCTCAGTTCACTTGAAAAATTTAAAAGGGCCATGTAACAATTTGATTAATTGATAGAACTGAGTTCTTAGTAAGTTCTAATTTAGTTATAGATTTGTCTTATTCACTTAATGTTTTTTAATTGGGGGACCCCTCTATGGAGCACTTTAGGGTGAAGTAGGCATCATCAATAAAGATTGTCATTATTATTAGTACTCGAGTAGTAACAGAGAAAGGAAAATTAAGAACAGTTAGAAAAAGACAACTGAACTAAAGTTCTTCATTTTCATTACTTCATCAGTGAGGGCCCCAAATAAGTTTCAGTGTCGGATATGGTATTGTATATCTTTTAATTTTACAACATAAGGCAGACAAGTTGCAAAAAAATAAAACACTTGTCACTACTTTGTTAAGAGAAAAAAGTTCAGACGAAAGTAGTCGATTTTTAACGGCACACTTTCTCGACTTTCCCAACTCAACGCTTTATGTGTTCTCTGTATTCTATTCCTCAAATGAAATGTGACGAGTATCTATATATATGTTTATATAAGCCAATAAAAGGAGGTAACAAAGTAAAACAAACTCTAAAAGATCAGGGTTATGGGCCCCTAAAAAGACAAAAACAATCCTGATAATTAAAATATTCATTCAGCCATACTTCAGGGCTAAAATATATGATCTGACCTGGTGAAAAAAAAGTTATGGTGGAGAACTTACTTCCCATTGCCAGCTTCCAAGGGGTTGTCCTGTTTTCCACTTAAGTAATTTAAGCCTCAGTTTATAGTCGTAATACCCCTGAGCATCAAGTGTATTTAACAAGCTGAATATGTTTAATGTAGAGTCTCTTGTGCTTAGTAATGTGCACGTCAAAAGAGGTGTCAGTGAAATAGTCCCCTCTACGTATCCACTCGTTTTTATTCCTCCGCGGTTTCCAGCCCACGTTCAAAACAGCTGACACACTGTAAGATTCGTGAGCAAATTTAGGCATTTTGCAAGAAATCATATATGACAAAGTTTTGCCTCTGCGATAGCTCGACAAATCCACTGCTGTTTTGGCGAGTAAAATCGAAGGTCCATCTGATCGAAGATCTTCCTTAAACTCCACAATCAATCGCGAATTTCGAGGAAATCGTTTCGGAGCCTTACCGATGAAGGAAATATTCCCTCTAATCTTGATGTATTTTTTAACGTTCACTCGCGGTTTACGTGTATTATGTAGATTAACCGGAGTTAAAACAGGCAGAGATGTTGAGTTGCTTGTCACTGAACTGGTAGTTTTTCTGTCCACAAAGGCTGGGCTTACTGTGGACGGCTTTTCGGAACGAATGGTCAAATTTTGGTCAGTTGTAAACGGGGCCTTCGTGTTCCGACTCATCTCAGTATGAATTTTGCTTTCCAGGGTTGTTTTCTCACTCATGCCAGTCTCAGTGGAGCGAGTTTGAGAAACTGCCGTAGTAACAGTTGCAATCGAGGCTGTCTCGCTTGACAACGAGCCTTGTCCTCTGGCCATGACACCCTCATGTTGCTGACAGTCAAACAAGCACACATATTGATATTTCGCGTTGAGTGCAAGAAAAACAAAAACTCCAATAGCCAGTACTAAGAGGATTGTCAACAACACTGCAAGCCATAAGAACAATCGATTTTTACGCATCTCATAGTTGATTTTGCAGTTGTTTTTCATGGTGTAGAAACAACTGCGGCTGATTCCAGCGTCAATATGTTTTAGCGATCGTTGCTATTTGCGGACTGCTCGAGATACAGATGCGCCTGTAATATCGCCCAATACAACGTGGAGACATGATCTGAATACTTTTCAGTCGGGAGCAGTGACCCTGTCATTCTATATAATTGCTAACAAGGAAATGTTTGAGCAAAGACGTGTAAGAACGCGCCAAAACAGGATGATTAAATCTAGTTTAGAGACTATAATGCGATTAGTGATGTAATGAAAACGTTTTCATTAGATATAAAGTGAGATGATGGCAGAATAATTGTTTATCAAAGCATACCGATTGTTGGCAACGCACTTGACATTTTCGAATAAACCAAGCCCCCAAATGGTATTTTACTGGCTTGTTGCCATAAACCAGAATCTAGCGGGGGAATGACTCTCATTTACAAAGGACTGAGAGGGGTCGTGGAAAATAAAGTACAAAAACCGTGGACGTCGTCCCTGGTCGTCGTTGGATCTTGGGAGAGATTTTATAATCAGCTAAAAATATTTGAAATAGAGTGGCGATCAAGTCCGAAGACTGCCAGTTGAAACAAAGTCTATTTCATTCAAACTTTCCAAAGAAGACCGAGCCATGGGGACGAGGCTGGAGTTTAATTGCAGTTTCCCGACCAGCATCCCTGACTCTGTCAGATGGAAGGGGGGAGGACAGGTCAGGGGGGGTGGGGTGGGTGGGAGGGGGTTCCCCTTCTTTCTCCTGGACCACGGGAACCCGCAATCAGTTTCAATCTGTCAATTTGTTCTGAATGAGAATGAGAGATTTCGCCAATTCAATCCCACGTGCATGCGTTATTTTCTTATTCACCCTAAACGTTCGGCTCTGTTTGATTTAACTTTCTAAAGACCCTTGGCTTTAGAGAGTGACAAGAGCGGGAGGTCTGATTGTTTGTCACGAGGTCAGGCTCTTCCTATACAAAATTGGCATTATCTAGAAATGTCTTAGCATTTTTTTAAACGAAAATTATTCTTACTAATATCCGTCATTTGAAGGTTGGGGATCGAAAGGGAAAACGAAAGCGAGACTTGGTGGTGCGGAAGAGACAGAACATCTTTAGCATGTTATTCATTCACACTGACCAATTGTGAGACTAATTCAGAGGCACCCAACGACGGTTTCGTCCTAAATGCATTGAAAAGTCTTTTTAGGTTACCCAGAGTACTTTTTGATTTCTAGAAATGCATTCTAAGCGGCGCTATAAAATTTGTACCTTTTCGGTCATCCTGTTGGAACCTGAGGCTTTTCGAAATTACAAGCAGGGCTTCAGTGTTACTTTCAGAAAATTTTAGATGGAATTGAACGTTTTACGAAAGTGAAAATGCTTCTTATTCCTCTCTCCATCACATATTTGAATCCCAGAATTTTAGGTTACCTTTTTCTACGAAAGTTAGCCTAACATAAGGAGTAAAATATGAAAAATTAAACTTTAGAAAATCGAAAGGAATTTTTTGGATAATCTTCGAAAATTGTATCTCAGTGAAACGTTCGTCAAGAAATGTTTAGCCGTATTCAAGCATTAGAAAATGCTAGGCAGTATTTGCTTCTCCGAACAGATATTTTACAGAAAATAGTCGTTGGGTGACCCTGTTAATTCGTTCCTCTGTTAAGAACTTTACTTGCGTTTTCTTGTACAAGTGTTTTCCAGACCTTTCGCTGTATCGCTTCAGTTTTCTCTTCCCGTCGCTCTCTAATTTAACGACTATCATCATTGCTTATTACCGGCCCCTATAACCGTCCCTAAGGAAACCACAATCTTGAACAAAGGGAACGAAAGTGAAGAATCCTCCTCTCCCCCAAAATCGAAGATGGGAAATGGCGCGTTTTAGTCTTCATCCTTGATTTCGGGGGTTGGAAGAGTTTGCCTTTCCATTTTATTCTGACCAAGATCGAGGTCAGACGAGCACCATAATTATTTATCCTAATAATTGCTTATAGGCTGAAAAGAATTCTCTGTTTGTTAGCTTGGGCCACGGGGGTTCCGCCCGAAACGGGTACTTTCCTCAGGATTCAGGTACATTAAAAGGTAGGGATTTCACTAGTTGAAGTATATAAATGGCCAGGGAAATCCGTCATGGAATTGTGGTTTATGAAAGGACCTAAAAGGGCCAATAGACGCATTTTTAAACTGCCTGGTTTAGCGAATTATTCATCTTCAAATGACGGTGCATTTACAGCAGTTAAAAGGAATGCAGTGTTCTTAACAAGGCATTTGTAATGAGTACCACTTAAAAACAAAAGGTATACGAAAGAAGTGCCTTTTTTGTCAAAATGGTCCAAAAGGGTAAGGGGTTTAACCTCAGCGCGAAATTCCTGTTAAGACTTTGTTGAGTGAACTCCCCCCGTCCCACCCCCACGAGGCTTGGGCCACCAACGATGCTTTGAAAGGAAATACGAATCCAATTCATTTTCACCATCTCCACCGTTGCAGTGGAAGAGATCTGTTTTTTTTTTTGCTAGAAAATTGTTAGTAGAGGAAGTTGCTTCATATTCTGTCATCTACTCTCTCACACCGAGCTTTTGTTAAACGTTACAAGGATTTTCTTTTTCAACTTGTTGACTTTGGCACAAAGTTTGGAGGTCATTTTGGATCATTGGACCGGATATAGTAAGTCAAAAGGAGATTGAGAGCTTTTAAAAAGCGCCCCTCTGTGACCAGAAATTGGATAACTTAATTTTGGTGGGCATCACACGCAATAGGCAAAAGGAATAAAACTGGCAGGGAATTGAGGTCTATCCGCCAGCTCTTACACAACTGACACAGAAAAACACGTTCATTAACATCGATCGACTTCGATGAGGCAAAATCAGTTATTCATGACAAGTACCTTTGCATTGGCAAAGGCGCTTTTTTGACTTAAGGAAATCCTTCTGGATACATTTCACGAGACCGACGCTGTAAAGTAGACGCTGAGAAAGGTGTCTAAAGGATTAACTCAGCCCACGGTTGACTACAATTCAAGGGGACAAAACTTTAAGAAATCAAAAAGAGCCTCAAACGAATGCTGGTCTCAAGCCTTAGTTTTTTATCGCTGGCGGGGCAGAGCTCAAGCTTGACGGCGGTACCCAAAAACAATCGTATCAATCGTAGAACACTGCGAAATATTTTTCAGTGGATATAACTTTATTATAAATGAGTTCAGCCATCATAAAATCAAAAATCTATCATGTCTTTTTCTTTTACTATGTCATCAGCTAAATGCCATATTCCTGATTTATATTAATAATTTTATTTATAGAGCCGTTGACAAAATTCTCAAAATAGGCGTAAATAGCAAGTAAATAAAACTTCTAGCCAAGAGATAGAACCGGTATCCATTCGCGACCATCTTGTTAATTGTGAACAGATGTGTCTATCAGATACTTTAATCTATTCATTCTTTCATCTATAAACACCTGTTAAGATGCGGCTAAAATTTACTGCTCTGATGAGAGTGAATGATGGAAAATGAAGCATGTGCCTTTGATAAACTGAAATTAAACTCTAGATGGCTAAACCCTGTATCATCCTCGACCCGGCAATGTAAGGAAGACTTTAGTGGAATAACGCGAAAGGACTAAATGACGTTAACTCGTTGCCCCCTTTTCGGTTAACATTTATCGTTTGCGAGGAACACTTTCAATTCAACTGCTGAGGCGCGGCCGTGAAAGCCAGCAGAGGGCCTTGAGCTACAAGGCCGGAATATGAAGATCTATTAGGAAAGTCCTTATTCATCATCGGAGACCTTGAGGCGGACAATTGGGATCCGGAAAAAAATGACCTCAGATTTTATAAGAACCAGTTCCATTTGTATATGAATTCCCCGCTCCTGATTGGCCAGGAAATAGAAGCGGGGAATCGTTTTTGGAACTCTTACGGTAATGGGAGTTGGTTGCCCGTTTATATCCCTTTCCGATGAGTTTCACTTGGGTCATCAAAAATGGTCTCAAATGCAAAAAACGCGACACCCACTTAAAAAACCTTCCCACTAATCTCGGACGGAAATTGTCCACCTCTGGAATGTTTATGAAAGCGTGATCCATTTACGTTCCCATAGAAAATTTCCGAAATTTTTAGTGAAGGATAAACACCCACACCGTTCTCAACACTAATCTGCGAGTGATCTTTTCTTATTTTGATTTTTTTTTTCGCGCGTGAGCCGACTTTCACGGTGGCAAAAAATTACAAAAACGCCTGATTGCTGGTAGACCTGGAGAATTAAGAATAGTCTAAGAATCCGCAATCAAACTCGATCCCACGGCTTTTCCTCCCATGTCCTAGGAAAAACCCCGTAGAGGAGTTTGAAATTAGTGCAGTGGCGGGTTATAGAGGATGCCGATGATAACACTGGCAAAACTGACTTAAACCCATACGTTTTGTACATCTACAAAAGAGGGGGTCCTGCAACGGGGGAAAAGGCCCATATATAACTGCGTTGATGTATACTTTGAACAATTTTCTTCAGAGCTGCCAGTCTTGAATTCTTATTGACACTTGATCTTGATACATGAAACAAGTCATCTCTTACATATACGAGATGTTCTATAATAAAAATTTCACGAACTCTCAATCCATCTAGGCAGCAAAACAAAATATAGCCAATCGATACTTAGACGTCAAAAACGCGCTTGGAATCTACCTTTGAGATCTAATTTGCCAATCTGATATCTACTTGTGGTGTGTTTGGTACACAGGAGAACACTGAGAATATCAACCGGTTAGTAACATCTCCGCCACTTATACAGGCGTCTCTATTAACTCTACATTCCTACAATATACCGTTATTCATGAATATATAATCCAACTACTCTGCAATGTAAAACACTAACCTACCTTAACCTATGGAACAAAATGTTTTTAAAAATAGCTCTACTTGTAGTTATTCTCAAACTATTGCAATGCCAGACTTTACTATTCGGATCACAAATGTCAAAGGAGGTTCGACGAGGTACAGATGGCCCGTTCCAAGCTCTTACACAGCTGCTACGAGTTATGAAAAACTAAACGCGCATTTGACCTTTTTTGCTGTTTGAAAAGATTTTCTTCTGTAGATCACTGCAAAACCGTTCATGGAATGTTAGTGTTGTATAATCACACCCACAGAGATACGGGCCGGTTATAATTACAGTGCATTCTTGGTTGGGCCGTTTTCTAATGTTGTTGGTTTTAAGACTCTTTATAGTGGAGAAGGTTAATCATTGCTTGTGCTTTTAAGGTGTTTTTTTTTTTACGAAAAAAGTTGAATTTTCACTTGTTTTCTCTACGTACTGAGAGCTTAGAACAGGTTTCAGTACTAAACGATAAGAGGGGAGGACAAGTAAAGATGGAACTACTTAACCCTACGGACTAGTTTTCTTAATTCCGCTTTGTCAAGGTACACATGACACCGTCTTTGGGTCGAAGAGTCACTCTTTCAAGAACATCGCGTGACTGTCCAGGCACCAGAGAAAACTTGAACGTCTGAAGAAAGCGTGACAACAGAACCTTGGCCTCAATCTGGTGTCAAAAGCACAAATGATATGTGTTAATACGCTGGTACCCAGTCTCTCTGTTGGCACGATTCAAACAGATACCGAACAGTACACATGTACCTGAGCAAAGTTTTGTCCGATGCAGTTACGCGGTCCAAGTGAAAACGGAAAGTAGTTATAGTGGGACCTACAAAATAAAACACGGAAATATTATTTTTGTTAATGAAAGTTCCAAAAGAGGACGGTCAATAGAAGAATATTATAGAAGATAAAGGCTGTGTTCATACCGTACCAGATACCTTTTCGTGTTGACACGCGTACGACAAACGATCCGATATAGTTTGAACACCTATGCTATATGTGGCTCTACACAGCAAATGCAAAAGAAGGAATGGATGGACCAAATTGAAAGAGATTAAAACAGATTGAAATTGTGCATTTTTAAAAAATTGTTAGCCTAACAGTTTTTCAAAGTTCATTTTTGTTGTTTGTAACGTTTGACTGATATACTGCTTGGGAGGCATATTTGTCAGTGGGAAAGACTAAGAAACTGTGACTGATTTTGTCGTGTACAAGTGATTTCTTCACTAACGTCAACTTCCATAGCGCGTACGGAAGCGTAATTGGCAAAATTAATAAAATGAACTGGACAGTCAGGCTTTGAAGACGAGATTTCCTGACATAGTCTGTATACACTGTTTTTGGATAGCTTCCACCACACCATTTTGCATCTTTCGCCGTTTGCTATAAACACTACGGACAAAGCCTACTGACCCCGTACGTACAACGTTTTCTTTGCGCCGGTGAAGGGTTAGAACTGATTGACATGGAGTAAGTGTTACCATAACACGACAAACTCCTTTACCAACTCGCACATGAATTCGACTTGCTTTTGTTCTCAGTTACCTTCCGCCAAAAAGAGCATAACAGCAAACAAAAATAGTTCTATTTGAGTCAATTCAGAATTAAGTGCCGACAGGCCGGTGAATATTAACGCCTTAAAGTTTTGAAGCAAAATATCAGCAGTCTGAACACACCTCTTTAAAAGTTCTTCATCTTCAAATCTGTAAGGATTGTACTCTTCTGGTTTGTTCCAGTACTCAGGAAAATGACTGGACACGTAAGTGCTTGTCTGTAGACAAAACAATTTTATACTGAATGTCACCATATCCGTGCTGTGTTAGGGAGGTTAGGCAACCAAGACGGCGAGGTCGACGAAAACATCACTTAATAAAAAGTGCATTCGAGGTATTTCAAAGTTCATCGCTCTTATTGCACTTTGTCAATATTTCTAGTATTGAATTTTGAAGGATTGTTTGTTTCTAATTTCAGGAATAGCAAACGAAACTGGTTGTCTTGTGTTCACGTGAAGTTTCATGAAGTTTCACGACGGCAAAGAAATGTATCGTGACGGACGTGCAAAGTTGTTGCTTTGTTAAACTGAACCTATCGCCGCTTTTTCCGTTCTCGTTGCCGTCGCCGTCTTGATTGCTTAAGCTCTCTAATGTCATTAAGGGACGCACAATGAAGAAACATAAACAAACCACCATCAAGTTAATGTATATACAGTGGATTCTCTCTTAACGGACACCTATATAAGACAGACACCTCTGTGAAACGGACACCTAGAGTTGATCCCTGCCTTTCTTTACCCCTTTATTTGACTTCCTATAAAACGGACATATCTCTAAGACGGACACTTGGTGCCGGTCTCAAAGTTGTCCGTTTTAAACAGAGCTGACTGTACAACTAAAAGCTACTAATTAACCAAAAGTGAGGTCACTACAGGGAAATCTCAGACCAAGGCCTTGATGTACTGACTTAAAAATTGCGCGTGACAGAATCGGAGTCGAAAGAATCTGAACGTTTTCATTTTCTTCCGATTCCGCTTATGACTCCGTCGCTCACGATCCAGTGAAAACCAAATTGTTGGAGTCAGAAGCAGAAGCGGAAGGATAAACCAACCACAATGCACACTCCCACGCTTCATGATTGGTTTAGTTAGTCTCGCTTGCTTTAGACAGAAGAGAGAGACTTGTACCATAACGGAAACGTTAGCGGGTATTTTGTATCCTCCGATTTCCATTTCTTTGTTAGTCCGTCTTAAGGTTCCAGTTGCTGTGGGATGGCGGCGCAACGTTTCTTTTAAAACCTGTAAAATCAAAACGTAAGAGTACATGATCAAACACGGTAACCATGACGTAATAAGTACTATTACGGAGCGCTTGCCTACTTAAAGTTGGACTTGCCCGCAAGCTGGCGCCGATCACAGAAGAGTAAAATCGCGGGGGAGGCGATCCAGATGCGAGGAAGCGCGGAACAGGAAAGACTTCGCTTGCCCTCCCATCCGCTCTACCATTGAAACTGGGTCAAATCTCTATTCATAACGGCTTATAAACTGGCTCCAGGGCTCTTTTGTACCGTTTTGCTGTTATTGTTCTAATAGCAATTAATGAAAACGATGTAGTACAAAAGAATGCTACTAAGAAAGGGAACAGGGAAGGAACCCCGGGAACGGGAAAATGAAAAAAGGGAACACAACAAAGAAGGTTAATGGGGTTACCGATAGGGATAGAGTTCAATTTAGGTTTTGTCACCAGTTTTTATTTCCCTTTCCCTGAGCTTGCTTCCCATATTAGCCATGGACATGAAACAGGAAATTATCATAATGTTCGCATAACGCAAGAAATGTTACTAGGATCTAGTCCCCGGCTTTTGCGTTGCTTAACTACTGATTTCATTACATGCTGCACAAGAGTATAGACGAATATTTATAGCGTATGTGATAAATTGTCCCTGGAACACATCTCTGGAACCGTGTCCTCTTAACCGTAATATTTTGTATTGTCTAACAACTAGCCTGCGAAAACAACCGTCTTTCTTCTCTCTCCTCGCCGCTAGGGACGATTCGCGGCGAGGAGCCTGGAGAGATGGCTATTTTCGCAGGCCAACTAATAACTTTACGCAGGAGCCCATAACCTCTGGGCTCCTGCCCTACGAAATTACTTGTGATAGATTAGGCCATTTCTGAGTTCCAAAACTCTCACTTTCAAAATGAGGCTTAGTACAAAACCTTACGAGTTTTATATGCATGAAAATAAAAAAAATATATTTTCATATCATGAAACAGAGGCTTAGGGCTACTCGGAAATGGCCAATAAGGAGACACAGATCAGGGGGGCTCCGCATATGAAAGGGGTGGGGATGCTCGTCGGAAATTTTGAATTAAACTCCTAAAGGAGACTTATCTGGGCGTGGCCCAAGCCTTTTTGGTCTCCTAAAAGAGACCACGTTATAGCTTATATTTTTATATTTTTTCGCGTGCAACCCTAAACGAGACCTTCATGGCTAAATATGATGGCGTTTTGCCCAGAACACCCTAAGTGAGACCGAAATCAGAAATTTACACTCCTAAGCGAGACGACGAGCATCACCACCACTCTCTCCCCCCCCCCTCCCGGGACACAGATGTTAATGATGCCAAAATAGTATTTTAATACAAATTTAAAAATTGATTTGTATTGAATTAAAACACGTTACCAGTCCATGCTGATGTAATTTGGCCAGATCATCAAAGGCAACATGTTTTTTATCGCCAAGGACATCAAAAATCTCCCCTACTAAACTGCGAAGAAAGCGCATGTTAAATTTTTTTACTCCTAGCCTGGAGGAAAGAAAAAGAAAATCCTACTTGGCATTTAAGCAAGATGAACAACAAATGAATAGATCATTTTTTTTTATATTAAACAAATTACTTCACAGAGCCACATTAACATGAAAAGTAAAGTAGCTCATACGAGAAAAAAACGAAACAAACAAGGCAAAAACAACCATGTTTGACCACTAGATGCGAGCAGCATACACACAAATCCGGGGGGATATATCTGATATGGCATGTGTCGTTGGATAGGGTATATTGCTTGTTTTTAACTTCAGGGTGTTGTGATAGCTTAATTGCAGGATCTAGGCGGCCATTAACACACTACAAACATATGAAGGCAGTAAAACCAAATTGTTTTTGAGGTAAAAGGTTTTGGTTCTTAAAAAATTATAGCGTCAATTTTTAATTTTCTTTCCTTCGCGTTACATACCTTTATTCTAAATTAACCGGAGTTCCCTCCGGAACATCAAAGACAAGAAGACAAAAACCAAATGATGCCTAAAAAATGCATGGTTTTTTTTTAATACTACCTGTCTAAAATATCCGGATGATCTGCAAGGTCCAGAACACAAAACGCTAGCATATTAGATGTAGTCTCGTGACCTGAAATTCGAAATTCAACACAGTAATGCCGTTTAAACGCTTCTTTTCACAGGGGTTCACTTTCACAGTTGCAAGAAAAAACAGACAGAAAAAACACTTCCGAACAGGCCCGCGAAGCGCGCGCACGGGAGCACCATGGGTAACAAAATTTGGTTATCTACGCATCCAAGAAATTTTGGTTCGGACAAAATCGTCTGTCAGTCCGTCCGTATGCTTTCCGCAATCGTGTTAGCGGACGCAAAATGACACACTCACTATCTAGGAGATCAAGCTGGGAGCTGTCAAAAGGGTATCCGCTGACTAGTGTCACATGGCTGTTTTCGCGGGCTCAGCTGTAGAACTTATTGAGGTAACGTGTTATCCGCTGACCAGTTATCTGCTCAGGTCAACAAGAAAAGTACTGTGTCTCCGGCCTGGTCATGAATATATGTTTTGATGTTAGATTCTTAACGTTAGTTGAACTCTACGCGCATGCTACAAACACATGCTTCTGCGATATTCTCGGTGTTGGCATTTATTTTAACGGGTTTTCGACAGTTTTCAACAGCCCACACTAATAAGATATGTATGCATTTTCGTTTTGATATCCTTTCAAAGGCGTTTTCAAATCGATGCCTTTACGATGAAGACGCTCAGCGTATTACTATTAGTTTGGACGGAAGGCCTAGACGCATCGAACTATATGCGTTTTCAAACGCATTTGCATTAGTGTGTGTGGATTGGGCCTAAATCTCTATAAAATATTTTTCTCACCGGCAATGAAGAACGTAACAAAGTCATCTAACATTTCTTCAATTCCAACCCCGGGAATTTTTTCTGTGATTGAAATAAATGAAGAATATGATTAATATAAGTACGTTTATTATTGCAAATTATTGTTCATTTGTTCCTTAGAATTCCATTCCCAATAACAATATAATCTAATCTCAAAAAATATTGTCAAATGAAAAAAGAAAATGAAAAGATAGAATTGAAAACAAATAAGTGAATAAATGAATTTATACATGCAGAATGAATGAATGAATGAGTGAGTCTGTGAGTGAGTGACTGAATGAATGAAGAAATTAATAAATGGAGACAATACGTTGGATAAGGTTGGGTCCCGGCAAAGCCTGCATAAAATAATTCAGCGGCATGGGTTAACAAACCTTGTTCAATAATCCGCTGTAAGATATCATCTGGAACTTGTTCTCCTCTTTTCATCGCACTCTTTCTCACTTCAATCACTTTTCTCGCAGTTTCACGCAAGAACTTAACAGATGAGACCACGCGGCGCTGGAATGGAAACTGAAATACTTTGAACTGAAAAAGATGGAAAGAGTAATAAAAAATGAATACATGCCTGCAAGAAAACTGGTGAAACAGGAGTTAAGTAAAGGCAAATAATTTAAAGCATTACTAGACTGACATACTTTCCTTCCTTATTTGCCAATTTTACTTGCTTCGGTCGCGAATCATCTAGCCAGTAAGCAAGCTCTCCATTTGGGGGAGTCGCGAAGTCACGCGAGGGCCGCACGCATAATTGGAAAGCTTGCTTGCAGGCTACGAGTCATCCTAAGCCATCCTGACAAAATCTTTCCACCCGGCCTGATCGCGCACGGTATCTCTTATTTCTTTAGTATTGTCCAATCCAGTGTCAGCCTTGATGGTGTCAATTTATGTAGTTCTTGGTCTATCTCGATTTGGGTGACCATGTTGGGGTTCCCAAAACAGCACTTTTGAAGCAGTTTCTTCATTATGACGAGCACAATGGCCTATTTTATGGACAATAAATTCTACAGAACATTTTGTAACACTGCAGTATAACGATGTCATTTTCAATTTGTCATGGAAATTCGTCGTAGGTGCATTACCTTGTGGAACAGATCAAATGTGGCCTCCTCGACTCCGTGAAAACTCAGAGATACAGCATCAGTAAACTTGGTGTCTTTTCCACTAATGACGTCTATTTCCATTCCAAAAGCAACCTGTGTTTAAATTTATGATAACATGCCGTGATACGTATGAGGTAGGTTGTGGGTGGGTGGGTGAGGGGGAGGGAAAGAGGTAGGGGAATCGGCCACGTCACACACAGGGAGTAACCTGCAGAATAAATGCGCAGAAAGGAAGGAAGAGAAGGCCAAAGGGTTGAAAAGCGGAGAAGTAGCGTTCGAGCAGGCTCTCGTGCCCGATTTAGCGTTGGCTTATACTCACAAGATGCTACCTCTCAGAGTGGAGATTATAAAAATTCCCCCCTGGAAGCGCGCTGCCTACTCTTCGCGACTTTGCGGCTTGTACAAACGTCGCTTCCTCGCTTCCCTGTAGGAAAGACTGCTGGGAGTCCAGGGGAGCAGGTGATAGAGATGTTTTTTTAGAACTAAAATCAAATTTCTCGGCAGTCTCGGTCGTGTCCGTATTACTAACCTTGCAAATGACATCCAGTGCTGCACGGGCAAACTCATCTACCATGCAGATCTGTGTCTTCCCATCAGCCATTGTGCTCAGATGATCCAACAGAAGGTCAGCAGTAGAATTAAAAGAACTCATAAGATCTTTCAAGCTCCTGGGAAATAAGTTTGGTTTGAATAATACTCAAGTTGGGGGTTAACAATAAATGTCAGGTGCTTCAGAAGGGCGCATATATAACGAATCTTTCCAGAAAATACCCACGTTATCTGAATGAATGACATTGAGAAACCATGAAATAGAGTGGGAGGTCTCTTCAAGCCAAAGGATGAATTTGAGCTGGAATTTCTGGTGGGAACTCTGGTGGGGTATTTGTTTGATAGGCCACTTCCGAGTTCCCCCGGGCCTCTGTTTCAAAACGAGGGTAGGTGCTCAGCCTTTGATATGGAAATCATTTCAGTCATTCTAATGCAAATAAAACTCATTTTCACAAGAAAGGTTGTGCACCTAGCCCCTTTTTGAAAGTGAGGGTTTTTGGAACTCGGAAGTGGCCTATTAGATAACCCTTCTGTTAATTAACAATTAATCGCCTGAGGCGACTAATTGTTTTAGTATAATTACATTGATGATTATTCGAGAACATAAAATTATTGATCAATTTCCGACTCCGAAACATAAAAAAATCTGGTTGCCATTTTGAAAACTGCTAGCCTTCAATGTCATAATCACCGCGCGGTGATTATAGTGGGATAAAGCGCAGCTCCTGGCCAATCATAGCGCTCTATTTTTCGATAATCATCAATGTAACTATACTAATGCATCCTAATGTAGTGGTCCGGTGGGATCAATCAATAATCAGAAATTAATAAACCAAACTCTCTAATCCACGAAAACGTACAGTTCTAGTCTTTTAAAAATTGAAAAGATTTTGTTTCTCTTCGCCTGTTTGGAGGTGAATACCAGGCATATCTCATCAATGAAATCAATGACATCAATGTGCAATCGATGAGTAATCAACGGGTAATCAGTTGATTAGTCATTGATTATTGCCGATGATCAATGGGTAATCGATGCGGTTGCTCTGCTGTAATGGCAGTTGAGGGTTGGAGAAAATGGCGAGAGAATTCACACTCATTTCACACGTTATAGAACGTAATATCCTACTGAAATTAGTAAGGAACAGCTTTTAAGACGGGAACTTTAATAACATAGATCGAGGAACGCACGTTTTGAGGTTGAAAATATCTTAAATGAACAAAAAAATATATTAAACTTACTGTAAAACAAATTTGTTTAAGAATTTCAAGACAGTAACAATAGACAGAATTGGACAACTAATTAAGGTATTTCGGTATAGTTTTTCAGAGGCCATACCGATATTTTTCAATCGCTTTACATGTAAAAGTAATTTTATCCTCGTCTGAAATTTGTCAAAATGTAGGTTTTAGTAAAATCGATATTACTATGACAACAATAAACAAAAAACTTTGAAATTGACAAATGCCCAATTTTGCGCGATCTAGACCAGCTACTGAAAATCCAACACTAGGAACTTAAAGTTTGGTGTTTAGCAAATAACCTCCTTAAGAAGTAAAAAATTCTGTATGTTTGAATTCGACTAAAACGAAAATGTATTTCAAACCTTCAGTTTTCAATAGCCGTGATAGATTATTTAATAAAAACGTTATAAATGACTCAAATTATTCTCAAGTAGCGTCAGAATGCTGCTTAATATCACATTTCGATGCTAGGAAATTTTGGTGTATTTTTGTTCTTGCCATCTTAAAAACTAACCCGTTTTCTCACCACCTGTCTGAGTGCAACTTCATTCAAAATTTGGACTTTTAGCGTTTTTTTGGATATCTCTAGAACGACTCCAACGAATTTTTTTAAAATCTCTTCACATAATTTTCATAATATACATAATAATGTCTGAAACTTTCCCTGAGATTGATTCACTGCAACACCTTGAAATTTCAAGACAAACCTATCCTACAAAACCGGTCAAAAATCCCCGCTACCACATTCACTGTTTTGACGTTATGCTAATTTTTGCAAATTAATGCGGACAACACATATATATATGACTAGTACATTTCAGTGTGAGTATTGTTAATGTTTTACATTCAAGAGATGCGATAAATTCAACTAAAATGTACTAGTCATGGAGGTATGTATAGCGCGCATTATTTTGGACAAATTAGCATAACGTCAAAGCAGTGAATGTTGTAACGCAGATTTTTGACAGGTTCGTAGGATAGGTTTGTCTTGAAATTTCAAGGTGCTGAATCAATCTCACTGAAAGTTTCAGACATCATTATATACATTATGAAGATTATGTGAAGAGATTTTCAAAAAATTCGTGTGAGTCGTTTCAGAGATATACAAAAAAGCGCTAAAAGACCACATTTTGAATGACGTTGCACTTATACAGGTGGTGAGAAAACGGGCTAGTCTGCAAGATCGCAAGAACAAAAATGCACCAAAATTTCCTAGCATCAAAATATGATATTAAGCAGCACTCTGATGCTACTCAAAAATAATTTGAGTCATTTATAACGTTTTTATTAAATAATCTATCACGGCTATTGAAAAGTAAAGGTTTGAAATATATTTTCGTTTTAGTCGAATTCAAACTTACAGAATTTTTTACTTCTAAGGGAGATTATTTGCTAAACACCAAACTTTAAATTCCTAGTGTTGGATTTTCAGTAGCTGGTCTAGTTCACACAAAATTCGGCTTTTATCAGTTTCAAAGTTTTTTGTTTATTGTTGTCATAGTAATATCGATTTTACTTAAAACTACATTTTCAAAAATTTCAATCCGTAGCCAATTACTTGTGAAAGTTTTATGGCGATCGGACAAGGAAAAAACCACTTTTAAGGCGATTGAAAAATATCGGTATGGCCTCTGAAAAACTGTATCTTAACATCTTTTAATCGCTGTGATAATTTCAACTAACGCAAGATCTTCCGCGGCCGAAGGCTTTTGCTAGATGTGAAAAAAAAGAACCCAATTCTGTCAATTCTGAGTGCAATTCATGTCCAGTAACAAACATACTGTATAGAATTGCCTACAAGTCGAGCTCAAAACTTCACGAGCGCGAAGCGCGCGCGGTTGGTTTTTTTATGTTTTCTGCGGCAAAAGCGAGCGGAACTACCGGAACCGGAAATGAGAGGCGAAGGACTTTGAGAAAGTCTACATGTCCTACATGCTGCCCTAATAATTATGAAATATGACATCAGGGCTGCCTATAGCTGAACAAAGAAAGGAATTTTGTTACGGTTATAATAATGGGCTAAACTTCATAATACGGCGGTCTAGTACAGTACAGATTTTACTGCAGAGTTTACTTTAACAGTATAAGTGTCTAAGTTTCAAAAACTCAGAAAACGCTCTGCTCAAAAATAGAAATATCAGACTGTAGTTGCACAGTTTAACGAAGGGTTCACCACTAACTCACTGATCTGCCCATTGTGGTATGCAATATACTTCGGATGTGGCTGAGAAGCTAAAAGACAGATAACCCTCTCTTGAGTGAATTGAAGACCCACATACATTGCATTTGGAAGTGATCTACTGATGCTTACTTGCGATGAAAAGCAGGGTTCATGATACCACGCCTTGTTTTCCAGGACTCATTATCCAGGTTGGTGACCAATCCTGAACCAAGGTATCTAAAATATAAAAAGAATTTTTGTCATATTCAGCTCACTTAAATATGTTATTTACAAATTGGTTAATGCCGAGCAGATAAACGGATTCTGAGGGTGAGGAGGAGGTACATGGTCAAGAGTGACAGATATGCCAAGGGGGGGCGGGGGGTACTCTTTTATATAAGCAATATAGGTATGTGCGGCCCCTAAGGGTATGGTTTTTGTGATGTTTCGGTCTGAAAACGACCCGTATAGATTTTGCTCATTTTGGTCTGGAATTGGGTATGGTTTTTGAGGAAACTGTGGGTTGTATAATGGGATAAAGGGCTATAACATTTCAAGAGGAAGAGAGTGATTATGAAGGGGAAAGAGGAGGGAGAGGGGGAGTGAGGGAAAACTAAAAAATGGGGTGTATGGAGGAGGGGGTTTAGGGGAATTGATAAAGGGTAGAGGGTGACAGTTAACAAGATAAAAGTTATCCCATAGAATTAAGTCTGGAAACCATTTGAGCTGTTAAAAAAGCAGAGACTAATTCAGTTTTCAATTTTTACTTAGTAGTTTCTCAAGTTTCACTTTAAAAACACTGTCAGTTTCTCATCACGGGAATAAATAATATTATGTCATGAGAAAATATCATAATAAATGCCACTATCTATAACTGATATTACTGAGCATGCAGTCTGACTCTACCTTTGTCCATAAAGGTAGCTAAGAATTTCATAGGACTGAGGGTCTTTTGGAAGATTCTTCACAATGAGAATTTCCTTTACAAACAAAAAAACAAAGAAGTTATCAATATCTGCTATTTAACCACAGCTACATTTCCCCAGGGGGGAACTTTAGGAATTTCTGGGTGGGAGTGTGCCGCTGGGACCCTGGAACCCTTAACCTTTACCAGAGCTATAGCTGAGCTGAATTTTGCTACCCTATACTAGAGTAAACTGTCCAAATCCCCCCTATCCTAGAGTAGCTGTTTCCCTAGTCTAGGTAAAATCTTCAACCAACTGATCAATTTCCTGAAAAATTATACCCTATTCTAGACCCAAACGCTCTGATTTATATACCCTATCCTAGAGTAAACTGCTTGAAAACCATACCCTTCACAGCGGCACATACCTATATAGCCCATATATGGCAGTGCCCCCCGGCATTTTCCACTTAATTTTACAGTGGAAGTGATCATAAGAACAGGGACAGGGACGGTCGTTAAAACCCTTCCATTAGTCATAACAGAAGCATATATTATTAAACCCTGAAGCATTCAACTCTTGTATGTTCCAATGCGGGAGAACTATTTCGCGAGTCGAGCTGTTGCACAAGTACTTAGAAAATTCTTGCATCGCGATATAAAAGAAGCACTACAATTAAGCCTGGCAATTACAGTTTTATGGGGTAATTTTAGACCAAAATTGCAACATCATTCGTAAAAAAAGGCCAGGACTGACTTCCTCCAGACAAGACAAATTTGACTTTCATGATCTGCATTGAATGGCTTAACTTATTGTCAAAATCTAATGCACCCGAAAAAGAATATGCATCAACATTATATGTGTAGTTCATATTTTTTTTACCTCACAGTTTTTCAGGTTGCTGTCTTAAAATTAAGTGCAATGGATATGTACAACAGCCGTTCAGAATAACATACATACCGTAACTAACAATGTACACTGATTTGGAAGGTGACCATGCATCTTTTTAGTGCATGTCAGTTTAATACCTCCTATACATTGCTATCAAATAGATGAATCCTTGTTAACAATTTTTTGCCTCATTAACATATGTGCATGCTTATCATTATCTGATGAAGCTAATAAAATAATTGGAGAACTTCTCTTTAAAAAACCCCCAATTTAATGTACAAATTAGAAATGAGCATGGGTTTTGATGCCCAGAAATTTTGCAGTTTGTGATTGCAGCTGTTTATTTCTTTCATTATTGATTGCAAACAGCCCAGAAACTTATTCAAACTGCTCAAATAAACCAGCTCTTTCAATTTTTGAGCCTATAATTTAAATATATGGCTATGTAGCCTAAGGTTTAGCTTATGTGCTAAATGAGCTAAGTAGACAATATGACGTCATGATGAATACACCTATAATTTGAAAAAATTCTGGATCGTACATCTTTTTTTTAAGGAAATTACCTTAACCATCTCTGATCCAGCCACAAGAAGAAGAGGGAGGTGCCAAAACCACACAAGAAGGACTTTGCCATATTCAATATGCCTGCAAATTGCAACACAGTTTAAATTGGCTGTTCAGCCTATAGGTGATTGAGTTATCCTCTTATTCCACACTTGCAAAATAAACATTTAATATCTTTTACTGGCTGAGAGTAACACTTCAGCGCCCAAGTACTGTTAATTGGCATCAGAATTCAACCAGGTAGTTTCCTCCAAGGCAATTAATATTGAAAGATAAAGACTACTTCCATGGGAATAATAATAATAATAATAATAATAATAATAATAATAATAATAATAATTTACTAAAAAATTTGCGAATGATGATGCAGAAGTTCATATTATTATGTCTCTCAATCAGTCACATATAATTAACCAAATAAGATTGAGAAGGAAGACCTTTTAAAATTTTAAGGTATATATTTAAGTTGGTATTGAGAGAGGGACAGTCATCAGGTGGGGCTCCTCTTGGAAAAGTTTTTGGAAATGATCTTGCCTGATGAATGACTTTAACAGGAAGAAAAACCTTTTTATGCTAGAGAGCTCGGGCATTAATCAAGTTCAATTCTACCCAAGTTGAGGAATCAATGTTTTAGGACACTGCATGATCAGCTTTGTTCACTTTGAATTTCATACTGCACAATCAAACATTGAGTGTGCAGTGATATTTCACCGTTAATACTACCTGTAATTATTGGCTATTTTTTTCATATTTACCACCAAAAGAGCAAACTGAGTTTTTTGAGCTTTTTTCCGATTTAATTTATCAGAAAATAGCCAGCTTTTGGAGAAAATTAATTAAATGAGAAGCATGCAAGGGAATTAGAGAAAAGGGATTAAAACAAGATGGACGGAAGGTCTTCCACAATACAGTTGAAGCTTGACTCCTTGTGACCACTCTCGTAAACAACCAGTTCTAGTTAAGACCACCTTAAGTGAAACCCAGTTTGAATTGTAAGCAATCACGACTGCTTTAGGGATTACCAAACTAGACTTTTACTTTGTTTCTATCTATTAAAACAAATTAAAAGAATATTTCAAATTAGTACGTTCTTACTACTTTTATTTATGGTTAACATAAGCTCCGTTAAATTACTCGCTGTAATTAAGTATTTTCTCTCTCCACTAGCATCTCCTATTTTGAACAACAAAATCACTCCAGGAAGATTGACTGTACTATTATAATATTAATGAAACGTAAAATGCTTAAACATCTGCTCAACATGCCGGAACAGTTCGGATCAGTGACCCGTAAATAATCCTCTGACTTTTATGGTGGAATTCAATTTCAATCGAGTTTTACAATCAGATGGGAGCTTGAAGATAAAACCTTTCTCAAAATAGACATTATTAACTTCATACCTTTCTCCAACAGCGTGACTTTCAGAAAGCCTCAAGGGACGGACTAAACCCCTTCTGAATTGATACCAGGCTTCTGTCGGTCAAAGTCAAATGTCCCGATCCCGGGATCGCTTCGCACGATCAAAAGCCCGACAGGGGGATAGTCTCAGGCATCAAATCCCTGCCCCTTGCCCGCACTCCCCCCTTACGGGATTTACATTGATAGGTGCATTACTCATATAAATCAATTCTATAATGAAACTGTACACAATCATGCACTAATAATGGTTTGTTGATAATGATCTTATACAGTGCAACTATTGTATTTGTAAAAGTCCAAGGTCATTTCCGTAGTGACCACTTAGCCTGAATTATTAATGAGTTTCTGAAGCTCTCGTAAGTGACCACCCTCTACTGCTTCAATACCGTGTGGTCACTTACGTGAGCGAATAGCTACGTAGATTATATCAGAGAATTAGGAAAGACAAATTTTAAAGCAAAAGCCAATTTATAAAAGGAAAACTTACCATTCTAAAAACTTGTGATCTGTGGGAAAACCCTTATGACGCATTTCGGTAATTTCATCTGCATGGCCCTTGAAGAAACTTTCAGAAACAAAACTTCAATTTTTCAACGAGTTAAGGCTTATATTTATAATAAAGCAAAGGGATGTCAGATACAACACCCAGCTTGGGAGATGGGCTACAAGGCAGTAAATTGTACTACCGTATTTATTTGAAGCGCCCAACCTCGAATTAGCGCCCACCTTGAATAAGCGCCCATCCTAAAGGCAGAAAAAGTTAATAAGCGCCCAGCCTCGAATAAGCGCCCACCCCCTCCTCCTCCCAATCAAACTCAAATACGCACTCACCCCCACTCCACCCACTTCAGGGAATAAATTCTAATAAGAGACTTCCCTGAGGACGGAGTTTTCTTCAGAGTATTTTACAGAAACCTTGCTTTGTTACTTCTGCGTGTTTTGTTATTAGCATTTATTGTTTTGTTGCAAAATAAACATACTTTGCTGAAAATGGTGAAAATTTAATAAGCGCCCAGCCTTGAATAAGCGCCCACCTTGAATAAGCGCCCACTCTCAAGGTCCAAAAATTTAATAAAAAATTAATACGGTAGCTAGGTTTCCTTGTACAATGCATAGCCATTAATTAATATGGCTAGACCGCTTCTTATCCCAAAAAAGTGGCTTAAGCCTGCTAAGTGGAACAATGATGCAATTCCACAACTGGCGGAAATAAATCATGGTCGCCACCTTTTGAATAATGTAGCATTAACATGTCCCAGGCAGGGATATTGAAGTGAGGCTTCCATATGAAAGTGTTTTCTCGCTTAGGAATTTTTAATCTTTTTTAAAAATTATTTTAAGCATCCCCATGTTTCTTTTATATGAGAGTCATGTTTGCATTGTGTCATTGATGACTGATAACAGCACTGGTGATAATCAGTGGCAAAAAATAGTGTATTTTTTCAAAAGGTGATCTAGCTCTATTAGGGCAAAAAAGGTTGATCTTGTACTTCTCTTGAATAAATAGCCGTCCCTCGATTAATCGCCTCCTTCAAATAATCGCTTACCTGCTAGGGATACCCATAGTGTTAAAAAAAATGGAGGATTGATTCAGCAAAACTGATCAGTGATGATTCAAGCTCTCACGCCGAGGACATTGACAGTGAAAATTAATCAAGGAACCAAATCTGAAACACTTTAAATGCTATTTATGTTCAGTTTATTTGACGTGTTTTTTTTTTATCTAATAGGAAAATAGAACAAAATGTTTAGGAGCATGACTTCTAGTGAGCATTATTTGAAATAATCGCCTCGCCCCCTTTTGGTGCCAAAAAAGAAATAATTGCCTCCGGCCTCCGGCTATTATTCGAGGAAGCACGGTAAACTTTCCGAAGCTACTGAAGAAATGTTTAAGTCTAGGGACAGGGATAGTTTTCAAAGCATTTCACAACACTGAACTAACTTTGTTTAACTTCCAGTCTACATCTTACACTGTGTCGGACAGTTCCCCCACCACTCCCCGCCAGGTTGATCGTGACATAACACATCGTTACATTCCAGAAATAATTCTGTTGTTAACTTGTGCCATTGTCGTTGTTCACGAATAACAATGCCCACGATGGTTACTTCCCCGGCCACTTTTTTTTAAACTCGAAGTTAGGTAGCCACTATAGCAGCAATGTAGTAGCAGATATTTCCTTTCTTGAAGCCAAACGTCCTCTGGTTACGCTGCACAATTCGCGTGACCTGTATATTGGCACACTTCTACGTAAAAAATCACCTTTTGACAATGATCGCTCGCTGAGTCCTGACCACCCACATAAAAGTCAAAGCCCCGTAACGACCTTTGCAATTCCCTTCTTTAAAGGGGTACAGAATACACTAAAGTATTAGAGGTTCGAAATGTCTGCAAGTTATGCAATCATAAACCAAACGTAATACATTTAAGCTTAAATACTGAAAGCTTGTTTACCTTTCCATAGGAGGGCTAGGAATATGCGAAAACTGCCGCCTCTTGTTCGCTAGAAATACCGCAAAAATAAACACAAAAGCTACGCATACCAGAAGTAAGGTGCCGACTGCGTACAAAATTACATCCAACATAGTTAACTGGGTATTTCGTTCCAGATTAACTGTGCACGTCTTGCACAGAGCGATTTATTTACTCAGCTTCTGCATCAAGCTGGAAGTGTCCTGGGAATGAAATTATACCCTTTGACGTAGGATGTGAGTTGGGGAGGTTGGGATACGGGTCGGGGTGGGGATGGGGAAAAGGAATGAAATGGAAAACCTACATTATGGCTCTTGCTACAATTTATTGTAACAGATTGAGAAGGTATTTTTATCTGCTTTACACTAAGGAACTTGTTTTTTATATCGCATGTCGTAAAAGTCCCCAAAAAATCCCAATATGCGAAGACTTCACCAACTGGGCAAAAGTAATTTTCCTCCTTCTTTTCTTTAGTAAGTCAGTTATTGAATTTATTTTAATCCAACGTTTTAGGTTCCTAAAGTGTATTCTACGTACAGGGTTTATTGGATTCAATTGAGTAGGGGAAAAGGTTTTACGAGGGCTCTCTACCCTTTCCCCAATCTCGGACAAAATGAATTCAGCCCCTTTCCCCCCCTCTCCCCAGACAATTTAAAGATTGGAAAATGGCGCATTTTGGCCGTTATCCAGCTTTCCTTGATTTCGAGGGATGAGGGTTCTGCTGTTATATTTTTTTCTGTTCAAGATTGCAATCTTGGACAAAATAAATGAAAAATTTAGGTGCCCCTCCCCCCAAATCAAAGATGGGCGGAAAATGGCGCGCTTTCGGTCTTCGCGCACCTTCATGTTCGATATCGGGGCGATAGGGGGTTTTTGTTGTTCCATTTTCCTGATTCTGTTCAAGTTTGTAGATATAGCAAGAACCCGCGATTAAGATCCTGGTTTTCAAGAACCTGCTAGGCTAAAAGTTGCCAGTTATATAGGCCCCCTCTATAAACTAACCTGTTTAGCCCAAACTTTGAAAAAGTCCTTATTTTCTAAAATCTCTAAAAAATCTGTTCACTTAGCTTGGGCAAATAAGATAACTCAACATTCAGCAATTCAGGGTCCTCTTTGGAGATATAGGTATCTTATCACTCCTAACTGCAAAGTAATGGTATGTAGGTTATAAGGAATTCTGAGCTGAACACCACTAAATATTTTTAGCTACAAAGTTTTTTTTTCTTCAGGAAATAAGAAACTATTTTTAAAAGAACTTAAATAGCCTATTTGTGCTAATTACCTCTTATGTAAGAACCTGTTTTAATAGGCTTACTTGAGAAAATGCAGGTTCTTAACAGATTTCGTCTTGCAAAGAACGAAACTGGGATATTATGGCGAAAAAATTACTGGACACAGCATGTTTTCCACTTTTCGAGATACTGGCATGACTGACTCCTCGTTCATTGGTATTATTCGCTTGGATAGCAGAACTTTACTCCACCGAATTTCGTGGCCTTCCAGGGGATCTTCCTTTTACGATGAAGGTGTTCATTATTGCAGTTACAGGGGCACCCAACGGGAAATTTTGAGAAAAAGACCTAAAAACAACAACAAAGCGTGAATGAAGTTTTCTGAGACTATTTTAAGCATTTTAGGAGATTGCTGGAAAACAAATTATCTGTTCCTCACTCCCAGCAAGACTGATGAAAAAGTTCCCAGCCAGCAACCTTACAACCTGCAACCTGACTTACTGGGAAGTTTCATAGGGCACAATTCAGATCTTGAGTGGTAAGTAACCCATACAAGTAACCCGTAGCAGCTATTCTAGACTTCAAATCCCCTCTGACACCCTGAATTATCTTTTTCCCAGCAACACTTTCCTTCCAAGGACTATTATTTCTTTCACATCTCCCAACCAGCAAAAATATGCCTGAAGAACAGATATTTTGAGGAACAGATCCATTGGGTGCCCCTGCAGTTATGGGGATTAGAAATATCCTTGGACCACCTAATATCAGAGGCAGCCAATGGATCTGTTCACTGAAAATACGTGTTCTTCAGGCAAATTTTTGCTGGCTGGGAGATATGGAAAAAAATTATTTGTCCTTGGAAGGGTATTGTTGTTGGGAGAAAGATAATTCAAGGTGTCTGAGCTAGGGATTTGACGTCTAGAATAGCTGATAATGGTTATTTATCATAAACCTCTTCCCCCGGGTGATTTTCGCCCTTAGGCCAAACCCATCTTCCTACTCAATCCCCGCCCCCCCACCCCCCACTAAAGGTCTAAACTTTGCCCTATGACCACACCCAACCTGGCCAACGTCTGCTAGGAAACTTCCCAGTAAGTCAGGTTGCAGGTTGTAGGTGCACTTTGCTGGTTGGGAACTCTTCCCTCAGTCTTGCTGAGAGTGAGGAACAGATTAATTTTTCCAAGCAATCTCCCAAAATGCTTAAAATGGCTTTACAAAGCTTTATTCATACTTGTTGTTGTTTTTAGGTCTTTTTATCAAAATGTCCCGTAGGGTGCCCTTGTAATATAGTTTTTTGATAGTCATGAGGAAATGTCTAAAATAGCCTGACTAGCCAATGAAGTGTAACGCTGGACCTATCGCCTGTGAACCATGAGAAGAGTCAAGGAAAAGTTATAACTAAATACATTTTAGATGAAGCACCACATTCATAAATTCACTTGTGACGTTAGTTGATTGGGCTAGAGTGTGGTAAAAGACATTTTGAAACACTGATTTATACAATATTAAATAATGGAGTTATACAGTCTAGGATCATTTCAGCAAGCTGTTCAGGCTTCGATTGTGATTATTACTTTATGGTCGAGCACTTCCAGCACTGAGTAAATCCGATATGTCAGCCGTCCCAAAATCGCATTTTTTTCGAATGTTTCCGTAGCCACACATTATACGAGGTCATAATGTAAGCCAAATAAAAATACCAAAATTAACGATATTCGTTATATCCCCGAAGTTTCACTCAAGTTGTACTGAACCTAATAAAATGTATTGTCAACTGTATTAAATGGTATATTGTGACCCCGTGCAGTATGTGAGCAGGTCACAAAGGGCATACTGTAAATGACCTACTAAACGCCCACTTCCAAATAAATGCCTCTTATCTAATAAACGCCCCCTCTACGCTGCTAAAATCGTATTAGATGCCCCTATCTAGTAAACACTCCCAGTCTAATAGACGCCCCCTATCTGAATTACTCCAAAATACTAGGAATTAGCAAAATCATTCAGTTCATCCATTTTCTTGCTTGATTAACAAGGCTTTGCGTATTTCATCTTGTTCAATGTCAAATTAAGAGTAAGGATGGCAACACAGTAACCCTGAGCGAGGATTCTGACATCGATGTTGGGGGATCTCTAGACGGCCTAGACGTTGATGGAGTGGATATTCCTCTATTTTTCAGAACTCTCTTAATATTTTCGCCCGGGCCCTTCTCTTTTAAACGCTTCCTCTTTGTTAACCGCCCCTTCCGCGACTCCTAAAATTAAATGAGGTCGTTTGCGGTGTGCACTACAGGTGGAAGTAAAAATCAATTTCTTAAGGTCTCTCTGGACCAAAAAAGGTCCTGTTTGGTCATGAATGGGCTTTAAAAGCATAGGGATGTTTCCAAGCTTAGATTTTTTTGGGGACTTTTAGTATGTTTATTTTCGGAAGCTATTAATCAGTTCTAAATAACTGTAAAAGAGAAAGCTTCTGGTACAATAGGCAGATTGCTTCTGCCACTGCCCCAAGTCTCTTTTTTTTTAGGCGAGGAGAAGCCATTGATATGAAAATGATTTTTTATTCCCATACAAAAATAAAACTCATTTTCCCTTTGCCTCGTTTTGAAAGCGAGGGTTTTTGAAAGTCGGAAATATTAGTTGCAGGTCCGGCCACAAAATGACTGAACTAAACCAGAACTCGAGGAAATTCAGGTGGAGGCCTTGACGCACGGGGAAAGGGTGTATGATTGTTTTGTTTTACCTCACCTGTGATTTTGATTATTACTTTGATCTGATCAATAACCGGAGTATAATACCATCAACTGACGTGATACAACTCACTTTGACTCTGAACATGACTACCGCACAGGTTGTCGAAACGTCAGTCACTGTCAACAACAACAGTCCTATTCAGGACTACGTTCACCCGGACGATCAAACTCAACCTACTTTTGAAATTACCGGAAAGTTGTTCAGCTACATCGCGTTTGCGTTTGCGGCCTGTTGCAGGTTAAGTAAAACTAACAAACTCAAAACAGATAGAACGACAGCACCGGAGTGAGTGCGCAAGTATGTTTTAACTTTATTATCATTTTGAACAAAATGGCGTACAATTCTTATTAATGTTTTAACTATTTACATATTAACAAGTCGTCCTGGAATATCGTTTACCACGTGTAATACAGTGACTAGTCTCGTTTTGGGTGACCTTGAACTTACCACTTTGTGACAAGAAATTCTAACATCTTTACATTGATGACTCTTCTCGTAATTTATTAATGTCGTTGACAAACGAAAATAAACTAGGGTGAGTGGGCCTTAGATTCAATAGAAGGATGAAAACGAGGAGGCCAAAGGGAACTCTAAGACCACACCACAACGATTTTTAATCGTCAAATTCATTTTTTTTAAGTTTAGTCTTCAACTGTTAATATTTGGATATCTGGAGCAGACATGGCCATGTGTCTTGAAAATCTGACATTACCCCGTGATGCAGTTGTGGGGGTCAATTTCCGGCCAGCGTGCTTCCGTTCTAACTGAGTAGGACTGGGACTACTACAGGGCCTTTCAGAATTGCTTCGACCCCCAAAATTGGAAGACTGGGGACTAACTTCGCTAGAAAAAGAGGCTGGATGAGAAGACTTCCGGTTCATTGACAACTCACCTGAACACAAAAATAAAGAAATTTAAACTTAATTACCACTTGATTTATAAAATTAACAGGACTCTATCGACTCTAGAAGATGCTAGAATGATACATCCTCTCTTCAGGGATTTATTTTTAAAAAAGAAGTACTTTTAAAACAGTTAAGCCATATCTTTACAAATCAGGTAATCTCAATGTTTACGTGTATATGTTAGGGTTTTGCGAGTGCGATTGGCAGCGTGAACATGGTGAATATGTTAAATCCGTGATTCATGTTCTTACTTGCAGGAAACAGCATGCAGTCACACCAGTTGAAGCCAAGCGTGACCCCACAGATTATATTGTCGATAGATTTGACTATTTGGAAATTGTATCATAATTACTGCCGATTTTAGACCATTTTTAGATTCCTGCTTGCTTAATTGGCCAAAAATCTACACGCAGGGCAGTCAAAGGCGTCGAAGGCTACCTGTGAACATGTCAAAAGTGCAAATCTGACGTTGGAACGAATAAAATAAATATGCGATATAAATGTCTTCGTAGTTATAACATATATTTCAAGTTTATTTCAAAACAGTTTTCTAATCTGACCGAGAAGTTGTGTTCTAACATTAACTGCTATAAATGTACATGCGAGATGATGATACATGGAAGCAGTTAAATTTGACATTACTAGACGCAAAATGTACAGTGTAAGAGACTGATTGTTCAATAATACAATCTTTTAGGGTATGTTTTACCAGCTGTGACTGTAAGGCTTTAAACAAGTAAATGCGAAAGAAAAATACGCTTCTCATCACACGAATAAGAGAGGGGTCTGACCTAAAAAAGGAGAGTTTTGGAGGCAGGCAGGAAACCCAGGGATCAATTCATCACAACTGTTTTAAGTGTAATTTACAAGTACTCAGCCTATTCAGAGTCTCAAAACAATAACCACACTGTTTTAGTTGTAACTTCTACTTGAGAGAGTTTTTCGTGAATTGACCTCGGGTTTTACACTCGCCATAAGCAGAAACCACATCTAACACTACATTCTCCCAGGTTCTTACATTCTGATATGCCACAATGCCTCGTCTAGGTCGCCGTGAACCTAGAGTATTTTTATCCATGAAGAGTTTGGAGTAGATAGAGAATGGACGTAAAGGGAAAAACCTGGCACAGTATGGTCACTTACTTCTTGTGAGCTGGAATGAGCCACTAACTTTAGGTGAAGGAGACTTTGTTGATGAAGACAATGAACTTGGCTTTTGGACTACTGAAAAACAAACAAACAAACCAAAAAAAAGGATAAAGAGAGCTCTGAATCTAATTTCCCTTTCATTTTATGAATCATTACAGGATAGAGCCACTCAAAAGAGCTAAAGACTGAATGGAGCTTACCCATTGTTGTCCCTGTGATCCCAGTCGAAAGTACAGCCCTACCAAGGAGTGGTGGCACTGAAAGAAGAAAAACAAATAACAGAGATGGATCAGAAAGCATAAACTTGTAACCTTTGCTATGAGTTTCTTTTTATATATATAACAATTATTAACCGAATTGGAGGTGGCTACCGAGCCGCGAAGCGACACTGAGGTGAATAATTGTTTTAGTATATACTAAAACAGTGAGATAATTGAGCACAAAAATGATGATTTTTAACTCATTTACTGTTGCCAACCATTACAATTTTGGCGCGCAATGACCGAACAGCTGTCGCGTTTTCTTGCCGTCAAATAACTATTTGTTCGACTATTTGTGAAATTTCTTTGTTTGTTACGGCAGCAAACTGGGAAGCCATTTCGCTTGTAACTTGCGCGAGTTTGGCGTCGCTCGCTCGGCGAAATTGGAGGTGAATCAGTGAATAGCACTGGATATCCTGAGGTTAAGTAGCCAATCAGAGCGCGCGAAAAACACTATCCACTGTTTTAGAATATACTAAACAATTTTATTACATGCTACATCGTCCTAGATCTAGATCAGAACTATCTGAACTGCATATTGTGTGGTACAGGAGTGGTACAGTCAGTTTGCTGAACTAATAAAGCAGAAATGCCTACAGAATCTTAAGTCAGAACCTCCCTGATTAATTATTATTAATTGATGTGGTGATAAAATTGCTTAACTGTGGGTATAATTTATTATAAGCAAAATTTAGACCACCCTGACTTCGACACAGTTAGTTGTAGCCTACCAGGCAGATATTCTTAGGGCTTTGTCACGCATTTCTTCCTTCCTGAGGCATGAGAGACCACAGTCTAACGTTTATTTTTCGCAACATTTTTGTCCAACCATGTCTAGGTTCAAGATAAAGCTCTTGAAAGCACTGGCAACTACAAATACTCCCACTACCCTCCACAAAAACAATGTTGAAGTCCGGCTGGATCATTTCTGATCCCGACTAAACAACTTTGACCGGGGTGAGGTAAGGGGAGGGGCCATTGTGGTATCAAATCCACGGGATAGGCACTCTGTGGGTAAGAAAGAGCAACATCCTTTACACTTTTTGCCCAAGATTGTACCTAAGCTGGTGCTGGATGCAACAGGTATCTAATAATAGTATTATTAGTAAAATGAAACATTGATTTTCCTGGTTAGACACTTTATTTAGAGCATTGGTAGCTGACATAATAATATAAGGGTCTTGCTTGAGCTACTTTATAAGGCGGGTCAAAGGATTAGATGTAACTTTTCCAACCACTACCCTAGCTTACTCCTTCAAAATGAGAAAGTTATGACCTGACCGTCTCCATTGCTACCTGTGAAAATGAATAATCCCCAAAGGGTCAAGCACATTGTCAAAGAAGTGACCGAAAGACCATACCTGGTCCTGCCCTTTCTGCTGTTGTGTTACTGTACATGTGGTTGTTTGACAATTCTTCAATTTGTGACAAGTCATCTATGGGTGTTGTAACTAGAATAACATCAGGAGGTATAGAGATGTCATCCTCATCTTTCTCTAAGTCCACTTTATCTGTTTCTGTGTTATCTCCTTGTAGGCCATCATTTGGCATTGAATCCTTTGTGATGTGTTGAGATGGTGCGTGGGGAACAGATAGGGGAGCAGGCACAGGAGGCGACCCCTAAAATAGTCACATTCCAGTAACAACACTATTCGTATTCACTTTCACGCCGTGTATATGCTGACTCCAGTTGTTCAAAAGTTGGATAGTACTATCCACTGGATAAATAGTTATCATCCAGTCAATATGCGTTAGGGAAACCATTATTATTGCATTGTCCATTAGACAAAGATAAGTCTGTTTTAGTTGGGTCATCAGTTAGGATGGAAAACAGTAACCTTGCCATTGATCTTCAGGACTTCATTGCTAAAAAAAGTGGACTTGGGGTAGTCTGTAGAGATTTATCCTTTGGATAGTCCTACCCACCTTAAAACACTACATACAGCACCTGTAGGGAGCAGTAGTTTCTCCGGGCCGGATGCTACACTACGAAGGGAGAGAAACCACTGTGAGCGACTGTTTGCTTTTCCATCAAGCATGTGCGTCTATGTGACGCCTACGTGAAATAGTCCCTATTGGAAAACAGGAAGACCGGATACTGCAGGCTCGCATTAAGGCAGCAGTTATGAGCATAAGCAAAATAATGCCGGAGAGCTTTAACTTGTTTTTAAGAAGGTTTTACCTTCATGTTCAAAGTTGATTTATTCGTCCACGGCACTGGATGGTGGCTCAATCAAGAAAGCAGACAGTCGCTTGCAATTGTTTCTCTCACTTTGTAGTGTAGCGTCAGGCCTGGAGAAACTGATGCTTACAACAGGGTATTTGAACACTGAACTAGAGCCAGATTTTTTTCTTTGTCAGAGGTTACTAATTAGTACACATTTGTGTGGGGACCTGTTTCATGTACCCCCTCCCCTTTGGATGACTTGGTGGGACACAGTAGTCTACTTACAAGGGATTCCTCCCCTGGAACTCAGCAAACTTACAATGTACAACTTTTCTGGCTGTGAAAAGTTTCAAACAATCCTAAAGTTTCAAATTAAAATTTATAAACAGCAAATTGATACCCAGGCCCTGGGGTGTACCCCCGTATATGGCCTATATGGGGATGTGCCGCTGGACAGGGTATGGTTTTTGTCCTCTTTGTCCTAAACAGTGTAGATGATTTCGCACAAGTCTGTCCTAAAAAGGGTCTATAATTTTGTGTGAGCCTGTCCTCCACGAGAGGAACATGGAATCAGCACTTTTAAGACAAAGCTTAAAACATACACTTTGTTGTATCTTTTCAAGAAACCTTTAATATTTTAACTAACCTATTTATTAGATAGTAATAGATAGAGAGTAATTTCGAATCCTAATCACTATTTTAACTGTATGGAACTTACTATGTAATTTTAGTTTTTAACCATTTAATTCATGTAGTCTGTATATAGAATTATGTGTGTGTGTAACCATCATTGACTGTAAGTATTTTATTTTTTACTAATTTTATACTTTTATATAGTTTTCTTTTTAGAAATTGAATGTAAAGCGCATTAGAAAACTTTGAGTTGAATTTGCATCATAGAAGTAAATATGTTATTAAATATAAACAGGGCATTTCCCGCACGATTGATTTGCTTTGCTTGATGAAATTTGCTTGTATTCTAGTATACAAAAGTATTATTAAATGACTATAACGTGAACTTGCTCTACTGTAACTGCAAATAAATGACGGATTTAAGACAAGATGGTGTGCATTTTGTCCTAAACAGGGTTTGTATTTTAGGATCTTTTTGTCCTAAATAGGGTCAGGGTTTCAAACCCTCAGCAGCTCACCTACAGCTGTATATACTCAAATATTGGTCTAGTGTTCCCTAGCTAATGGGCCCTGTTTTCCCAGTAGTACAATGTATATACACCACTAATTTTTCTGGGTTATAGTGGCTCACGTAATTTTGACAAAAAACTTGAATTGGAATAGATATTCAAACTTAATGAAACATCATGAAACAATGCGCCATTATAGCTACTGACAAACATCTATTATACCAAAGACATAAATTTTTATCGCATAATCGGCACTGACTTCTAGGTAATATCAGACATCGTATGATCCTATTTCTTCAAAATATTCCACTTATCCTAAATAATAAACAAATGATTAGACAGCTGTTACCTTTGATGCTAGTTCTATAAGGTACATCCATTGGTGCCGCTTCAAGTTAGTCTCACACTGAAAAAAAATGTAATACATCTCGATGCAACATACTCCTAAATAAAAGTAAACACTTGTGTTTTGCACTACTCAGGATTTACACTTATTTAGGCTACACTGCACCACTCTCTCTGCAGAATATATTGCATCACTTTAGGACTCTGTGTAAAGTATTTTTGAATAGTAGGTGCAACGAAAGTGAGCTTTATAGCTTGTCCTTTGGGCAAGCTGTAGCTAGCATGTACAAGCCCAAAAATCATTTCAACTTGCCCATAAAAAAAATGTGACTGAGCAGCATTGATTACAGTTCTTCTGTATTAAAATCTGAATTCTCCCTGCGAAACAAAATCAGTTGCCCATTGGGCAAGTATATATAAAGACCAAATTTCAACGGCCTGTTTGCAAAATTTTTCTTTACATACTGGTACAGTTCTTGACTCTAGTGGCTGAGGCACAGCTACTAGGAAAATGATAGATGTAGGGGGCATGCTAAAAAATAACATACATGTAGGAACATTAATACTTGAATTATAATACATCTCATCTACTGTGTTTGCATAGGACAAATTCGCATTACACTGTATAAGAACTAGTTTAATTAATTTGTGAGCAAATAAACTTTCAAGTATTTTTGACATGACAAGGATAGAAATCCGACACATTCAGATAAAAGTATATAGGACTCCACTGATTTCATGTGATTGAAATGGCTGAATATGTACAATGTACTATAAACGTATCTTAAACACAATAAATACACAGTTACTATGGCATACTGTTGACACTGGCTGAAAAGCCATTCAGTACATGTAAATGTACAAAATTTCTTGTGGAAATAAATTTACACAATGTACATGTTGGTGTAAATTTGTTGTAAATTTGTTGTTGTAAATTTATAAGAATAAATTTGCCAATAAATTTACATGTACCTTAAACAGATGAGTTCCTCGTTCAGTGCTGAGGTAGAAAGGAAAGCTGTAGGTTCCTCTTCTTGCTATATTGCATTTAGTATTGGATGATAACTCAATAGATCCTCTAAACTGAAAAAAAAGGAAGAGTTCTGAATGTAATTTATTACCCTGGCTTTCAAATATTCTCTCACATATTCTCACATAATAAATTTGCACCCTGGGGAACTCAACCAATGGGGAGGCTTTGCCCTGATGTCCAACCCCTTACCAAATTTAAATACCACTTTTGATAGACAGGTACCCCTTTCATATACCTTCTATTGACAAATGGTACCCCTTTCGCAAACCTTTAAAGGTGCAAACCATTCAACCAAACTTTCCGGAAATTTCGGTCCAAAACTCAATGGATCGGTTCCATCAAACCAGAAAAGTATTGAAAAAAGTGGTCCACCTTTTGAGGTGGACCACTTTTCCTGGTCGGACCAGTCAGAATTTTGGTTGAATGGATCGCGCCCCTAGTTTAGAATTTTTCATGATCTCTTTTAACTACTTCAAATGCAGTCTTTAAAATATGAATAAATCACAAAACCACAAAGTTTTCTCAACTTTTTCACAGCCATAAATTGCATAGATCTGTTAGTCCTTTTGGGTCTTTTAACCAGTTATTGAAATGACAGATTTCCCTGCCCGTTCATCAAATTTAACAATTAAAATCCTACCATTTCACAAAACCTAAAGCCTGAAAAAGGCACCCAAGCAACAGTTTTATTATTAATCTCTGTCAAGTAGTGATGTGGATTTAGATGTAGATCAGAAGGCATTAACCCCAGCAGCCAGAGAGGGTTAAACAGGGTTTTCATTAACAATTCTAGTAGCAGGAGAAAGGTGTCACATTACAGGAAAAAATTTTGAAAGAGGCCTACACCTGAGTAAAAAATAGTCGTAATCTATTGAACATTAGCCGGAGAATTCAGCATTTAAGTAAACAGAGAATTCTGCAATCTCCATATATGCAATGTCTAATGATCACAGTGTGGATTAAGAATATGAATGCAATTGTTGTTATTTTCCTAGACAGCTTTCACTCAACTAAACAGGGACTGCCATTGGTTGATTCTTGGTCATGTGGCCTTGACTAAAATCAAATGTATCCCGATCGTGATATATTAAGTTCCGATTGTGATACATTAAGCAATGTACCCTGCTTGGGATACATTACAGCATGTGGTCAAAGCATGATGGAAAGTGGCGGGAGAGAAGGCAGGAAAAACACTGCCAGCTTCAAGCTAAAAAGCAATGATTTTTGAAGTTATCCCAGAAGAGAAACAGCAGCTGGTGGAGGAAAAAGATGCAGATAATATAAGGAAAGTACTTGGTAAATCAGTTATTCACTGGTTTTGAGAATTAAATTTGTGTTGTTATGAGTATCCAATTGACTGTTTTGGTTTGCTCTGGTTATTTTTCTTGTTGCTATTGAAGTGAAAGTCTAGAAATATAACAAAACACTTTATAATGTCAGGTTCCTTGAATTGGGAAACCAATTAGTTTTGTTTTCCCACAAGTCCTGATGTTTCCCGAGACGAATCAGGACTCATGGAAAAACAAAACTAACTGTTTCCCTCGGGATCTGGCATTAATTAGTGTATAATATGATGCAACAACTTATTCTTACATTATCTCTGTTAGTTGTTGCTCTTTCTGAGTAAAACAGCATCCATACTCCTCTTATTACAACCCAGTACTGTATCCACTGAAAATAAACGACAGAAAAACCTCTGAGAGTTTAATAACAATAGGTTCTTAATGTTGATGCTACTATAATGATCAATGATTACAGGGGCGGATCTAGGGGGAGGGTGCAGGGGGTGTGCACCCCCCCTCCCTGAGATGACCTGCGGTTTTCTAATACAACTGGTATTCGGCAAAAAAAACTATGTGGTTTATTGGTGTTGAAGTAGAACAAGAGACGAGTGCACCCCCTCCTAAAAAAAATCCTGGATCCGCCCCTGGATTATAACACAAAATAATGTAAATACCAGAGGTAGCCTGCAAGCAGGCTCACTTGTGTGTGTTCGGGGAAAATTTTTGGCGGCAGAGACGCCATTCGGCAAGGAGAATGGGCTAAGGAAAAGTAAGCCTGTATGCAAGCCACATTTTTGTCTCATGCACCCTCGGCCTTTTCTCCTCGCCGGATGGCAGCTCTGCTGCCAAAAAAGTTCCCCGAACTGGCACAAGTCAGGGCTTCTGATATTTCATGCGGTCGTGGAGCCGCGAAATTCAGGTAAATCAGCGAAATCCTGCGAAATTCACAAAAACATTAAAAATACCACGAAATTCGGTAGAAATCTTATCAAATATTATTTATTGTTTATTGTTTTGTTCGCCTTAGTTGTACAAAGCAAAAAAAATCTAATTATTTAAACTCTCATGGTGAGGAAGCCCAAAAGCAGCCACCTGGAAACTGATGGAGAACTTTCTATATATTAGTCCTGCATTGTGGTAATTAAATAAAAAAGCTCTGAACTTCTAGTGCCATAAGAATGCACCTGGTGTGTCACCAAAAACATATTTGAAACTTACTTCAGCTACTGGGGCTATTTACTTGCCGTAAACTTGCACATTTATCTCAGAACTTCGTCACTGAAACGTGAAACAACATCCTGAAACTACCAGGCACTTCATTTCTGGAGTGTGTTGTTGTTGAAAGAGCAAATGGTGACCTCTGTTAGAAAAACGTTAAAAACGCTGGTCTGATAAGAGCAAAGCCGATTGATTCCTAGCGAAATTGCCTTGAAAATAACCACAAAATCGCCTGTTTTTTATTTACTGCTTTTTGGTGAAGTTTTAATTGCCCCAAAAACTCCACCAAAATTACCACAAAATCGGCCGATTTTTCCTCGAATTTGTCCCTAAAAATCCTGTGAAATTTGACTTTTTCTTCCGCGACCTGTCAGAAGCCCTGACAAGTGAGCCTGCTCACAGGCTATACCGAAGGTAGAAATCAGTTAAAAATTGATCGAGTTGATGGTAGTCTGTCACAATTTCTTTTCTAAAGCACAACCACAATTTAACTCACTCATGGTCAGTACAAATTTATAAAATTCTAATAATGGTAAACTTTGTTAGGGCAGGGCTTCCGATAGATTGCGAAAAAAAGAGGCCAATTTCTCAGAGACAGATTCATGGAAAAATTGGCTGATTTCACGAAATTTTCGGGGCTATTAAACTTCGCCAAAAAACAGTTGGTAAAAAACAGCTGATTTTGTGGAAATTTTCTTCACGACAAAGTGCTCGAGAATTTTTTTGAGCCAAGACGGCAAAGCTTTTAACATCATGACTAGTGCCCATGTTTTCACAACATAATTTACACCTGGTAGTTTTGGGACATTGTTCGCTCATCATGGTGATGAAGTTCCAAGATAAATAATTTGCAAGTTTATGGCAATTAAAAAGCCCCCATAGCTGAGATAAGTTTTAAATATGTTGTATTGACATGTATTTGACAAAACTTCTAGTGAATTTTACGACATTTTGCGTGTTTTTGTGAATTTCGCGGCTCCGTGACCTTGCAAAATATCAGATTAAGCCTTGCTGAGTATAGGTAATCACATGATTTCGAGTGCAATTTGGAATAAATAAGCACAAGGAAAATTTTTCAAAGACCAACAAAATTAAGTGTACAAGCCCGTAGAGCGTCAGTGCACTTTGTGGTCTTTGAAAAGTTTACAAGTGCTTTATATTAATCCAAATTGCACGAGAAAAATCATGTGATTACTTACATTTGTATTAATAATATACACAAAAAACATAACTACAATGACAAATTTTGACAGCGCACGATATTTTAGTTCATTCAACCGATTGGCTGAAACATAATACTACCTTATTGACAAATTCAAACTTTTTCAAGACCAACACTTTCAAAATCATTCAACAAGGATTGATTTTACATGGTCACCAGCCTGTTAAAAATAACTCGGTTTACAGTTATAATCAGTAAAAGTATTAAAGTGTTTTTAAATTCATCCTTGATTATATGAGAGCTCGGTGTTTACAAGAAACGTTTACAAGAAGTGTACTGCCGTTTTGAAATCAGGAGAATGCTTCGAGCAGCCAAAGATAAATTAAGACACTTGCTGAGTTGTTTAATGACTGTTCATCATTGTCTGTTCCTGAGACCTCATCACAGCTGGATTCATGGAGAAATTTTTTAATTTGAGATTTACAACCCAAAATTGAAGGAGGCCATTTGTTTTCTTTCGACGCTGCCATCGATGGGTGAGTGGAGCCACAGATGTTGTCATGAGGGAAACTGTCAGTATTAATCAAATATAATATTTGCATTTTCTCAGAACTGAGGTTTTCATTATTTCATTAATTTTGGCCTTGGCCTATTGCAAGAGAGAGTCATCGTCGCTCTTCTTTGTCAGTTTCATCGTAGTCGTTGAGGAAATTTATACGTGTGGCCTGTGACATTTGGCGTTATATTCTACAATCTTTGCTTTCTTTAGCTTGCTGACTGTTGTTTTTCGTGCACTATGATTCGTAAACGTTTTATTCACTTTCTTTAAGGCTAGTACCACAGCTACGGATACTATGGTATTTTCACCCATTGGTTTAGTTTGAACACGATATTTAAATTTTCGGTTTTGTTTGCTACTGAGGTAGAAAAAAACAGACCATCGCATGGCCAGTGTTTTAATAAAGTTCTTTGTTCGACAAAAGACTTAAAGAGAGCAACCGGACACCTTTCTCCTCCAACAAATAACGTGCGTGACTTGAAATCCCAGTTGTTATCATGGAAAACTTGCATCCTTGTTCATTGAAATGCCTGAAAAGTGTAGCTGTCATGGTTTGCGTGTGGTTGCCACTGTTTTTGTTCTTTATTTTTTACCTTTAAGAGCATAGTCTGTTATAAGCAGCTTGTTTTAGTTTCTCTGGCCCATTTTCCTTGCTTTTGTTGACAGTATTTTTCTCTTCACACCGCATTTTCAATACATTTAGCCAGAAAGACGTACTTTTTACCATGTTCGGGTTTTTGGAATGTTCTTTTAACTTTTTTTATTGTTGTTTTGTGCACAAAATCAAATCGTTGTTTGCAGAAAACCAAGGCCATTTTCTAAAATTTTGTTGTTAAAACAGCTAAAATCTGATTGGTTCTTGGTGGTTTCTTTTGTGTTTTCAGCCAGTCAGAAACCATTTGTAATTTGCACTCGTGTTACAAGTTTGCACTTTGGCCTTGTTAATAATACACAACTGCACTCCTTTCTCAGCCACTCAGAATTGAGTAATTTTTTCCTGTATATTATTAGACATGAACAGAAACTTGATGTCTTGAGCCTGAATTTTCACAAACCCCCTGATAATTCAGTTAGTACACAGCTCTTAAAAACCTCTAATTTCATTGGTTCTCCATAACACAGAGCTCCATTGTTTTAAGGATCATTCACTCAAATGATTATATTTCTATGTCTATTGTTTTCACAGCCAATACTGTGAGGCCTTGTAAAAAGCTGCGTGGCACCCCTGATAATTTGATAGAAAAAACCCTGGAGGTTCTTAAAATTGGGATTCCACATGTACAAACATGCATAGGGTATTTTTTCTGCTTTATACAGTGTTCTCCCTAAATTTTTGTTCAGCAGGTAAGGGACTGTTCATAGGCGGTAAGGCAAAAAAACAAAAAATGTGTGCCAGAAGCGCACTTTCCTGGGGGAGGGAGGTAGTGGAGTGGGGGACGTGGCTTTGACCTTGCTGTGAAATTTAGGAGCTAAGTTCTCTGAAATGTCATTCCCTCATTTAACACCTATTCTACATAAATCAGCCGTTGTTATTTTTAGACAACACTAAAAAACGTTTGATTCCAATAATATTACACTGTCTTCAATGCTCTAGAAAAGCTGTGTATACTTTAGTATACTTCCATATATTCGTTCATTACCTTGATCGGATCAGATCACAACTTACATATTTTTTAAAACAAGTTATTTAATTTTAGTAAACCTTCAAGCGGTTACAGGCGGTAAGAAGTGTTGCTTCAGATCAAATTTCTATAATATTTTCTTATAACACTGACTTTGCACAAAATTAATTAGCACTATCTAAAAAAAATCATGAAACAAAATTATTTGGCTTTTAGCGATTCCCCAACTTTAGTTCTTTACATTGCACTTTTTGTTTAGAATCGCCCTTATAGCTCCCCTTTTTTACTACAAGATTTTATTAAAGAACTCAGAGGTCTGGTCACCAGTTTTATTACTGAAAGAAAGTATACACATTGTTGCCAGGGAGATGTGAATTACATGTATATATATGCAAATGTATTTTTTTAGGCTTTACAAATGAAGTGACAAATGTTAATCTTTGCTCAACTAAAAAGAGGGGGGAAAGGGGGGGGGGGGGTCCTACGCATGTATCATGGACTTTAAAAAGTAAAAATAATGCAGCACGGTGATTAAAATTCCGTGTTCAAGTTTCACAGCTAATTTCGAAAATCATTATTTTCACCTTTATTGTTGTGGTTATAATAATATTTATCACTCCCTCTAATTTTAAAAAAAACTTGCTCATTGTCACTGTCGGCCAGTGCACCCGAGATCCCCACGCACCTTAGCTCGACAAAAATATAAGAGGCTGAATCATGATTGAACGAAAAATATTGACACCAAGGAAATTGTTTCTCACCTTGTGGTCGCAAGCACTCTTTTCTCGCCGGGTGAAACAAGAGCCAAAAAAGCAGGGGTGACGCCGGGAATTTTTCCTTGCTGGGGCATAACTGGGAATATGTGTAATATCGGCGTGATAGTGCCAATAATGAGTGCCGAAGACATAAGAAACTAGGGGGTCCAGGCGCATGTTTCCCCAGGAAATTTTGAAAATTTAAGTACTCCAGGATGCAATCTGAACGATAAAATTTGGCAAACATCAGGATTTCATTGTGGTCAACAAAGTGAGAAAAACTTAATGACCTTTTCCACCTAAGCAAAAAAATTAGGCTGTTTTGGAGCCAAAACATTATTGTAGTGTTGTACACGTTTTCAGGCATCATCTCATTGGTGAATGTTTACTAAAGTTAGATACTTGAAAGCTGAACAATAATTTTCTTTTAAAGGCTGTTTCCCTTGAATTATATATTTATGACAGTAAAAGTCTTTCATTTACAAAATGAACTAGTAATTAACATAATACCAGTTGTGCTAAAAAAATCTTCCTTCAGAATAAACTTTAAAGAATTATTGTTTTCCTAGATATTTAGTTTTTCTTGTCTTGGCTAATGGAAAATTCACTGTATGGTTTTTAAAAAAGATTAACACATTAAGCTTAAGCCACATTTAACACCTAATCAATTTTTCAATCATTAGTTAGGCCCGGTTCAGACGCCAAACTTTTCATGAGCTGAACCTATTAAATACATTGAATTAAGTTCATGAAAAGGTCAGCGTCTGAATCAATTAGGAACGCCTGTTTCAATTTTTATTTCAACAAGACGGTGTCCAACAAGAAAGCTCTTGCTACTTTGGACACTGTACACAAATGAACTTAATGTCTTTTAGTTGATTATTATTTGTCAGCTACTTTATTTTCCTACCTACGTACACTTATGTAAATATCTTTTATAGCGTGAAATAAAGAATTAAATTGAATTGAACGGCTCAGCTGTTCTTTTTGCCTAACCTGGCGGGGAATTTCAACTTTGCAGCGACTTCGGAACAGCTTTGATTCAGATGCCAAACTTTTCAAGTACTGAAACTAATGCATAAATTATTATAACGTATTTTGTAAGCAGTTTGATGGAAATGAGCATTTTCCGCTTTTTTGAACTTAGTTCAGCTGCAATTAAGATCAGCGTCTGAATCAATAATTTGGGTTGGCCTTAATTCAAATAAGGTTTGGCTCATGAAAAGTTTGGCATCTGAAATGGGCCTTAGAGGTGAGAAAAGATTTTCAGTGACTACTTTGCTTAATTGCAAGCTATTGGAAAATGATTTCACATGCATATTGCAAGGAAAAAGTAAATGTTATGCATACTAGATTAACTAATAATGATAAGCTTTCAATTAAGATTCTGCTAATGCTTTATGTGTAACCTTATTTCAGTACTTCTTTTCCACTTACCTTGCTTCGTCCCTCCTTCCTGAGAATATAGTCTTCGTAATATTTCTCACCACCATCATTTGCCATGATCTCTGTCTCAACTTGTCAAAAGAATTTATCACATAAGGGTCCAAAGAAGTGACGTCTGGAGCATAATTCAAGAAAATACATAGCATTTAATTTCCATACTTGCTTTGTTTTCGATCTTAACGGCTAACCGGCCGTGAAGAGACCTATGTTATCAAACGCCGTCCTGAATTCTACATCACTGTGCCCATCACTGTTGATGCTCGCAGGATAACATTACACTGACATTGGGGTTTTGTTTACACGTCATCTAGCTTCCTGCTTGTCGCAAAAACTAACAGCGCAATATGGCCTTTGATGTGTTTGCCCAAGTATTTGCGCTGAAGGGCTCTTTCTTAATAAAGTTTAATCTATTTTAAAACACTTGTGGTTTTCTCTGATCTGAAATTCGCCTCCGGCGCGCGCGAGCGTACGATGGTAAATTTTGGTCGTAAGCCAGAGGTCGATAATTAGACTTCCTTAAAATTTTAGGAAACTTGACACTTTTAAAAAGGAAAAATGCGGAAGAACGTCAGGAATAGGTACCTACAGCGTACAAGGCAACTTGATATAACCTGTCATATTTAAAGCATGTCAACCGATGGTCACGAAATAATGAATTGATTATTAAAGTGGGTCTTACATAAATTTTATATAATGAACAAGCTCTGTTTGCTTTCCTTAAAATCCAAATAAAACATCTTAAATCACTGACACTTGGAAAGCAGTCAACAGGCTGGAGTTGATCGAATAGTGAAGCTGGTCACAAACATGTCAAGAATCAATGAATCGTGTTGACCCTCGGGAGCCACTCAGTAGTGAATGTATTTGAAAGTTGTATCCTTTAAATGTCATTTATTATGAAGACTGACCTTTTATGTAGTTCTTGTCCTCGTCTCACTACATTGCCTTTCGTTTTCATGGCCTTACACCTCTAAAAGGTAAAGATGAATCTCTCTACTCTCTCTCTGTTTGGCGATACGCCATTTTGTATCCCAGCAACAACTGCGATGAGCCGGATGTGGCAAGTGCGTGACTTTCACCATTGTGTAACGCAACTCACGTGGCTAAAAGTATATGGAGCATATAGATATAGCGCTAAAAAATCTCTATCCAGTGGATCGCACTATTGGTTTCCCCAATACTAATCTCCTGGATAGTGATTTCTCCGGTAGAGTGCGGTATCCAACGTTTGAACAAGTGAGGCCTGACCTTTGCATTTCCTGGCCTGTAATCCAAAATTGCAACAACGGCCCTAAGCGCGCGTTCATAAAAAGTCTCCTCTAATATAGCCAACTATAACAGATTTTTGTTTGCTCTTCAGATTGTTCACGATCATGGTTTACTTGCTTGCAGTTCCTTGTGCTGGAAAAAACACAAAAAACTGTAAATTTTCTTGCTGGTTCTTACTTATAATACTCTCGGTAGGTGAAATGACAGACTCCTGACCGTGAAATAGCACACGTGGCAAATTTTGGCATGTGTTTTACGTGCGTACTGTCGTGAATAAGAGAATTCCAAAACCCATCAATAAAAGTAATAAAAGCCCGCTTGTGACCCTTGTCCACGTACTATACAATAACGTATAACAAACTCAGTTCCAGACGTTTGAGTGTGAGTTTAGGAGACAAAGGTGGGTTACAAGTTTTGTTTTAAATGTATGCCATACTGAATCTTCTGAATTTTTTGTAAAAGCTAAAATATTTGTGAATGTATTTCTCAGTCCGTGACTCATATCGGTAGTGATAACATAGGACGCTGTTTCGTTGTTCCTTGCTCATTTCATAAAGCAGTTTAAGGGTGAGTATGGGCAACAGTATTCCATTTAATCTGACACACGGCTCGATACTGTTTCCTCCGTTGAAGAAATCACTTCTGAAGGGGAATACAGTCGACTCCCGATAATTCGAACTTCATGGGAGACAGAAAAAAAATTCGAGTTATGAGGGTAAACTATTTAGAACACGATCTAAACGGAAAATTGCTTCGCTAGGGTTCGAGTTATAGAGGGTTGAGGGTTCGAGTTACCGGGAGTGCGACTGTATAAAACGGGAATTTACTCTGATCTAAGTTAGGAGCAATGGGGCTCCTGCCTAAGTGAGACCAAAACTTGCGATTTCTGGCCCTTAGGCGAGATACTGAGCCCCGGGTACGGAGCATCCTCGAACTAGCCTCCTAAGGGACGGACCATTAGAAAAGTTATGGGGGGGGGGGGGGGGGGAATTTTCGAGCTGCAAGAATTTTTTTTCGTTATCAGATTCTTTGCATGAATTTTATTTAGGCCATTGCATGAATATTTTTTAGGGTTAATTGGGGCGCATGAATTTTTTTTCATTTAATTTTCCCTTGCGCGAATTTTTTTTTGTACTTCGCCCGCCCCCCTCCCCCCGCCGATAAGTTTTCTAATGGTCCGTCCCTAAAAATGGTGGAGTTGGAGCTTTGCGCGGGGGCGGGGATGGGGGATGACGGATGGGGTGTCTCCCTACCCCTAGCCTGTGAACAGGCTCTCTGTTTGGGAAAAATAGCGAAGGGCCTGTTCACAGGCTACCCTACCCCCGCCTCCAGGAGCCTAACTTCCATTAAAGTAACTTCCATTCGTGTGCCGCTAGCGCGTGACTTGCCAGTATCGCAGACGTAATAAATCAAAAGCCTGTTGTCACTTGTGGCTCAGGCTAGCCATCCCCCAAATGGAGAGCTTCGGCAGGCTAAAAATACCCGGTCGTTGTTTCTCTTGAAACTTGAGTCGTGCCAAATGATTACGAAATGAGACGGCATTATGGCATAAAAAGCTTCTGCATAATATTAAAAGAATGCCTTCGACTCTTCAAAACAAAAAACGAAGCTCGTACTAGCTTTGCCGGTAAACATTCCCTCTATCGGATAAAATTTTAGGTAGATTCACAACAGATCGAAGATACATAATTGTAGTCCTGGGAAAATCCAACTTCCAGTAACTTTCCCGTCTTTTTAGTGCGCAATATTACGAAGAATTTGATTGGTGATTGGTCCATTGGTGTCTTATAGTCCCAGCGGAATCCCAGCGGAGTTACATTATAAGAGGAATCCTGATTGGTCAAATGCACGTGGCTATTGCATGGACGTGTTGACTCCTGACGAAATAGCCGCCAAATATGGCGGCTGGGAAATTACATTCATAAAAGGTTCAACACTTGTGAAACGGTCATTTAAACTGCGCGCATCAGTCTAGGATATTAGGTTATAAGCTGGTTGCAATTTAAAAAAGGTAAGACATTTTAGAATTTATTTTATTTTTTTTCCTCAAATAAGGCTGGCTATCGATGATCGACATGTCAAACTGGTCAAACCAGTCGCCTCGATAGGTCTTAGAACGAAGAACCAGTTGTTAAGCTTTGCATTGGACCGTCGTTCGAACGGTTGGTGCAGGCTCATCATCTGTGAATTCTTTTTCTTGTTTGGGGAAAATTTAGGTAAAATTTTGATGTGATGTGAACTTGTAAGTTTTTAAAAGCTTAGTTTCGTGGATGTTAACTTCCTTCGGCTCTGATCTGTCGCCATCTCTAGCCAATGCACTGTCTGGGAAAAATGTAGTTTTTGTACTGTGTACTTAAAGCTTATAAGCTGTGCACCATTATTCTGTGGTTGCTGGAATTGCAGGTTTAGCTTAATATATCTTGGCAATTCGTTATTAAACTGAGATGTTCGCATCTCGCATTATGCAACGGCTGTCGCTTGAATGTTGCACAATAGGTGAACTGACCAGATACGTTAGAGAATAGTGTAGTCCAAATAAGTTAAAGTTTTGGAAAATTCCCTTGAGAACTTGCGTTTTAGCTTAGAATTTAGAAAAGTTCTTTTAATTCTAGGTTAAATAATTATGATTATATTGCTACAAGTTGAAGTTGTTCTGTGGCAGGCATTAAAGCCCAGAAGCAAAAAAGCAACAATATGCTAATTAAACGTCCAACATGCATTTGTTTGGGAGAGCATGTTTGTGCGTTTTGCTGCCCCTCTCAACGCATTTAAATATCCTTTCAGTGTTTGATCTACAAATCAAATATTTCCATCGCACATATTGCATCACACAAAAAAAAATTCTTGTGTGTGTTTGTGTGGTCCCCCATGTTTTGCTGGACAAATACCGTGTGTTGGTGAAAATGTTTGATTTTCAGCCATGGCTTAAGCCTTGGAAACCTTGACGTGCCATGTGATGACCACTAAGTGCTTCTGTGTAATCGGGCTGCTATGTCTTTCTAATTGTGCTAAGTGAGATAACATAAGTGGCCTTTACATTTTCATCCTTGTCTGTTTAACCCTCTGACCCTGGAAGTTTTGCTGAAGAATGCCATTTGAAACTAGCTAAGCTGTTTTGTGGTCACTGTTAGGGCATAGATATTAAAAGCTGCTCTGAATATTGCTTAAAAGTCTGGCACTAAGCTACAATGAGGGACCAAAGTGTTGAGACACTTCCATAAAATGGCCCCTTTTTGAATAGTGGACATACTTATCTACTCCCCCCAAAATCAATGTTTTATTTTGGACCCTCTAGTCTTTCTTTCACTACAAACAACATTGATTCGGGGATGGGCGGATTTACGACATTTAAACAGAATGAAAAAATAAATGAATGAAATTATTGATAAAAGCACCCGTTTTAGTCAAGTTTGTCAACTACTTTTGTCGCTGATTGTGTTTGGTGGTCATGCGCCAAAGTTTACAAAGTTCCTTTATCAGCTAGGGTTAATGGTCTTTCTAAAGTCAAATTGAGATGAACATTTACTAGAAATATTATTTATGCTCCGTATTTAAGACAATATTCCTCTTTTCAACCCTGGTTGTCCTGGTGTGAACCACTGGGCATCCTAATTCGATTGTGATTTAGGCATTACGGTTGGCCAGCCATTTTGATAAGACAAGTCGGAATGGGGTCAGATGACAACAAAAATGGGAGTATCTTGTACATTGTGTAGTATTTAAGCTGGCCATGTCTTGAACAAACTGTCTTTAATTGCTCCCTGGGTTTTGCAAAGGCACTTGAGACGTCAAGCAAAAAAACAATGATAATCATTGAAGGGCTGTAATCAAATCATGTGGTTAAAAATTTGCTTGACAAATAAGTATTATGCAAAAATGGATTTCATGTGAGAAAAAATATTCATTGCACATGCCCTGGTGAAAAACACATTGGGAAAATGTGTCTGTTCTTACAGGCATCATGTAGGCTTGTGAATTAAGAAATATTGTCAGAGAATATTATTAGAGTTTCAAGCTTTCATCCTAAGTGTACAAAACTTGAATATTAAAGCAACTCTGGAAACTGTATCATTGTAGACATTTTAGCTTTTTCGGTGGCCACCATCGAGATCAGATAAAATTTTCGTGTCAGACACGGTACTGCACAAAAAGGTTTTGCATGTGTCTAAAATTAGTGGGCACCAAACAAAAGTAAAAGTGCAACCTAATTTCTTTTATTTCATCATTCAATGGAGTTTACATTGTGTACATTAATGTGCCAGGTAGACAACGTTTTGAGAAATTTGAAGGCTCTTTTTGCTGATGGAGGTCCATTTGCTGCAGAAAAAGTTACTGAAACTTGACAAAAATATGAATCAATTCTATGGAAGGAAACTGTTTCAGAAAAATACTTCAGCAGCTTACCTGAGGATCAGTGTACTTGGAACAGTTTAAAACACTCAAAAAATGAAGTACAGTAAAAACCTGGTTTAAGAACCTAAGTTTTTCCAAGCTACGCTAAGAAATTTTATGTTCTCTTAAAAATGGTGCTAACTGGAAAATTAGGTTAATTTGGTTCTTAAACAGTTTCTTATTTGTAAAAACAGACAAGGTGTTTGCCATTGGTGGGTGTGGTCTTTTTTGGCCTATTTTTGGTGTTGCATACATATAAAAATCTTTTAAATCCAAGCATTTTAAAGCCATTTATGAAGTTTATACAAACCTATGCAAGTTCAATAGAACAACAACGACATTAAAACATTGTACTGTGTTGCTACTGGGCAAAACATATTACTGAATTTCTCAAAATAAGAACCTGTTTTAAAATTGTAGGCTAAAACAGGTTTCTTATGTAAAAGGGGTCTAAATGGACAATCTTAGCCTAACAGGTTCTTAAAATGTAGGTTCCTATACAGGGTTTATTCTAGAAATTGGCTAATGAGGGTCAAATGGGCCCCCTTCTGTAATTTTAGGGGGCCTTTTTTCAAGAAAGGGGTCCAAGAAAGGGGGTCCCCCAAAAGGTATTTAAACTTATTAGGACTGTTCCATGAGAAACAAACGTTTGAAAGTATCATTTACGGACTTGTACTGAACATGACGTTAAAATGACTCTAATGCTTTAATGTAAGTGAAAAGATTCTTTCAAAAAAATAGTAGTTATCTGTGGGTGTCTTTTTTTTTGTGCCCATTTGAGGCGGCAACGTAAACTTTATGCGGCATTTTTTTGCAAATTGCAGAAGTCCCGCATGGCCGTGCTCTAGAGTAAACCCCTTTATATGCAGGCTTTTACTTTAGCGGTAATCAATGTGGTCAGCAGCAGTATAACCCTTACACCAAGCGTGTTTTTTTTATTTTTTATTGTTAATGGTGACCAATATTTTATGTCTGGTGACCATTTTATAATGTTAGGTCGCCATTGATAAAAATTGTGTTTGGCGGACTGCTTTTTTTCTTGATCACCAACATGGCCAACATGACATCATGTGCAAACCAGCAATATTCCCAGTAGAACTACCGTGTATGGAAATCTAGAAACCAAGCGTAAAGTTGCTCCCGTTCTGGCACATAACTTGAAAGAGAGACAAACACCTACAAATTACACAAACTTTTATGCTTTGCCCTGTAGGGCATAAGACTAGCATTTCTGTCATTGCATTTGTGTTTCATTGACCCATTGCATTTGAGTGCAATTGCAGTACAGGTATCTTGTTGTGGAGACTTATTGATTTTGTTTTATTTTATAAAAGTCTTATCAACCATATCCCAAGAAATTATAATGATAATTCCAGTTACTTTGCTGCCAAATTGAGGAGTGCATGTAAAAAGGCCCTTATAAAGTGACTAGTTCTCCCTTAATTTTTTTAATAGGCATGTTTAAGGTTATTGGAAAGAGTGGCTAGTTTTCAATACATTTTTGTCATGTTCTTCCTTTTAGTTGCTGCTACTACTGCATTGATAAATCATGGGGCTTGGTCGTCAGGATACTGCGCCCGCCTTGGAGCTCCTTAACTGCATGAATAGTGAAAGACTCAGAGGCTCCAAGCCTAACACTCCTTCTGTACCCTCATCACCTCTGACGCTGATTGAGAAAATCCACCAAAAGATTGCTGCAAATGAAAAATTCTTTAGCCTGGAATTCTTTCCACCAAGAACGCCTAATGGAGCAGTGAACTTGATTGCCAAGTTTGATCGCATTGCTATGGGCTGTCCATTGTTCTGTGATGTGACATGGCATCCTGCAGGAGATCCTGGTGGTGATAAAGAGACCAGTTCAATAACAATAGCAAGTGCAGCTCTTAATTACTGTGGCCTTGAGACAATGCTACACATAACCTGCGCAAACACAGTGAAAGCTACAGTGACAAAGCATTTGATGAAGGCCAAATCTCTTGGAATCAGGAATGTCCTTGCCCTCCGTGGTGGTACGAATGTATTACTTGTTTTATAAGTAAAGCCTGAATTAGTGAGGGCTCTTGTTAAAATATTTAAGTACATGTAGGTCATTAATCTTGAGAGGACGTTCAAAACTTTGTACGGATTATTGAAGCAATGCAGAAAAATCCTTAAGGCGTAAGGTACCCCATTGTTTTGGGAGTGCACATGATGTATTTACACTTTTTTGTTTAATTCATTCTGAGTTACCTTATATGACCTAATAGACACCCTCTCTCAAATAAACGCCTCTTGTCCGCTAATGAATGCCCCCTACACTTTTTTAAGTTTGCATTAGACAGTCCTTTCTAGTAAATGCCCCCTGTCCAAGGCTGTGCTCTAGGGAAAATTGAAAGGAACCCAGTGCTCTAAAACTGTAAAATCTAGGGTGCCTAGCATATGGTTGTATATAAAAAATAAGATTTCCTAGTCGCCCAATAGCAAAAGTTAGGCACCAGGTGCCACCAGGCTCTTTATTCAGTTTCTTGCAAAATGTAATGTGCATTGCATCTCCTTCAATGTCAAGTTCAAAGCAAAGGATTCTGACATTTCATTGCGTCAATGGATGGACTAGATAGTCTACTGTGAATATATAATTATTTGCAAAAAAGCATATACTGCAAGTATATTTAAGAGTTTGTTGCATTTGTGAGAATAAACAGTAAGATTTCAAGTTGCTGGGTGAATACAACAAGTAGGCGGGGAATCAAATGGCGAGGGATTTCTTTTGGTTTTATTTTTTCTATTTTCCTATGAAAGTAGCCGGGGGCCACATTCATAGTAGCCACGGGAAATCCCCCCCCCCCGCACTTTTGCTCATAATGACAGCCCTGATAAACATTTCTGTTTTGTAAATGCCTCTTATCCATAAAATTTCTTCCCCCATCTGGCTCGCTAAATCAAAATAGAAACCCTGGGTGTCTATTAGGTTATTTAGGTTACATTATAAAATGTGGGGTGACAAAGTGATATAGGTCTTGTGCCAGTGCTGTTGCTTGGGTCATGGATATATTGACATCCTGGTTTTAAAGTTTTCTTCTTTTTTTAAATTTCTATGTTCTGTTACAGATCCTCCTCATGGCGATGAGTGGCAGGCATTAGATGATGGTTTGGCCTATGGTACAGACATGGTTAATCACATACGACAGGAATTTGGTGAAACTTTTACCACATGTGTTGCTGGTAAGTAACATTTAAGTTACAAGGAGAAGGCAAGTTTTAACCCTAAAATGTTTTTTTGCTTATTATTTACAACTTGTATTTCAGGTTACCCAAATGGCCATCCAGATTGCTCCAGCTATGAGGAGGATATACAACATCTAAAGGAGAAAGTTGATGCTGGGGCAGATTTTATCATCACTCAGCTGTTCTTTGAAAACAAGACATTCTTCAAATTTTTAAAAGATTGCAGAGCAGCTGGTATCACTGTACCAATCATCCCTGGCATTATGCCTATTCAGGTGAGTATTGTTTCCTATGATATCACATGTGTGTCTTGATTTAAAGAGAGCTGACAAGGAATCTGTAGTCCAAGCTTACCAAATACCAGCATCAGTATCACTGAGGGGCATTTTATTGAGAGGTTCCTGTTTTTATCCTTTCCTTTGTAGGGTTATGCTTCATTACGCCATCTTGTCAAACTGTCGAGGTTAGAAGTTCCGCAATGGATTGTTGATGCCATTGAACCGATAAAGGATGATGATGAGGCCATTCGTAAATATGGTGTTCAGCTAGGAATTGAAATGGCAAGGGAACTATTAGCATGTGAAGACGTTCCTGGGTTGCACTTTTATACCCTGAATCGTGAAGTTGCCACAAAAGAGATTCTCACTGCCCTAGACTTATGGTGCCAAGACCCTGCTGCAAGCAGACCATTGCCATGGAAACCATCAGCAAACAAGAAAAGGCTTTGTGAAGATGTGCGACCCATCTTTTGGGCATCACGGCCAAAGAGTTATATGTACCGCACATCAGATTGGGATGAATTTCCCAATGGGAGATGGGGAAACTCTTCTTCACCATCATTTGGTGATCTAACTGACCATCACTTATTCTACTTGAGAAGTAGAACAAAAAAAGAGGACTTGTTGAAAATGTGGGGACAGGAGCTTACCTGCATGGAAGATGTGTTTGAAGTGTTCAAATGTTACATCTCTGGAGAAAACAACAAAGCTGGTGTGAAGGTAATCAATTGATTATTATTGATTCTTCTTCACAGGGTGCAAAGATTTGTCAGTTTTACAGCTTGCCATTTGGGCAAGTTGTAGCTAGCATGTACTAGCCCACAAGTCATTTCAACTAGCCTCAATTAGACCCTTTTTGATTAGCAGGATTGATTACAATCTGTAATCTTTCTATAATTTGAATTTCCCCAAAAAACAGCACTTGCCCATCAGGCAAGGGAAGAACAAAAATCACTAGCCCGATAGCAAAATCCACTAGCCTCGGGCTATCAGACATGACTTTCTTTGCACACTGACTTCATCTTGTATCTTGTGGTAAAGCTTGTTTGAAGAATCTCATGGGTTCTCCTTGTGAAACATTTTATTAATTTAATTGATTACTGGTTAAACTGGAGCTGCATTTTAAGCCTAAGATTTTGTAGAGCGTATTCACTCACGTGGCCAGCTAATTTATACAATCAAGAGAAAGTTTTTACATGACAAAAAAGTTAAATTCCCATGGGGTTGTCTTGGTACACCAACATGGCCACTGTTTCATTGTTTTGAAACACCAGTATGGCCACTGAGCCGTCATGTGAATACGCTCTATATTTCAGGCTTATTTTTTTTCTTATGCAGGTGAAATCCCTTCCTTGGAATGAAGACACTATAGCTTCAGAAACATCATTAATTCAGGAAAACCTTGTGTTTTTGAACAGTAAAGGAATCCTAACAATCAACAGTCAGCCTCACGTCAATGGTGCACCTTCCACTGATTCTACGCATGGCTGGGGAGGCAGTGGAGGATATATTTACCAGAAAGTAAGCATACAAAACACAACAACAAATTCCTCCCCAACAGTTTTCACAGTCAGTCCTTGTTACCACAAAATAGCAATGCATCACTGCATTTCCACTGTTAAATTGTGCATTAATGAAAGAACAGCTTTGAATAGGTACTATAAATAACAAAAATCAATGCACGCAGCATTATTCTTGTTCCTATCGTCAGCACCACACACTCTGCCTTTTGTACTGCACGAGTTCCTTATTTTATTACACACCCTTTCATTTTCCAACGAACTAATACATAGACTGGTATTGAATGTGAAAGAGTGTAATGACTGTAATATGTACATTTTTTCAAGGAAATGGTGACCCTATAAGACTGTTAAATTTTTGCAATGTTGTCTCACCCAGAATTGCATTTATTCTGTGGCAGGCATATCTAGAGTTCTTCACCTGTAGAGAAGTTGTTGATATTCTCCTTGAAGTGTTGAAGGAATATCCGCAAGTCAATTATCATGTAGTGAACAGGGAGGTAAGATGCCATCCAGTGTTTTTATGAAGGTTTTTCTCTCAGCATCGTTTATACGGTAATAAGAAAAGTATGTTGATGTTCTGCACATGTACATGTAACTTTGAGCATGAGATATGTTCTTCTAGAGAAAATTAATGGCAGGTAATAGAGAAATAAAAGAAGTCAAGTTACTGTTTAACCCATCCATGTTCAAATTCTCCAGACTGATCTCCTTCAAGGTTGTGCTCTTAGGACAATAATTAATAGGAGCCCAGTGTGCTGAACCTGTAAAATGTAGGGTGCCCAGCATATGAAAATAAGATTTTCTAGTTAAATGATAGCAAACGTTAGGTGCCAGGGGCCACAAGCCTCTGTTAATATTTATTAGAGCACACTCCTCAGTACTTAAAATTTGTTAAAGAAAACATCAAAGTATTTTCTCATTATGTAGTGATAATTTTATGAATTTCGCATAACCTTTTCTCTTGCTGCTGTATGGATTTTTTAGGAGAATGTTTATGTTAGTCACTATTGGGACTCAGAGAGTCAATTGATTTAAAAACCCTTTTCTGGGGAGGGACATTCTGCAGATAAAGTTGTTGCCAAGTTCAAATGCAACATAACTTCATGTCATGTGTCTCGTGGGAATTATTTGAGTGAAATTAACCTCCGCCGCAGGTGTTAGTAAATATTATGGGCACAAGAAAGAAAGTTCTGTTTCAAAGTCTATCTTTTCATTTATAGGGTTCAGTAAATGTAACAAATGCTGACAAGTTTTCACCTATTGCCGTCACATGGGGTGTCTTCCCTGGAAAGGAAATTGCTCAGCCTACTGTTGTTGATCCTATCAGCTTTGAGTCCTGGAAGGTTTGTAGTCTGTATTAGCTGGTTGCTTTTCTTTTGAGTGTTGTGGTTGCTTTGGTTTCTGTGCTGCAATGATAGCTAATGATAGTGATGGCAAAAAAATTCTTCTGTCGCTACAGTTGATCCTAGTTTCAAATAGTTTAGACTGTTCACTGTCCCATATTTTTTGGTTAGGTCGTTGGAGGACTCTGGATAACAATGACCTTTAACCAGGTTGGTGTCCATGGAATTGGGTGGGGTGCTCAGTCGCGCGAGCTCATAAAATCTGGTCTTGGTCTCTGTTATTTAGGAGTTTCAAGGTCGTCGAGATCAAAGCACTTACTCTTACGGTCGGCCATCTTGGTTTTAAATGTGCCGAGTTTACTTAGGGGGCGGGGGACGGTATGGAAAGAGGCCTCCCTCCCCCACCGCTAAAAAATCCGGGTCCCAGCCCCTCGGTAGGTTTGAAACCAAGATGGCCAGTAAATCGTAAACGCTCAATGCCAACGATCGTAGGGACCATTCATTATTTATGCCAGGGGGTGGGCCGGTAAGATCCATCAGAAAGCACAACAAAACCCCCACCGAAAAAAAAAAATCTAAATTTTTTTATTTTTTTATTTTTTAACGGATTTAAGACATTTAAACTCTCACTAAAAGGTAAGGAGAACAGTAACATCCAACCAATCACCGCTCTTGTTTCCTAACAAACAGGTTTAGAAATCACGCAAACACCTCTAAGGCAAGAGCAATAAGTGAACACTGTAAGAAAGGATATCAGACAATGAGTCTAGTAATTCCGTAGAAGGAAGTGACTGCCAGCTTGACCTTGTTGTTGCACATTGTAGTAGTGGGAACTCCTCAGGGACCAAAACTGTGCGAGGAAGACATGGTACCGGTTGCACAGTTACCACGCCAATCTCGTTTTGGACGTAATATTGGGACATGTCATTTGCAACCATGAACTGTTGGCCTATGTTAGAGGCTTGCAAACCACTAATACCGGCTAGTTCCGGGAGCTCTCGGAAAGCATTTGATTGAAAATAAAACAAAATAAAATATCAGGTAGACCCTCCTCGTTGTGTGCAGATTTCCTGATGACCCCCCCTCTAACTGTCTTGAGTTCGACGTGACCCACCCCTCATTCTTGCCAGCCCACCCCCTGGCATAAATAATGAATTGTCCCTTACGGAAAAATTGGGTAACTTTGAGCAGTCTACACATAGTTGGGTTTGTGTAGTTGAAAGTCCTTGGAATTGAATCATTTCATCTTCGCTTTTGTTTGTGTTTTCATTCAGGACGAGGCATTCGATCTTTGGCAGCAGCAGTGGGGCCGGCTTTACCCGGATGGTTCAGCATCAAAACTTGTCATAGAAAGCATTTATAAAAATTACTATCTGGTCAACCTTGTGGACAATGACTTTATCAAGGGAAATTGCCTGTGGGAAGCTCTAGAGAATACAGTGCGTTGGCGAGAGTTGCAACAAAACAACCGTGCAAGCGATCATAAACAACAAGAAGCTGTACAATAAAATTCACAATATTTGAAACTTGGAAGAATATGGATATCAGTGGTTCTGGTGAACAAATGCACTTTCGGTGTAAAGGAAAGTCAGAAAAATGTGACGGTACACCTTGATGAACGTGAAAGAAAAAGATGCCGGCAAAGTGTGATTATAATGTACGATCCTCAAGAGGGATATTAACATGGAAATTGTACTGATCTCGCTATAAGAAGACAACTGATTTTTGTTGGTTGAGTAGTTTATAAATGTCTACAGTCCAACGTAACATGTACATGGCATTTATTTAGACTTGCCAAACTCTGTTGATAACCGTCAGTAATTTATACAAACACAACTTGCGCGAGTCCAAATTTTAACTTAAGAGAAATATATCTATTGAAACTTTCTGTCGGAAAAATAGAAAAAAGGTACGAAAAAGTATTTATTTATCGGTCTTTAAAACTAACAGAGGTGGAAAAACGCAACACATTTCCAAGTGATCAACTCCCAGAGTCTTCATGTTTCTGTAAAGTTGAATCTCGGTCTGCGAGTTCTTGCAGTTTTTCGTCGGGGGAGACAAAAGTTACTGCTACTATTGAATTCTTGGCCCGCGAATACAGATATCTCTCCTTGCTCCTGGCCCCTAGTTTTCTGTTGTCATTTCATAGCTAAATTTAAATTTAAATGCGACCTTCGCAAGGTATTCGCGTGAATATTCTTTCGAAACAAATTTCAAATGTGATGTGTTTGGTGCCTCTTTTGGGAACACCAGCCTTTTAAATCGCCTGTGGACTCTGGGTATGAGGTCTAGATAAACCACACACAAGTCGCAATTTGTCGATTCTCTCTCACGGAAAGCTAGCTGTGGAAATGTTGGCTCCTGAATCTTTTAACGGAGTCTTGTCGTTTTTCGCCGATGATTTGTGAATATAAAATTATATTTTTATCGTCATTTGAATGATACCCGTGGGTGAAAATTAATGAAACATTGTGTACATTTTTTTTACGGTATCGGGGAACCTAGAACGTCGGGACTTAAATTAAAACGTCCTTATCGAAGATATATATTGGCGTATTCTTGTACAGTACTTTGGGTAGTTAATTATGTGACGGAGAGGTCCCTCCAACAAGGTTTCAAATTTACCGGCGCGGGGGCGGGCGTGGCTAAACTTGATATATTTGAAACCAAAATAGCCGCCCAACCCCCCGTAACGGTGAGCGCGCTCGATCTCCGGGATCTTACGGGAAGTAGGTGTGCAAGACTTACCAAGCTTTTTGGAGTACTTTGCACGTAGTCGTGTGACCTACCACTCAACTATAATCAACGGTCACTTGGTCCCTGAATCGTAGGAACTCGTTACTATTTAAGCGGACACATTTTTGCAAGGTCCTTCGACCTTTTTCTTATCCTTCTCACTTCTATACATGAGTTGCTTTGTTAAGAGGTATGATGTATAGAACATATATTAAAACGGACCTTCGAAAAAACGGCGCGCCAGGGAGAAGAGAACACCTTCCATCAATGCCACTCGTCACCGTCGTATGTAAATAATTCAAATCCCGCCCAATAAACACGTTCCGTCTCCCCCGTAAGTTCCTTTCCATTCTGACACACCCGTTTTTCCCCTGTACCGTCCTTTTGAAGCCAGTAAACCGTGCCTGGGACTCGCAAAACTTCCAAGTGGAGAAAAGCCTGAGAAATATAGGGGTTAGATTGGGGGAGACGTGAATCCACCTCAGGTATATACAAGCAAGAACTGATCTTGGCTATGAATAATGGAAAGCGTGAGGAAAAACCGAGATTTAATAGACCCGGAAAGCGTTAAGTTAAAAATGATAGAAAAAAGGTACAACCAGTCTGTGTCCCAAAACGTCTTCAATTTACAAAGGTCACTCTCTTCAAATTCTATACCTCCACCCCCTAAAACGGCTCATAAAACTTAGAACATTAATTTGCACCAGTTAGATATTTTATTTATAAATCGATCTTATTCAGGGACACCCAACGACTGCTTTCTGTAAAATATCTGTTCGGAGAAGCAAATATTACCTAAAATTTTCTATTACTTGAGGACGGCTAAAAATTTCTAAGTGACGGTTCCATTCATGTACAGTTTTCAACGCTTAGCGAATAAATTCCCAACGATTTTCTGAACGTTATTTTTTCACATTTCAGTTCCCTGGTTTAGCTATTTTTCGTAGTAACAAGGAAACCTAAAATTTTCGGATTAAAAAATGCGATGGAGAGACGAATTAGAAAAATTCTCACTTTTGTAAAACGTTAAATTGCATCTAAAATTTTCAGGAAAGTAGTATTGAAGCCCTAATAATTTCGAAACGACTTGAGTTGCCCTAGGATGACCGAACAGATACAAATTTTATAGCGCAGCTTAAAATGCTTTTCCAGAGATCTGCAAGTACTCTGGATAGCCTAAAAAGTGTTTTCAGTGTATTTAGGAGGAAACCGTCGTTGGGTGCCCCTCCTTATTGAACCATTGATTTATTTTCCTTTTTAAAATTCGGTTGTAATTCAGTCATTCTCTGTTAAATATGTAGCATTCTTCTTCTCTATGCAAAATTATGCTGATTTATGTCACCATTGTATATTGCTTTAATTTTAGACGACAGAATAACCTTCATCTTTAAGTTCTCAATGGCCACCACATAAAGTAACGTCAGAATGGCTAGTTTCACCCAAAAACTCGCTTTAAAAAGTGTAAAACTACGTTAAGCGGATCTGCTTTTACAGGTGCTATATATGTGGGGCTATTTGCCTTCTTTTCAAAAACTAACACCTTTTTTGCATCTATTGAATTCCAAAAATAGTGGTCCAGTTTGGTTTTTGAAGACTATTTATGGCATTGACATTGTTTCCTGTCCTCTGTTGCGAAGGATGGATATGGATTGGAACTTGAAATTAAATAGTAGGGCCAACCTTTTCAATTTTAATACTATGCGTGCAAAACTCACCCAAAAAATTATGGTTTATAGTGGTCTCTGATGAAATTTGTTTGATATCTTCATATCCTCGTGGAATAGCCCCTTAAAAAATAGTAAAAAAAAAAATTGCACTCACTCAATAACAATTTCTAAAATAAGACCCGGTGGTGATGGTTGAGCCAGTGACGTCACTTGCATGGAAAAGCCTATTGTAACGTATAACTTGATAACACTAAACTATAGTCAAACCTCACTCCTTAGTGCGGACAACTAACCGGCAAGACTGAGTTGCAAGTGCCTGAATTAGGGACGGACCATTAGAAAACTTATGGGGGGTGGGGGGAGGCGAAGTACAAAAAAAAGTATTCGCGCAAGGGAAAATTAAATGAAAAAAAATTCATGCACGACAATTAACCCTAAAAAATATTCATGCTACGGTGTTAAAAAAGTTCATACAAGGAATCTGATAACGAAAAAAAATTCTTGCGACTTGAAAATTCCCCACCTCCCCACCCCTTAACTTTTCTAATGGTCCGTCCCTTACATGCAGGTGTCCGTCGCATCAGTTATATAGCTATCAACAAGTATGCTGAAGAAATGTCCGTCAAATAAGGTTGGAGGTTTGCCAGTACTTAATCTATTTTATTGAATTGGTTTTAAATATACATTATTTATATAAAATTTCTGAACTACAGCGATATTCTTTTTTTTTTCACTCGTTATTTGTAGCTGTACGCACCAAAACAGCTTTGTGCGTTTACTCGCTAAAAATATTCCTTAACTGAAAAGAGCATTCTTAAATTTACCATTGACAATGTTGAATTTCGAGTGACTTTAAAATTAAAGAGCCACGACGCGCGTTTGCTTACTTCAAGTTCTTTTGCCTTATTTCATTTGTGTTCGCATTTATTTTTTTCACTATATTACGAAAATCTATCTAACTCACGGTTTATTATGACTATGATATGGTTTTTATATTTTTCAAAAGCTGTCTCTCCGAGAGGGTCATAACCACAACAAAACAACGTACTTTTTCCTGCTTTTGGCGATGATTGCACGTCAGTGTCAGTTAATCATTTCAAGTTTTGATGTGAAGTAAGCTTTTGAGACACTTAGTATTCAAAATGCTTAAGCTCTAAACAACTATCTTAAAGAATCAGTAAATTAACCCTCTGACACCCAGAGTCAACAAGATTTGCATTTGCATTTCTTTGATATGACTATTCATAGGAGACCTTTTTTTAGGGGGACTTAAATATATTGTTCCGTTTGTTTCTAGTTATCTTATAAAATCCAGTGTTTATTATTTTACCTTTGACAGGGTGTTTGTAGTGAAATATATATGTATATATAAAAAACATACTAAAAGTAAGCTAAGTTTGTAAGACACTAAATTATACACTAGTCCTCTTAAAGGTAAGATAACTATACAATAAAACCAATATCTTCAAAATAATGCAATTAAAAAGGGTGACTACAATTGTTACAATGTCGCTAAACAGTGGTGCTAGATACGTAATTGGTCCTTTTTTCGCCCTAAGGACTAGCCCCACCTAGAGAATTTCGATCAACTTCGCCGGCCTTACCGACACGTTTCACGCCTCGGTGTACGTACTGGACATCCAGAGATGACTGAGTAAGGTAACGTCCCGAAGATATCTTTTGAAGGAGACAGGCTGACTTTTCCCTCAAAAATTTAAGGCACTTACGGCCATAATTACACAATTCAGCACAAGTTGTTAAAAATACAAAGTATCGAAAAGTAGCTACTAAAAAGTAGATATAAACATTGAATACATACAACCTGAGTCACTCAACTCTGCAAAGGTAAGTTCGGCATAACTGAGGGAAACTATTTCTTTAAAGTACTATGTTATGCAGACAGTACGACGAAGGCAAAGATATTACAAGGCTTAAACCAGGTTATGTGGCAGGATGAGGTTTTCTAGTCCTTATTTTGTAACTTCTGTGAGAGAAAAAAAAATGAAAATAAGAGAAAGAAAAGTACCCGACAACTGCAGAGTCCGAAACTTGAATAGCCGATCCTTGTTAGGTTGCAATCCTTTAAGATTTGATGATCATCTTCACATGTCGCCCCATGTTAAGGTAAGCCGGATTCCGGAATCGGAGCATTGGAATCCGGAATTTCAGCACAAGGAATCCGGAATCCAAGTTCTACTAGCCAGCGAGCAAGCTCTCCGCGGCGCTCTGGCGGTCTGGCTGTGGGGCGGGAAAAGGAAGGAAAACTTGCAACTACGTCTCTGGAATTTGAATTCCACCTCCAATTCCCCTGTGGCTCCCGTCGACCGAGCTGTCAGATTCCGCCAGTCAGCGCGAAGCGGAAACGAGCGCGAATGTAAACAAACATTGAAAAACACATGCCAAGGGTACTGACGTCATTACTAATATCATCTACGCCAATCAGCATTTCGCATCGACTTTTCCGATGCAGATATTCAAATTCCAGAGACGTAGTTGAAAGCTGTCCTTCCTTTTCCCGCCTAACCGCCAGAGCGTCCCGGAGAGCTTGCTCGCAAGCAAAAAGGAAGGCTTGTTCAAGGAATCCGGAATCCACAAAAAGACTGTCTTGGATTACCTTACATGGGGCGACACATGATTGACAGCAGAAAGTGTAAAATAAAATATATACAGATAAAAATAGAAATGACGAAAACCTGTCAAACATCCTTGCCTTGAAAATTTTCCATTATGTAAACTGCTGCACGATCCATATTCCAATTACAATGCTTCAATGTCCTCCTACAGAGTGCCTCGGATTCGCCAGTGATTGTGGCGACTTTTTGCACCTTTATATTCTCAATAACCTGTTTAACATCGCATTCGTATTGAAGCAGAGCCGCATAACACCAGTCACGTGAAACATCTTTCCCACAGACGTCTTGGATTTCTTGGATTCCTGCATCAATTTCATGACCATACGACTTTTCGATTTTAGCACTGGGAGGATTGGCACTTTCGGAAACAGGATTGGCAAGTCTTAGAGTTTGATTTTCAAGTTTAACAGCACGGGATATCACCGACTTCAAATTGTTAGTTGAATTATCAGAACCAGTTACTGCACTACGAAGTTTGAAATTTGAACCACCTTGGCAGACAGACGCGGCCGCTTGAGAAACCGGCACAGCAGCAGACGAAGGCAGAGGGTTCATGCGCAGGGCATTTAACCCACAACTTTCCACTGGTGGCTGGTAGGTATTAATAAAGTTACCGCTACCATCATATAATGGAACAATCTTGTAGGCAAGATCCATGGTTTCGCTCGAAATATCTGGTTTCCGCGCAGGTAGAGGCGATGGCTGGTTTATCTCGTGGTCTGGTATGTTTGGACTCAGGGAATTTGAAACGGGAGCGTCATAAACCGGCTGCTGCAGTGTGGCGTGTTGCTTTGGGGGAAGCGGAGGACATTCATTAGAATCAGAAGAAAAATCGATCAAATCCTGCGTTACACTGCTGTTCTCATTACGTGGCTTTTGCGATGCACCATTGCTGCCATTGTGATGACAAGATCCTGAAGTCACACCTGCTGTTACACTCTGACCCGGCTTACTGACAGTACTTTTCTCAACAACCGTTAACTTATTTAATTCTTCACTAACCGCCCTTATAGCGGTATTTTCACCCTCCACGCCCACTTCAGCGCCATTTTGGATTCGTTTAGGTTCGTAAGGGGCAGGGACTTGCGGTCGCAACGTTTTCTGGCTATCCACACTTGGTGCAGTCTTAGTGTCGTTGACTACTCCAATATCAGTGTTGCTTCTCCTCCGGGATTCGTCAGGGTCACTTTTGTTCGAGAGATCATCCGACAAAGGCCGAAGTCTTTCTCTTGCTTTTTGACGAGGGGTAGGAACCGGCCTCTTTCTTGATGTTGTTCCATACGAACCAACTCGTACCGTCCTATCAGGCCTCTGAGGAGCAGTTTTTTCTGTGTTGTTAACAAGATCAGGACGAGAAGGTATTACGGGAGGTCTTTTTATGGTCTGTGGGGCCCCATTTGAGGTAAGCTGGAGTGAACTATCATCTTTGGAGCCTTTTGCGTTCTGAAATGGCACTGCATATTCTATATCCCATATCCTCTCATAATCAGACGTCGAAACTTGAGATTCCGACATTGTTCTACTAGGCCTCTGTGACAGATGAGATTGACCCAAACCGGATTGCCTTGTTTTGCTCTCTTGTCTATCTTGAGCGTGCAGAGAGGCGGGAGTTTCCATGCTCATGTAGTCTCCTTCCTCGCTATCTTCTTCACCAGCTCTTTCGGCCTCGGATTCGCCCACCTTTTCGCCTCCTCCCATGGGCACATAGACTTTCGAATCTGGTCGGGCTGAAGCCGTTTTCGCGGGCCAGTGCGTCATGGCTGGGTATGGGTCTGGGTACAGCATGTAGCCTGGATCGAGAGCAACTTCGTCTACCTCCAAGTCTGAATCAAATATTAAATGACGCCATTAACTATACAGTCAATTCTCTCTAAGAAAGACACCTTTAGGACCGGCACTAAGTGTCCGGCTTAGATAAATGTCCGCTTCATAGGAAGTCAAATAAAGGGATAAAGAAAGGCAGGGGCCAACTCCAGGTGTCCGTTTAACAGAGGTGTCTGTCTTATATAGGTGTCCATTAAGAGAGAGTCGACACGTCTATCAACACCCAGCCCCACCCCACCCCAAACAACCTTATTTTCTTATCGACTGCATTGTCTGCTTTCAAATCCGGGGAATGTACTCCTTTATAGGGCCTAGATGTGCCGCCGGACAGGGTATGGTTTTTGACCTTTCTGCTCCAAACAGGGTCTAACTAGAGTAAATAATTTCGTGCAAGTCTGTCCTAATTATAAACAGGGTATCACTTGCTCGATTGATGCCTTGTTTTGCTTGATGAACAAATTTGTTTTTACTCCAAGTATACAAAAGCAATAGCTATAACGTGAATTTGAATGCAATTACCAATAAATTGCTATAAAACAAGACGGCTTGCCTTTTCGTCCTTTGCCCTTAACAGGCTTTGTATTCAAGGATTTTTTGTCCCAAACAGGGTCAGCTTTTAAACCGAGGACGGCTGTGCACAAATCCGTGTATTATGGAAGTTTCAACACAAGACCCATATAATCCTCAAGCTTGATGTTTATTGGTCCGATATTGAACAAGACACAGCCATTCAATACCTTACTCCAAAACTCAAACATTTACTAAGAAATTCACCATTTACACATCGCCCATAATACCCCCCTCCTTTTTCCACCCTTACGCCTACCCCATGGGAATTTTTCTCATCGATAGCATCAAAGATAGCAGCGACGGCCTTAGGAACAAAAACAAGCAGCTAAGTCGCTCGCCCCGAAATACGCCTGTATTGCAGACTTATGCCAACACTAATGCACTGCTTGAGTGTTGTTAGTATGACCATTCAAGTGAAAGGATAGGCGGTAAATTTTTAAGGTGTTGATTGTATATTCAATTAGTGGAAAAGCAAAGAGCAAGATCTGAACTTACCTAGTAAATTTCTATCAGTTTGTTTTTCCTTGGTCTGATGAAGAAGGGTAGCTAAATCTTCTTTAACATTTGGATTATTTGTCGCTCTCCTATTTGAATGTAAAACAGACAACCACAAGTAAATATCCTGAAGAGCGTTTCGTCACAATTTCCAATAAATATCCAGTTTTCTTTAAACGGAAACATTTTCGCGGTAGGTCACGAACCAAATCAGGCAACCAAAAAGTCAGGTCAAAACATAAACATTACGCAAACTTGCTCATCACTTGAAAGATTAGTAAAGTATGAGTATCACTACAATCCGTTATCAAGACAAGCTTGATCATTCAACAACCGCGAAAATAAAACGGAATCAAAACAATCTGTTAGAGTCCCACTCCCCAGTTAAGATCTTCTCAGAACGTTTACCTCGTTAATACGGCCAGTCGAATGCCAAAAAGGCCGTTTTGCAACTAGTCAAGGCAAACAATATTTCAAACAATAACTTTCTCCGCGTTTAGATCATAGTGGAGTGCGGCGCGATGTCAAACAAAGGGAAAAAAAATAAGGGGGAGGAGATTGAGAAGGAGGGAGGAGGGAACGCTGCTTTTTCTGCTCACGTCTCTTTCCGTCGTACCCTGGAATAAGCCAATAACATGCGTTATATCCGCCTCAGAATTAAAAAAAAAACTTTACATGATGTAATTAATAATTATTATTAATTTTACATCTCCTTTTACTTTTCGTGAAGAAATTTTCAAAGAGAACAACATTCACCACAAGTTGGTGGAAACTTTAAAAGCATTTAAATTAATCTATGTCCTCGTGATTGATAATCGCATCACTGTCTACGAAAGCAGGTCATCAGCGATATACGTCTTTGAAAATGCCTCTTAAGTAAGAATTCATGAAAATAATTTGCATCGCTGATAAAATCATAATAATGTCATCACAACGTATTTTTATCGAACAATCACTGTTTATGCAAATCCATCATTTCCAGAGGCTAAAATAAAAAGCAAACTGTTTTCATTTCCTTTCTTTCATTTCCAAAAGGGCGGGTCCCGGTCAAAGGGGGAGGGGAAGGTGAAAACATCCTGTCAGCCATTTCCTGCAATCAAGGTTAATGATGTAATGTTATGGTACAACTGTGACGGGCACTGCTAAAAGGTAAGGCCAAAATTGCACAATATCAACTTGTATTTGCAAAGAGGCATTCAAAAACAAAAGGAAATTGAATCGCGGTCAAAGGATACGGGTACGGTTGGCGCGACGTTTATATTGCTAAACTGTTCGGCACCCACCATTTTGGAAATAGAAGAAATTTTAAGAATTTACATTTTCCAGTCTCTCTCCTCTGTAGAGGCCACTATGTACCACAAGGATGCTGGGTAGAGAGGGAAAAAGAAAGCGCGTACAGGACGATAGGAAGGGCAAATAGAAGGAACAAAAATCTCTATTAGAGAACGACCACCCTTCTGAGAGAATTTGCGGTTCTCTGGCTAAACCAGGCAACAATTACGGCGATTTTGATTGTCAACCTCCCTATTACAAATCTTAGTCTAGAAGGTTAGCAAGCAGCATATGGTACAGTTCCCATCCTAGTCTTTCACCGTTAGTCGTTTGGTCGCCCCTCTGTAATTTTCATATGCTTTTGGATACCACTGAGTGACTTTGCCGAGGAGAGAGTATTTTAGTCTCCGTGAAAGATTCAATTGCGGTTAGACAGTGATTACTTTAAAAAGTGACGCACTTGTGACGTCACTATGATGTCAGGGAATATCTCGATGAATTCTTACTCGTGGTCACACGTGCCTGCTTTTAGACAAAATCAGTTTCGAAATCAAATGGGAAATTTAGAACGTTTTGTTATAATTATTAAGATCGTACTTTTGTAATTCAGCCAAGACCTCTCTAGAGTCTCGTTTCTTCACCTTGAATGGACAGCTGATCTGCAGTGAGCCCCTGTAAGAAAAGAAGAAAAGTTTGGTTTTTACCCTATCACCACCGCCATTGACCCGGTACCACAATTTATATCATCCACTCTTTTACTCTTAGGTTAGTTCACACGTTACCAGACGAATTTTCCGTTCACACGGAGCCACCTTCACCGTACAAAAATTCCGATGCCTACCCCACCCGTTCCAAAACTTTAACGACAACGTCGAAGTCAGATTTTAAGCCGGTACGGTTGAAATTTGACTCGCGCGGTGGGCAGATGATAAAACCACTGACAACAACAACTAATACTCAGGCTGGTTGGTTCGTCAGTTCCGTGTGAACGATGAGTCCGGTCAAATCTTTCAGCCGGTTGAAATTTGTCCGTTGTCCTGTGAACGAATCCTTAAAAGAACTACCTACCGTGTGGCATGAAATTTTTGCGGGGGTTTATTTCTGCGGAGTTATTGGTGATTTTTTGTGTCCTGCGGGAACTAATTTTTGCGATTTGGACAGATTGGTTTTTCTCGCTGGGAAAAACTTTTGCGATTTTCAGAAAGTACCCAGTTCCCGGCATTGATAATATTTTCGTTTTGCAATAGAAATACATACCGTGTGGCACGAAATAGAGGAGTTCACACTCATAGTTGTATCATGGGTAATCAGGGCAAGATGGCGGGAAATTAGAAGATTTGTATTGGAATTCAAAGTCAGCTAATTCTTCCTGAATTCATATATTTGATGCTTTCTCTGTCAAAAGAGTAACTTACCAGTTCAAAGAAACTATACACAAAATCTGGCCGGAGTGCAAAAAAGTCCGTGCGGTGTGTGTAACCTTCAGACGTAAGACGTAAACTTTGCCCTTATGCACAGTTGCACAAAAGGCTCAGGTACAGCAACGAATCTTAATTTGTTTATTCTTCTGGTTTTCGTCAGTTTTTAAAGACAAATATATTAGGGGCCGACCATTTAACTCTTGAGGGGCGGGGGGTAATTTCTGGTCATCAAGAATTTTTTTTCTAGCATTCGGGTGGGCAGGATATTTTTTTCCCTACTACCTTTCAACCACCCCCCCGAGTTAAATGGTCGGCCCCTTACTGGCTTCTCCGCATGTTGACGATGTTTTCGCGCGTTTTTCTCTTAGCAGTTTGTGACCCTAGCCCTTACAGCTTTTACAGTCAGAGCGAAAAAAATCCACAGCTCATTCCAACAACCTCCACTAGTTCGACCAAAGCCCTGAAAAGATGGGAGGACAAATACGTCCGTTTAATTATTGCAAGCTACATGAAGTTCAAAGACGAATTTGGGAAGTCACACATCACCCAACAATCATAAATTCGGTTGGACTTTTGGTTCAGACGCGTTCCATTTTCCCTTGGTCAGTCCGAGTGGTCTCTGACCGGTCGGTCCGGTATAATGAATGGAAAGTACCCCAAGTTTCACCGATGTTCATTTCTAAACATGCAAATATATGGGACGCAAAACAATTAAATGTTTGCAGATTTTGCTCTCTAATACCCAAATAAGTTTTTTTTGTGAATCCTAAATTTTGTTTATCTAAATGTGTTTTCCATTACCTGAACCTTGAATACCTGTTTGAGGAGATTTACACTTGAGTGCGGGCTCATTTTCCCGAACACAGGCTGGTAATCGAGCCTCGGGGGGAAACAGTTCGAAAGAAAGTTCAAAAGGAAGGCTAAAGCATTCTTTTTCTGTTAATCTTAGATTCAACTTTTGGCGACTAGAATACTTGTACTGGCAACCAAAAATAAACGTGGGGGCCAGCTGGCCCCAAGATTTTTTTCTGAAAGTCGAGCACTGGACTCGACTTTCAGAAAACGAAATACTGGTTTAACCAGTATTTGACCAGTATTTAAACGAAACACTGGTTTAACCAGTATTTCGTTGTATACCGTTTTGTTTCTGAATGAAAAAGAAAAGTGTGATTGAACAGCCACGATTTCTTAGTATTGTATTTTTGTGTGGCGAATTTAAGTTAGAGAATATTTGTTCTGGATTAAATTTTTGCGGGAAAAATGTTTGCGGTAATTTTTATTTGCGGGAATTTATTTTTGCGGATCGCTGGAAAAATCGCAGAAATTAGACCCCGCAAACATTTCGTGCCACACGGTATTTTTTAACAGTACTACAGTATACGTACCCTAATGAAAAAGCGATAATTCATCGTATACCGTTTTGTTTCTGAATGAACGAAGCAAGTTGTATGAACAGACACAGTTTTTTAGTATTGTATTTTTGTATGGTGAATTTGAGTTAGAGAATATTTACTCTGGAGTAAATTTTTGCGGGAATATATTTGCGGTAATTTTTATTTGCGGGAACTTATTTTTGCGGATTGCTGGAAAAATCGCAAAATTAGAAACTGCAAAACGCGCAACATATGATTTATTGCAACTAACAAACGTTTAACGGAAAGGACCGAAAACTAAATCCGTACTGAGATCTTTCACTTGTGTGGTGAGACTCTATTTCTTTTTAATTTTGCCATTAGATTTCAAACTGTCCAAGTGCTACTTCTGAACTGTACTCGGGGTGTTTAGTTCTTTTTTTTTACATCCATGCACAGATGAAAACGATGATATTTCACGGAACCGCAACTTTTGGGTCAAACGCTTGAGTTGAGGTCGTTTGGTAAAATTGTCATGTAAGCACGGTGAATAAATTCAGGGGTGGAAAGAAGCTTTTACAAACTTAACATAACAGTTTGCCAACCCTTACCCAACGTTCTTGGGAAATTCAACATTTTTCTCCTCAATAAATCCTATGGAAATATCTTCCCTTTGAGCAAGTAACGTTCCTTCTCCAACTCTGGAAAATATAAAGCAATATGTATTTACAATGCGGATCAAGAAATGTTTGTGAAAAAATGGTAAGTTAAGACATAAGCCATCGTTCTGTTGCTTTTTAGTTATTCAATTATGAAGTCTTTGTATCAATGAAACGCCGCTATGTTGATTCTTAAAGCGTGCTTAAATACGGTGTTTGACAACTCCCTTTGGTATCTGCTGCCTGCCTTCACTGGGTTCCACTTTGTTTGTATAACCCCCTTTTTGGGGGGATGGGGGGGGTATGATAATGTATGATAATGAGTTTGAAACAAAGGGAAATAAGATGAAACCAAGGATGAGACTGCTGATAATAATGAACCACAGCAGCATCTGAAAGGTGGCAACCGAAAATGTAGAATTTCTCACTTCTCACTTCTATCAGAGAAATTAAAATCCAAAACGTTATGTTCTCATTTTGCTCTTGGTTTAGCCTCAGATTTGTTGATATAGTGGTTCTCAGAGGTGATCGGGGGTGGGCGGGGGGACTCCACATATGAAAGGGGTGGGGATGCTCGTTGGAAATTTTGAATTAAACCCCTAAAGGAGACCGATCTGGGCGTGGCCCAAGCTTTTTTTGACCCCTAAAAGAGACCGTGTTAAAGCACAGATTTTTATATTTTTTCACGTGCAACCCTAAACAAGAACTTCACCGCTAAATATGACGGCGTTTCGCCCAGAACACCCTAAGTGAGACCAAAATCCGACATTTACACCCCTAAGCGAGACGACGAGCATCCCCACCCCTTTCATATGCGGAGTCCACCCCCCAGGGAGGTGATTTAACTAAAACAATCAAGTAACACTTCCTTAAATGAAAATGACCAGTTAGAACCAACAAATTCATTGCATGAACTTGACAATAAGACCAGAAGCATACATGCTTCCGGTAAGACTGATAAGATTAGACTGAAATCTAAAAAGTATGTTATTGTTTCTTATATTTTTACCTTGAAATAACCGTAACCTTCTCTTTGGAGCCATAGCTAAGATATTTTCGGTCGCTGGCTTTATGAGAAACTCTTGTTGTTCCTTCCTTTGGTTGTACCTGAAGAAAAAAAGAAAGAAAATCTTGAACAATGAGTTCAGCAAGGGATGAAAATCTTCAGATCTTTCTATTCAGTTGCCGGGCGGCGGCTTTAACTACCACTAGAAAGAGCGTTGACTTTGGAGACCATGTGTAATATGTGCGGGTGGCCCCAACAATATTGGAGGAGCTGTGCAAACGGATCCATGATTGTTGCGCTACGCTTCGGCGAACGAGGAGCGAAAGAAATGTAACATCAAACAATGTTGGGATTTGTTGGCCAACACTGTTGCGTCCGTTTGCACGGGGCTTAAAATTAGTTTTTGAAAATTCCGCCTTTTTTATTTACGGTATTTCATTATACCGCGGCAAACTTATAGTATATGTATAAGTGTGCCGCAGCAATGTGATATTTCAGGACTTACCTGGGGCAACAAGTTCTCGATAATATGCTTGAAGGTTGGCCTGTCCTTAGGATCATTTGCCCAGCATTTTAACATAATTAGCTCATAGAACCCATCAGGGCAATAACACGGCTTGGATAGTCGCTTGCTTGGGTCACCAACCACCATTTCCTTGATCTGAAGACAGAGACAAAACCACAACTGTGTGATGAATCATTCCGATAATAAAATGTTTCAGCTAAGTATGGAGTGGCGAGAATGCTTAACTCTTACAAAATTTTACAGTCTCCGAATTCCATCTCCCGGTTGACGTTTTGCTGGTTTAACCGCGGCAGGACTAACTCAGACTTTAGAGCGCGTGGCTGCACAGCAGTGCGGGATGTCGCGGGTTCGAATTTCGCGACCCAACCAATACTCAGGTTCTTAAAATAACTGAGATAAAAATAAGGTACTGCTTTACTGGTACCGCTGACCTTCGCGTTGCTCGGACGACGACGTAAAATGGTGGGAGACGTCAACACTAAAATAGTGTGCTCAGTTTCGAGCTAAAAACACTTACACTCAAATAAAGCGCGTTTTTTTTTGTTCATTTTCTTTGTTACTTTACTCTGTTTTATTTTTCAAATCAGCACTATAAATCCCCACGGAATCAATAAACCTTGTTCATTCAACTGATGCATTCCTGTTTATCATGTTGCCCCCAAAAGAGAAATTGCTCCTCCATTCGCCATACCATCAACAAACTCAGTGTCTTTAGTCGCTCAGAAGGGCAAGAGCTAGAAACAGCCGTCCCCCTTCGCTTCTAGAGGTGAGGAGAGAGGAAAGACGGCTGTATCCGCAGGCTCCTTTAAAATCTTCCATAAGGTCAGTCCATAGAACAAAATTTTTGTGTTCCACTACTCGACTACAACAACAGAGCATAACCGAGGCGTTGAATTCAGGAAACCAAATCCAGTCAGCAGTCAGTGTGAAACTTAAACTCCAGGCCCGGGTTGCTCGAAGCATGGTTAGTGCTAACCAGCGTTAAATACCATGAAAACCTATACATTTTGATACCTCTTAACCAACGGTTAGCGCTAACCAGGCTTCGAGCAACCGGCCCCAGGTATCCAGCGTTCTGAACTGTAACTATGTTATTGCAGTAATAACCTGGCTCAAGGAACAATCTGCCCATGGCTGTTGTCCAAATGAGAGCATCTCCCATAGTGTTATACCATAACTCCACACATCACTGGCCGTTGTGTAAACAGACTTCGATAGCACCTCAGGGGCCATCCTTTGAAAACAATTCACAAACATTTATTTACCAACAAGGTTTTCTTTGTCTCGGAGAGTATCGGAGAATTCCGAAAAGAACTCCCCTCAAACTTAACGCCATTAGTACGAGACACGCTCAGGAGAAATGGCTGACATTAACGTGGAGAATTCCACCTACATTAAATACAACTTGTCTGAGAAAACAGCCGACATTTCGAGACGTCACCACTGGTTTCCCCGCGAAATGACGTCAGAGATACCATACTGATAGCCTGTTCCAGGCTCCAAGATAGTGGAGAAAGCGCATTGAGAAAATAGGCCCTTTGCAGATAGCCATTCACGCGATACAAAACCGCCGTGCTGGAGTGCAAAAGTCGCACTGGGACAAGACAAACAAAGAAAATTACCACTTCAAATTATGTATGTCTTTTGTTTGTCTTGTCCCAGTGCGACTCCCACGTGACGGTTTTTGTACCACGTGAATGGCTAGCTGCAAAGAGCCTATTTGTGTGATAGACGCAGGGGAGCTGAGGAGAGACGGGTAACTGGAGCCTGTATTGTTTCAATACATCATTCCGGTATAGCAGCTCCTGGCATGATTGGTCAATTTTGACAGCTTACGTCAGCCTGCATGTCAATAGGGATTTTACGATCCAGCGACGCGACAGCACCGAGAACGAAACAAACAAACAAAAAACAATAGGTTTAATAAGCAAAACAACTTCGCACGTGCATCACTCTTTTTGGTACACTTCTTTGCCGCTTTTGCACGAATATGCCTGAAAAGGCCTAACTTCGCGTTTTATGGACAACGTAAACTAGCAACGACGAAATTTTATTTCTCTTTTTGAACTGAGATACGGTCGCATGGAATTCAACTTCAGGAGGGTTGACAAAGTAAGTGGATAGGAATAATCGCGATAAAGACTGAAAGAAGAACGCAAATTCACTTTTTAATTAAGCAACGTGCTCATTGCCGTGGCGTCGTTGGATCTTAAAGTCCCTAATCTCCTCGCTTCGCCTACGCAGTGACAAAGAAAAGAGACAATGAGCGTGTGAAACCCTCATACACTGCACATTTTGGCACTTTAAGATTTGTCATTTTGACACGTTGAACGGTTTTTTTGGAAGTGGGAGACGATTTACACAATCTCCCCTGCTTTATTCCCGCCGTTTTTCACTCGTCTCCTTTTCCACTGCTCGCCCACCTTATTTATTCGCCTGTACTGGCCGACAGCCGGGCACAGGCTACCATACTTAGCGTTTGTTATTACCCACATCTGGACAATGCTTCTGATTTCAATTTTGATTGGAATGGATTTTTTGCGCTATATAAATTCAGATGTTATAATAATAATCAACTTTATTTTTCGAGGGTGGCACTTGACAGTAGTGACAGTATAAAATACTGGTAAACTCGTGGCCCTCAAAACAAATTAAAAATAAACACAAATGCATATAAATAATGAAGTAATTAAAAGTAGGTGATCTAACAATTAAAATATGAATTATATAAAAATTAATATAAAATATATGAGAATAAAGTAGAATAGCCTAAGCTATAGTAAAGTGATGAACATCTTTATAGGACTCCAAAAAATACTTACATAAAGACTTCTTTAAAATTTCTAAACTAGAGCTACACTTAACTTCACTGGGAAGTGAATTCCAAAACCTAGTGGCTGATACTTGAAAAGTCCTAGCACCTTCTGATTCTCTTTTATATGTTGAAAAATTAAATTCAAAGACCCATATCTACTTTGTCTTTCAGTAGAACGTATGTCGATGTTTCGTTTGAGTAATTCTAGAACATAATCGGGATACACCCCGTTCAAACGTTTATAAACTAATAATGCGCACTGATCAATCTTAGCTTCATGAAAAAAAGGTAGCCAACTAAGTTCTCGAAACAGATTTACACTATTTGCTCTAGTATCAGCATTGAGAATAACGCGTGCGGCACGCTTCTGTAGCCTGAAGACCTTATTTAAATTATCAACAGATGTAGAAACCCACACACTAGACAAATATAAGACAAGACTGGCAGGACTGAGATTAGCCTGTAGTTGTTACAGTCTGATCTGCTTCCATTTCCTTTAAACACAGGCGTTACTTTAGCTACTTTCCAGGCAGATGGAAAGACCTTATTTGATATACATAGATTTAACAGTCTAGTCAGAGACGGTAGTGCGGCAGGAGCAGCAATCTTTAAAATCTTGACGCTGATGCCATCATCACCTGTTGCTTTGTGACTTGGAATGGACAAAAGCAGTTCAGAGACTCGTTTCTTAGTTATACTCGGGATCGCAAACGCATGTTATTTCCCTGGGAAGTCAGTGGCGGCGTCGAGTTTTTTTTATTCCTAGGTAAAAAGTAAGTTAAATAGGTTTAAGGCACAAAGTACATAAAGGTGTACATACCAGGCAAACGCTAGTTTTGTCCGCCGTGAGACAACCTTAACAGCTTCTCCTTCTAGAGACCGCACTAAACCAAAGTCGCTTATCTTTACCTAACAAAGAGGAAAGATATCATGGAAGTGAACACTATACTAAGTTGTATATCAAGCATGCAGGAGTTCATGGTCAAGAAAAATTTAAAACTCTTGTTATATAGTATTTACAGCTGCAAAGTTTAATAATTAACAATTATTCCACGAGTGCGCGTTGGATATGAGATGGCGGTAGCCAACGAAGCACGTAGCGCCGAGTTGGCTATAATCATCTCACATCCAACAAGCTGAGGTCTGCACTCACTGAGAGTTATGGAACAAGATATTTCTCTACGTTATGGACCGAAGAACGAAGTGTAAATACTGTATGAAGCAAAAACGAGTGACAGATTTACCTTAAAGTATACAGCAGAGAAATCAGGTAAGTAAGATATTAATATTAAGCTCATTCCTCTGAAATAAAACCTACAGTTAGTTGAGTAACATTTTTGTCAAACTTTAACGATTGGTTGTTTATATTATTGAAATGTAAACGCCATTTCTTAAGGTATGAGCTGCAGTCGTGTGTATAATCATGCAAAGAAAGTATGCACAATGCAATACTGAGGAACAACCTTTTCAACACTGTAAAATGACAATTTTGTGCTTTGCAATGCTGCTTACTAAATTGATCTCCAATCACAGATTTAGTATGTAATAACTGAAATATGTTACAATATAATCTGCAAGGTACTCACCAAGTCTTGTTCAAATAAAAGAATATTTCTGGTGGCCAGATCACGGTGAATCAACTGCTGACTGGCCAAGTAATTCATACCATGGGCCACTTGGGAAGCAAACTTGCACAGCGTTGATACCTTCAACACATTGTTGTTTTTCTTTTTGAAGTTCTCTTCTAGGGAACCATATTGGGCAAACTCTGTTATCTACATCACAAATAATACCTGGTTAAACGTTTTAGGGCCCAAAATTACTATACACTCAGCTGGATATTAACAGTATCATGACTGAGAATTGACCAGATTTTTATGGTTCCCCAATCTCAAATGAGTCACTTTTACGCTGCAAAGCAATCATACCTTTTTCCACTTTCAATGTTTGTTGCCCATTGAGTTTTTTTAGATAAGTCAAGGAATTTTGTGATGACTTTCAAGATGTTTTGTTAATTAAAAAGGCTTAAAAAATACAAAAAACTTCGAGGGAGGGGCAGCTTAAGCTCATTACCCGAAAGCAGCTGGTAATCAAGCCTTTTAAAAGTTTTTATTTTAGTGTGAGGAACAAAAATTTTAAACTCCAAAATAGCATTGCTATGAAGAAAAAAAGGCAACCTCTTTCAGTGAAAATTAACATTCTCGATGTTGAACTAATCTGCCGGCCAGGTTTTTAGCCTAAAGGAAGACAGTTTTCAGGTTTCATAATTTAGAACAGCAAGCGTCACTGGCAATTAGTGGTTTTAAAGAGCACTTGGGTTGCATCCAGCCACACTGTCCTGGTTGAAATCTACGGTTTGACATCATGCATGCATTGCCCTTGCTTTGAGTACATTTTTCAGGTGCTGTAGGTTTCCCCTCTCCCCCCAAAAAAATTGATTCCAAATCTATCAGGCCGGCTGGGGTATGGTAGACGGAGCTGGAGTTGAGGTGGAGCTTACTTCTTTTGGCTTAATTTTCACATACCAGCCTCAGTTGTTGTTCTTTTCCAGATGGAAGTGAAATACCATACAATTTAACAATGTTATTATGACAAAGCTTTTGCATGGTCTGTGCTTCCCGCAGAATACATCTTAGCACACCATCAAACTCTGTATTCTTTATGGATTTGATGGCCACTTGTTTCTGTTCACCAGAGATAATAAATGGAAAAAATAATAAATCAAACAAAAACGTTCAAAAGATAAATAATTAGGCTATAAATATGTTTTGGTTATTACTATTTAACAATTAATGAGTGAGGCTGAGTATCTTACGGCCGAGGCGGATAACACCCTATATGGGTGAGTCTGTTTTCGCCATGCGATTGGTCAATTTGCGGTCCGTAACTTGCTATACGAACCAAAATTTCAAAGAAAAAACTCATTTCGAAGCTCTAAATCTCTTTACCTCGGAAAAAAGGTTAAAATTAAGTTACAAGACGTCTATCAACCTTGAGGACTTAGATTTTGACTTTGTTCTTCCACATTTTAAACTGTGTGTGCTTGTGAACGAAGGCGATGAAGAAACTAACTCGTAATCTTATGGAAGAGGATTCTAGTCAGTGTTTGAAAATTTTATCGTAGTTCACAGTTAAGAAGACGAAAATCGACTGGCAGAGATTCGAGATGTTTTGCCTAAGAGAAAATGAGTAATTCCTTCGACAAATATGATAACAAACATGCCTGCACCCGACCATCTTGACGAGCTTCTTTGTCAGTAGCAGTGTTTTTCCAAAGACCAACGAAAGAAAGATAGAAGCGACACCGAGCCAGACACAATGTCCAGTTTTCAAAAGACTCCAGCGTCACATTTGCGAGTGAATACTTACAGTGCTCTTAGCTTTGACCGAATATACTTAAAATATGTCTGTAAACCCTGAGGACTGGGATGTTGACTTTGCCTTTCCAGATTTTAACCTAGCTTTGTTCGAATGAGAACGAAGCTGATGTAGAAACTGAATCGTAACCTGTCCGTGGAGGAAAATATGGTCCGTGTTCGAAAATTTTAACGCAGATCACGCTTGAAGAGGGGAATGAACTGGCAGAAATTCGAGAGGTTTTCCCCAAAAAATTAACGAGCGAATCCTTTGACAATGACAACAAACTTACCTTGAAAAGCTTCTTTGCCTTTTGCAGTGTTTTTTTTTGCAAGGACCAACGGAGGAAAGATGGAAAAGACTTCAAGAAAGACACAGTGCCCGGTTTCCAAAATACTCCAGCGTTACATTAAAGAGCTAAAACTTACAGCGCTCTTAGTTTTGACCAAATAAACTTTTTCAACATGGTGAATTTGTTTTCACTTTCTCGGAACCCTTTGTTGCGCTTCGCGCTTGGGCCATAAATCGATGGGAAAAAAAAGGTCCGTAATTTACAGTACGGACCGAAAACTCGGCTAATAAGAGGTATATATGATACGAAAGCCGAATTCAATAATTGTTTTATTATTCATTCAAAATAATTCCTAGTTTAAAAACATGGCTAAAACATGCTTACTTCCATCGATGTTAAGTTCATCTTCGATAGTGCACGTTTAGGTTTGTCCAGCTCCGCAAATATTCTCCAAATAGCATTATATGTCGCCCTTCGAGTTGTCTTCTTGCTGTTCTTGCCTTGTTTTTAGCTATTTTTTCGCCTAGTTCTTACTCTTGAAACGAGTGAAATGTCCGCCATTTTTCAAGTTCACAACCAAAACAATTCAACATTTTTGACGTCTCGTTAAACCCCAAGGTTTCGATTCTGGTTAACGTTTAATTCACCATAACCAGTTACCTTTGGAAAATTTTGTGTTTAACGAGGAAATGACGTCAAAAATGCATTTTTGGCGTTCATTTCCTCGTTAAACACAAAATACTTCCAAATTTTGGTCAGCCTCATTAATTGTTGAAAACTTCCAAATTTGGTCACCAGTAACTGGTTATGGTGAATTAAACGTGTGCTTTTAGCCAATCAGAATCGGGAAAATATTTTGAATGAATAATAATATTAAAAATATTTGTCTGGCCAATGCAAAAAGGGGTTATGTCTGAGCAAAAATACATGTAGGTTTGGCCTGACAACGTGAGCAGCACCAGCCACAAGGACCAGGAAGTTAGAAAATTGCAATACCTTGAATTGCAAGTACTTATATATTTTCTAAAACTATGTCAAGAAATAAAAAAAAAATTACATTTTACACTCCTGTGAACTGGTATGACCAGAAGTCATACCTGATAACTGGCATGACAGGGAGTATAGGCGCTCAGAGTTTCAATTTGATATGATCCTGGCTTATCCTATGCGCCATGCCATATTGATAATATTCAGCCTCAAGTACTGTTTAAAAAATGAGCAGAAATCTATTATCAGGTGAGGTTTAAAAACTTGAGGCGAAGCCGAGAGTTTTCAAACCAGATAATACATGACTGCGAGTTTTTTGAACAGTTTCAAAAGCTCTATAGATCACCTCATTCTTGCACTATTATGAAATATTTATTCACTGATTTATTATGAGTCAGTGAGTAGTTGGTACCAAGAGACAATGACTGGAAGCTACTATCTGTGATGGTTCCTTACTAAATTGTGCTGACACATTAAACATACCCGTTCATCTCCCTGTGGCGGCTTCCATTCTCCCAGATGTACTACACCATACTGCCCTTCTCCTAGCTCTCTTAGATCCCTAAGATCTTCAGATGGAATAAGGCAGGCAAGTTTATCTGTAAGGCCATAAAGAGAAGCTTTCTTTTCCACCTGAAGATCAATTAAGTCACACAGAATGATCGAGTTAATGATGAAAATTGATTAGGGAATTTCTTTCCTGTACTTTGGTGTTTTGAGCCTTACATGTAGGTAATGACCTGCCAGAAAGTGACTTGCCTGGGACATTACAAATAAAAAGTGACAGATACAATTCATTCTAGCACATCAAAAATATATTATTATCATTATTACTATTGTTTTAAGTGGCTAAATATAAATTTCCATTTTGGAGAACATAATGTTTTTTACCATGTCATTAAAAAACATGAGGGGGCTGGACCAGGGGTGGACTGATGGTACCCTGGGTAACCCCACATATAACTTTCATAGGAACTGGGGACATGCTGAACATGTGCTTGTGTTGCCATGAAATCCTTCACCAATCCTAGTCAAGGGTATAGCTAAAAGCCAATTCTCTTTCCCTCTGGGCCCAGTAGTTTGAGAGTCAATTAGTGGTAACCCAGAGTTAAATATTAATCTGGGCCAGTTTGTTTTTGTACAAAAGCATTTTCGCAGATAATTGTTTCCTATTTCTTTTAGGTCAAACACTAAACAATTTGTAGACAAAATGAATAATAAAACTACTTTTGAAGCTTTCAATATTCTGAATTAAATTTGGCACTAATCCTGGGTTATATCTTAACCCAGCTTTGCACAACCTGGCCCTGAGTTTCAAATAAATCTAGCTACAAAGCTTTCTCTTAAGTTCCTGCTTTTGGCCTGAATAGCTGGCAACTTAAAAGGAGTGGAAAGCAACTGGCCTATGTGTGGGTATAAAGGCTTTTTATAACAATTAATATATAGGGTCTGAATTCACACCCTCGTGGAAGGCTTGCATAGCCTACTGAATCAGACACAGCACGAATCATATATACTTCTGACTGAGGCAGTATTTTAATCTTAGTATTTGCAACTTCTATCAAGAAATTCTTACCCATGCAGTATTAACATTATTTTGCTGCAACAATTGAACTTTTTAATGACTTGTATATTTTGGTTGCTTTTATTGTCCGAGCCCCTTTACAAAAGTTCCCAGAGTGGTGGACATCGATTTTCTCCTGAGAACATTGAGGTTATCATGTAGAAATTAGGTTAAAGAATTTATAAAATGGTAAGCGGAGGGAAATTTTTAGATTTTTTAACACATTCTTTTAGCTAGTTTTCCAATTTAATAGACAGAAGGCATTAAAAAAAGAGCGGTTTTTATTAAACATAAATCTAACGAGCTTAACAAAACTAACATAATGCTTTAGGCAAAAATATCAAGAGCGTTTAAAAATAGCCGAATATCCACTCCATTGATAATTGATTCATCTGGGCTGTCTAGAGATCCATATCACCCTTTCAGAACCCTTGCTCAGAACCCTTGCCATCGTTAGTTTATCCTTACTTTGAACTTGACATTCGACACATGAAAAAAAATAATACGCAAAGCCTTGTTTATCAAACAAGAATCTGAATGAATTGAATGATTTCACTGCTCTATTCTAATTCCCAGTATGTTGGAGTTATTCAGATAGGGAAGCATTTATTAGACAGGGGTGTCTAATACAATATTAACTGCATTGAGAGGGTGTTTAATTATTAGATCATAGGTGTTTATTTGGGAGCGGGCGCTTATTAGGTCATTTATTACAGTATGCGTAGTTACTAGGGATGCTGGGAATCAATGAAAGCTGGCAAAAATTTAAGATGAAAACATCACAGACAACAGATTTCAAAAACAAATTTCTACACGGTTTTTAATTAAGACACAATACAGCTTAGTGACATTCTTTAACCTTTAGGTTGATCATAGCTCAATTTGTTCTGAATAAACATATTTATCATATAAGAAGACTTATTTATTTGTACAAATTATCCCCATATGTCGGATCGGGCTTTTCGATCGCGGAAGTAGATCATCATGTATGCTTCGGTAAGCGTTTGTCGGACCGTTCGAATTTACGGATGTCTACAAAGAGATTTCGTAATAAAGCCTGTAGCATTAAACATTTCAATTCAAAGCGCTTTATTAATGCGATGAAGACCTTAACATCATTACGAACAAATAAAGTTTAAGTCTTATAAGCTTAATTCCCGCGCGTGTGCCAATAATAAACGATCGATCAAGTTAGAGGCGCCATTTTCGCTTCCGCAAATGAATTGTACTGAGATACTACGCAGTCCAATACAATATCCTTGATCATTAACGATGATATTAATCGAAAGTGGCCTCGATGAATTCAGCAGCCCATATCACTGACCGCTTCAGTTTATGGGAAAAGCTAGAAACTGGAAAAAACGCAGCTGAAGCGCATTCGATCTGTTAAGAAGCAAATAAAGTAATAAAAAATTACAACTCACCTTCGATTTCTGCTTACTAAACATGACGTCAGGACAAATCTGTTTCGTTTAAAAATTCAAATACGCATGCTTTGATTATCCCAGTAATTTTTAAATAGCACAATGACAATTCCTAACTTTCAAGGAAAACTATTTTGATTCATTTTTTCCTGGTTCGACAATATGTAGTTTCCAGTTCCCTTGTATTCACTCTGTGCACAGGTAACCCAGGTTTCAAACGTCGGGCCGAAACGGTCAACGTGAACACTCCAGCTGATAAGTACAGTGAAACCTGTATTAAGCGGTTACCGTATCAAGCGGACACCTTCTATTAAGCGGACAGTAGTCGAACTCCCCAAATTTATTTTCCTTATTTACTTTGAATGAAACATTTATTATGCGTTAAGCGGACGCGGACACCCGTGAAAAAGAACCTGAGTGGTCATTTCTATTGTTGCCAACCTGTATTAAACGGACACCTGACACAGTAGTATTTATGATTGTTTGTACAATATACAGCTTGTCTTGCTCATTTGATCCGTTTTGCAGTACGCAGTATTGTTTTCTCATTTTTTTTTGTTTGTGTAAAGCTTGTTTCACTCAGCTGATTTGGCTTCAAATTTGATGTCCAATCTTATGTTTATGTACTCATGTACAGCTGACCCTCCCGAAAGGGACCACCCAAAATGCAATGACTTGGTGGTCGCCTACAAGAATCGAACCACAGGTAGTCTCTTCCAGGCACATCTACTTTATGGAAGATAATTTATTGCATGCATTTTCTAATTTGGGATATGTATACTTCCATGTTGTCACTAGGTTCTTCGTATGTCCTAAGTAACATAGAGCACGCAGCAAAAATAAAGATCAGAGAATGCGTCAAGTGGTCGCTTACAATAGGTTAAAAAGACAATGGAAAATCATTTACCGTCAGGCCCAAAAAACTGGTGGCGGTTGCTTACAGGAGGTGGTCGTTCATCTCAGTAGAAGCTCCAACTGTAAGGCTTGACTGGAAAAATTTTGGTGTTTTGGATTGGCGGTTGCTTATGGCATGGGATGTGGTCGCTAACGATAAGTGATTGCATATGGAGGCTCGACTGTCTGAACAATTAGCCCACTTAAAGAAAAGCAATTAATGCAAGCGCATATCGTCATAGTCTCTGCATGGGAGTATTCCAAACGCTTCCTCCGTTCATTTGAACGGCATTTGACACCTCATATGACGTTATCTATCGAAACCTGTATTGGGTGGACACCCTGTATTAAGCGGACACTATAGCATTTACCGAGGGTGTCCACTTAATACAGGTTTCACTGTATTACGAAAACCAATTGGCTTATCCAATGGATAGAGATTTATCCACTGGATAGTGCTATCCACCTTTTGAACATTTGGGGCAACGCTAGCCGCATGCAGTTTAGCCTGTGGGCAGGCTCTTTGTTTGGCGAAACGGTGAAAAAATCGCTAGGAGAGGAAGGGGAGAAAAAAAATTCATAGGAAAAAGCAGCATTTTGGTCGGAGGTAAATATATTTTCCACTGTTATTTTAGCTTCACATTCTTTCTTACAGTTTGTCGCCTTTATAGGTGTCGTAGTGCGTTTATCGTAGCTTCCGATTGGTTCGTTTTACCTATTTAAGATGCTGTTTTCAGTTTGTTCTCTCTCTCTCGCTCGCGACTTTTGCACTTCAGAGCTGTTTTTCTGCTTCGGACGTTTTAAATCTGGCCCAACCCACCCTCCCTTTTCTCAGGTTTCTACGGGTGTGTTGTTCATTTTATCTGCTTTTGATACTGCTCTTATTTCATGTCACAAGCTCGGCCACTGGGCAAGAGAATGCACTGCCTCCTGGGATAGCCCACGAAGTGCTTATCGCGGAACCACGTTCACCCCAGGATACTCATACAGCCCCTACAGACCCAGTCACGGAGCCCACACTCAACCTGGTGCAAAGTAGTAATGTTCTTGATGAGGAGGTTGCTGATATCGCTCAGGTACATTGGGATAGCGAATTGTTTGAGTTTGAGTTAAGTACTAGTCGGCCGTGTGTCAACGTCAAGGGAAATCTTCGTAGAAACTTCGAATTTTGGAAGCATATTGGAGCCCCTAGTTTTATTCTTAACGTTATAGAAAGGGGAGATTTGTTACCTTTCGTTAGTTTTCCGGAGCCAGCGGTTTTCAAAAACAACAGATCGTCTCTTTCACATGCCGAGTTTGTCGAGGAGGCTATTCAAGATTTAGTTGAGTCGGGTCGTGTGGTGGAAACCAATGTACCGCCCCGGGTGGTCAACCCCTTGTCCGTATCTGTTCAAGCTAATGGAAAAAAGAGGCTTATTCTTGGTTTAAGATACGTCAACAAGTTTCTTCGTAAGATGAATGTTAAATACGAAGACTGGAAAACAGCTATGTCTTACTTCTCGCGGGGTGCATATATGTTTTCCTTCGACCTTAAAAGCGGGTACCACCACGTTGAAATTTTTGAGGGCCATCAAACATATCTCGGTTTTTCCTGGAAGCATTCCTGTTCCAATCAAGTGAAGTTCTATGTGTTTACAGTTTTACCTTTCGGATTATCGTCGGCCCCTCACCTGTTCACAAAAATTCTTAAGCCTCTTGAGAAACATTGGAGGCATCAAGGCATTTGCGTTGCTGTTTTTCTTGACGACGGATGGAGTATTGAAAAGGATTCTCAAGTGTGCAGTATTGTAGCGGATGCCGTTAGAACTGACCTCTTTAAGGCGGGTTTCGTTACTAACGAGGATAAGTCAGTGTGGATACCTTGCCAGAGGCTTGATTGGTTGGGTATCACTTGGGATAGCGCTCGTGGAACCATTGAAATTGTGGATAGGAGGGTTGCCAAAATAACTAGTACCATTGACAGTATTATCGACTCCGATTTTGTTCTTTCTGCCAGAAGATTGGCCTCTTTTACAGGGCAGATAATTTCTACAGCGCCTGTTTCCGGGAACATTTCTAGGATCATGACTAGGCACTGCATTATGTCTACATTAAGCGCGCAGCACTGGGACGCGAAAGTTGAGATGGATTCTTATTGTATTGAGGAGCTATATTTTTGGAGAAACAACCTAAATTCCATCAAAGTGCGCGATTGTTTTCTCTTTAATAAGCCACAGCGTTTCGCTTACTCCGATGCCAGCGCTACAGGGTGCGGTTCAGTTATTACCCTTAATGAGGATTGTGTGTGTCACAAGCTTTGGGAGCCTTCAGAATGTTCTAAGAGCTCTACTTGGAGAGAACTTGCAGCCATTGATTTTTCGCTAGAGTCTTTTGCGCCAATTTTGGAAGGTTCACTGGTCAAGTGGTTCACTGATAGCCAGGCGGCGGCTAGAATTATAGAAGTCGGTAGCATGAAATTGGATTTGCACAGGCTTGCTATTAAAATTTTTCAGTTTTGCGCGGAGCACTCTATTCGTTTGGAGGTGCAGTGGATCCCACGAACTGAGAACGAGAAGGCCGATTATATCAGTCGCCTTATAGATTTTGACGATTGGCAAATCACGCATGATCTTTTTCTAAGTTTAGAGGAGTTATGGGGCCCACATACAGTTGACTGTTTTGCCACTTATTATACAGCTAAGCTTCCTAGATTCTTTTCGCGTTTCTGGAATCCGGGTACGTCAGGAATTGACTTCTTTGCCCAAGAGTTAAGTTCCGAGAACTGTTTAGTGGTTCCTCCAGTTTCTCTTGTCGCCCGCGTTATCCATTATCTGAGCCTACAGAAAGCAATGGCTACTCTTGTAGTCCCATTATGGCGTTCGTCGAGTTTTTGGCCTCTTCTGACTAGTAAATATCGGTTGTTCATGAAAGGATGTTTTACGCTGAATGCATCCCGAGCTCTCACCCTGGGAAGAAATTTAAGTTCATTCCTTGGTTCGCCTCGTTTTACAGGCGAGGTTGTCGCGCTTAGATTTGAATTTTTGTAAGGGTTATCCAACCTTTATTGCTCTTCGAGTAGGTCATTCTGACGAAGCTTTTAGTACTGGTATTTGCAAGATTTGACACTGGTCATTAATAGCATGGACAGCTGTGTCCAGAGTATATGACACTGGTCATGTGAAGGGACGACTGCGTCCGTCGGAGAAGATTTCTGTCGTTTTGGATTTCTGTTAGCAGAACGAGTTTTCGAGTTCTCTCGACAATGAGAGACCTGTTCACGCATGGAAAATTGTGTCCCTTTTTTTTTTTACACTGGTTTGCGAATCGTAACTCAACCTGCTATTCTGGCCAAGGTTTTTTCACAAGGTTGAGCTGCGTTATTCTTGTTGGTTTAGGTTACTTACTTTTCTTATCAAGGCTGTAACTTTTTGTTTTTTCTGATTGTTAGGTTATTTAAGTGTTCGAGATGACTGTGTCCTAGACAGGGTGTTGCCTATTTTATATTCGTTTGCCTGTCGTTTATGGGGCCTTTTGGGGGGATTTAAATGATCTGCTAGAGCAAGTCGCGTTTAGGATATATATGCAGTTTTTACGCGTTTGTTATTAGTTTTCTTTGTAGGTTTTTTCGCTATGGCTTTGTTTAGGAGCTACTTTGCATGCCTATTTTGCCGCAGGGAGGTCGCTGTGGTTTCTTTCTATTATGCTGCCTGCGGACGTTGCGTCATAGGCATGGGGCCTTTTATTAGAATCGCTATCATCGCTTGTGCTGCATTTCCTAAAGCCGCTATCCTGTTGTTGCAAAATTTTGGTGATATAATTTTTTCTTGCAGGTCGTAGTTGCAAGTAAGGCATGGATGGTGCTCCCTCCTGCTATTAGGCCGGATTTTCATTCTTTATTTAGTAGTTTACTTTGTCCTAGGGCGGACTCTGCTGCGAAGAAATATCTTAAAGAAATAAACAAGTTGTTACTGAGGTGTAGGACTCGGAAAATTGCGCTACAGTTGCCATTTTCTTCTTCTGTTGTCGCCCTTTATCTATTTGGATTAGATCAACAGCTTAGGTCCCCGGCCGCAATGGTTTTGGTCCATGCTGCGCTGAAATGGTTCCATTCCTTTGTTCCGGATGATGGTCCCAATCCTTTGGATAACGCTTGTTGCAAGAACTTGATTGAGTGCGCCAAGAGGACAAGGAGCAATCCAGTTCACAAGAAAAAACCCGTGCACCCTGCTATCATTAGAAGCATTATTGACAGACATGGCGCTGAGGAAGCATCTTTAAAGGACTTACGTATTGCCGCAATAAGTTCTTTAGGTTTTGCAGGATTTTTTCGTTTTAACGAGTTAGCTAATATTCAGCCAAAACACCTCACGTTTTGCGATGGTTTTGTTAAAATTTTTGTGCCAAGGAGTAAAACGGATGTATATAGAGAGGGCAATTATGTTTATATTGCTAAGTTAGAGAACAAATACTGCCCAGTAGCTATCTTACGTAGGTATACTGAAGTAGCCAATTTGGATCTGTCTAGTCACTTGACTTTATTCAGGCCATTAACGAAGAACAAGTCGGGATATACCCTTTGGAATGGCAAGTTATCCTATACTCGCTGCAGGGAAATATTTAAGACTACTTTGAAAGATTTGGGCTATGACCCCAAGGAATATGGCCTACATAGTCTGCGTTCAGGGGGTGCTACAGCTAGGTTATCAGTAATAACCCTTCCAAAGCCGTTTCTGAGAGGTTGTTAAAACTTCATGGGCGGTGGAAAACAGACGAAGCAAAAGACATGTACGTTTTAGAGACAGAATGTAATCGTTTAAGTGTGACGAAACATTTAGGTATTTAACTCATATTTAAATATGTTATCTGTTTTTCCTTTACCAATCCTGTAAGATTACTTTTCATTAAAGTGTTAGGGTTCGCACGCGATCCACCCATATCTGATTTCGCCTGGTGTTTGCGGTTATTTAAGCGGTAAATAATTTACGTTCGTTTGAGCGAAGCGAATTAGAGCGTAAAAGTTGTGTGTTGCCTTCCGACCCCCTTTTTACTCGAAACTGATTACATTCCAATGTGTACACGTGACAGATAGCGATCTTGCTGCATGACAGAGAGAACTGAGAGAAGTTTCATGCCTTAGGCCCGTTTCAAACGTCGTGCTTACTGCCGTGCCGAACTCAATTGATCGAATTAAATTCGACTTTAGCACGGCAGTAGCGCGACGTTTGAAACCAAGTCGTGCAAGGCAAGGCTTGCCGTGTAACACGGCAGTAGCTCGACTTGGTTTCAATCGTCGTGCTGTAGCTACCGCCGTGCCGAACTCAATTCATAAATTATAAATACATTAGAATATATTTTTAGAAGTTTGCTAAACCGTTTCTTTATTATTTTGTTTTGTTTTCGGCAACAGCCATTCCATTCGACTGAATTAAATTCGACGTCTGAAACTAAGTCTTCAGCTACTGTCGTGCTGCAGTCGAGCTACAGTCGAGCCAGCTTAGCACGGCAATAGCACGACGTTTGAAACAGGCCTTATTTCCGTTTCGGGTACTTGAGCCAAAAACCAAAAATCGAGTCCATTTCTGCTAAATGCTGGTCGGAGGATTCTCGCGAGTCAGTTGAGTTTAGATTGCGTTCTGCTGACATCGAACGCAAAATAGCCACTAGATTTAACTGACTAAGCAGACCTAAGTTTGAAAACTTAACTTAAAACAGCAACTTTTAATAGTTATTTTTCAGCTTACATTTTATAGTCACCAGGTTTAACAGCTGCAAAGCTTCGCCCTCCAGTTTTAACTTTGCCACTCCATTGGCAGTATGTTATTGTTATCGTTATTGATGAACCGTATACTACAACTACTGTATGTTATCGTTATTGTTAAGATATACATACTATATTTGGAAAGGCATTGCTTAAAAATGTTTAAGCAAAAGAGGTTTACTGTAGCATTTTACTCCAATGAAAAAAGAATGCTAGTCCTCTAAATAGCAATTGTTAATAACTCAGTCTTTAAATCTTACATAGTTAGTTTTAACACCTAAAAAGCACCAACCTACAGTTTTAACTTTATATTGTAATTTGCTTTTTAACTTTTGCCCGTAAAGCGCCACGGGCAGTTATTGAATTCGTGCTATAAAAGTATTTTACTGTTATTGTTATACAAAATACTATATTAGGAAAAGCATAACTTACCGTCGCATTTTACTCAACTGAAAAAAGCTTAGAAAACAAGCATTTCGATTTGATACTATATACTGAGCCGCACATAAGATTTTGACAGCGACCGTGTAGGTGAAAGCATGCACTTGTACTGGACCCTTTTAAGAAACCGACAGCATAAGCAATGTAAGGCAAGGTTTTAACGACTTAGATTAAAAATAGATGTCAAAGCCAAATATAGGAGTTTGAATTATCCTTTGATTGAGCACTAAGAGTATCTAATCGTCAAGCCCTGTCAAACCTGGTAATTGACCATCAATTTTTTCATGATGTTCCTAAAAAAAGCTTCTCTACAAAACCAGAATATTTTGAGTTATATTGTACTTATCTCGTTTTTTTTGTTTGTACGGCATTTTTTTTTATAGATAATTAACTATGCCGCCATTGTAGTCCTGCTGATCGTGGAAGTACACGTTTTACTTCTGCTCTCAAGTTCTGTTACTTGTCAATACGTTTTCAATATTATAGCCTGTTTGGCGGCATTGCTTTGATCATTTCTTGATATAACCGTTATATTTTAAAAGAAGCGTTGAATGGAGGTGTTCTATTCGTCATTACTGACAGCAGACTGAAAGGTTTTTTAAAATTACAAGACTGAGACAGGGGCTGAAGCTTTGACCCTGCCGCTGATTCTTCCCTTGTTTTCTTGGAATTTATATCAGTTCTTTTTGTACCCCTTATCTTTTCATTAATTAACTTCTTGGCAGACGTCTGGTTTCCCCGCACCAGCCATACTCTCGACCTTATTTTGTAAAGGGATGTTAGTTAGCCTGCGACGTACATGGTGGAGAGAACCGGCGACGACCGGAAAACCGTCTGCGTTCGAAGGCTACTGAGATGTTAGCGAGATAATCTGATAAAACCCTTGGCTGGTCTATTCTACAAAACATAGAATTGCAACCATAGTTAATAGAGTGGAATGATTATGAAACCCGTTAGACTACTTTGTTCTTATGTTTTTGTGGACTTTGACGAGGCACAACGTTCAATTGATCAATAGCATTCATATCATTTGGTTATTATTGGACAATGAAAATAAAAACGTTGCATTCATTTATTCGGTCATAGTTTGTGACCATAAAACTAAAGATTGTGCACCTTGGCCGGAGCTTCCAACACAATCTGCAATAGGTACTGTTGTTTTTATCTTTGATGTTTGGCGCCTTTCGTAACCAGTCTCCTCTACAAGAGGAAAACAGGCTAAGTGTTGTCCTTTTTGGTTTGAAGTATGAATCTCCTTTTCTTACTGAATTTTTTAGACAGTATAGTCTCGAATGCGGTTATTTCTTCTTTCTCCCGAAGAGTGTCTTTAAAAGGTTTGGAGGCAGCAACACAAAACCGCCAGCGTGCTGAGGGCTGGTTATCGACTCATGGTTATGTTAAGCGCAAGAGAAAAAGGAAAAAAATCAAAGTAGTTTTTAGCGACTCTCTGGATACAAAGGTGGGAATAATATTACTATCAACAAACACCGTCGTATGTTTTCAAGCCACCATTCAGTTGTCATTTTGAGAATGTCAAGATTTCTTGTTTTTCAAGCCACCATTCAGTTGTCATTTTGAGAATGTCAAGATTTCTTGTTAAGACTTGCCTTGTGGCGCAAGTGATGAATCTTTTTTCAATAATCTGGTGATAATATTTTAAATCCAGGAATGGTATTTAGAGACTTTAAGCATTAACATAATGGATGTTTTTCAGGTGTCTGTTAACCGCAACGGAAAGAATTTACCGGTAGAAAAGCCAACATATTAACCTTTAATCTCATTATCCTGTATCCATGCCGCTGATTAGCCCACTTTTGATACATCAAAATTTAGCATTATAGCCAGTCTTGCTGGAGAATACAGTTATTCATCTTCTTATTGTTCTCACAGACTCGTTATCGTGCTGAATTTTAATTTAACAAAAGTGGGCTATTTTCGCTGTTGGTTCAGATTCAATAGCTATTTTTAGAATAAAAATATACCGACAGGAATAGAATAACGGAGAAAAGAGAGAAGAAAACTTATCTTCGCCTCTGTTCATCATCTCTTGATCTTATGCTGAGGTTTCAGTGGAGTTTTTGTTAGTGTGCTATGAAGGAGCTTTCACCGGCCGAGAAGTTTCAGGAAAAATCATGAAACATTTTTAGTGATTTTAAAACCGGAAGAAGATAAAAACCACCCAGCTTTCATTAGACCTATGTATAGCGTGTTTAGCGGAGAGCATGACCAATATATCAAGTCACGAATTTTTGTAGGCGTGTTGAGAACTGACGCAGCTGATGAACAAACGATACTGCTTCGTAACCCTCATTACACGGGGTAAAACTCGGAATTCTATGGATTTACCGGCATCAACCCACGCGGGATGCTGGGAGAACACGATTTCGGCTCGTGATTTACAAGCTTTTCTCGAGTTCTCTCAACATCCCAAGTGGGTTATCACGCCGGTAAACCCATAGAAAGTGTGGTCTATTGCTTTTATAAATTAACTTTAGGTTTTCTATGAGTTTACCGGCACAATAAACCACAGGTTTTTAACCAATCAGAACGCGCGTACTATCTTAATTTTTTTATAAAAATGAATGAGCGTAGTTATGCAGTAGTGCATTATATTGTTCTCATTTTAATCTAGATCATGACTAAGACATTTAACGGATACTTAATTTATTCTAATGCTTTTTAGCTGAGCGATATTACCAGTCGCTCAATCAGTAAGTTTGGGAGACCAGAAATTTACAGCCATTGATTCAGTAAATTTTAATGGTATGGTATTCCTGAAGGCTTATAATTGTATCTGTTAATATATAAAGTTAAGATTTGTTATTGAAGACCAAGGTCGATTAACTAGCTGCTATAATATCGCTTCAATATTGGATCAAGAAATGTAAAAAAATATCTCGTTTTAAGTCAACACACTACTTATAAGGCATTTTGTATGCGAATAAAATGCCGCGTATTGGAGGCTCTGTTGAATTTCCGCTGAACAAAAAGTGAAGTAACACTAATATAGCAAACAATAAGTTTGTAGGCATTTTTGTTTTTGCAATAACTTGACACTTGGAACTAACTACGGTAGCGAGTTGAAGAACTTGGCCGCAAAATGAAGGTAAGAACATTCGATAATCGTTTTACTTCCGTACTGTGGCCATGATACGACTCTAAAAAATTGACGCTAAGGGGAATCAAAGTCTTTGAGAAGACTGCACTTTGATGTTAATTTAGATGAGATTTTTATGATGGTTCGTTCGAGAGATGAAGATTTTTTTCCTTCATGAACTGAGCTGGGTATCGTTGGCGAATTTCAGGTTTGCCTTTTCTTTCTTTAAAATTTTATCTTGAATTGTCGGACTTGAAGGTAGCGAAGGTTCTTGGCTTTTCTTTATTTTTATGCATGGATTACGTCGACTAATAGGACCGAACGGGTAAGAGTTAAGTTTACGTGCGCGGCGCCAATCTCATCAATTGCGATAAGCAGTACAGCCGACGTGCGCCTCCACCTACCCTGTGCATTACAATTATTATAACATAGCAATAGTGCAATGCTCCATACTGTATTATTGAATCTTTGACTTTGGCGAATTTCTTAGTTCAAGACTTAAAGTATTTCGACCTTATTTAACATGATTAACATGATAAACAGTCTCCTGAGCGACCACAGGAATATACTGCTTATAGTCAATCTTATATCAACGGTCATATTTAAGGATGTAATTAACGGAGTCTTGAGCCATTATCACCTTTTTAAGGGTTATACCCCGAGTGAAAATCGATAAATGGTTCGCCAAATAATATCATTGAACGAATCAACTGATGAGCAGTCTCCAGTTCATGTGCGAAAAGACTGTTTTTTTTTTGTATGACCACAAAAATTTAACACAGGTTAAAAAAATAAGTTTATAGCGTGCGTGGGTTGAAAAGTATGGAGAGTGGAATTATGTTGCTGTAAAAGCAGCCAAGATTCGCGAACGAATATGCTGCTGACGTAGGATATATAAATGATAATTTAGATGCTCTCCGGCGTCCACTGAAACACGCAAGGTCAAGCCGTGACAGTCAGAATTTCAGAATTACAGCTGAAAGAAGTTTGAAAGTGTGACTTTGCTTTCTTAATTTAAAAGCACTAAAGAGCGGCTAGACAGAGTCGGCAGGCCTCGATTATTGTAAACATATGCAAACTACGCTAAAACAATGAAACAACATATTGCTTCTATAGCACCCCTCAGAGATACTCACTTGATATAGTGTACAGACTATTGTGCGATTGATTTGAGCTGGCATTCACTCTCTGGAGTTAAATCTTCCAGGCAATGCTTGAATGTTTCATCCCTGTCTCTTTCAGTTGTGGTAGTCGGTTTTATTTTTTTCTCAAGTGCTCGCTTTGTGTTCTTTATCGTAGTTAGTTGTAAGTCGCCGAAAATATAGAGTCAGTGCATAAAACAGTCACTTAGTCTTAACTTGAATTATATACCCCACCATCGTCAAAGTAAATAGAACTTAGATTAAAAAAAAAAACGAACAGGACGGAAAGACCCTCCAAGGAATAAGGTAGAACAATTTTAATTCATTTATTACAATCTGGGCTTACATAAAAAAGAGAAGCTGTCCAATTTGGCTCAGCTTCGCTAAGTTGCTGCTCACTGACAAACATTTTTTTAGGTAAGAAGATAAGAACTGATTCATCTAGGTGTAGGATAAATAGAGCTTTTGATGACCATGGCTTTCTCATCAAGTAAAAATGTTGAGGCACTCCATTAAAAAAGAGTTAATGTTTTAAACGCCTCAAATGTTTTGCCGCAGATTTCTAGATAGTTGTCCAATTAAAGCTCTCGATTGATTTATATTTTTTTGGGCCCAGCTGATCTTTATGCATACGTCAGATCGAATGAGACTAGTTGAGTTCAACCTTTTTAATGAAAGTGGAAACCTTATGAAACATCTGTCATTTATTTACATGTTGATAGGACAAAATGTAAGCGCATTGCCTACTTATAGGCTCTTCTATCGGCTTTAAAGTATTGAGCGGAATTCGTGATTACTGAAGTCTTTCACGCTGTTTTTTACCTGTGAGTCAAAATAATATTATTCAATATAAAAAATCCTGTTTAAGTAGGACAAATCAAGGTTGGAAATCTAATGATCTGTTCACTAAGCTAAGCTTAGGGAACATGACTTGTTAACGCACTATCTATTAGTAAGTGGATAGCAGGTCAAGTTAATGAAACTTTGGTACAGCCTAATCTCAATATCGTAACTATACCTTTTAATACGTTCACCATTCAAAAAGAAAGCTTTTGGCTACTCCGAGTTGTTCGTTCGCTAACTTGCTCACGGGTAATAAATTGGGATGTAAGATATTCAGGGGCGTGACCGGTCTTGCATTTGAAAGCCATAATAGCTTGGCGATAGTACAGTTCGTCCTTAACAGGCAACCAAGACAGGCTTTTTAAGAGGGTTGTCACATGATCATATTTTTTCGCACCGCTGACGATTGGGCAAGCAAAGTTTTGAACGGCCTGCAATTTTCTAACATTCTTATTTGCGATACTTGCCCAAACATTCGAACAGTCACATTTTGCTGAAGGTGGTACGTAATTCATTATGTTCCATCACTGAGTCACTTCTAAAGGTTTCAAGGTCAGGAATTTATAGACCCACCCACGATGAGTGAAAATACTTGTATTAATATAATACATAGATACTGATACTCTGACGTATGCATCATATTACACTCCCAAATTACGTCACAAACTACAAAACAACTAGCCTGCGAGTAAAAACTGTCTCTCCTCGCTCGTCGTCGTTTCCGCTAAGATATCTGCAATCCGCCCCCAAAATTCCATAGTGATGGCGTGATGCGCAGGGACCCGCAGGGTTGCTAGTCCCTGCTCGGCGTTTTCCCAGGCCTTCTCGGTCAATGCATTACGGTGACGTATCCGATCAAAAACTCGCTCGGACCACATGACCCGAAACGCATGAGCCTTGTGGGATAGTGAGGCCTAGAGGACCTAGAGACTAGGGAAATGACGTGAAACAATGTTTACAAACCCGTCAAACGCGCAATAAAGACAAACGAGTCGACGAAGTTACCCTCCCTGCCTCCCTGAAAGGGATTAAAGTTGAAAAGAGAGACGTCAAACAACGCTGGAAAGAACATTATTACACTGTCTGTTTTATGAAATGATTTTTATTACAGAGAAGAAACCAATCTTAAACAAACAATGAGATTTCATCCGGGCAAAACTGTTTCTTGAACTTATCATGTTTTTAATTACACGTACAAAACATGTCACTTTTGTTCTCTGTTTTTTTTTTCTGTCACTCTGAATTGTGTAAATTAAGTTACGTTTTTGTTTTTTTATCTTCTATCTTGTCACTTGATAATGATGTCAGCGACATCAAAACGTGGTGTAAAGCTCTTTTCGCTATTTCTAAGTTATGAAATTTCGAGAAAAATAAACGCTGTCGAAAATTAAACCCAGCATCTGCTAAGTGGTCATTTTAAATTCAAGTTTTTTTCCTCAAATTAATCACTAAACAGCCTGGACTACTTTAAAAATTAAAAACTTGGTCAAAACTTGTTTCCCATGGTAACGTTAATGTTGACGTACATGTGAACGCAACCTTAAGAATGTCCCAGATATATTTTAGGAAAATTCCTTAAGTTTGGCAATCGTAGCTTGAAGGGTCAATATTCAATTCAGGTCGGGGATCGGGGGATTGGAAAGCCCTCCTGTTTTAAAGAAGGGTGGAGGTGCCTTTGCTGGCATTAATCTTCTCTTTCTCGTTTTTAGCCATAAATGTAAATATCTACGATTACTCTGAGAGATGTAATGTTAAAAATGGCTCGACCGTCTGGTTTGCTCTAACTCAGGATTTTCTGAACTAAAATTAAATTATTGTTGATTCTTTACTGAAGTTTTTCTGTACTCTCTTTCAGTTGATGAAAGGTCTTTGTTGCAATGTTTTCCTATTGGCGTACGTTGCAACCTGCTATTCACAAAGCCAGAACATTAAGCCCTGTGCATCAGTGCCGACGAGGTAAAATTAAATTTAAAATTGTTTTCTTGAGGTTTGTTATGTGGGTTATATAGATTTTTTGCTCTTTCACCAACTTCATTTTCTTGAGTAACTCTTAGGTGTACTCAGGTGAATAAGGTATGGGCCTCCATTTATTCAAGTTATTGTTCAAAAAAGTAAGGGGTTGGTGTAACTTCTGAAAGTTTACTTATAACAACCTAAGACTTTGGTAAGCTAATAAGTTCACAAATCGTTTTTTTTCTGACGTGGATGACGTATGCAAATATGGTTAAGTGACATATTAGCAAAAAATTCTCAATCAAAATGGCAACAGTTTATGCTTACAATCCTTTAAGTTTGTTACTATTGGATTAGTGAAAGTGGTAAAAGGAAACAAACTTTGCTTGGTATTTGTTAAATGTGTGATTACTTTGGAAAATATTCGACATTTTGTGCTAGTGCCCAGTCCCCAATGAAAATGATTTCCTTTTTCGGACTTTTCATAAATTATCTCAAGATTTCTAAGCACAAAAATGATGTGGCTAAGTGTTAACATCATAACCTAAATGCAGCCACCAGACTATAATAAAAATTGTTGCCGTTTAGCTGGGTAGATTTTTGAGCTAAAAATAACTCTGACATGTCAAGTGACAATATTTGATCGAAAGCAGCATCTAAGGTTCCGCAACTTTTTTGTGTTAACGATATCCCAAAGCTATTCAGGGTTATAACAAAAATGGATCAAGCGTTATAACACCCCATTTACTTATTTTTATAAAATAAAATTGGCCCCAGATCTTAATTTACCTGAGTAGTAAACGATCGATCAGTAAACCATTCCCCAAGGGTTGGCATGACCGCTTCATACAGATTTGAATGTATGCTGCGAATTTCTTTCTTAGAGAATAAAGTTTGTGGATAGATTCCACACCTTGTAAATTTGGGCCCGGTTCCTCAATGAAAAGATGGTTTAAACTTTAACCCAGGATTAAGCCAAGTAAACTTCAAGTCTTGTTTAAGAAAAAGTAACTCGAGATAATGCAATTGTTGATCCCTTCCTCTAAGATAGAGTTATGATAACAAAAAATGTTACTCAGTAATGCAATACATAGGAAGGTAAACGTAAGAATTCTCGATAAGCACAGACATGCCTTTCAGAAAGCTGGCCTTGATGTCTACGACATTTTGTGCTCTAACATCTAAGAGTAAAATCAGTACGTCATCCAGCAGTCAGAGCTCCTTTCTCCGCATTCTGAACAGATTTACGTCATCAGTATGGAATTCTATAGGACTTCTTGTGCCACTGTATGGATGAAATGAAGTGACGATCACATATTCTCGGTTTTCACATGACGTCACCAAAACTCAAACTGAGAAATTATCAATTCTTCTGAGTTTCTACTTTCATGAGGTATTACAGCACCTAAACACCTTTATGTAAACAAATTTTCGGTTCGAAAGTGTTCTTCGTTTTGCAAAAGAGGATGCTTGAATTTCCAGGCTCTTGCGTGACGCGGCAATTAGGTAGTGGCCGGGAACGCTCATATGTGGGTTTAAAACGTTGCCGATGTTTTTAGATTTTGCTATCTAAACATTCCTTGTCTCAGAATAAATATTAATTTAATTTTTATGAGTTCCTTTAGCGGTGAACTCACGTATTAGTAGGAAAACCCAAAAAACAGATCTTTCTTTTGGTTTGGGGCGGCCATATTTGTGCCCCTCAAAAGAAAACCAACATGGTGTCCCCACACAACCTGAAAAGCTTTATAAATTGGAATAACACGTTTTTCCGAATATCTCGCATAGGAAATATCGCAAAGACCTTATTCTTGACTTGTAGCAGAATAGGGGCGCTTATTGGAATGGGGGTGCCTAATGGAATAGGGGCGCTTATTAGAAAGGGGGCACTTAGTGGAAGGAGGGGGCTAAATCGAATCATTACGGTACTTGAATCAATAGTGAACTTACGCATCAGGACGGGAGAGGAAGACGGCAAACCTTGTGTGACAATAAGCGTGAAAATAATTTTGTTTGAGAAAAATTTGACACAAACCTCAACTTCCTTTAAACAGATCTTTTTGTAAAAGACTAAAAGACATTGCTATTTAGTGAAGATCACGACAGAACATGCAAGTAATAGCCCTGTCACGTTTGTCACACACAACCGTTTTGCCGTCCTCCTCTTTCTGCCGTCCTGTTGCGTAAACTCACTAATATTAAGGGGACAGCATAACGTGACAAGTGTTTCAACAAATGTGACGATTATTGTAGTTTCGGATATGTATCTGTTCTTATCAAGTGTTGTTTCACCTTCGGCTGTTTATTTTATCAGGGTAGACTGCCTTAAAGTTCACGAAGTTCCGAGAACTCCGACCCCGTGGGTTATTTGCGGCTCGGGCATCAAAACAACTGTCGAACACTTGTGTGGATTACGGGTGAAAAGAGAAGGTATATATAGAAAGGCATTTCATGTATAATTATAGCATTTTTTTATGATAGAGCATTTTGTTATGTAGCTACTAGATGTAATTCCGATCAATACTGTAACAGACACGGTGGGCAAACAGGACGCCAAATGTGGCCACTTAGGAACTACTTTTGCAGCTTTTATACGTTTGAGCTCAAAGTTTGCAGATGGTAGGACTTTGTATTCCAAACAATCAAGTGTTTTTTGGTTTTCGATTATAACGTTTTTTGGCGGGACAATGACGTCACAAGATTGACAGCAAAATTTAAATTTTTTAACTAATGGCGTAACAAATAGGTAATTTTGAAAGAGGGCGACGAGATAGAAACAAATGTGAATATATTTTGGAAATTTAAATGCGTATTAGGAAGGTTTGTGTGTGTATATATATATATATATATATATATATGATATACGCTTTCATTGTAAATTTTCATAAAGGTCGTTTAGTCAGTACGTAAGCACTGTTAATTCAATATTGAAGTCAATAAAATAACGTATAGTAGCCAGCTCTTTAAAGCCTCTAATTTTATTGGATCTTTTATAACACGCAGCTCTCAGTTAATGACTTGTTAGGGTTATGGTCCACTGTTACCGTTATTTCTCAGCCAATCCTGTGAGGCTTTTTAACATAACAATTAAAACCTTTGTGTAACCTGGATATCAGCTCGCCAGATACCTTTTGCATACCTACGTTTACTTCCACGACATCCATATTTCACTTATTTTTTCTCTATTTTCATAGCACCTAAAGATGTATTATTGAGAAAAAAGAGTGCTAGCCAGTTTTTATCACCACATCGTCGGACCAAAAGAAGCTTCAATGCTGTAGAAGAATGCTGTGATGAAGGCTGCACACTTGAAGAACTCCGAGAATATTGTCCCCGGATATAAAATTACTAGAGAAAATAACTCCATTTTTAGTGCCGAGAGCCTAATGCAGAGGAAGTATTTTATTGCTCTATTTATAGAAGCTGCTTTGTTCCATGCACTGAGCGCGGTTATGGAGGCAAAAAAATCCAATGTCATCGCGCTGGAAGGGTCTATTTATGTCACGCTGTTTGCTATCTTTTTAAAAAGCTAAAAAATGTCTGTGTATCAATTAAATTCCAGAAATAATTGTCCAGTTTTCTCATTTAGGGCTACATTGCAGAAACTCTTTCCTCTTATCCGTTGCCAAGGGTGGCGAGGACGGACATGGATTAAAACTTGTAAAAGATGGTCGGGCCAAATTTTTCAAGTTTTATTGCTATGTCTGCAAAAATCACCAAAAATTATTATGCCTCGTGCTCCCTGATGAAATTTGTTTGATATCGTCATATATGTCAAATGGAGGATTCCGTGTTTTTTAGTAGTAGTAAGGTACTTTGGTACTTTTAAGTACCTTACTACTAAAAATAATAAATTCACTCAGAATTGGCCTAAAACAGCAATGTACTCGTGACATTCTTAGCAACTTTAATTTCAACTATCGCTTTTTTTTCTTTTATTGATGCTTCTTTGTGTTCTTCTTTGTGATCGATATAATTCCACTTACTCCTTAGCGAAGCATGAAAAAGTAAAGAATCACCAGACAGATTCTTTCTTTTGTTTTGTAATAATTTTTAATTTTTGACCAACCTTTCATCAAATTATTTATCTGTTCTTATAGAAGATTACATTACTTTATCTACCAAAATAAAGTTACACTATCGTATTAATAGCGTCCTTCTATAAATTGCTCTGCTTTAACGAAGCGCTCTTCTTTGCGCACAAACTATGTTTCTGGACACTGCACAATTACGCGAGGAAATATGACATTTTTGTTTTTCCTAAGGAAAATTAACATGCCGCCCGACCTCCTGTAAGCGACCAATCAAAATACGAAGATACAGAGGATGCTCACGGGAGGTGGTCACTTACAGTAATTGAACCACTGGGGGACTTTTCAGAGTAGAGGTCACGACACAACTACTTTTTGAAGGAGAATTTACTGGTTTAACCGGTTTATAACAGGGCGAATACCGGTGAAATGCAAAAGGAGCAACTATGGCTTAACTGGACGAACCGGCGGACGAAAATAAAATAGAAAATAGACGCCAAAATAACAGTTTTTTTGACACGAGCGGACGTTTTTCTCATTGCTCGCCCCCGCATACTACGCAAATCACAAAATTTGCCCACGTATTATGAGGGTGCTAATGGGGGCACCCAATTCTCAGTTACCTACTATTTTTTTGGCCAAATATCAGTTAACTATTATTTTTTTTGGCCAATTCTCAGTTAACTAATATTTTGGGTTAGCTATTAACGTTCACTCCCCTACGCAGCGAATATTATTCCGTCATGACCCGAATTTTCCTTATTCATCGGCAAGTCAATCACTTTTGGGGGTAGGCCCTACTAAAATCAAGGTATAAATTTACATGAACTCTGCCACTGGTATAGTTTGTTAGTAACTGAAAATATAAGTCGTGTAACCAAAAAAGATCCAGACGCACAGGTCATGATCTCGTACTGATCTTCCCGACATGGTCATGCATGTCCTGCCACAAACTGCTTCAAAGGTCACCTTCTTCAGCACTTCCATTATCTGATTGGAATCGCAGTCTAGTACTCATCTGGTTGCTGTATTTCCTGTATCTTGTTGTTGGCCTACGTTTCAATTCATTTTTAATCCTTGCAATCCATTGCAACAGACGACGAGAAACATTATCAATGCCAAAATATAGTCTTGAATAACACAACTGGACCATTATTTTTGGTATTCAATTGGTGATTTTAATCACTGTTTGCACCGATGGGACAGACGTAGTTGAGAGTGCTGACAAAGGCATGACATGACACTCACTTTTCGTGAGTGTAGCCCACAGTCTTGGGCGTAGTTTAAAGCACTAAATGTTTTGTGTTGAAGTGAGAAACCAGTGTGGGCTTTCCACCTGCGTCGTCACAAGTTTTTTGTACCTCTATACAGATTTTGTCGACATCCTCTTTCACGTCTCTCAATGCTACCTTTTTCGCAGACGTACTTTTTCCGCGTATTTCAAAAGCCTCATAAAGATATCCAAGAGTTTTAAAAAATGAAACTGCCGAAACTGTTTCAGAAAGACCGGTTTAAACACGAGCTTTTCTTCTTATTAAAAAAGTCTCAATAGTATAATATCACTTTACTGTAAACTTTTTCGTTTATCAGTTAATTTCTTTAATTTTTTGGCTAATTATCAGTAAACTACTTTTTTCTTGGCCAAATATCAGTTAACTGTTAACCCCATTCGCACCCTCTATTATATGCCAAACCATCGAATAAGGTTTGTAATTTCTAAGTTAAGTTATGTTAAGGTGGCTGAACACAGTTTTGGCAGTTTGTGAGCGTATGTCATTTGCCAAATCATGGCAAGAGGAAGGTTGCAGCTCACAAGCTGAAACTTGGCAGGTGAAAAATATACTGATGAAAGATTCTGATTGACAAGTAAAATTTGACGTTTTCGTAGTTTCCATGGCAACATGAACGATTGAATACAACCTTAAAATTTCACTTTTGTGCAGTTTACATAAAATTCGCTCATTAGATTTTCCTATAAACTTGCACACAGCTTACTGTAACTAATCATTACCATTTGAAACTTATTTGATCAAATTTTAACAGACGGACGTTTAGATAATCAACAATAAAATTGCATTGTAATTACTAAATGTGTCACGAAATTCGTCTGTTCAACTTCCATTTTAAAGTTTTCATTATCTAAAATACGATAAAAGTAAAAATTCTACCAAATATCACAAAATTTTAATGAGTAGATTTTGAGAAATCGTCTTCTATGTACCATTGCTTTTTCGCCGCCATGTTTGTTTGTCTAATTAAAAACACGCGCGGTCACGCGAGTTACCGCTGACCGCCCGCAAAACTGTGTTCAGCTACCTTAAGCTCCGTGTTCTTATTTATTTTTCAAGTTGCTTTTATAAAGAAGAAATAGAGTTTAACAGAGATTGGGATTAATAGAAAGGAGACGTTTTAAACAGCCCAAGATTGCAGCAAGAAGCACACACAAACAAACTCGGTAAGACTATACACGCATGCTGTAGCAGCTTAGGAAGCTTCTTAGCCTTTCCTTATTGAGCTGGTAAAATCGTTGAATAAGTACTCGAAAAAATGCCAAAAAAAGTGGTTAAAATGTTTAAAAAGAAAAAAAAAAGCTAAAAGCAAAAGCTACTCAAGAAAGACAGTTTCGCAAAGATTTCCGCAGAAGTATATTAACAGATTTTATATATTCCAATCTATTTTGCGCGATGTAAACTCGACGGACTTTTAAGGATTCATTTGGAGAATTACGTTGCCTGACGCTTAATAAGCCCGTGCCTTTCTGTGACAATAACCTCTTTACAAGACCACGGACAAGCATAACGAAGAAATCGTCGTGAGATAAGCATAACGTTTTGGCTCAAACATTTTGGCAGTGAACCGTTTTTTCGTAAATTTTCTGCAAGACTACACTGTAGGTCTCTACAGTAGGTAATATCCTTGGGCGAAGGTGACAACCTCGCTCATTATTGCCGATTCGAGTGCTAGGGAAGCCCTTTTAACTGTCAGCTTTAAGTTACCCGTGTGGTACTCTTAAGCTCAGTAGTAACAAAGAAAACGTAAATCGGCTCTGGCATGTATATGGCGGAGGGATCAGCTTTTGGCCGCGATCGTTGTACGTCGTAATTTATTAGGACCCAAATTCAGCAAAAAGTACACACTTCGACTATCAACATCGCCTAGACTGTAATTGCTGGGGGCTGTAGATCTCAAGTATGGATTTATTATATTGGAATATCTATAGGAATTCCATGCAGGTCCGAATTTAACTTAAAAATTCAGACCTATTAGTCCTATAATTTATTTATGAAAATTCGTAGGAATTTCTAAGAGTGTCTTCCTTAAAGTTCCAAGGAAACTCCTGCAATTCCGCGTACTCGTAAAGACTAATTCGTGAAAATCTGATTCAAGGATATTTGCAGGTGCGACAACTGGGTCATTGCTTGTGACCTTCGCGGCAACTTGCCGTCGTTTTTGGATCGAGGACTATTTCGCTAATGGGGGCTTAAAGTAAATCGCTAAGGCGAACTTTATACGGCGGCCGGAGGTAAAAAAGCCCGAAAATGATGCAGTGCACAGGTTGGAAATGACCCTTCTCCGTAGCGCCAAATCCAACAATGAGAGGACCTGCCTCGTGGCGTAGTCGTTACTACGTAAATATAAAAGTCGTCCTTTCTCCTTCTTTTAACAATCACTGATTTTAAAACCTATCATCAAGAGAGAATGAACTCATTCTCTCGTAATATCATAGATTGTTTTTCATTTGGTAGTTAAGAAGCAAAAACGTTAAAACTTGATAAAAATCCTTATAACTTGGCTTCCAGTAGGTTGTTGTGATTCTGGGAACCCTGTGGTCCACCTTGCATAGATAAGAAAAAATAACACGAATTGTGATAACAGACGGCTGAGGAAATGAAAAGAAAAATAGCAAGCATAAGTAAATAAAGTGGATCTGGCTGCTGAAAATTAATGATGCATGCAGTCATCAGCACTCCTTATACGCTTATACCAACCGTCATTACATGAAAATAAGCAGATAATTATGGAAACGACAACGCGTCAGCAAATGAGAAAGCGAAAGTGCACAAAAAGGACTGAGCGCGACTTTGTCCCAATCTTGAAAAAAAGGTTAGGACAAATGATCACATGGTTGTAATTAGGTTTCCTCGCCACTGGTTTTTTTTTTTTTTATCTTTATTTATTATGCATTGTAAATAATGTGTATTGTAGTGTGACAAATTTGAAGTATTGTACAGTACCGCAAATGATCCCCAACCGCAAATGATCCCGAGACCGCAAATGATCCCCAAAATGGACCGCAAATGATCCTCGACCGCAAGTGATCCCTAAAGTCGACCGCAAATGATCCCGTGAAAACTCGAGGAATGGAATGGATTTTATGGGACTGATTACAAAAAAGGACTGATTATAAAAAAGAATCCTTTTTCTCTCGCCTTTTAAAGAAAAAGGGAAGGAGGACGCTACATCTCAGGTCAATTTATACAAGGTGAAAAAAAAATTGAATAAATCTGAAAAGTATGGTATTAACCGTATACTTCTTCCTTTGTCGATTGCTTCAATTTTTTTGAACAATGTTTCGTCTTTTGCAAAATTTAAGACAGGCAGGACGTTACGCCGAAAAAACTCTATTATTTTAACGCCTAGAAGCTCACCTTTTCTACTGAGGAATACAAAGCTGGGCACCCTCTACATAACAAGAGCTTTATTGACTTTACTGATCTTTTTGAAAGCGTGAAATTAATCAGCCAGAATATTTAATTTTGATTTTTCTCTGAAGTGTTAATTTTACGTGATAAACAGTAAGACATTGGTTCGTAACTTAGGAGTGTCCAAGGCCTGGGAGTGCCCTTTACGAAACAAGACATGATTTGAAATAAACACACGTCAAAATGCCCCCGAACTTATCGATGTCCACAGGTTTCGGTTTATTTCGAAATAGCAACTTTCTTACAGCTCATGAAAGTGTTGTGGATAGTTATATTGGCGCTTTTATGTATATTCATTTGTTGTGCCTTTGCTGAAGGCAGTTACCAGGAATCTAAACCTGGTAATGAGAAACACAAAGCCAGGTGAGCGGTAGTTATCGCGTGACAAAACATCGTAGGAAACCGTCACATTCACGGACTAAAAGAAAATCGCTTATGATTATTCGGATCCAGGAGGCACTTTGGAGAAAATTAAACAACCTAAAACCCTTATTTAGCGGCAATGAAGAGCTGACTGCATTTCAAAAGAGGTCAAAGGAAATGCTCTTGCATCAAAGGGCAAATCATGCCGACCAGAAACAACAATAATCGCAGAAAATGCATGTCATGACCTCTCAGTATGAAATAAGCGGCAAAAGTCACATTTGCTTTGAATGATTTTTTTCCATTTAGTTTTTAGTCATATATTTATTTGAGAAGTAAACTTTAGCTTTTAATCTGACTTACTGTAATAATAATAAAATCGACACGATGGTCCGATAACTTGAGTCCAGGTCATTCCTATTTTTCTTTCGGGATCATTTGCGGTCGACTTTGGGGATCACTTGCGGTCGAGAATCATTTGCGGTCCATTTTGGGCATCATTTGCGGTCTCGGGATCATTTGCGGTTGGGGATCATTTGCGGCACTGTACAGTATAGTAAAATTATTTATGCTTATTGTGTTCCTACACAGTCTTCAGTTAGTTCACCAAATTTATTAAGGTCGAGGATACACCCCAGCTTACATCTGCGGTCAGACTTTCGTCCTTACTTTCCTTTTTTTTTTTTTTTTTATAAAAAGCAAAACAGGGTCGGTCGGATTACAAGCAACGGAGAAAGTAAAGGTTCATTTTCTATCGAGACTTAATTGAATCATTGATACAGTGTATGCAGGACAATATTTCTCAAATATTCAACTGACAGTGTGCAGGGCGAGTACTTGCATTAAAAAAGCCAACTGAAACACTAGCGTGTTACTTCTGGACCTGCATTTCAAAAATTATGAGGACAAATCCGTTAAGTTAGCGTGTTTTGTGAAAGAGACTGCTTCATATATATGCCACCATCTTGGAAGAGGAGAGCTGGAGCAAGTAACAACGTACATTCCAGTCTCCAGAGCCCCGCGTCACTCTTGGAAAAGTACTAGTAAGCGTTGGGAGAAAATAGATATTATAGTACACAATTCACCTTTCCTGCTAAACGACACTGGTACTGACTTAAAGACCGAAACATGTAGGAGTAAGTTTTTCACCAAACCATCGCCTTTATATGCACCAATTCTAGCTTTTCTTTTCTTTTTGTTTTTTCTTAATGTCACAGGCAAGAAAAATTAGGATAAAAAATTAATAAATAAAAATGATAGATTTAAAAAAATTCTCAGTTTGCACAGTCTCAGGGGCACCCAACGAGAATATAGTTCAAAACCACTTAAACATAGCATTATTTGTTAAACGTATTTTAGTATTTAATAATATACATGAAAAAATTTCTCGATTGTGATTGGCTAAGAGAAATGCAGTTTTTTGGTAACACAGTGCAGAAAAAAGGTAATTGAGTGCAGAAAAGAGGTAACAAACGAGGCATTCTGATTGGTTAATAAACAAAGGAACTCACTGAGAGCCAATCAAGTGCGCCATCTGAATGGCGCAAAATTTGGATCCGCTCTTGACCAGTTTCGAGCAAAAACCGCAATGGCTGGCGTTTGTAGCAGATTTGCTTTTGCGACCGCAACAACTATAGAGGAGCTGAAAAACTGCTCCAAAAACGAAAACACTGCAAAAAGCACCGATTTTGGGCTCTCTGTTTGGAAGAAGTGGTGCTTAGAGAAGAAAATTACAGATGAAATAGAAAATTATGAGCCGGCTGAGCTTAACACTTTGCTCGAGCATTTCTACGCCGAAGTAAAAAATAAACAAGGTGAGCATTATGAACCAGAAAGCCTCAAAGTAATGATGGCATCGCTTGACAGACACTTAAAGAACAAAGGCTACACCTTGTCCATTGTACGTGACCGAGAATTTAGTTCGTCCAACCGTGAGGTGTTGGAAGGCAAAGCGAAAGAGCTTCGCTTGGCTGGCCGTGGTAAGCGCCCAAACAAAGCTCGACAAGTATATCAGAGGAGGAAGAAGAAATTCTCTGGAAGAGCGGAAAACTCGGAGGTAATAACCCAGAATCTTTAATTCAAACAATGTGGTGGCTCCTTACCCAACAGTTTGGTCTTCGTGGAAGGCAAGAACACCACGGAATGAGACTGGAGGATTTCAGAATCATGAACGGTGACGACGGCATCGCATTTGTTGAGTTTGCAGAAGGGCCTACGAAAACAAGACCTGGAGGTTTGAGTGCAAAGCCAAGACAGTTCCAGCCCAAAATGTTTCAGACCGGGGAAGGAAAATGTCCAGTTGCTTTATTTCGTCAGTACATTAGCCGTAGACCTCCCAATCTGACGACGAGTGGTCCATTTTATCTCTCGATAAAGTACAACAGACGAGCCGACGACGAAATTTGGTACAAGGTACAGCCCATGGGAGAAAATAAAATCAACTCCATGATGAAGAGCATCATCTCCGGCACCAGCCTTGAGACATCTGAGAAGCGGTTTTCCAATCACAGTGCCCGTAAAACAGTAGTCAGCAAAATGAAAAAGGCGAATCTCGAAAGGTCGGCAATTGCAAAAGTCACTGGTCACAGAAATATCCAATCTTTCCGATGACTACGATGAAGCAGACGAAGACGAACAGCGACAGCTTTCGTGGGCCATCTCACGAAAGAACAGCACACCGAAGCCAGCGGGTAATACACCTGGTCCTTGTACTTCAAGTGCAGTAATTCCTCGTAAGATGAGTTCACAAGCGCAGAATGTAATGAATTCCTTCACCAACTGCAATGTAACATTCAACCTCAACAACAAGACTTCGCCTACCATTCGCCCTTGCAAACGGCGATTGCGTTTCATCGAAAGTGACTCCGATAGAGATTGAACGATTCCATGAACTGTTTAGCCCGTTTCTGCGGCTTGTAAACTTTAAAAACGTCGAGAAAAATGTTGTTTTGACTGCACGTGTGATGATATTTGCAGCACTTGAATAAATTATTTTTGCACGTGGTTTACGTGATTTTAAAGCTATCTCGCATTTTTTTCATGAATATTATTAATAAATAATCACATGGTTTTTCTCGTGCAATTTGGAATAAATAAGCACTCGTAAATTTTTTCAAAGACCACAAATTGCTCTCGCCCTACGGGCTCGTGCAATTTTGTTAGCCTTTGAAAAAATTTACTTGTGCTTATTTATTCCAAATTGCACTCGAAATCATGTGATTACCTGTACAAAACGGTAGATATAGGCATATTTTTATCCCCTAAAAAATTTTTATCTGTTCGGATTTCCTAGCTGAAAGTCTAGTGATCCGAAAATTCTAGGGATCAAAACTTACCTTTTCGAAAATTTCATCCAGAAAAAAGGCTTCCGAAAATCCTAGGTGACCTTTTTAGGGTAAAAATCCGTTGAAAATGGGCAATTATACAATTTTTTAAATGTTCGAAAATCCCAGGAGAGGCAGGCAAGCAAGAAATTTTACAACAAATGTTCCGAAAATTCTACATCTCGAATCGTCTTCTGAACAGATATTTTCCAAAAATTGACGTTGGGTGCCCCTGACAGTCTGCACAGCCTGCACAGTCTGCAGGTCTGCAGTGTGCATGGTCTGCGTTTTAACATGACTGATTAAGCTAAGTTTCGTGACTTCGAGGAGCTATATATCTTTTTTGTCTGACATATTACTCTCGATATTGGCAAGTTTGCTAATTTTTTAAGGAGCTTCTTCAAGCAGTGTCGAGCAAAGTGGCTAACTGGATCACGTTAAAAAAAAAAAATTAATTGGAATAAACGTGGAAGGGTCTGTTTATTCCAAAGATACTGAAGTGAATGATACATAAATTATTTATCTATTAATTTGCAAATAAAACCAAAACAAAGCGGAATTTAAAACTCTGAAGATAAAGATGCATGAAGTTTGAATTGAACTCATTGAGAAGGAATAGTCTATGACGGAACAATGCAACTGAAGATATTAGTGGCTGTTTGTATCGCTTTTGCCTTTGCTGCGGTAGTTACATTGACTAAGCAGCATACAGAGTCTACAGAGGTCAGTGCTTCTGCATAGTCAGCCACTTGCAGTCACATTTTAATACTGATATCTTCTTTGCATCTCTTTAATTTAAGATTGTAAATTTTTCGTTGATTTATTCTCAAACAGATATTGAATAGAGACAGGCATGAACAGGTTCACTATGGAAACTTTAAGGGATTCCTCAACTATGCACTGAATATTTCCAACGTGCTGGCCTCATTTAACGTCAAGAATTTTGCGGAGTGTTCCCTTGAGTGCATCATCAGTGCGTCGTGCTATTCATTTAATATAGCCATTTGGCCTTTGAGGAAATCAAACAGGTTTGTCTGTCGTCTGCTGGCCTCAGACAAATATAATGATTCCAGTAGTTTTGTGGCAAGCCAGGAATTTCACCACTACGCCATTGTGGTAAGTTTTCATTAACAGTTCCAAACTATATACAACGAACAAGAGAGTTATGAAGTACTTTAGATTTAGAGGGATAAGTTCAAACTAAGTTGTCCCTCAGTTTTTAGTTTGTTCTATGTTTAGAGAATAACCTTGTTATACTAGATAGTGTTTGTTTATAGTAAGCCTCCAGTACATTGTAGCTATTCAGTCACACAATTTTTTCTATTTTTTTTCTGGTTGATTACGGTGTTTTAGTTTTAGTCTATTTTACGGTCTCATGGCAGCAATGTTTTCACTTGTTTAATAATGAATTACAAAGAAGTATTACCATAACACTTAGCTCTCCCGTTTACCTTTGTTTTGGCTGAGTCTATCAATTAAATAATATGTCTCCTAATGTGTCGCCGGCGGTAGTTTATTCATGATCAGATTTAGTGCTATAAAGAAGCTAAAGTTAGGTGTAAAACTACCTGCTTCCTTAGAAAAGATTAAGGAACTTAACTTAAATTCTGCTCTCTGTAAATTATCTTTTTTATTCTACTTTGTATCATGTAGTTGTTAAGACGCCCTGCTAGGGGGCGTCTTGTTATCCCTTATCCCTGTAACTCTTAGAACAGATTTCCCTTATTTCCTAAAAATTGCACTAATGTTTTCCCTAAAAGTCAGGGAACGCGCAGGGAGGGGTGTCGTGTGCTGTGTGTGTGTGTGGGGAGGACTTGCCCTCCCCCCACACTTTTTGTGCGAAATAACAATAAAGAAAAATGTTCGCCAAAACGTTTCGGTACATTTATGCTAGCTAGAGAATAAAGAAGTTGTAACTGTTGCTCAGAAAAAGATGCAATAATTATTGCAATTGCTATGGCAGAGGCGCAATGTAAAGGCCCGATTGCTTCCTGAGGTGACTTTGTGCGCGTGTAGACCAGAGGCAATTTCATAAAGACTCTTGCGCAAGAGCTTGGAAAGACAGAGCCAAGACGATAAGTGCCTTCATTTCAAAAGCGTTCAGAAGTCGCTGCATAACGATAACAAAAATTGCGACAAATTTGCCAAAAACCTTGCGCCTAAAATCGTCGCTACATGAGCCGCTAAAGCTTTTCTTTAAAATTAAAGTCGCGCAAAATTGCTCTTCACAGAGCCACTTAACGTTCGCCCGCTGAGCAGAGATTACTTTGTCTAGATATGAGTTGACTTTGCTCGCAGGGTATTTGAGTAAAGGACCTCTCGCGGAAAAATATTTTGCATAAAACACTGAGTCTTAAGGCGCCCTTGTAAAATGACTTAACAACGCGGTAGGGTCCTACAATGGGTGTAACGTTTGGGTGCTTTCAGTCAATACCACACAAGTGATGAAGTTTAATTGCATTCGTTTGTTAATCGTACCTTATATCTGTTATCAAGACAATCGTTGAAAATTGCCCAACACGAGGAAATTGAGTGACTAGTACAGATCAGTTCAGTTTTGAATTGAATACTAGATCATTACAAGCCGGTTTCCTCCATTTACCGCTTTAGTGTTCAATTTTTTTTTTTGTGACTTCCAGAGGTCAGTTGTACAAAGCCTGACGTCAGACTTAACTGCCAACTCTCGGCTTTTCCTGATCTCGACGACACAAAAAGTAGACAAGATGACATGACTAATCGGCAAAACAACAGAACAAGTAGACAAGGCGACATAAAAAATATACATCGAGTTATTTTTGACCCTGACTACCGCTCCACAGCACCAGGGTTATCCTCCCTCCTTGTAAACAGGGCCAAGGGTGAAAACGGTGCTTTCATGTTGGTATAACAGCAGTTTTAAAAATCTCGAATTTTCAACACCTTGTCAGCTGGGAATGAATTATAGTTCAATAAATTACATACTTATATCAAAGCCTAACTCGACCAGGCTTGCAAAAAATAAATGTATACATCATAAATGAAAATAATTCTTCAAAATTGTAACATCACTTAGCTAGATCATATTTGCCCTATACAAGGGAAAGAAGGAAACAGAGTAACAAGGTTACAAGGTAATAAAGTGACAAGGTAACAGAGTAACAAGGTGACAGGGTAACAAGGTAGCAAGGTAACAGGGTAACGAGGTAAAAGGATAACAAGGTAAAAAGGTAACAAGGTAACAGAGTAACGAGGTAACAATGTAGCAGAGTAACAAGGTAACAAGGTACTAAAGTAACAGAGTAACAAGGTAACAGAGAAACAAGGTAAGAGGGTGACAAGGTAACAGAGTAAAAGGGTAACAAGGTAAGAGGTTAACAAGGTAACATAGTAAGAAGGTAATAGGGTGACAGAGTACCAAGGTAACAGGGTAACAAGGTAAGAGGGTAACAAGGTAACAGAGTAACGGGGTAACAGGGTAACAGGGTAAGAGGGTAACAAGGTAACAGAGTAACAAGGTGACAGGCTAACAAGGTAACAAGCTAACAGAGTAACATGGTAACAAGGTAACAAGGTAAGAGAGTAACAGAGTAACGAGGTAACAAGTTAGCAGAGCAACAAGGTAACAAGGTAACAAGGTAAGAGAGTAACAGAGTAACGAGGTAACGATTTAGCAGAGCAACAAGGTAACAAGGTAACAAGGTAACAGAGTAACAAGGTAACAATCTAACAGAGTAACATGGTAACACAGTAGTAAGAGTGAGTTACAAAACCTAGTAATAAGAGTAAGGTCGAAAACATTAGAAACATTAAGCAATCAACAATGAGAGAACGGGTTTAAGTGAAATAGGTAAAGTCGGTACAATCTATGTCCTCATGCATACATGAAGTACCTAACTGTTCAAATGATGGCAGGCTCAAGTTTATTTTATTTAAAATTCATATGGCATATGTTGTGTTTATGTCACTATGGCCCCGCACTATTAAGATTTTGACTCAAGCTGACCTCGCACGCTAAAAGGCAGCCAGTTATTTAAAAATACCGGCAAGGAAGACCTTTTCTTACCATGGTCACTCTTTGGTTACCTTCTACGTGCAATTTTTATGCTCTGATTGGTTAAAATTTGACAGGTGAGTTCATGCGGAAATTTATGCAGCATCTTGAAACTTGTTTAACTTGGTCACTGAAGCTGACAGAGTTTTGTGCCAGTTTGTGATGTTTTTAAGTAAACTGTCTTTTTCCACTGGATGTAAAAAATGAAATATAGCTGCTGTCAAGAGTCTTCTGTTATTTATTGGGTTTTTGGGTAAGAAATGCGACGCCTATCAAAGTTGGAAATCCGATTTCGCATGGCATCATTTTTGTTTCTCACCTTGCTTGATACGTAAAAGGGTTTAAAAGTCTCAAGCGATTCTCGCCTTACTTGATAGCTTTCAGGAGCTGCATCTCGAATGGTAAGCCTAACTAATTATTGTATTTGATGTTTGCTTTTTATATCTAATAATATACACGAAAAAATTACTCTACTCTTATTGGCTGAGAAAGGAGTGCAGTTCTTCTGTAACACGAGTGCAAATTACAAATCGTTTCTGATTGGCTGAAAACACAAAAGATTCCAACGAGAGCCAATCAGATAAGAACTGTATTAACAACAAAATTTAAGAAAATGGCCGTGGTTTTCAGCAATTAACGATTTGATTTTGCATTAAAAAACAACAATAGAACAGTTAAAAAATATTCCAAAAACCGGAACAAAGTAGAAAGTATGTCTTTCTGGCTAAATGTATTGAAAATGTGGTGCTAAGAGAAAAAATACTGTCAAAAAAACCGAGGAAAATGAACCAGAGAAACTAAAATTGCTACTTAAAACAAAAGTAAAAAAAAATAAAAAAATAAAAAAATAAAAACGAAAGAACAAAAACGGTGACAACCACATGCAAGTTATGACACCTACACTTGTTAGGCAATACATGAACAAAGATACAAGTTTTCCATCATAACAACAAGGTTTCAAGCCACGTGTGTTGTTCTTGGAGGAGAAAGGTGTCCGCTTGATCTCTTTAAGTTTTTTGTAGAGCAAAAACCTCTATGAAAACAATATACGATGGTCTGGTTCTTTGTACCACAGTAGCAAACGAAACCGAAAATTTAATGACAAACATCTGGTTCAAACTAAACCAAAGGGCGAAAATACCATAAGTAACAATGAAAACAATCCATTGCTGGTATTAGCCTTGAAGTAAGTGAGAAAAAAGTTTACGAATCACAGTGCAAGAAAAACACTAACAGTCAGCTAGCTGAAGAAAGCAAAAATTGTACGCTCAGATTTCGCGAAAGTCACAGACCACAGATCAGAAGTATAAATTTCCTCAACGACTACGATGAAGTCGACGAAGAAGAGCGACGACGGCTCTCTCTTGCAAAATCCAAATAAAATTTTGAGAAAAAGCAAATGGCAGTTGGTAGTTTCCGACATCGCAACAACTGTGGCTCCACGACAGCGTCAAAAGAAAACAAATTGCCTCCTTCATTTTCGGGTTTCAAATGTCAAAGATTTCTTCATGAATCCAGCCATGATGGGGTCTCGGGAACAGACAATGATGAACAGTCGTTAAACAACTCAGCAAGTGTCTTTCATCTTTGGCTGCTCGGAGCGATTTCCTGATTTCAAAACGGCAGCATACTTCTTGTATCTAAACGCCGAGCTTTCATAATCGAGGACTGCTGATTCTAAAATTAAACCACTAACTTTTGCTGATTATTGTAAACGAAGTTATCTTTAACAGGCTGGTGTAAAATCAATCCTTGGACATTTCCATGTTCTTTGCTGGATGATTTTTAAAGCGTTGGTCTTGAAAAAGTTTGAATTTGACAAAGGTAGTAGTCTGTTTCAAGCAATCAGTTGAAGGAACTAAACACACGCGAGCTGTCAAAATTTGTTCATTTGAAGTTATATTTATCGTGTATATTATTAATAAGTAATCACATGATTTTTCTCGTGCAATTCGGAATAAATAAGCACTAGTAAATTTTTCAAAGATCACAAAGTGCACTCACCCTACGGGCTCGTGCACTTTTGTTGGTCTTTGAAAAATTTACTCGTGCTTATTTATTCCAAATTGCACTCGAAATCATGTGATTACCTATGCTAATTTCATGAAGTCGAGCACAGTTTATGCGGCAAGTTTATACACGTTTGTAAGATTTGAGACAACGATCTGTCCTAGTATCAAGTTTGATATAAGCTTACAGAACTTTAAAAAGCCTTATTATTCATTCAAAATATTTCCCCGATTCTGATTGGCTAAAAGCACACGCATAATTCACCATAACCAGTTACTCATGACCAAATTTGGAAGAATTTTATGTTTAACGAGGAAATGACGTCAAAAATGCAGCTTTCTTTCAGGTTAATGCACCGTTAACCGAGAAGACTTGGGGACGAGGTTGAGTTGTTAAGGTTGTGAAAACAAAAAATGGCGGACATTTAACTCGTTTCAAGAGTAAGAACTAGGCCAAATTATAGCTAAAAACATGGCAAGAACAGCAAGAACACAACTCGAAGGGCGACATCTGCTATTTGGAAAATATTTGCGGAGCTGAACAACCCTAAACGTGCACTATCGAAGGTGAACTTAACATCGATGGAGGTAAGCATGTTATAGCTTTGTTTTTAAACTAGGAATTATTTTGAATGAATAATAAAACAATTATTGAATTCGGCTATCGTATCATATGAAGAATTATGGAGATCTCGGAGGGTGTTATCCGCCTCGGCCTACGGCCTCGACGGATAACACTCTCCTTGATCTCCATAATTCTTCATAAGATACTCAGCCTCATTCATTAATTGTTAATTAAGATATATATTTTCTCACCATAAATAGCAAGAAAGAAAACTTCGAGCGATTTTCTTGGGTATATACTTCATCTTTGAAAAAAAAAAAAAAAAACAAACAAACAAACAAACACCGGGAGGCAGGCTTAAAACAGGACTCAGGATTTTTGAGACACTTTAATACTTGTCTTCGTGAATAAAAATTGTTGTCTCTGTAAATGTTTCACCAAATTATATTTTGATTATATTTCTTTTATCGATTGCCAGTAGTCTCTCTTACAATTTTCATCGCTGTGCCGTTTGTTTTCAGTCGTTCATGAACATCGCTTGCAGGATTACTCAAAATGCCGCTCTTATCAAACTCTTTTTAAGATTATTGCCAACGAGGCAACCGAGCTAGGAAGCGAGGTTGACTCGGCGGCAGATTATAACGCCGTGCAATGTGGGCAAAACCCCTCAAATTCTGCGTAACCCTCGAAAATTTGCATTTTTGACCATATTTGGGTGTAAGTAAGACCCCATATTTGGGCAGTGACGTCATGGTCTTGTATTTATAACTCGTGGTTTGAGATTGCGTGGTCCAGTGTGCAGCTGTTCGTTGTCCATCGGAGAAGGTCGATGACCTAACAGGTGAGCAAGTTTTAATACGATTTCTAGTTTGAAAAGGCTATTAGTGGTTTGGTTTGCTTTATAAATTGCGTTTGAAGCAGCAGCTGATCAAGGAATAGGGTTTTACGCTCAAATGTTTGTCAGAGCCAGCTTGTTCTTCGCAGGCTTACATTCGAGCCAGCGTGTCTGCTTTATACATTCTCTATTCAGAACCAGGGTTTGCAGTGCTCTCTTTTCCTTTGTAAATTGAATTTTAAGCGGTAGCTGATCAAGGAATAGGATTATACGCTCAAATTTTTATTAGAACCAGCGTGTTCTTCGTAGCTCGATTCGCATTGAACCAGCGTGTTTGCACCCGTGTGTTTGCCTGTCAATAGACCTATTCGGCTAACTCAGTGTTGTACCCAATTCAAATCTCCCGGGGATAAGATTCTTTGTGTATTGCATTTGCATTATAATGTGGCATTCACATTTAAATGATATGGAAATTCCTGAAACAAAACGTTTTATTCCCAAAGGGTTTGAATTGGGTACAACATTGAGTTAGCCGAATAGGTCTATTTCGAACGAGGTCTTCTTTCGTCGACTGAGACGTTCTGAAGACTTACGAGAAAAGAAGCGAAGTGATTTATTTTTACATCTTTTAGCAGAAAAAAATCCTTAAACGCCAGCGTTGCGTATTAAATCAAAACAAACAAGTGATTTCCATTGCTTGATCACTGCGAGCAATCAGTCGCATACCAACTTTGTCATGTTTCATGTTTACTGCTTCATGCTGATTGTATCACTCATTATTTGTGGAAGCAGTTGCTCCATAATTAAACCTCCGCGTTCTTGTTTAAGTGACGATTTACAATTACACAAAATTAGATGTTTTGGCCCGTGCTTATATACTGTCACCTATTACAAACGGAAATATTTGCCTAGAAGAATTCCGTATGCTTCAAATGGTAGTTTAATCCTTACATAATAACAAACAAGGAAGCACATTTGATCAATGGAAATCCAGCATTGTCAAAGGATTCAAACTCTCGTAAATCTTCCCAAACCAAACCACATTTACAAGAACGTTTTGGTAAAGAAATATCGCAGTCATTGCCTCGTTCATTCCTCCCCGTTGAGCAAATGCATTTCAGGAATTACTGCCTTGATTTTCCAGGAAAATTCTCATGTGCAATTGATTGTTTCATGGAGTTAAGCTGTTACATTTTTAAAGATGCTATTGAGTCTGTGGAACGTAATGAATTTTTTGAAATGTTATACACAGCATGTGTGCAACTAAATAGTGGTGAAATCCTTTCCAACCAGTTACATTCAGTCCGAGAACCCATTTGGGCCTGGATGAGACCGCACTGTTCCTCTTTTACAGGTATGTCAGATAATGCTGTATTTAGGACGTATTCCAAATCAATACATTTGGAAAATTAACGTTTGGTTTAAAATCATTATTTCTTATTCAACATACCAATCATTCCATTTGTTCAGAGTGTAACCAGGAAATCACCAAATCCACAGATGTTTTTGTCTTGTATATTACCTATCGCCATATAAATCAGAATGGTTTTGAAAGTTCTGTATCAGAAGCTATGCTGCCAAAAATCAATAGACTTTTTTGTGTTTACTGCCAAAATTATTCTGGAAGTGTTGCTTCACTTCGACACTTTGTGTGCCTGCCAACCTTTTTAATGATAGAATTGTCACCTGATTGTATAACTGAAATGTTTTTTCCACATGATATGGAAACCTGAGGAGTTTCATACTGCCTCAAAGGAATTGTTAGGTGTTTAAATAGACATTTTACTGTTACCTTAAAAAGTGAGAGCGGTTGCATCTGTATTGATGATTTGTGTGTTTCTGTAAGGCGTTTGTTATCCTTTCAAGAAGTATTGTATAGTTATCCGGATGGCTGGTTTTTTGCCATCTTTCAAAAGTCTGAGTCTGTAGACATCAATTTACATGAATCTGCAAATCAGGTTTCCACTTGTCTAAAAATATTATAACTTTCTGAGGTGATTCTCACTGTGGTGCTTATTTTATGTGTAACTGAAAGATGGGCTTATTTGTAAACTGAGTTGCTAACACGTTATTGTTACTTTAAAAAATTACAGTTGATGATGTCAGCAAGAAAGCAGTCAAGGGGTAAGTTGTAAAATTTTATTCAAGTTGATGTTCTCTATGAAAGAGCTTGTATGTTTGATATGATGGGAAAGTGGGGGCAAAGATGGAAAACCTTTTTTTTAGCTCAAGACACTTGACAAATGTTCAAGCAAAATAGTATGTGTTATTGTGTTAACTATAATGATGATAATAGGGTTATTGTTGCTGTCACTGTAAGTGCATTGATGATCATGCATCCTGAATTTGTTTGCTTTTCTTTCGTTTAGTAAACAAGTATGGGTACATCCAAAAAATATCCCCCGTCAAGACCGCTGCAAGGTCCAGACATGATTGGTTTGACTTTCACCTGCAAGTTTCACCGACTAAAGTGCAAAGAGTAGTTGGATTTGACAAAACAAAACATCCCAAGATCAAGCACGTCCAAGAAACCAAGTCTCCCGTATTGTTAAAGAACCTTCTTATACCAGATGATGAAGACAACGACTGGCTTTTCAACCATCAATCCTATGTTTCGCAGTGTGCAAATGCTGATGTACCATTCTCCTATGTACCAAATTTTGTCAAGTCAGAACGTTCCGAATCATCATCACAGGAAGCGTCTGATGTCTCTTTACGAGAACTGAAAGAAATGGCGCCCAATCAGAAAGTCAACTTCCATGCAACTCTGTCAATGGGAGCCCAGGAACCAAACAAGATAGAAACCAAATCCAGTCAAGCTTTATCTGTCAAAGAAGACTGCATATTGGAAGACGAAACGGGCACAATGGAACTCCACATATGGGAACCGTTATTTACACAACTGAAAAGCAACAAGGCCTATTACTTTCAAAACCTCACACTACGGTATTATCAAGGATCAAAATTCCTTAGCACCAACAGGAATACACCTTACATTGAGGAAACCACAACTCTCAAAAAATTAGTGGGCCCAGAAATATTGACAAATCCAGAAAGAGAGATCATTGCAAGTCAACTAAAATATGTTGCCAGTTTAAGCATTTTTAGTGCATGACAACTTTGCAAAAAACGAATTGGGGATGAGTCGGGCGAGTCAGTGAGATGCCAAAACTGCAAAGTGCGACAAAGGATCATCAACTGCAGGCGGGAAGGCTCTATCAAGCTGTGTATTCAACACAATGAATCGGAATTGTGGCTCACTGCATTTACAAATGAAATCGAAAACCTCCTGAAGAATACAACAGCAAGTATGAGCAGCACCATAGATGAAATAGAAGACGCCCTTATGAGCCTAAAGGATGTCAAATTGAAATACAACGCCCAACGGAACATTGTCAAAGAAGTACTAAACTTGTAATTTCCACAGGAAGTACTGTGGTACTAAACAAATCAACCATTTTGTGGATAAAGTTAAAGAATTTCAAAAAAATGACATGTGAACTCTAGTGACACAAAGTGGAAAAGAAACTGTTATTTAAGTTCGTGAACAGACCAATACAATCAAAGCGTTCATAGTTTTGTTACCTACATTTTTTTCTATCTATAAGAACGTTATAAAACTTTGATATTTATTACTGAGACGTGCTACGAATTTAAAAAAATTCGTTTGTACAAATTCAATTGTTGTATTTGTTGTTTCATACCATGAAAGAAAACAACCATATAGGCACTTAATACATTGATTTCAATAATTTCAAACAAAGCACTGCTAAAGAACAGTAAGAACAAATATAAAATGCTTTCGATCTGATCAATGTACGTTCTGTCTGAATCAAGAAGCAACCACGCGTTGGAAATCAATTACCACATGTCCCAGCTTTCAAAGATAAAGGATACTAAAAAATATCTTAAGCGGCACCCGACAAACTATCAAAGAGTTCTCCAAAGCATACTTTCTTGCGAGGAACGAGAAAGGAACAGAAGCAAAAAACGGCATGATGCGTCTTCTGTCATTAGGACATGATCGTTTCGAATATAACCAAACACCAAGGTGTGATAAATCATTGACTCCGTGGGCAAATAGATGAAAAATTTCCCTTAATCTTTTCTTCAATATGAATCCTCTTGGTGCTTATTTCATCAATCAGTCCCACGCTCCGTAAACGCGTCGTTCTGTGGAAAAAAATACGTCTGCAGTTCCCAGGCTAGAAAAAGGGTGGCTGTACACAGGCTCAGTATAGCCTGCGAGAGCATCCGGTTTTTTCGGCTCTAGTTTGTTGGTTCGACATAAGAATACACAATAGACAAAGCCCGAAATACGCGAAAGCGCGAAATTGAGTGAGCGGTTTTTACTGAGACAGCCTCTTAAGAGAGGTGTAACGAGCTCAAACATTCTCTTGTTAAAAGGTAATCTGGATTCCGGATTCCAGATTACCTTACATGGGTGGGGTGGAGGGGGGAAACTAAGAAGCAAGGAAGGGCGGTAAAACCTGTCAAAAATTTTTAATCTTTTTAATTTCTCCGCCTGCAGAGTCCTTGTGAAAGCTCTCCATGTAAAAATAACGGAAGATGTGTGTCACTATACAAGAAAAACAGTTATGTGTGCCTCTGCCGTGATGGGTTCTTTGGAATTTACTGTGAACAAGGTAAATAATTACGACAAAACACATTTAAGCTGCCGCAGTAATTCGTTAAACCAGAGATGCAGAGATCTCTTAGTCACTCAGTATTCAGTCATCCCTTGTTTATAGGCGAAGTTACTCAATTTCAATTCCATACGAAACGTTTGACGGTCGATGATATGGGTTGGCACATAGTTGGTACAACGCCTTTAATAAAACATTCAGTATAGTTATACCTTTATTCGATGGTCAGAAATAGTTGTTTTTTCTCCCACATAGGTCACAAAGACGTGAAGAATTTTCCAAATGGCATGAAACTTGGCAGGATTGTTGCTTGAGAGATTCTACATTTTTTGGTGGCAGTTTGACAGTCTTAGTGGACATTGTGACGTCACAAATAGTTTCCAAATTTTGTGCCAAAATTTAGAATTAAGAAAATCGTCAGAAAAACCACATAGAGGTGTTCTGTGATCAGAGTGAAGCTTTCCAGTGAAAACCCCGTTAAAATCCATTAAAACGGGACAAAGTTACAAGCTATTTTGTGACTGACAATAAAAGAAGGAATTTAAAGAATTTAATTGTTTTATTACCTTACATGGTAAAACTTTAGGGAGGTTTCCAGTTCAAGACAATAAATGGAAGTTAAAAGAAAAATAGCGGATAACACACTGGAGAAAATTTGTAGTTTTTTGAATTTGGAACTCTATAGGTATTTTCACTTGTGACGTCATCAACACCTAAATATGACTTCAACATGGTATGAAATGACGTAACACGCAACCTGACACCCCATGTCCCAAATTTTAAAAAACTACAAATTTGCTTTTATGCATGGTTCGCTTAGTTTCCTTACTGTTTCATTTAATAAGATGGAGTTTAAATACCCCTAAAGTTTGACTATATATGGTTAATTCCATACATTTGGCGGGAAATTTGAGTTTCTTTAATCTGCTCCAACTTTGCAACAATTTAACGGATTTAAGTGGGGTTTTCACCAGAAAGCTCCGGTTGTTTTATAGATTTTATTTATAAAGTTATTCAAGTGAAATAATCAATTCCAAATTTTAGCGCCATGTTTCAACGTCACTTATGACGTCATGCTGTCAATCAAAAGTATAAAACTACCATCAATACATGTGGACTTTCTTTTACTATGTCCCTGCCAAGTTTCGTCTCATTCGGAATATTTCATAATCATCTATGTGTCTCTAATGAGCCATGTGGGAGGAAAAACACCTATTTCTGACCATCGTGTTAAGCCGTCATGTATGCATTTTCTTCTGAAGAGGTCATAAGGATCAATGAAGGGGCATCTGGGCTCTTTCACTTTCTCTTTTTGGGCCCGGTGTCCCGGATATCATAGTTCATCCTACCACAAACGACACCTTGTTACAAACGAAGACGTATATATTTTTGGGTTCCTTAGTCTTTTATACACTATTATCTGCAGAAATGCTTCAACCGTAAAGTGTTTATTTTTTGGCACTAAAACGCAAAGGGCGGCTATTCGCAGCAACTCACTTTACTACTATGCACTGGGGAGTGAAATAAGCTACAAAACGCATTTATAACATTGCCAGTGGATTGGTAGCTTAATTCTGTTTTTAAAATGAATACAGACTATGTATATGGATGTTTGAAGTAGGAGTTGAGTTAAATTTTTTCATATATATAGTCATCAATGACTGTTCAGACGCCCCCCAAACATCTGGAGTATACATTATTCTGAATCATGGTTTAGAAGCATTTCCTGTATACTGCGACCAGACAAACGATGATGGAGGTATGCTGTAACAAACGTGGTACTGGTTAAGTTTATATCTCATCTGATAACTGTTAAGTTAAGATACACACTAGGATGAGAAAGAAAAAAGTATAAAGCATGTTCGTTCCTTTTTACGAACACTTAAATCACTACTCAGTTACATTTTACCACGTAGTCTATTGTAAATGATTGCTTTAAGGTTACTCTAAAACACGTTTTTAAAGGGAACCTCCACTCTTACTACAGAATAAGTTTAAATCGAATAAAATTATGTTGATAAACAAATTTGTTCGAAATTTGTCCTTAAAAAAGTGTTTATATCAGGAAAAGTGAATTTTAAAATCGCTTATTTTCACTTTCAAATTTCGCGGACGCCGCCATCTTGAATAATTGTGACGTGTTATGGTTGCTCTATTGTTCTGAGACAAAGAGCTTTTGTTTAATAACAATAGGGCAACCGTAACACGTCACAATTATTCAAGATGGCGACGCCCGCAAAATTTGAAAACAAAAATAGGCGAATCTAAAAGTTATTTCTTTCGGATACAAACGCTTTTTTAAAAAATATTTTAGATTGACTTGACTGTAACAGTTATTTCCTGTGATTTAAAGTTATCTTTTTGTTGAAGTGGAGGTTCCCTTTAACTTGAGTCCTTATGCATTGGAGGCAACGCTTCTTTGTTGTTACTAGCCTCGGCCACAAGTTGCTCGGCCACTTGTTGGCAAGTTTTGCTATTTTGATATAGGGTCTGTTCAAAACGCGTAACGCTGAATATACATTTTTCCTAGAATAACAAGAGAAACACATTGTTATAAGGAAACCTTAAATTGTTCAGTTTGCCTCTGTGTAAAAAGGAATAGTGCTCTGATTCTGTAAGAAAAAAAAATTTATTTTACACAGTTGCTGTGTCACCCACCGTTAGTTTCATTATTAATAGTATTTCATTGTGGCTGTCATTTTGATTATTCGGTAACTTCTCGAAACAATATTGGTCCGAAATGCGTATAGATTTTTTAAAATAAAGCTGAGTTAAAGTATTAAGTGTCAAAAAGTCCACAAAGCGGTAAAAAATACAAGAAAAGTCACAAGTAATCTGTTCCGTTTTCTGAATATGCAGCGATTTAACGAATTAACAATTTTTAATCCAACGATACCCACCTGAGACTGTGTTAGTTTAAGAGTCCATAGAACTTCTCAGAAGTATCCTCGGAAAGACCTCCAAAAGGAAATGAATGAAGAATTTGAACTTATAACTGTAACAATTTCACTTGCCGCCACGGCAATGAACGAAAACACAGAAAACAACTGTCGAACTGCCACAGGCAAACCAGCTTTCAGTGCAGTCATGCAAAGCATGTCACGTCACGTAATTCTGCCCCGCGCATTTGGGAAGGAGGGAAGAGAATTCCACGCTGTGCGCTAAAACATTTATGAAATAAAATTAGCTTTGGACTGTTTCATTTTTGCCCTCGCTTGAGGGCAAAGGTGCCTCTTCCGCCTTGGACTTGATGAGCAGGCGTTTTTAGGGGATTCGTAATTCCTCCCTCCGACAAACGAAAAGTGTGAATTTTTTTTTTCACCTTTGATCTCAACAACGTTACCCTCAATTTCCTGATTTCCCCTTCGCTTTATTTACAGACTGGCATAAATGACACATATCTTGGTTTCAGGTAAGGGAGGAAATATGGGAAAATGTGACTCCCCTGAAAATGCCACCAAGGGAGGCTAAATGTTTAGTTGCCTCTTAGGCCAAATTCGCTTCAGGGATCCGGATCAGTCTTGTCAGTGGAACTTGTGGAAGGCAGAAGTGTAATAACTGGACCCAAGTGTAATAAAGGTCCATCCGCAATAACATTTGAACCCAAGTGTAATAAAGGTTTCATCTGTCACGACTGAGATAAAATGAGACATGTCCAAAACAGCCTAAATATGGTTATCTTAACTTAAAAAGCTGACATCATGGTTCATGTGACCAAACAGAACTAGAAAAAAAAGGAGCGAGAAAAAATACCATAGAATGTAGAAATGGCTCTCAGTTAAAGTTTTGGCAAATTTTTGCTACGAAACTTGCTTTTGAAAAAAATCCATCGCTCCAGAACAAATAAATATGTCCCAGTGGACTGATCTGTTGTTATTTTTTCTCCTCTGTCTTCTTGTCATTTTCACTATTTCAATCACGGCTGAATTTTATTGATAGGATTTCATGACTGTCAGTACTTTGCAAGAATAAGTTCCCGCAAATAAAAATTACCGCAAAAATATTTCCCGCAAGAATTTACTCCAGAGGAAATACTGTATTCTCTAACTTAAATTCACTACACAAGAATACGGTACCAAGAAATCGTGTCTGTTCAATTACAACTGGTCTCTTTTTTTCAGAAACAAATACAGACGTACACTTAGTATTGCTTGAAAATATGTATTTCTATTGCACTTACTCAATAAAAACGAAAATATTATCAATGCTGGGTACTGGGTACTTTCTGAAATCGCAAAAATTAATCCCCAGCAAGAAAAACCAGTCTGTCCTAATCGCAAAAATTAGGTCCCGCAAAACACAAAAAATCGCCAATCCGCAAAAAATAAACTCCCGCAAAAATTTCGTTCCACAGGGGATCCGTTGGAAAAATGATTGGTCGTTTGATCAACCAGGGCTAGGTCGTTATTTTTGGTTCCTTACTTGCGTCAGTTCAGGTTTATTAGACTACCTTTGTAATCACCAATTATGTTTATAATTATGTACTTTAGTTTTAAACTCAATTTTGGTAACGACCCCACAGTATCAGCCCCCGACAAAGGCTTGTGTTGGAAACCGACTAATATCGGAAAAATGATATCATGTATATTCTTAATTTCGTTTGTACTGCATGGCTTTCTTTTCTCCTTTCGCCGATCAGTTCCTTCGATTTTGTCCTTTCAACTTATCCAAATCTTTTTTGGAGATCCGGATGCGGCCACTAGTTCATTGGCTTCCGAAGAGCTCATTCCCTGTTGTTGGCTTTTAGCCGGGATGTTTCAACACAAGGAGCCACTGAACCACAGGAATCCGAATGATTAGAAAGGCTCGCAACAAATGTGTCTCTTGTTCCTCTAGGATAAAGTTATTCTTTTCTTAAACTAGTTACAAAAGATACAGTCCAAAGCTAGTTTTATTTCATAAATGTTTTAGCGCACAGCATGGAAGAATTTCTTCCCTCCTTCCCAAATGGGCGGAGTTGTAGAAGTGACTTTTTCATGACGCCATAACTAGACTACAAGGAAACTCTGGAAAAAGTAGGCTGATGGTTTCCATGAAAAAAAAAAAAATCATCATCATGATCATCATGATCATCATCAAATCGGCACGCTTTGGCATTCCTGCAAGAGAACAATCAGTTTTATCAATGAAAACTTTATTTTATGTAAAAAGGGAAAGAAAAAGAGAAACAATATATGTTACTCGGAACATGTTATACAAAACAGCTCTTCAAATGAAGTTTCCTGTTGATCTTTGTTAATACAAATAAGCACACGAAACGTTTCAAATAACCTTCCTTACATGTAATCTCGAAGACGTCAATTGTTACCAGTAGTAGCACCAAGTCGTGTTAACAGGACCAGGTAAAGGCCACCATAAGCTAACTATTTTTAAAATGTGGTAACTATCAACGGGAATGGCTGGGTGTGGCTGGGTAAGTAAGCTGCCACTCAGGTTTGTATGGTGTCTCTTTCAAAAGGTTGGACAATGATATTTAAAGCTGTCAAAGGTGTAACAGTACCTCTTGTGGGTGACTTGTGGAATTCCAGTTCCTCGCAATCAGAGAATACTATGGCTGCACTGGACACGACCACAACTCATCATGCGCACTACAAGAATCGCATTGTACAGGAATGGGAGACATTTAATCCAGCACAGGTAATTAATTGGAAGGAAACAGACTGTTTAAAAAGACAACAGCAACAACAACAAAAACACGATCAATACAAAAACAAACAAACAAACAAACAAACAAAAAATTTTTATACAAACCTCAAGTGCGCAACTTTTCTTCCGGTTCCATCAAGGATTCAAAGACCACAGCTTTGCCAGTTCAAACTACGTCGATTATGAAATTGGTACTGTTTCAATTTATTTGACGTTCAAGGCCCAGTTTACGAGGAGTGGAGCTAAGTTTACCCCCTAGCCTTCCTACTGTAGTTTAGAGTGGTCAATTGATAATCGCAATCCCAATTGATAAAGAAAGGTCAACGCGCTTGTTAATAACGTAAAGAACCCAAATTGGTGGCCAACTGAGCAATGTTACTATTGGTCGTAAACGCACTTTTGCTAGACTGCAAGACATCCCGTATCCATTGCGTAGGTCAAGAACGCCGGTGTAGTCAAGCGAGAGTCCTGGAGCGTGGGTGAAAACCGAATGTGAGACTGGGAAGAGATACTAGAAATAGTGGCTTGAGAGGCTTGCGCGCACTTCACGCCTTGAAAAGCCGATTTCGAGAAAAAAGGTCTACAGTTTTGCTTGTGCATGTGTCTTTTCTACGGCTGTAACGTGGGTTCTTGCTTTCGAAATAAAAATGTGGTTATGGAAAGACTTCAGAGTGAAAACTGTTGACACTAAACCTGAACTTCCTTCGAGGCTAATCCTGCCTAGACCATTTACGTGCCAAAAATCCCGACCCTTCTTAAAGGGTTACCCTAGCAATTAGCAGGGTAACCCTCCCCCTAATGTAACCCTACTTCTCAGGCATACTAAAATGGGAAACACAAAAGAGAAAGGATACTATTATAGGAGGGTAACCCTCCTACCATGTATAACAGACCTCAATGTTTCTTTTCCATCACTTTAGGTCCGAGTTGTTCTGTACGAAAATGGAAATGAGGTCCTCTTTCTTAAGTTCAGTGCCAATGGCACCAACAGATTTAACTGGTTTTCTCAGGCAAATCTAATTTCTTCGCCTTGGAATGATCTTAAAAGAGCAACGAACCTCCGGCACTTTGATATCATTGGATCACACTCCAGATCTTTTGAAATTTCCGCTTCTTATGGAGGCTGCGATCATGATTTTGGTTGGCTTTCTATCACTGCGGCTGACTGCAGCTGGGAAACTCGGGTTGTCAAACCTGCTCCCCAGTATAGCAAGCAGACATACAAGACAAATGCCAAGGACTATGGTAAGAAAATAAGAGGTTTTGATAGGAAGCCAGTGGTTTCGCCACGTAGTAAGTTAGCCCCGTAAGAAATCGAGTTCGTACCATAGTGAATTAATACCCTGCGAGTTAGCCCTGTAATTTTTTTGGCAAAACTTAACCTGGTTCAAAGAGTTTGAAAGGGTTAATTTTCATGAACGGACGACTCAATTAAAACTTTCAAAAGGTTCTTTGAAGGCGCGCGGTTTTCAGTAGCTCACTAATTGGAAGCTTCAGTCATGACCCTTGCTTCACGCTCACTGTAGTTTTACTAACAAAATCTTACCCCGTATTGCTGATAAAAAGAGGTAAACTTGTTGCAAGTGTTGTCTCCCTCACAGCTGTTTTAGACTCGCTGGAGAGCTAAACTTGGATGCAAGGCGAGAGAAGTACATCTTTTCGAAAGTGTAGTGCTCACGTTTCCGCCTTAATAAGACCTCCCTAGGTACAGTTTAGTTTATCCTTATTTACATTACTGTGCGAGAGTCTGGGGCCCAACTTATCCGTCAAATCTTAAACGTTTGATTACTTTTCAAAAATGAGTTATTAGAATAATTTCTAGGAGTACTTTTGATGCACATCATGGACCAATCCTATTTTTGTGAGTTTACGAATTCTAAATTATTTTATAGATATTATCAAACTTCAAATAGGTAAATTAAGTTACGTATCTTTCCAAATACGGCCTTCTTCCTGATAGTTTCAATGACTTGTTTTTATTTAACTGTGACGTACATTCATATACCACCAGAAGTAAGAATTCCTTCCGTCTACCCTACTGCAGGAAAAATGTAAAGAAATTTTCACTACATTTTCAAGGGCCTAAAATATTTTAAAATTCTTTTACCTTTGAAATTCAGTATGTCTCTAGTATTGCTGTGTTCATTTCTAAACTAAAGTCATTTTTCTTGGAAGCTTTCTACATAACCTAATTTTACTTCTCTTAATGCGCGCTTGTATCTACTTTTTCGCTTCTTTCGTTGTTTTTGTTTTGCATACTATTTTTCATTATTTTTCTCACTTTTTCTGTTCCTTTTCCACACTTGGGCTTGTGTTCTTAGCCTTATCAATTTTTTGTCGTATTTAATGATTATTTTCTATGTTATAAAGATATTATATGTGTTTAGTTAAATTGTCTTGCCGATGGCAGTATATTATTTCATACTATGAAAGACAACAGCATTCTGGGAGATGAATCTACTCTTATATATTATTAAAGATGGTCCTTTTCATAAGCCGCATGCTTCCTTGCCACATCCATCTGAATTTTGTGTATTTCAGTAATTCAAATGTGGCAAAATTATAATAAAATAGATAAAATACGTGCTTGCATGAATGGTAATTAAAGCTTTAAGTCTAAATTTGGAAAAATCTTACACGTAGGCAGGGATGATCGATTGATCGCTAACTTTAACCTGCGTTAAATTTTAAAATTCTTGTTTATACAACCATTATGGGGCTATTTTGCTAATAGGAAAGAAGGGGCTAACTTGAAGGGGGCTAATTCACTGGGGGGCGAACTCAATGATATTCGTTTTATATATAACATCGCGCGAGTACTGGCCCTATCTAATTCCTCCAGAGAACTCATGGCATTAAAATACTAGATGCGCGCGGCCGTGAGTATATAAGATGACGTCTTAAGTTGTATTCGTTAAACTTGGGTTTCTCTCACCTGCTTTCGACAAGTTGTCCCAATAATGGAACGAAATGGTAGAGAACGTTGTGATATTTTGGAACTCAATGTAGAGAAATGAACTAGAGGTCGCGCCTTTCGACAATTTACCCAAGTTATAAGAACTTTATTGGGCGGACGAAAAAACATTAGGCTCTCAGGAAGCCAAGCTGAGGTATACGTTTACGGCTTCTCTGTGCTTTTCCGCGTACATCCCCAACTCGTTATGTGCACGCAAAGCCTGAACCAATTTTAACTACAGAAAAGTTTAGAATGAAAATGGCTGAATAGGGTACATTTTGAGAGAACAGGGCACGTGAGGCAGTTCGATTTGGAGGTATCTACATCTAAATAACTGGAAATAAAGTGCTGTCTTTGCAATGAAGTCTGCGAACGGTTAGATTTTTTAAACTTTTCGGAAGAGGACGCTAAATTGTGGGCCTCTTCTCGCAACGTCACTATATTCTCCTTTAATATATTCCGTGGCTCGTTAAAGAACCCACACACTGTTTGCAAAGCTACAAGGGACATAATCCTTGGTGTAGCGGTCTAAAATTCTGATTTTCATTTAAGGGATCTTCATAATTCGTTAATTAATAAATTGTAAACTGCCCCATAAGCAGTCTGGCAAGAGTTTCTTAACCCATGTCTTAATACAGAGAGCTAGGACATCGGTTGTACTTTAATGAAGGGGCATTATGGGAGAAACTGCTGCCTAACCTTATAACTCACTTGGGACCGAACATTTTAAAATTCCTGTTCCATTCCTTTATGATTAGCAGCATATAGTCCAAACTCACATATGTAACGCACTTTTCTGCAGTAATTCTTAGACCCGACTATTATTTTCTCCATTAGAGGCGTGCGATTGTGCGTCTCAAAACCTTTAAAAGATGAGTTCTTTAATTGTAATACATTCATGGCAACTTTTTTAATAGATCACTCTTCAAACGAAAACAGTCTATGGTACTTAGGCTGTCGCCTAAAAGTTGGAATTTTTTTTCAGGGGTTGCCGATTTGTTGGCCGTTTTTGTTCGTTAAAGAGAGCTGTAATCGTGTGACTGGATCAGTGCTGAAAAGATCCTTTTTATATTGGAAAGCAGGAGTAATGCAATTAACGTTTGCTTATACAATAGCGAGATTTATTTAGTTAAAACTAAATAGTAAAACGTAATGGCTACTATGTAAATGATAAATGATTATTATCTGGACGAATCCGTGAGCGGGCAGAATGAAGCGAATCCTGTATTCTGATTGGCTAATCGAACGGGCAAGATGGGCCAATCAGATCTATCCCACTTAGGATTTCCCGAGTTGGTCATACAAGAAAAAGTCCTTTTTTTGGGCGATAAGATAAATTTTTTGTGGATCAATCTTGTTTGATCAAGATGGCGGGATATTGACCTCGTTCTTTTATGCATTTTTATTGGCCTCCGCAACTTTGTTTCGGTTCATAAAATTGCTATAAAGAAAAAAAAATGGACAATATCCAGTCATCTTGACCTCACATCTGCTCAATAACGCATATAAATTGTATTGGTCAAATAAGATTTTATAGAATAGCAAAGTCATGTAATTACAGACATTTTCAGTTGTCTACTTAGAATATTATAAGCAGTATCGGCACTAAAACATCATGATCAAGGAGCAAGGTTACTCAGTGAGATAAATAATAAACGAGCCCTATCTTATCACAAACCAGTGTTTGACCTCATATTAATCCAGAACGCTTCAAAAGTAGCTTTTACAATAGCTTAATTTTTAAGTATAACTTAGCTCTATAATTATAATATTTAGAGTTTTAAAAACTTTAAACTCCTTTTTATTGTAACACATTTTTCTTGTAACACCTGATATGTATTATTATTATTATTAAACCACACGATATATAAAGTGAATTAGGAGAACAAAAACGTTTAAAGGAGAACGGGGATGAAAAATGTAAGGATGGTGGCGTTGTGGGTTAACAAAATCATCTCGGATTATTGGTAGTTAGAGTTAATTTTGAAGCTTAACTTGTTTTATCGTTAAAATAAAAACGTTATTGACCGATAGGCCTTTGGAAGTAAAATAATTTAACCTGACAGCTACACAAAAGTAACAAGTAATAAGGGAAGTTGATATAACTATCTGAAGAAAATAGAAAAAAAGAAAATGGAAATTAAAGCATAAATTTTCCCAATGATTTAGTTTAATTCTAACGGCTAGTTTGAGTCGTTAGAAACTGCAACTTTTATACATTAAGGTCTCGGTAAATGAAAATTTTAGTACATTGCTCGATTTTGTTTTTTTTGGATTTTTGTCATGAGGGGGTCCTAAATTTTATTTTGGCAGAAAAAGAAAATCAGAAAGTGCTTTTTAACCCTTCTAAAATGAGCCTTTTCTGAGCTAACCAGCCAAGCGAGGATCTCGCGCTAAATCTTTAGAGCTGATTTTCCCTCACTCTATTTTAGACGCAAAAATCAAACTTCTCCGACCTCCAGTCGGGACAGGTTTTAAGCTATCGCTTTGAAACTTTCAGATATGATGGATAATGATATAGACTCAAAAAGGGTGTGAGGAATTTTCCGATTTCCCTTTGTAACTCTCATTTTATGTCAGTTTCTTTGCGTAAATCGCGCTCGAGATTCGACTTTTTAGTTTGAAATGCAATAATTCCGCTAATACGAGACATATGCAAATTTCCTCACACCCTTTTTTAGGTCTTTTATCTGTCAATCAGACGCAATAAAAAGGAAGCGAATTTTTAACAACGCGAAAGGGCTGGAGCTTCAGCAGTAAACTCGATACCTCTGAGTTCGAGAGCAAAAAACTTCAGCGCCCTTTGAAATTCGATGAAATAAAATCTTTTATAAGGTAATTTAGTCTTTTAGCTTTAATTTGATATATAACTTGCCTTTGTAGCGAAAATACTCGCGCGACTAGAATTTTTTTCTGTGGGCACCTCGTTTTCCTTTACCGAGACCTTAAGCGATCATCTGTCCTGGATTTTCTGCTATTTGTTCTTCTCTCCGTAGTCATACATTCTTGTTTTAATTTATACGTATACATGAATAACGGGGTTGAAAGCATGCACGCTCTATGAAAGGTACAATCTCTTAAGAGCGTTTTCACATGACGTCACGGCGGCCATATTGGTTTTTTCCAAAACAATTGAACGGCGGCCATGTTGGTGTACCAAAAAAATACTCTGGGAGTTGTACTCTTTTGTTACGTAAACGTTTTCTTTCTTTTTGATTAGCATAGATGCTGGCCACGTGAGTGAAAACGCCACGTGAGTGAATACCCTAATATGGAGAAAGCATTGTTCGATTGACCAATCGTTTTGCAGTATGACGTTAAAGCGATTTCTAGAAAGTTCTTCGGGCATGAAGT